TATAAGGGCTTTTCTAAGTAAGAAGTAAATTAGCCTCTTAGCTATTAAGTAATTATTAGGTAAGCTATTAGTTCTAGCTGTCTAGAGATTAGCTAGTAGTACTACGAAAATCGCCGCTGCTAATACGTTTATAGAGGCACTCTCTACTAAGAATCTATATACTATAATTAATTAGGTTATTACAGCTAACTAATTAGACAACTCTCTATAGCTAGCTTAAGAAAAAGCTACTATGTTAGGCTTCGCCTAGAAAATAGAAAACGGCTTATTAACCTATTAGAATTAATTAATAGTTTCTACTATTAACTACCTATAAACGTATTTAATACGCGCTATATATACTACTTAGGTAACTACCTATCTAGAATACTAGAAAACTACCTAGTTACTATAAGATTAATATTACTAGCTAGGTATACAGAAAGACGTTAATACGTACGTAGTAGTATATAAGGCTTGCTACTAGAGCTATACTCTGTAGAATAAGACGCTAGGTCTTCTAAAGCCTCTACCTATCTCTAAGAGAGTATAGTAGAACGTCTCTATAGATTTTAAGAGCTTTCCCTCTAATAAGAAAGAATTTAACTACGTGTACGTTGTTATAGATTAGCTAAGTAAGCGAAGCTTCTCTCTACTCTACTATAAGAAAATTATAGCTTAACGCATAGTAAAGCTATATTACTAATATATCTAGCGTATATATAGTTCTTCTAGGTCTATTATATTAAATCGCGGCCTATAGTTTACCTCTACCTTTATAGATAAGCTCTACTAGCTTATAGAAATTAAGTAGAAGCTCTCTACCGCGTACTATTCGCAAACTAATAGAAATATAGAGATTGTTAATTAATATCTTAATTAGCGTCTACGTTTATTTGTTAACTACTACTAGGATAATTAGTTAGACCTTCTACTCTATATAGATTAGGTATAAGCTACGTTACTATATAAAACTATAGAACTAATAGCGTATAAAATTAAATTTAAATACTAACTAATATACTACTAGAATTAAAAGAAGCGTATAATAAAAGCCTCTACTCTATGTAAGCGTCTCTCGCGCTAGAAAGCTTAGAATTTCGCTAAGAAGTAATACAACGCCGTAGAAAAAGCTACTAAAATTATATAAAGTAATATTATAAAAGCGTAAGCTAGATAGACGCTCTAAGTAAATAAAAAGCGCTAAAAACCTAATTTTATAGTAGGCAACCTTATCTACGTTAAACCTTATAGCTTTTTAATAGATTAGCCTAGTATAAAGCTAGATTAATAGATATATAGCTCTTACCTAATTATTACTATAAAGAGTTACTTTTTCTAGCTCTAGCTACCTGCGTATATACGTATATATAACGTCTTCTACGCTAATTAGTTAAGAAAAGCCTTAGAGCTATTACTAGGGTAGGTAGAGCCTAAGTAGCTACCTATTAAAGTTAATAGTAATCTAGAATAGCCTGTATATAAAATTCTAGATAGCTATCTTTATTAAAATTGCCTTTAATACTGCGCTATATAGGTTGCTTATAATTCTAACTCTACCTAGTATAATACTATAGGCTTTATTAACACTCTCTATAAGGTAAGAAACTTTTACGTAGTATACCTAGATAAGCTAGAGCTGCTATTACGATTAGATGCTTAGATTAAGGCGTACGAAAAAGAGGAGACCCTAGAGAAGATAGTAGAGAATTTAAAACCTGCAAGGGTAGGAGATATAAGAGTAACGTAAAGGCGCTACTAAGCGATTTAAGAAGAGAGCCTACGACAAAGCCGCCCTACAGACGCGAAAATAAGCCTTCTAGCTTAAATCTCTATAAGAATAGAGCGACTAGAGAGAAGGTAGTAGCTATAAAAGCGCTTCTAGTTTAAAACTAACACAAATACACTTACTATAAGCTAAAAAGAGATAGTTAAGAGTATAACGCAGAAGTTTTAGAAGAAGGGGGACCTAGAAGGCGTATTTTAGAGCTTAGGGACGAGCCCTCCCTATAAGAGGGGGTGATGTAACAGTCTAACTTAACTCTAACTTAGTACTTTAGCCTAACTTAGCTCTGCCTAAGTTACATAACTCTACCTAGCGCTTTAGCATAGGCACCCTATATATATAGAGAGCTCTTAGAGTATTCTTCTACTTCTTACCTTTAGATAGCTAAATTTAACCTAACCTACTCTGCTAGCACTCTATTCTTACAGCTTGTAGAGATAGTACTACCTACAGCTAACTTACCTAGCTAGGTGTTCTAGAACGCTTATAGTAGTAGAGACTATAGACCTAGCCCTTATAGTATACGTACTAATAGCTCTATATATTATAGAATTCTATATATATCTAGTACTATTATATATTAATACGTTATTAGATAGTATCTAGAGTAAGGTGTTTAGTATATATAGAGTATTCTAGTATAATAGCTCTAACTCTTATTAGGTACTATTCTAAGTTAACCTTATCTCTCTAGTACGTTATATAGCTATTATTATAATATACTATCTATAAGAGGCTATTATAGTCTATCTAGATTATTCTAACTATTTTCTTTTTCTTTAGGTATTCTTGCGTAAAGTATTCTTTCTTACTATAGATAAGATATAGTTCTTTCTTAAAGTACTATACCTTTTTCTTAGTTTTACAAGACTATTTTCTCTTCTATAGAGTTCTAACCTAGTCTAGGTCTATAGAGTTCTCTTAGAATAGAGTCTATAGTTATCTTATTCTAACTATTAGTAGCGTAGAGTAATCTCTACTCTATTAACGTTCTAGATTCTATTTATACTATTAGTTATTAATTTTTACTACTATTTCTATTATGTTGCTTAGGTTTTCTAGTTACTTAGCGTGCGCGATATTGTCTTTAACTAACTCTTTTAGTTCTTTATAGAAGAGTTCTACTAGTATAAGGTTATTCTAGTCTAGGTAAGTACTTAGCTATCTAAATATAGCTATATACTAGAATACTAATCTAGTTTATTATAGCTAGAATAGTTTTTTTTAGACTATTTTATACGCGTTAACTTTTCTAAACGTTTCTCTAAGGTGCTTTATAAACCTAGTCTAGCTTTTAAAGATTTTATTTATAGACTATTATATTCTCTTTATATTACTCTTATTTTCTAGCTAGTCTAATATATAGAGCTTAGCCTATATAAGAGCTTTCTCTTCTATGTTTATTATAGCTTCTAGAATCTTATTCTTATTCTATAGAAATACTATAGCGTTATATTATAGGTAGAGTTCTATAGCTACTAAGAATACGTTAAAGTTTTCTCTCTTACTATTAAAGTATTATAGTAAGGTAATCTTAGCCTATACCTATTATTTTACTATAGCTAGCTCTTCTACCTATTAAACGCTTATCTTCTAAAGTACTATAATAACTTATTAGAGTTCTATAATCTACTCTTCTATAGTTAGCTTTCTAGCCTAGACCTTTCTAGATTAGGTTCTAACTATTAATATAATAGTTCTACTCTTTAATATTAGATAGTTATTTTATTATAAGCTATTCTCTTAACTAAGACTAAGGCTTACTTTTATAAGAGAAGGTAAGAGGTATACTTTAGGCTAGAATCTTTAGTAATAAAGAGGTAGAGGTAATAATACTATTAATTAAAAGTCTCTATAGTAATTTAATAAACAAAGTAATAACTATAAAAAGCTATAAGAAGCGAGCTTCTTCTAGTTATATATATATACTATCTTAGCTAAATTAGGTGCTAAGGCTCTAGCTTTCGTAGATCTTCTAGATTAGGTCTAATTACTTAGATTAGTCCTAATCTGTCTAATCTATCTAATCCATGTCACGTAACTCTAATTATTCTCGTAACTCCGCACGTAATCTCTTGTCTCGTAACCCTAGGCTTAGCTTACCGTTTTCTCTATTCTAGCTAGCTAACTCTATTCTTAATTCTATAATCGTAATAATAGTATAGTATAGAAAGAGAGAAATATACTAAAACTATTCTAAAGTTATTACTTCTAAATAGATAGAAAGCTTATAATATATATAAGCTTATAATATATAACTTTATATAGCTAGATTATTAATATATATATAGTTAGAGAAGAAACCTCTAAGAAGATATTTTCTAACTTCTATCTCTTATTACGCTATACCTAGACAAGCTAGCTCTATAGAAGTTTTCTAGAAACCTTTATTACGTTATAAATACTATATACTATAAGTTTTATATATTATTATAGAGATATAATAGTACTAATTAGAAGTAAACTAGATTTTCTTAAAAGTTAGTTAAATACGTATAGCTTTTTAATTACATAATATATCTTAGTACAACTTTAATAGTAGGTGTATATAGTATAGTTCTATCTATATTAAAAATTTTATAGAAAGATATTAAGGTTTCGCTTAGTTATTTAAGAAAAACGGGCTGATTTTCGTTAATTTTCGTTACCAAGAAATCGTGGGGCGTTCGATAATATGGGGTGTTCGATGATAAAGTACGTTAGTAGTATTTAGTAAGAGCTTAGTATTTTTAGGCGGTTTAATAGTGTAGGCGGTTTAATAGTAAAATACGTTAGGTAATATATATATAGCACGATAATTGCTTATATTAGTTAGGTATCCCAGCTTGGCAATCGGCAGTTAAGACAAGGCCCAGCGCGACCCGTGAACACGCGACGCATCCCAAACACAACTGACCACGTCTGCCTCTTCCCATCCCAAACCTCAACTCCCCATCTGCCAGCAAAGATGTCGTCTCCAGCGCCGCTTCTAAGCAAGCGGCCGCTAGAAGATGACGACGAGGCGCCACCAGTAAAGCGCGGTCGAGGCAAGCCTCGAAAGCACCAAAACGCGACTCCGCCAATGGACCCCAACATGCCAAAGCGTGGACGCGGAAGGCCTCGCAAAGACCCCAATGCGCCGCCGCAGGTTTCCAAAGACCCCACTACGCCGAGCCGCGGTCGTGGGCGACCAAGGAAGGACGCCGGTGTTCCTCCCTCTGCTCTAACGGCCCCGAATACTCCATCGCGAGGTCGCGGTCGGCCTAAGAAGGATGCTGCATCCAAAGCCTCAAATGCTCCTTCCAGAGGTCGCGGTAGACCTAAGAAATCTGGTGCAACTCTGCCTCTCATTTCTCCAGCCAGCGGTACCACTAAGCGGGGTCGCGGTCGGCCAAGAAAGTCGGATGCGGCTCTGGCCATGGCCCCTCATGCCGACGCTACCCCTAAGCAGGGCCGCGGCAGACCACGGAAGGGCACCACTGGCACCATCCCGTCAGGCACCCCGCAAGCAAGCAATACTCCAGCACGTGGCCGTGGTCGTCCTAAGAAGATTGATGGGACCGCGAATGGCGCCGTAACACCCGCGTCGGCCAAGCGGACACCGAAAAGCAATTCCATACCCGGTCCGAAGCTTGGAGATATCATTGGCGCCTACGCCATCGATTGCGAAGAGGTGGAAGGCAACTGGCCCGACGCTGCGGAAGAGATGGCCATCGACATCAGCGCGCTCCCCAACACCGCGTCCAGCCTCATCGCATCCTTTAATCTAGGCATCTTCGAAGGCACTATGCTACTGGCTGCTCATGCAGACACCCTCGAACGCGTCCGCGAGCAGATGATGAATGCGGATGCTCCGGGGCCAGATAAGGCAACCGCACCGACTCTGGAAGACCGTACTGTCTACTTCACCTGGCGCGGACGCGAAACAGGAGAGGGCGAGATCCACCCGGATACCAGGGGAACGCAGACTGGGATTCTCCAATTCACAAATGACAAGTGCACCTCGTTCAAAGGCCTCGGAGGGTTTCCCTATCTCGGCGAAGAGTGTGCATTCAGAGGGACGAGGGTGGATGATGAGCCTAGCGGCGAGCCTGAGCCATGGAGCAATTTCTCTGAGGATGCGTATGAGGAGGCAAGGCGAAATCGATGGGGATAGACACCCCAAGATGGCTATGGAAACGGACGAAAACACAGCGAAAATTGATATCTGGACAGCGGGACAGCCTTTGGTGATGAAATAGCTGTGGGCTGGCACGCCTGCTAGGCTCTCTCCGTCTAATAAAAGCGTATTATATTTCCGTGAAATAAAAAAAGCTTCGCCCAGCACGAATGTCTCCACATCATCTGCTTCGATCTCGCGCGCCCAAGGTCGGCCTCGCCATCCGCCCAACCTACGATGCTTTGACGTTCGCCGGCTCGCAGGTACCCATCGACTAGCATTTCGGCCGCAAGCCATGAAAGACGGAGGTAAGGCCAATATCCTCTCACGAGCTACTGTTCGACGCCCAAAAACTGGCGCCGTAGTACATATGCTATATACCTTCATTCCCTACCTTCATGAGATGCATCCGCGAGCACCCGCCCGCCTGGGTAGTGGGCACCAACTATCCTCGGATTTGGGCATTCGAACTCTAGGAACGTCTCATCAACAATGATGGCGAGGTGGCGGGCGGGTAGCTCTACCCGCATATGCAGAGGACCTGTCGATGGCGTAGCTATACGAAGCGTTGGAAGGGTAGCTGCCTGGCGTGTTTCTGAGAATTATCAGCTCCGCCGAGGACGTACGGACCGTTTCGCTCTCCGGGTAGCTAAATTGGATGGAGAGCTGGGGGTAGCCTGGTCATCCAGGTCTTTTGCAAACTGGGCTGGCCATGCAGCTCCTTCGACCGCGTGCTTCTCCCTTATTTCGAGCATATCTTCTGCAGGCTCTAAGTCATTGGCCATGTGCTGTTGATGTCGTACAGTAGTACGGCGAAGCTACAGTTGCTGGTCGCTAGGTTGAAACCTCAGCATCGATATTACGGGTGCGATGAGTTCAGCCGAATACGAGGCGTGTTGTAATCCCGCAGCATCGTTCCAAGCTTGTAAACGCGAAGTGTGGCAATCGTGTCTGCTGACGTAAGCGAGCGCCGGCTGTCGTCACAACTTCCTCCTACTTCTAGATTCCACCCCAAATCTCCATCCAACAAGACCGAAGCACGCAACTGCAAATTTTGAAGACTCTGACTCCTTACACACCACGAGCGATTTCCGTCAAGACGACTGCTTTGGCAGAATTTTCAACTTTGCTGCGTCCGTAGCGTGAGCCGGGTCATACTGACGTAGAGGACGAGATTCCAACGCACAAGTGGAATGCTTTACAGCTGCGAACTCGGAAGCGCAGAAGAGAATATTTTCAGCGTGGGCATGCGCTTAGTATTGAAGTGAGGTATTGACGATAACGCAGACATCTCCAAGCCACGCTTGGCAGGTGTTGTGGTGTGACTTCAGCGGCGCGATGCCCCCCGTTCCACCACGATTCCGACCTACGGATTGCGACACCATCTCGATGCCTCTCACCGCAACATCATGGTAGGAGGGCCAGGAAAAGTGAGGCCGACTTCGCTTTTTGGTGTCGGATGTTTTGTCTTTCCACGCAGCAAGCATCGGCGCGATTCGTCTGCTCCGGCCTGCAGCCTTCCGGTGCCCGCAACATCGTCAACGAACGGCGCACGCGTTCGAGAGATTTGTCCAAAAGATGAGTCGGTATCGCCAATACAGTCAGCACCGTAAATCGAGATGGCGGCGCAAGCAGCCGTGATGACGCTCGGAGCTGCCCCGTTGCATCGAAATTTGTGCCGGTCTCCTGCCTCCGTCGATGGTTCTAGACTACCGGTGCCTTGTAGGGCTGCATCTTTCCGACTTTTCATGTTCGTCCTCGTATCCCTCTCATCCTCGTCAATTCTACCGGGTCGAGATAATATCCTCTTTTTCTTGAGTCATCGCTATCGCATGTTAAATCGACTGATGCCGAGTCGGTCGCACCGAAAATCTGCGAGTTTTGTGGACGAAAAACATGGATGAGGAGTGCTGCAAGACGGTGAAGCCTCGGAACGAACCGTCGAGGCGCGGGCTTGCAGGACTTGGCAGCGAGAAACCCACGACGGTGACAGCGTGTAAGGAGACGGGTCTCCTGCTTTCATATGCCTAAAATTTGATGGTGGCTTCGAGAATGGGCTTGGCTGGAGATATTCGCGGGATCGTGACGGAGCGGTCACGGACAGCAGCGATGCATCCCGCGGCGGGTCTCAGCTTATTTATCGCGGACCCGCTCGCTGCTCTCGAGACTTTCTTCTAATCCTTCAAAGATCTACCATCAAATTTCTTCCCTGCATTGTTGCAAAGGACATTCTTCGGACTTGCTTCGCTGCACAGCGGCACCGAACACACCATCGGGCCTCACATCTCGTCAGCAACGCTATTGCTGGTAACATCTAGCCTCGTTGCTACCCCTCCGCCACCAACTACCGCGAGACTTCGCTGTAACTCTTCCCGAATCGTTTGCAGAAAGCGCGTTACCGCGCCTAAAGCATCCGACCATGCTCCTACCGTGCAAGTCTCACTCCGATGAAGAGCCCCGACAGGACCTCGCAAACTACGAGGCCCAGGTCGAGACCTCGGAGTTAACTCTGCGAGGAGATCACCCGGAATCTCCAATTTCAGACGATGCGAAGGAGTTCAGTCTCAACGGGGATGTCGTGCACCCGCTCGTACTCTCTGAGTACGAAGTTATTAGCCACGTCCGCGCTCGACCGCACGACACCACTCCGATTATCCTCACTTTTGGGCCCCACGACCTGGATAACCCGAGGAATTGGAGCAAGGCGCGGAAGTGGTACATTACCTGCTTTGCGAGCATGCTGAATGTCTTGACGTAAGTCGCTTCCTTGCAAAATGTTCACTTCAGAGCACACTGACAACGCCATAGATGCCTTTGTGCAGGTGGCTACTCTTCGGGACATCATCTGCTCAAGGAGGAGTTCCATGCCTCCTCCACCATGGTTACGGCCGGCCTCTCGACCTACATCCTGGGATTCGCCTTTGGTATGTGCCCATCCGTCTAGTCCGCGGATCTGCGAGTTCTAACAACCATTTCCAGGTCCCATGCTCCTCGCGCCCCTATCTGAACACTGGGGCCGCAACCCAATCTACATCTGGTCCTGGCTGCTCCTCGTCATCCTGCAAGTCCCGGCCGCGCTCGCGCCCAACATGTCTGCCCTCGTGGGGATCCGCTTCGTGCAAGGTTTCGTCGGCAGCGCTCCGCTCACTAATACCGGAGGCACCATCGCAGATCTCTGGGAGCGCGACTACTCTGGCGCCCCCATGGCCATTTACGGCCTCAGCAGCACTCTAGGTCCGCCTATTGCACTCCCCATCACGGGATACTTTGCGCAGTATCTGGGCTGGCGCTGGCTCTTCTGGTTCTTCATGGCCGTCCTGGGCTTCTCGTGGATTCTGCTCGCGCTTACTTTGTCCGAGACGCGGCACACTATCATCCTGCAGCAGAAGACGCAGCGTCTGCGGGACCAGCTCGCGGCCCACGGCTATGCTGCTGCGGCATGCATCGAATCACCGCCGAGCAGGGGTCTGGGCCACGTCTTCAAGGTGACACTGACAAGGCCGATTCGTTTCCTGTTCACCGAGCCCATCACATACTGCACTGCGCTGTACAACGGGCTCATCTATGGCCTTGTCTTCCTGTTCAATGAATCCTTCCCCATGGTCTTTGGCCACTTGCACCACTTCACGCCTGCCCAGACTTCGCTCACCTTCCTGGGTCTGTGCGTGGGCTCCTTGCTCGCGTCTTTCGCCCACCCGATCCAGGAGCACCACTACCTCAAGGTGCGCACTCCGGAGGCGCGCGTGTGGCTCTCGCTTCCCGCGTGCTTCCTCCTGCCCGTCTCGCTCTTCTGGTTCGCGGCATGTAGCTCGGCGAGCGTGCACTGGATCGTACCGGTCATTGCCTCCACATTTTTCGGCGCAGGCATCTTCGTCGTAGTCCTCGGCGTGCTGAATTTCGTCCTGGACTCTTACGGCCCCTACACCGCCTCCTCGCTCGCCGGCGTCATCCTCGTCCGCAACGTCGTCGGTGCCATCTTCCCGCTCTTCGCCGAGAGCATGTACGAAGGCATGGGGTACAAGTGGGCAGGCGTCCTGCTCGGATTCTTGGCACTCCTGTTCTGCGCCGTTCCTTTTATTTTCTACTACTGGGGCGTGGAGATTCGGAAGAGGAGCAAGTGGGCGAGCCGGAATGAGGGCATGCAGAGCCACGAGGTGGGTGAGTGAGTGGCGTTCTTGAAAAGGAGGGAGAGGATTTCGACTGATGATGAAGTCGGCCTTGAAGAGGAGGTGGAAAAAAAAGAGGAGGGTGTTTCGCGAGTTGTTTCCGGCGCCATATACCCTTAGATTGACTTGCTCCAAAGATTTTGCTCCAGTTTGCATAGCATAGATAGAAAAGATCAAATGCCATCTTCACTTAAAGTCCTTCATGCTATGCCACACAGTGCCCATTCAGCGAGCCACGACCGCATCTTCCCCTACCAGCGAAAACCCGCATGCAGGCTCACGCACACACCCACCCATCCCGCCCTTCATGAGTGACTCAAACCAGCGCAGTCCCATCCTCATCAGCTAGATCCACAATCGCCCTCTGCCGCGCCCAGCTCCCGCTTTCGCAGCGGTGTCGCCCGCTATCTCCAGCGTCGCGATCGGCCGCGGACGAGAAAGGCCTCGGGAACCAAGATATTGGGGCTGACGTTCGAGGGAATAAAAATGGATGCGTCAGAGTGGCGGTGGGCGAGGCTGTGGTGGCGGTGGTGAGACCTGGAGATGTCAGGTGAAGGGGGCGCGCGGGGGTCGGGATGTCTGCACCCTTTGAGGTAGGTGGACTTTGAGAGCTGGCTAAGGTGGTTGGGGTAGTAGAGGTAGTCCCGCGCTGTTTTGGCCCGAGGGAGGGATTTGGATCTCTGTTCCCAGGTTGGTGATGCGACAGAGGTCACGTGGCATTTCTTGGTCACGTGGGATGTCTGCCACATGGGTGTGTCCACGGGTAGATCAGAATCGTTTCATCGTTTAGACACGACTTTCCTAGGTCTGGAAAATAGGGATCGCCTCATCTACAAGTTGTGGGGCGCTCGCATCTACGTTCGTTCCGGAGGGCTTTCAACATTAGTGGTGGGAGTCGAAGCAGGCTCATCCGCCAAGATACCAGTTTCGACGAGAACAGAAAGTGAGCACAGAAGTCATGCGGGCGGTGTTTCAGCGGAATCTAGTAGTGCACCAGGCGCGGCGAAGAGATGGTCGTGGTGGAGGCGCGAGAACGGTAACTCCTCAGCAGCTCCAACTCTCGGCTCTTCATGAGAGCCTGTCATACGCAGTAATTCTTTTGTTCGGTATCTTCTTACCTGTATGGAGATTCCCGTTACGGCCCCCACTACGCACTTAAACCCACGACGTCCGGTAATGGAATCCGCAGTAAGGACTTTCGGTTTCCCACATTCTCGCTTGTTCTGCTGCTAAGTCGCACGGCCTATTAGCTCTCTTTTAGATCCTAGATAGAAAACCCGCATCCCCTCTGACCTTGACTCCACCCCTCCACGAGCAGCATTGCTTTTACCTATTCCATCTCTTTTCTGGCACACTCGGCCACAGTTTTGAGCATTTCTGACAAAGAAGCGGGGTAACCATGTCGGTGGTTGGGAGAGGCTCTTATTTATTTAGGGGGCCGGGGCGCTGGCTTCCGTTGTCTTTCACATCGTGTCTTGTCATAATCACGCGTACCTACGCCTTGTACCACTCCACCTTGACGCGTTGTTTACCTTGCGCAAGGCCCTCACATTGAGGATTCTGTCGACATTCCCCAACAGCCACGCCATTGCCAGCCATCTCTTCTCAGCCGGACAATATGGACGAAACCGCAACCCGGCATGGTCAGGAGTCTCCTAACTAAAGAGCACATAGAGAGAGAGTACAGTTTCACTAAACGCCAACTTTTGGAAAGTCGGTTGCAGATAGGGTTAGATAGGAACCAAGTGCCATGGAAATGGACCCATGAACGTCCCCTTGACGAAGCCAAGGCTTTGCAAATTGTCATCGCCAACGCCGACATTCGAGTTCCGAGGCTTTTTGATTCCGGAATAGATGATCAGGGCCGCGCTTTTGTCGAGGTGGAATATATGAATGGCGTCGAACTCGGAAACGTTGGGGAGAAATGCCGAATGCCGGCCTCAGGAAGAAAGGCCGCCCTGCGATGTCTGCGCGAGAACTGCCGACTTGAACGCCGATAACTACATCACCAACAAAGTTCTTCCCCAGCTTCGGCAGCTTAGGTCCAACCCGACCGGGCTGGAGGGTTTTGTCCTTCCACCACCACGCATTTCCGAGACAATTCGCAGCGATCGGTGGCACTCGATAGAATCGCCGGATGGGAATGTATACTCCCTCATCCATGGGGACCTCAACAAATACAACATCATGGTCAGCGTTGCAACGCTAGAGGTCATTAGCATCTTGGACTGTATAGTTGCATGCGGATTCTGCTGCAGCCTCCAACAGGCTGCTGAGCAACGCAGCTGTGTATGCCAGCCCCCTAAGTTTGCCGAGCAAGGCATCCTTGACAGTACCAATCGCACACAGATCGTACGCAAAGTTGAGGGCGGCTCTCGCTCGGGGATTTCTACTTCGCGGCATTTCTCAGCCTTTTCGATGCTCCTTGTCCGGTAAACGAGGTGTCCGGGGTGAGCGTTCCTGCATCAACAATCCCCGATCGACCGCCACGGTCCCCAGGTAAAGATTCTGGCTCCGTGAACGATCGCGAAACATGGTGACTTTCCATGTCTTGCGAAAGGCCAGATCCCTCTGCCAGTAGGGGGACTTCGAAGTCAAAATCAGACGGCAGGTCATCAATCGCTGAGCAGATCTTGTCCCAGTGTGTCGGCATCCACGTATCATAGACATTCTTCGTAAACCTGTACGCCGTCCATTTCTCCTTCCCATCTAGTTCTGTAAAGTCGAAGGCGCGGATCGGATGGCGATAGAAGGTAGTTTGGCTCCCGTTAATTACAGGGTAGTGGCCGTAGATTCTTACTGATCGGTGGTCGTGCGAGATTGAGAAGGATAGGATCTGCCGGTGGAGCTCTTTCTCGCGTTTCACTAGTCGGAAAAGCTCGACGATGGCTCTAGTTGCAAGCGTCATGCTATGGGCATTCTGCCGGTCTGCGACGTCGAGCACTGCAGCGCCGCACTTTACTTCGCACATCAGAAACGGAAAGTACATGTAGTACGTGGCCATGAAGAAGGACCAGTCGCCAATAAAGGGTGAAAGTTTGTTGAGCTGCTCTGCTGTGAACGCCTCGCGTTTGAATCCCACAGAGTAGTCGGGCTGCGGACGAGTCCCAGTTAGAGGAATGGAGTTGTTCCAGCCTTCGTTGGTACTTTCGATCAAAATTTCCAGATGCTTGGCACCGTATGTAGCCAATGTTTCCGCGGAAGGGACGATTAACAGTGAGATATCTCGGATAACTCTAGTCTCGTTTCGGTTTCGCATCTTCCGGCATGTCGATTCGAAAAGATCATCGCGAAATAATGAATTCTGCGGAACTGCCTGCTCCTTCTCCAACAATGTTCGACAGTGGGCTCTGCTTGGATCTATGATACCCTGTTCAAACGGGTCCATAAAGCTGCCCTTCGTCGCGAGCAGGGTTTCATACCGCACATCCTTATACTGAGCGCTCTTCTCTTCTCTTTGCTTCTGATCGCTTGGTGTGTTGGAGCTAGTCGCGAGAGAGGCCGAGTCGGATCGTTTGCGGCGAAGGGAGGGCATCGACTTCTTCTTCCTTGCAAGCAGATGACCCATTGTGTCCGGCTCAAAGTATTCCTTTGGCCAAGCTTGTTCATTCCGCCAATAATCAATAGGATTGATTGGTGCCGCGATGTCGCAAATCGATGCCTCTCGACTAGTTGGTCGCTTGACCGTAACGTCTGTGGAAGACGGTCGCGGTCGCTTCGGGAGGGGCGCAGTTGGGACGTCGTCGAGTGGATTCTCGATTTCACGCGATCGCTTTCGATCTTTAGGTTGTAGAGGAGTCAACTGATTCTGTATAAGCTCAGCTTGAGTCGGCCGTACACAGCATCGCGAGACAAAATAGCATACGTCTTTCCGCGCAGTCTTCTTCGCCGGGAAAAAGTATTGTTGCTCGATGTTTTCGCTGCGCTCGAGGTTCAGGCGTGCGCTTCTACGGAGAGGTCTCTGAGCCTTTACTTTGCTGACACCTCGAGGACGTTTCCCTATTTGCAAGTCAGCGACGGGCATTTGGTTGAGTGGAAGAAAGGTGCACCTTGATCTGTTTGTGCAGAGCTTTTCCGCCTATCTGTCGGGGCAGCTAGTGGATTGTGATGACGGGCCATGTCGATGGGCAGCTGAGGGAGAAATATCTCTTTACGTTGCCGCCGCGTTTGAAGGATGCTGGCGCGTGTGGGATGGGGGTGATCGGGATCTTGTCCAGGTGAGGCGCAAGCGCTAACCTATATTAGGTATAGTATACAAACGTGTTCTTGGCAGCATCTCGACCTCGGGACTCACAGCGACGGTCAATTACGCGTTGAAGATGCGCGATCGATCTGGTGGTGGTGAGAAGCTCGAGGTCCGAGCACTTACTAAGGTGCTTGGGCTTAAGTGACCATTTTTGGAACTCCCTGGGTGCAGGAACCGGGAGCCCCGATCAAACACGGGCTCGTTACATAAGCATACGCCGGCCATTCTTTGCTCCGAGCCCGAGAACTTTGTGAGCTTCCGCCTTTGCATCATCACCTCCACCGTCAACCCTCGCAATGGCGTCCCGCACCCGCCTGATGGCCTCCACGGCTTCAGGTCTGATACGAGCCTCAAGGCCGCAAATCGCATCCAGGGTATCCCCCTTTGCTGCTGCCTTGAACAGCTCCTCCGTCCGCGCCTTCACGCAGCTCAACTCGCAATCAGCTGCATCCTCCTCGCAGAACACGCCCAACATCTTCTCCTCGATTGGCCAGCTGAACAATTCGACCGGCCCCCCGACGTACTTCCAGTCGCACAGGCGGCTTCCGGCGAACACCATCGTGCGGTTCGTGCCGCAGCAGACAGCATGGATCGTCGAGCGCATGGGACGCTTCAATCGGATCCTGGAGCCCGGTCTTGCTATTTTGATACCGTTTATTGACAGGATAGCGTATGTGAAGAGCTTGAAGGAGAACGCGATTGAGATCCCCAGCCAGAGCGCCATCACAGCGGACAATGTTACGCTGGAGCTGGACGGCGTGCTGTACACGCGGGTATTTGATGCGTACAAGGCGAGGTAAGCACTCCCCACACCTGGATTCACGGGCAAGGTGCTTAAATGAAATTACAGCTACGGCGTAGAAGACGCAGACTACGCCATCTCGCAGCTCGCGCAGACCACGATGCGCTCCGAAATCGGCCAGCTCTCGCTCGACCACGTCCTCAAGGAGCGCGCGAACCTCAATGCCAACATCACCGCCGCCATCAACGAGGCCGCCCAAGACTGGGGCATCACCTGCCTCCGCTACGAGATCCGAGACATCCACGCCCCGGAGCCTGTGGTCGAAGCCATGCACCGTCAGGTCACCGCTGAGCGCTCGAAGCGAGCTGAGATCCTGGAGTCCGAGGGTCAGAGGCAGTCCGCTATCAACATCGCCGAGGGAAAGAAACAGTCGGTGATCCTGGCATCTGAGGCCTTGAGAGCGGAGCAGATCAACATGGCGAGTGGTGAGGCCGAGGCTATCCTCTTGAAGGCCACGGCTACGGCGAACGGAATCGATGCCGTTGCGCGATCGATTGCCCAGGGCAAGGACGCGGCCCAGGGCGCCGTTTCCCTTTCCGTGGCTGAGAAGTACGTTGATGCTTTCGCCAACCTCGCAAAGGAGGGAACTAGCGTTATCATTCCCGGCAACGTCGGCGATATCGGCGGCATGATCGCAAGCGCAATGGCTGTGTATGGCAGAGTGAACGACGCGCAGGCGAAGGGAATTGCCGCAAAGATGGCCCAAGGAGGACAGGACACGCCCGCCGGCAGGAAGATTGCGGAGCTTGAGGGAGAGCTTGCTGCGATGGAGAATGAGTCGGGCAAAGTCCAGAACGCCATCAACAAGGTGATGGACCAGAGATTGAGCAAGAAGTAGAGAGGTGGATGGACGACACGGGACTAGGGGCATGGATAGCGACGAAGGGAGCACAGGAAACGATTGTACATTACACCACGCTGTATGAATAGCAGCATGCGAGCATCGGGTTAATTGGGTAAGGGTAATCCAAAAGCAAGCGTCGTAGCTACTAGCCTCGGAGGTTCTCCTCTCTTCATCTGTCTTCGCTGGGACGCACTCCGCTTTCCGTATGTTTATAGCTAGCCAGCGTTGAGGTATCTCTTATCGAAACCTTCACAATTGCTTTGTTCCCTTAACCATCTCTGAGGCATCTTCCACCCTTTACCTTGTTCATGCGCCTAATCTCATCCCATCCCATCACCCCCCACACAACCTCCCCACAATCTCCGCAACCAACTCCGCAACCTGCACCCCCTCCTCCCACACCTCATCATGCCCGCCCCTCAACTCCCTACCCAGCACCCTCCTCCCCGTCTGCCCCTTCTCTCCATCTTCCCACCCCTCCTCCCCCAGCCGCCGCGCCATCACCTCGCGCTGCTCCTCCTCAACAAGCTCATCCTCCGGACTGTGCGCCAGCACCACGAGTCTACCGCTCGGCCACGCGGCCGCGGAGTACGCGCCTGAGATCGGGGACGCGACGGCGTAGACGCTCGGAGCGGTCGTGGATGTGGAAGCAGAGTCGGGGCCGAAGGCCCCAGCGACAATGTCGCGGTAAGTTTTTCCCACCGCGGGCGGCGCGGTGTGGTTTGCGAGCAGCAGCGGGAGCGAGTAGATGCCCGCGAGGAGGAGAAGGGCTTCTAACCCCTCTGTTTTTGCCGCTGTTTGGGGGCTGGCTGGAGTGGGAGTAGAAGCGGGAGAAGGAGAAGGAGGGGGGTGGTGCTTGTCCTGGAGCCCGATGCCAGCGACAACCTGCAGCCACATCGTCGCGCCGCACGAGTGTCCGACGCCCATCCACCTGCGCATCCCATATTCCCGCTTCAAGTACTCCACCGCGCGCGCTACATCGCGCACATGCGCGGGATGCCGGACGTTTCGCTGCGGATCGTCGGGGTCGCTTGGATCGGTAGCATGGTTGGGGTATGGCGAGAGGCGGTAGTTTATACTCGCGATGCCGGCGAGGGCGGATAGTGTCTCGGGGTGTGCGGCTTCGAGGCGGCGGATGGTGGGTTGGATGCTGGAGCTGGATTGCAAGGGGTCGCGCCAGGCGCCGCCGTGGAGGTAGAGCAGCCAGAGGGTGGTGGAGGGGTTGGAGAGCGAGGGCGGGCGCGGGAGGTAGATGGAGAGGGTGCGGAGGGGGCCGCTTGGGGGGGAGGTGTAGGGGATCGAGGGGAGGTGGAGGGGGTATTCTGGGGGCGGAGGGGTGGAGGTGGAGGGCATGTTTGTTTAGTGGGAGGGTGGGTGGAGGGGTGGATGCGATGTTTGACATGTGAAGCTAGCGACGCGGATCGCGACACCAGATATCCGTGGATCGGGACAGTAACGACACCACCGCTCCCGGAAGTAAATCCCGTGTTGCACGAAGTAGAACAGACGACAACGACGAACGACAAGTCAAAGATGGATGGATGGATGTTCAATTGTTTTTCCATTGAGCCGTCTTGCAACAACAGCCCTAGCTATATACCGAACGAACAAACAGCGAAGCGCGCATCCATTATCCAATCCAACGCAATCCAATCCAATCCCCAACGCATATTGCTGTGCGAATTACCATTACTAGCCAAAAACAGAACATCCAGGGGCGAGGCATGCCAACCAGCCAGCACCCCAAGCGCCAATGCAATGCAAAGCAGACCCAGAGGTATATTTCGAAAGGACCGAACGGCAGCTAGCCAGCTGCCAAACCGAGTATCTTTTTGTTTTGTGTATCCAAGAACGTAGCGTAGCTGGACGAAGCGACGCGACGCAAAGACCAAGCTCTTCTTCCCAGCTTACAAGAAAGCAGCGACGAACGCACCCGCGCCGACGAGACCGCCAGCCAGCGCGCGCCCCGTCGCAGCAGCACCCGTAGACTGCGCGCCGGTGCCCGAGCCCGTCGCGCTGGCCCCGCTGCCCGACGCCTCGGAGCCGTCCGTGCCGGTAGCAGACGAGCCAGCGCCCGTGCCGCCCGTCGTCGACGCGCCGCTGCTGGTGGCGCCGCCGCCCAGCACGATGGTGGTGCTGTTGTTGGCGGAGACGACGAGGGTGCGGGTGGTATTGCCGGTGCCGGGGACGAGGACGGTGTTGATGCCGGTGCCGACGGCGGGGATGGTCGCGGGGATGCCGACGGAGGTGTCGGCGGCCGGCTGCGAGGTCACCTGCGCGGGCTGGCTGGGGATGTCGGTCGCGGGCGCGGGCTGCCCCGTTACGACGCCTAGCGAGTTGGTCATGGTGAGGAAGGAGGTCTGCGGGAAGTCGTCGCCGGAGGACTGCGCGGTGTTAGATCCGACTTTCCGTCTGGTGTGGTGTGGGATTGGATGGAGGACTTACGGACTGGGCGAAGGCAGCGGCCGCGAAGGCGGAGACGAGGATGGCAGTGCGCATTTTGGCGGTGGATTGATGGGGATTAAGGATTTAGAGTTGGTTGAGCGAATGGACGGTGAATTAGTGATAGACTTGAGCGATGGGATGGATACGATGTCTGGCAGTGAATGGACGGGCAGAGCAGGTGAAGAAGTATGCTCACGCTGGCGACGCGTCTCCTTTTATTTTGCCCGTCGCGGCTTTACTAGCTTCGGAGCTCTCCCCTGGCGCCACCCTTGGCCCGGCAACGAGGCCCCACAGCCAATAATAGCAGAGCCCGTCCCGGCCAGCGCATTGCGACGTCTGTGGCGATGATTTGCGGCTGCTCAGGTCATTATTGCAACTATGTATTCGTTAGAGCATGGCTCCGACGCCAACGGGGGATGCAGAGCTTTCTGTTGAGCTCGTGTTGGTAGCTCTAGCTTTCTTCCGTGCGGTGTTGCTGTGCTCTTTGCGCTTGCGATTGCGATGGCTCCGGTCATCTGGTCTGATTGTTCACAGCCACGGCGTTTCACGAAGCGGGTGCATGCTTTTCGTCCTCGAGGTTTCCGGGGTGACAAGCCGACGTCTGGGTCACCTCACAGGCAGCCTACACTTCGTCATCTCATCCCGATTCATATCCTGCACCCGTCTCCTTAGCTCTCATCCCAGCTTTGCATAAACAGCGACACCTTCCATTCTCCTTTCTCCTTTCTTCCCCCCGGCGCAAAACGATTCGACAAGCCCACAACCGCATTGCGCGTCCGCCCGTCTCAATAATAATTTCCTAAATTTAGGCGCGCCAGGCTGGAAACGTAAACGTTCCCCTTTTCAGCGACAGTGTGGGGAACGTGCGGCTTAGCAAGGGGGCCCGGCTTTTCTGTGCAACTAACCATCGGACTGGGGCGCCCGATCGATCACGACAGAAACGAAACGGTTGAGGAGATTGCCACCACCGGTCAATATTCCGTGCATTGAAACCTGCCGCTTTTTGCTGGAAGCTATTATGTATTATTGCTGCGGCGCTGGTGGGAGGGAGTTGGAGAGGCTTTTGCTGCGACGCCACTACTTTGCGCTTCTACTGTGTAAAGGATGCCGTCTCACCTACGCGCAATTGCGACGCGCGAGGGTGCTCTTCACTGCACCCTGTCATGCTCAAAGCTTGTCTCAACCACCAGCAGTTCTGCGTGCAAAATATACGCACTCCACCTCCGACCCGCCCACTCTCCTTACAAGAGGCCGTCTCTGCAGCAAGGTCAGCAACATGACACTCCATGCAATCCATGGATGCCATTCCCCAAGGCACGTTTTGCCAGCAGCAACAGCAGCAAAAAGAGGACTCCATTTTCCTGGCCTATTCGACTAGCTGAGCTGAGTAAGGGACCGGCAGAGTGAAACAGATGCGGTAGGTCAGCGGCGCATGTATGCGGTGCACTCAGTCCGCGTAAGAAGCTGGCGTGTACATACGCCAATGTCTCGAATCCCAAGCCACACTGCGGAATTTCTTTGTTTCTCTTGGGTAGGTATGTGGAGATTTACTTCGATTTCATTCAGAATGGTGGGTTTTTATGGCGGTTGTCCATCTCCTGCTTAGCATGTCAATGCTTCAACAACTAGTCCATCGCACCCGGCTCTTTCTCGGTCCTTGCATCCGCACGTACGACAATAATGCTCCGGACATCCCTAATACTACTGTCCTTGCACCTCTTTGAATTCCCCGCTCTGTAGCTCGTCAAGCACTGGCTTGGTCACGGCCTAGTAGAAGTCCCCTTTCCAGCGGCGAAGTCCCGCACGAACCAACCCTATCCTCAAAGCACCACGCCGGCGGACTGGAATCGAGATGCGCTGCAGTCGTCGAGACCACCTTGCAACCAGCCTCCTCACGAAGTTGTCTCCCCTCGGCACATCTAGCCCATCCGTCAGCCTTGCGCGATTTGCAGATTACAAAAGTTTCGACAGAACACGTACAGGCCATTAACAAACCGTTCCAGATCCTTCAGCGTCAACCACCCATTCTCCTTGCTCGAGTACCTGCAAGCCGCCATGTACACGATCTCGCCGATCACGGCTTCGGGCGCGAATGCCGCATCGATGAAGTGCGGTGCTGCAGACGCGAAGACGCGTTCTACACGCTTTTTTCCTCGGCTTTCTGCGGCCTGGGCGCGCACGCGGTCGCCGATGCTGCGCACTGTTGCGTCGTCGAGGAGGTAGTCGTACACCTGATCGCGGATCTCGCGCGGACATGTGCGGTGCAGATGCGAGATGAGGGCGTGGCAGGATGTGCGGGCGTAGGGCTGGATGGCGGAGTCGAATGTTGCGTTGAGGGAGGTTAGGGTTCTGGGCGGGGGTTAGGGAGGAAGGGAGGAAGGAGGTAAGGAAGATCACATGGCCATGCATGCACTGCCAGAAGAAGAACGTTCCAGCATACTTACTTCTTCAGCGCATGCATTCTCCACTCCAACCCCTTAAGCGCATCGTGCGTCTTCCTCCTCCTGTCGATTTTGGTCTTCACCTCCGTTGACTCGGCGCCGTAGTATCTCTTTGCCGGTGTGAGTTGCTTGTCGAGTTTCCGAAGCTTGCGCTGCAGCTCTGCGATTCTGCGGTCGTGGGGGAATGTTTGTCAGCGCTCTTGCTCTGCTTTACTGCTGCCTTACCTGCTTGGGGTTTTAATAATGTAATGTGAGGCGCACGCACTGTTTCCAGAGGTCGGAGTGCTCGCTCTGGGCTTGCTTGAACCATGAGACTAGAGGGGGGATGATGAATGAGCCGAGCTGCTCGTTTAGGTTGCTTTGCGGCATGATTTGGGATTGGAATTGGAATTGAAGTCGTTCCGTGTGAGTTGCATCTTTGCTTTTCTTTTCATGGAAGAGTCGGGTCGAGTATATGTGTCGTTGGAGGGGGAGTCATCGGATTGGAAGGATTCGTGAGTCAGCGGCGTTGACTCACGTGCGGCGGTCCAGGGTTCCTACATTGGGCTGCACAAGTGCTGGGTCAAGCTTTTCGATAAGAAACTGCTGCCGTTTAGTCTGTCTATTCAACCAGGGCAAAGTGAACGCGCATCCAGAACGTTGTGGTTGCGTACGTCGACGAACTTGGCCGGGCATAGCCGCAGCTATCTTCTATGAGAGATGGTATGTGAGCATGCCTGCTCAACTCTGTTCCATTGCCAAGGTACTTCAGAACGACCTCCCCATTGCCTAGGCTAAGGTATGATATCTGCTCTCCAAAGCACGAACCTAAGCCAAGGAGCTCCTCCACGACAACCTCAGTACTCCTCGTCCGCGACGACATCATCCACCTCTGGAAGCGCCTCGAAGAACAGCCTACGAATAGCATTCCAAATCGGCTTCTGCAGCTGCAGTTGGCAACCGGATGGAAAGTTCTGCGGTAAGGAAACGTGCTACACATTTGGTCAGCTCATACATCATGCAGCGGGGGAGACGGACACACTAACCACTGGAGAAATCCAATCGATCCTTCGGTTTTCACCGTGCATATTAGCACTCCACTCGCCCGGCGCCCGGTCGAGCACCTCCTCGCCGAGATCCCATTCAACGAACAGGGCGGAGTTGTGGTACTCCAGCCGCACATCAAAACCCTTGCTTCGCAGGCCGCGATAACCGCGCCTGATGATCCCCAGGACGTGCTGTATATTGACCGCGATACTCCCGCTCTCATCTTCGATCTCAAAGACGATATCCCTCCTACTTTCCACGGGGGGTGCGAATAAGAGTGCATCTATACCCGCGTCTAACCGGCTGCTCACCTGGTCTGTGACAGCATCCCACGCTTTCTCGTCCGTGTACAGACACCCCGCTAGTTTTATCCGCAGATCCCACTTCTTGAAAACGTCCCAGGGCCACAGACCGACGTGGAACGGATCGCCCGCCACGAAGGCCTCGACATCGCCGCGAACCACGACACTCCGCGTATACAACGAGCTCTCAAAGACGAGCTGACGGACCGCCGCACGTGGCAGCGTCGCGAAGCTCTGCAGACACTCGTAAGCGACCTGGCCGCCGACGAAGTTGAGATCAACCATGGGCGGGAGAGACCGGAGGCAGGTGCACGGCGGACCTGCGCAGTTCGATGTCCAAGTATGCCGCGGGCCCCAGTACATTCCGTAGGAGCGGATATGCAACGGCCACGGCGACGTCCAAAGATGCGTGTAGATCATGTCGCGCAGCTCGCGGGGTAGCTGTAGCAAGCGGACTGCGAATACGCGATGGTACGCTTGCGAATAGTTGAGAGCGGCTTCAGAGAGCCCGTCGAAGGATTGGATGCTGACGGCTTTCCACTTGTCCTTGGTACCTGCGGCAGCGAGTGCGGCATTGCGCTCATCAAGGAGTCTAAGAAAAGAAGAGATTAGTTGTGCGGGCGAGGAGGCGTATGTACGTATGAAGACGCACCCATCGAGCTTTGCGTTGCTGCTTATCAGAGCTTCCGTGAGCTGGTGACGGAAGGCAAGCTGTGCATGCATTTTGCCACAAATTCGACGGTGACGAGAGGTGCAAAGGAGTGTAGAAAAAGCATGGAATGACGACATCTGGTTTTATATTCGACTGGCTGTGTGCATCGGTTCGGCTAGGCTATTTCGGGCCTCTACATTTCCATGGTTGGCTCTTCCCTCAACAGCTCCCGTATTCTAGGTAGTCGTGGCTGAATCGTCAATAGCTTCGCTCATTTGGAGAATATATTCCTCGATTTGGGCATGACTCGAAGATTCTCAGAACGATCCCGTGAATCCCACCGCATTATCCCAGTCCTCCTCCCAGTTATCGCAAAATCTTGAAGTGCTCCAGCCCCACACACGCGTACCAATCGACTTACTCACCTGGTGCGAAACAGTTGTGATACCCATAAGCGACCGAGTCCGAAATCTGAGTTAGTTGCATGCGTACCCCACATGCCGTCGTTAGAAAGTCCAGAAGTCCTCCAGCCCGCACAACCCCCAATTCCACCTTGACGTCCTTCTCGGAAGCATACCCGCCTGCTACCAGCCCAAATCCAGATAGGCCTCCCCAAATTCAAGCTCGACGCCGTGCTGCTTACCTAATTGCCACAATTCCTCCTGCCCGTTGCTGAAATCCTGAAGTCCCTGGAGGGTTAGATTGTAAGGCGAGTACAACTGTGCTATTCTCTTCCGGTAGTGAAGGGCCATGTGTTGGAGAGTGGGAAACCGACTCGGCTGCTGACTCTTCTGTTCCAGTATCCGGCGCAGAAGATTCCATGACTGAGGCGGATGAATGAGAGAGCTGTCAACTTCAACGTCTGTGAGAGTGATGGATTCAAGGGTGTGAGGAAGAACCGCGCTTGGATCCCGCTCAGTGTCCATGATCGCATCCACGAGCGCGCCCTCTGGTGCGACAAGGTGTTGAAGAGAAGAAAAGACATGCAAGGTGCGAACCGGTATCTGATCCGGCGGTAGCTCTTCCCATTGATCGTCATAAGTGTACCATAGGCCCGGCAGTTCTAGTGACCGTATACTTGTGAAATGCGGCGCAAACACTTTCTGCAGATACTCGCAACGCCAGTGCGGCGGCTCGTACCAGGTGGAGGCCGGACTCCATGACGGGGGACCGAACAGGAGGCTGAAGATGGCGAAATCATGGAGGGAATTGTTCCAGACATTGAGCTCTTCCAGATTTGGAAGGAGGGCGAAGAGCACCGCCAGCAAAGCATTCTTCTGCCCGGCTCTGAGCTCATATATCCACGTACCCTTATCCAGCAGATCCGTTGTCGGCGAGTTCCATATTGCAGTCTTACAAACCTGGACAAATGCCTCATCGATGCCGACGACCGGTCGAGCCTGCGAAATCCCGTGCAACGTCTTCATATCCCGTTTCAGTCCGAGGCTCCTGGTCTTGAAGGCCAAGTCCGGATAGCGAAGGTAGGTGAGGATGAGGCTCGGGATGTCGACAAGCTCGACAATGGGGTCTGCGAGTAGTAACTCGAGACTGACGGCGCGAGTGCGGCGGTCGGTGAGTGAGAGGGCTCGTAAGCACTTACGCCCGTAGCCCGGAATGCAGTCATCCTCGCCATCGTCGGAGTAGTCGATGTATGCGCAAGCGTCTGTCAAGACAACGTCGTCCGTGCAGACGTAGGCAGCGACGGCAAGGATTAGTTCGTCCGGAAGGTGCGAGAACATAGCTGCTATTGTAAGATGAATGAGAGTGGGGGAAAGGATTAGAGATCGAGTCGAAAGAAAATCTGGCACTGGTGGCGAGGTGAGGTGAAGCGTCGAGGTGAGAGAGTGTGCGCCCAAGGCAGCAGAGGCAGCTGCGCGCTTTAGCCGAGACGCTAGTCGTCTAATAAGCTTTTTGTGCACGGATCCTACTCCGATTGGGAAGGAGCAGTGAAAGTGAGTCCGCTACAGACGGAAACGCCAAAGAGAAGGCGAATGAGGGAGTAGAAATGACGCACTTGTATTTGCTCGCGCGAAGCATGACTTGGGCGAGCTCGAGGCTACTGCTTGACCGGCATAGCTTGGCCGTCCAAAGTGAGGCGTTATGAGTTGCTTCCGCCAAGCCCAGAGGCTCGCCGTACTACTCATCTTCATCCTCGCTCTCAGTCACCCACTCGTCCTCTTCATCACTTCCTGTTCCCCTCTTCTCTCTATTCGCCTTCTTGACGTGTTCTCTACCGATCGCGGCCCGGAGGCTCGCGTGCCACTGGTCCATATAGTCTGACTCATACTCGTAATCCGACTCATAGTCGTCTCCTGAATCGTACCCGTAGACCATACTCTCGTTGTCATCTAAGTAATAGCCTCCAGGAAAGTAGTCAGAGTCCCCGAACTCATCCTCTGGCCGTTCTCTTGCCTCCACATCGAGCACGCATGACACGCCCCATCGATGCAGCGTGATGCAGCTGAGTAGTTCTTCGTCGCACGCCCAAGGGCTCAAGCAATGTGCTGCATGATTCCAACCGTTCGAACTTCTCTGCATTCCATCCTTCTCCTAGATGAGATTAGCGTAGGGCGCGCGATAGAAACGCGGGAACATACGTACCTCCTGCCATTCCTCAGACGTCAAACGGAAATAGTGAGTAATATCGGCGAGCACGAAAGACCGGTCGTCATGAAAGACCGAGACTTTACAGCCGTAGCAGTGCATGAGGTCATATACAGGCTTCCTCACAGCTTCTAGGATATTATGCAGACGGCGTTCGTGGTCGTGGTCGGCATCTTCTCCGAGGGAAATCAACTCGGTTTCAATCCTGACATGTATTTCCCGTTGACGTTTGGAGGAAAACAGGGCAAAGCCGCGCTCGAGAGTGGTATAGACCTCTTCCAAGGTTTCCATCTCTCCCTTAATGTCATGCATCGTATACCCGACCAAGTAGGGGGTTTGGAGATTCACAATGACCGTAAGCTTGCATATGTGTTCATACGGTGCGAAACCTGCGTCGAAAGGGTCGTGCGTGAGGAACGCAGACAGGTGGCGGTGGTGGTTAACGTCAAACATGTTCTGCGAGTAATATACCTCGGCGGCTTCAAGTGCAACATCTTTGCCAACAAAGTCCGGATCCAGGATGCAGTTGCGTGGCATCTCGTCGCTTAATGCTTCCCCCGCGAGGCAATCTGTGTCGATATTGAACATCCAGCCAGTGTTATCATCTTCCAGAACTGATCCTTGGTCGCCATTCCTCAATGCTTCCTCGGTAAGGCGATCTGGATCGATACTGCATACGCTCTTCTCGGAGTCATGTTCGGAAACCCCTTTGCCGTCGCCGTGGAGATAATGACGTAATTTGGGTGCCTCATGATCCATGATAGTGTAATCCTCGACGCAAGCGTACGCGTATACCGCATCACGAAGCTCTCGCGGAAGCTTCGCACGGAGCATTGAAGCAAGCTGGCGGGCTTCAGCCCGACTACGATGCCAATCCAGTTGTCTAGGAAGATCAGCCGAGCAGCGGAATGGACCCCGTCTAAAAGAACGTACGTTTGCTCCGTCTCCCTTCGCCGGGCTTTCTTCTCCGACTTTGTTGCGCGACTTGAACGGTACCACTCCATCGTCGCAGATAAGAAGAAATCGTCCAGGATGGCCAAAGAATAGTAGATGTTGAGAGCGAAGCTGAAGGGTCAAAGACATATTCCGAGGGGCTGAAGCTCGGACCATCGCCCGTGCAGGGTTTCAGACGCGTGAGCGCGCCATTAGCGCGTCCAGAATCCGAAAAGGGGACAACGTCATCGCTTTCCAATATATTGCTCGGCAACTTTGGCTGTTCGGAAGGGAAAGAGAACCGCAAGCGAGGTTGGTGAGAAACGGTAAGCTATGTGAACAGGAGACGCCTTACGAGCAACTGGTAAGGAAGCTGAACTATGAGCTCTTCGCGTCTTCCGAGCTGGCGAATGATTCTGATGGGTGGTTTGAAGGTCTGTCAACTCTCTTACTAGATAGTGTTCTACTACACTGAATCAGCGAGGTCCCATAATATTTATAGAAGCTGTAGATGATCTCCGCTCAATACAATAGGCACCACTTGTGCTTCGAAGTGATACCACATTTTGATCCGAATATATCCGGTGTTCGCTCGCGTAAAGCAATCTTTAAGGCTACCACTCGTCATCCCAGGGCTCTTCATCTAATATCCCGTCGTCAACATGTGCAGCCAATTCCACACCGGCCGGTCCCATAGCTCGAATTCTGTCGGCGATTTCTTCGATTCGCTCTGACATGCCCGAACGATAGAAATCAATCGTAAATCTACATGCAATGTCGATCTTCGCAAAGAACTTCTCCAGAGCAAGCAGCACGAACGGTGGCGCCGCCGGAGTCATACACGAGCAGCGAATGTCCAGCTTCGTTAATTTCGGAAAATGCAGCACATTCCACGACGACTCTAGATCGATGAGGTATCTCGGGTCCCAGTACGGTGGTATCTCAAGTAGCAAGTGTTCGAGCGTTGGCGGGAGAATAGTTGTTAGCAAAGCGAGCTGATTCGGACACTGGGACCTATCCACCTCTAGTAGCGAGTACAAAGGCCCATTGAAACGCGTGAGATTAGGGAAAGCTCCATTGAGTTGCCAGGGCTCCAAGGACACGGTTGCTCCCGCATTGCTGAGCGGAATGTACTTCAGCTTATCGAAAATGATACTCTCGAGAGATGCTCTATGTTGGTTCAAGGCTGCCCCAACGTCGCGGAGCCAGGCCGGTTCTTGGAAGCGGAGGAGGTCGCCGAAATAACGAAACGATTTGAGGCAGGCTGCGGATTGTAACATGATGGCAACGATGTTTGCAGGAATATTGCAGAAAATATCGACTGTCTCAATAGGCGACGTGCTAGCCGGACAGGCCCATAGCTGTATTTCTTCTGCCGACGACTGTTGAGCTTGCAGATAGGTCTCGAAAGAGAAATCATACGAGGTCAATGTGAGTTCCCTCAGGCTCGGCAGGCGGAACAGTGGCGATATGCCACTAAGACGGATCGAAGAAACGGTGATGGAGATGGTCCTAGGTAGGCGAAATTGTGTACTGCTCCGAAGGGGATACCAAGCGCAGCGTATAGGATTGGTTGCAAGCATTTTTGGACCGCAGATGGGTCGTTAAAGCCCCCTCCCCTGTCATCAGAATAGAGGTTAATCTGATCGAGGTTCGGGGTCAGGCAGAATATAAGGGAAAGAAAGGCTTCCCGCTTCCCATCTTTGAGCTCTCTAGTCCATTCCTCAGGAAGTGGTAGCTTTAGCTCGTCGACTGTTCTAGCAATGCCTGAGAATTCTCGGAACGGCGCCGAAGTGAGCTCGCTTTGAGAGCAATCTATGCTCTTCACCCAATTGGCTAAACTTTTCTCCGAGATGAGAGTTTGAATGAAGCTGTGGTGGACATGCTGCCGTTTTGCTTCGAACGGATACTCTTCCCAAAGAGAAGGAGCTGTGATCCTGTAGAACCGTCGGTTTACGAGACACAGGGCGTGAGCCGTGGCATAGTCGTCGGGTTCGGTTGCGTCTTGAATAATCTGAAGCAAAAGTTCGTCAGGCAGGTCATCGATGGTCACACCGGGCCCGCGGCGCCTTTTCCGTCGTGTCGGTGCGGTGTGAGTGGGTTCGCCCGCAGCCAAATGTTTGTTTTGTGCGCGGGTGAGGACCATGGCTGGAGGGCAGCTCTGCTCTAGATGCGTGGCCTTCCGGCATTCGAAGGCTCAGCACGGCGCTCAGACGATGAGTCGTCCCGAATTTGACCGCTTTCTCGCTGGGAGTCGGTTGTCGATGCGGGAGAAGATGAAGTATTGAGGTGGTGTCGTGTCAATTGGCGAGGCTGCAGATATCGAGAAGGGGCGCGCTCCACCCCGCCGTCGCGAATTCACGTGACCGCTCTTGGCATTGGGCTCCATTCAGGAAATTCGAGGGTCCTCTATTTCGACGAAACGGAAGTCGATTTGAGCGCCCGCAACGAACTGCAAAAACTTGCCTAGCCTAGGTTTGCGTGCGAAAAGGCGACGGTGTTGGCGAGCCCACACCCAGAGACGCGCTTGAACGACCTCAACCTGAAACACAAGCGGACACGGAATGACGAAAGGACCGGCCCAGGGTCCCGCTTTCATGGGAGCCAAACAAAACGGAGCGGCTGGTTGGTTGGAAACGGATCGTCGGACATCGTGTCGATCCATGCGACCAGGGCACCAAAAATGCCTGTGGTGATGCCGTGGCACCCACGGACCGGGGGGCCTCAGCTCAACACGGAGGCGCGATATCGTGAGCGACGCCCCTCCCAGCCGCAGCCTCCTCCGCTCTTTGCACCGTCCCTACAAACATCTCGCGATGTTGTCGCCAGTTTCGCTGTCGATATTAGCGGCGCACGTCTTTGTGCTGGGTGTCTCCGCCCATCTCGACTTGCTGGACGGGCTGCCTAGCTGCTGGCTAGACTGCCTCAGCAACACCGACGACGGATGCGACTCGGCAAAATGTAAGTAGCAATGTGGCCTCGCGATGATGTCCACGCATGCTCATGAGATGATTAGGCATATGCGACGCCAGCCAGAGCGACTCGTATCTTACCAGCGCCGTCGAATGCGCGAGATCGGAATGCGAAGCAGACGGTTCGGCTCTGGACCTCCTCTTCCTAGGCCCGTTGGATCTGTACTGCTCTGCCACCGGGGAAGAGATTCCAGAAGACACGATGAGCAGCGCCTATGCCTGCGCGACCGCGACCGCAGCATCCCCATCGCTCACGACGCGGAAAGTCGAGCGCTCCACGGAAACCAGCGAGCACAAGACGACACAAGGAGGAGGAAGCGGGTCTACTTCCACCCTGGAGAGCGAGTCTACCGCTACGAGCGCCCCATCCTCCGCCGCTGCATCGCCGAGCCAGGCTCCCGAGACCTCCGCTCCGGCACCCACGCAAGCCCAGGGGGCGTCCTCTTCTTCAGCGAGCGCGAGTCCGACGCAGGGAACATCGAATAGCAACGGCAATGGTAGTCCCTTCGAGAATATGCAAGCCGGTGCATCGCAGTGGGGCTTCTCTAGCCTCGTTGTTGCCATGAGTGTTATTGCGGGACTTTTCCTAAGACTATAACGTTGGCATCTGGACTGGGGATGATATGCTGTACGATACACACGTCGAGGGCTTCGTCATATGGCATTGGAAGATACCACGGGCTTTCTGTATAAGTTTGAAGCGTTCATCGGTCTATATTAGGGAGTGTATATCACGGTAGCATGAGAGCGGCGGCCGCGGGCAGGCCAGATAATTTCGTACTGGCACGAGGCCCTAACCACTGGAAGTACATAATAGATAATGATTGCATCTGCAACCTTCTCTGTGCCTAGTTGGACATTCTGTGTTGCGAACGCCGTTCGCGAAACATACGGATGCGCACGGACTTCTATTGCAGCCGTTCGCAGCTACAACTCTTCTTCCACTCGGCACTTGTCCATTCGCTCTTCATTGTATGCCCTGCGTGAGAAGACCTACTCGACCAACCATCATGAGCGTTTGGCGACCCCCAGGATGCCATTGGTGTGATGAGGGGCAGCGTACGACCTGTATCCACCCTCTTGGAACATGTCCAGGTACGTCACTGGACAGACATTGCAGACCGCCTTTGAACCTCTTCAGCCTTCACAATCCTTTCCTCCTTATCAGACCGAGGCTCCGACGTTCAAACGTCTTCAGTCGTGTGCGCAATAAAAGTTCCTCACAGCTTCGGCCGAGGCGACCACGCTGGTGCCACTTACCAGATCCAGCACCCTCCGAGACGTCCACTCTCCGAGGCATCTCGCCAGTCCGAGCGGCCTCCTAGGAAACCGCCTTCGGAGTCGGCGAAGCGGCTGAACTGTGCAGCCGCATCGCTTACGTACGGTTTCCGCTACCTGAAAATAGGAGCTTGCGTGTGGCACAGATATAGGGCGCAAGCATTCCATCTGAAGAGCAGCCCGCTTCCATTCACGACACCACTACCTGAGCACAAATTCCTTGGCATTTGATCTTGAGATGGAATTCGAACCGATACCCGGCCCTCCAGGGCTTCCCATCGTAGGCAATTTGTCGGATATCGACCCAGAGAATCCCATACTTTCTATTGGCCATCTCACCGACATATACGGTTAGCTTACGCGGAAGACATCTCACTCCAAAAGAAGGTGCACTGATGCTTGACAGGACCCATTTGGAAATTTTACATAGGTGGCGATCGTATCGTGATAGCTTCGCAAGCGTTGATGAACGAGGTCTCTGATGAAGAGCGGTTCGCCAAGATCGTATCAGGTCCTCTGCAGCAAGTACGAAACGGAACCCACCATGGGCTGTTCACTGCCTATGGGCCAGAGGAAAAAAATTGGGGCGTTGCCCACCGCATCCTTATTCCCGCATTTGGTCCTCTCGCCATCAGAAACATGTTCGATGAGATGCATGACGTCGCCGGACAGTTGGTAATGAAATGGGCACGGCACGGATCCGAGCAGGTCATTCAAGTCACCGACGACTTCACAAGGCTGACCCTCGATACCATCGCACTGTGTGCTATGGATTACCGCTTTAACTCGTACTACTCCGAGCATATGCACCCTTTCGTCCAGGCAATGGTCGATTTCCTCAAGGTCAGCGGAGATCGATCTCGGCGCGATTCTATCACCCAGTTCTTCTACAGACAAGAGACGAATCATTACTGGGAATGCATTGAACTTCTTCGAAAGACAAGTCAGGAGGTCATCAGTAGGAGGAAGGAGCATCCAACAGACAAGAAGGATCTGTGAGAGTAATGTATCCATAGATGCTGAGCATTCTACTGACCACTGAAAGGGTAAATGCGATGCTCAATGGAGTGGATCCGAAGACGAAAGAGAAGATGACGGATGAGAATATCATCGACAACATGATCACGTTTCTCATTGCAGGTATGTCGTTCAATGCTCCCTGAGAGGACGTGGGCTGACGTAATGCAAGGGCACGAGACCACCTCTGGGCTACTGTCTTTCGCATTCTATTTCCTTCTAAAGAACCCGAGCGCATACGAGAAGGCCCAGCAAGAGGTGGACGATGTAATCGGAAAGGGTCCTGTGACTGTTGAGCACCTTTCGAAGCTTCCGTATATCAACGCAGTTCTGAGAGAGACCTTGCGCTTGTGTCCGACTGCTCCCTCGATCGGCCTCCAAGCGAAGGAGGATACGACGCTTGGTGGGAAATATCAGGTCAAGAAAGGAACACCAATCGTCGCCTTGTTCCCGAAGATCCATCGTGACCCAGCCGTCTACGGCGAGGACAGCGAAGAGTTCCGTCCAGAGCGGATGCTGGATGAAGAGTTCGAGCGCCGCAACAAAGAATTTCCGAACTGCTGGAAGCCGTTTGGTAACGGGATGAGAGCTTGCATTGGAAGACCATTCGCATGGCAAGAGGCTCTGCTCGTGGTGGCCATTCTGCTTCAGAACTTCAACTTCACAATGGACGATCCCTCCTATCAGCTCCAAATCAAGCAGACGCTTACGATCAAACCCAAAGGCTTCTACATGCGCGCCCATCTCAGAAACCACATGACCGCAACCACACTTGAGCGGGCCCTGGCCTCGGCAACCATCAGTAAACAGACAGAGCAAACGAGTTCGGTCGCCACAAAGAAAAAGATCGCTCAAGGCAAACCGATGGCAATCTACTACGGCTCGAATACGGGAACCTGCGAAGCTCTCGCGAATAGGCTTGCTAGTGATGCCGCGAATCACGGCTTCCGCGCGGAGGTAGTCGACATACTAGACTCGGCGAAAGAGAATCTGCCAACCGATAAGCCTATCGTCATTGTCACAGCTTCCTACGAGGGTCAGCCCGCAGACAACGCGGCTCACTTCGTGACCTGGATCAGTTGTCTGAAGGGCTCCGAGCTGGCCAATGTCAACTACACAGTCTTTGGTTGTGGTCATCACGATTGGGCGAACACTTTCCACAGAATTCCGAGGCTCATTGACGCGACCATTGAAGAAAGAGGAGGAAGCCGGATCGCGGAGATTGGCACGGCTGACGCGGCGAAAGGCGACATCTTTACGGACTTCGAAGCGTGGGAAGACAAGGTATTCTGGCCTGCGATGAAAGAACGGTACGGAACCTCCGATACGCCAGATGGTGCATCATTTGAGACCAGCCTGGATATCGAGGTTTCAACACCCCGGTCATCGACCCTACGGCAGGACGTACGAGAAGGTCGCGTGGAGGCCGTCGAAGTACTCTCTGCGCCTGGGGTCCCCGAGAAGCGACATATCGAGATCAGCCTGCCATCTGATATGACTTACACTGCTGGGGACTACCTTGCCATCCTGCCTCTGAATCCAAAGGAGAACATTGGGCGAGCCATGCGGTATTTCGGTCTGGCTTGGGATAGCATGTTGACCATCTCCTCTTCCGGACCTACAACGCTTCCGACCGGCGCTCCTATCTCCGCAACAGACGTGTTTGGGGCTTACGTTGAACTTGCTCAACCTGCGACCAAACGGAATATCCTCGCTCTCGGCGAAGCCACGCCGGACGATGCCTCCAAGAAAGAGCTCACACGTTTGGCAGAGGATGTGTATGCTACGGAGATCTCCGAAAAGCGAGTCTCAATTCTCGACCTCCTCGAGCGGTTTCCGTCCGTACATCTCCCGCTCGGGCCCTTCCTGAAGATGCTGCCTCCGATGCGCGTGCGCCAGTACTCTATCTCATCCTCGCCGCTGTGGTATTTGAACAATGTTACACTCACGTACGCCGTAGTTGACCAAGCAGCTTTCAGCGGCCAAGGACGCTTCGTAGGCGTCGCATCCAGCTACCTCTCAAGGCTTGATCCGGGGGATAAAATTCACGTTTCAGTGCGCGGTTCGCACCAGGCCTTCCATCTCCCGAAGGATGCAAAGAACGTTCCGGTGATCATGATCGCCGCGGGGACAGGTAAGTGTAGCAAATACTCAGAAGAGATCTAGTGCTAAAGCTAGACAGGGCTCGCCCCGTTCCGTGGCTTCATCCAAGAACGCGCCGCCCAACTCGCCGCCGGTCGCTCCCTGGCACCCGCCCTCCTCTTCTACGGCTGCCACTCGCCTGACACCGATCTTCTCTACTCCGACCTCCTATCTCGCTGGGAAAAGCTCGGCGCCGTGTCACTCCGCTACGCGTTCTCCCGCTCGCCGGAGCAGTCCGAGGGCTGCAAGTACGTGCAAGACCGGCTGTACCACGACCGGAAGGAGGTGATCGAGCTCTTCGACGCGGGTGCCAAGCTGTTCACTTGTGGGAGTCGCGAGGTCGGGAAAGGCGTTGAGGACGCGTGTTTGAGGATCGCGAAGGAGAATCATGAGCAGGTGAAGGGTGTCAAGGCCGATGATGCGAAGGCGAAGGCGTGGTTCGACGGGTTGAGGAATGAGAGGTTTGCGACGGATGTTTTTGCTTGAAGGCGAAATATGGTATAGACTGGATAATAAACAGTGAAGAAGTATCAGGAGCAAAAGGATCATGATCACCTAGTGCTCTGTAGAATAATATCCTACATATCCAAGTTATTTTGACTTTGGGGAAGGCGAGTCAACGTTTCATGTGATCTCTAATTACTAAGCGCTTGGCGCTGTGATAAACCTCGCCGATCCAGGCCCGCCTCGTCCGCTTCTTCCTTGTCAAGCTCGAATCGCCCTCCTCTCCACGTCTAGCTTATTCACAAATTATACCAGTCTTACAAAGCTTTTCATCCTCTGCCCAACGGCCGCCCAGAAAGTGTGACAATGTTGTCGCTTCCTACCGACATACAGCTACTAGTCCTTGACTACGTGAGCTTATTCTACCTCGATGCCCAGCCAGCACATGACGCTAACGTTGCACAGTTCAATCTCAAATCTGACTTGAAGGCATTATGTCTCACGTCGAAGGCATTTCGTGCTCTTGCGCTGCCACGACTCTATCATAGCGTCGTTCTCGAGACATGGTCAAATGAGCAAAAAGGTCTAAAACGATTTGTGAAGAGTGTCGCTGCTGGTGCTGGGCCTCATCTGCGCTTTACAAGAAGTCTGGCCATCGAGGACATTCGACCCCCGGCGGAGCCAAGGCCGCAGGTTGTCTGCCCGCTCAACTTCGACGCCAGTGACCTTGAGGCGTCCGCGGCCGATCACGACATGGACAAGGTCTGGAATTATCTTTCCCTGGTCCTCGAGATGTTCCGTCCTAACACTCTACGTACTTTACGGTAAGACTCCTCCTTTCCCCTCACTCATCCCCGAATCACAAGAATATATCATCAATTACTAGTAGCTGGTATTAGCTAAGTTACAACTTATAACCACGCAGATTTATTTCGAACAGATCCCTGCCAGATGAGATGCTAGTATATCTCCAACGTCATCAGCGCGAACTCCAACATCTACATACTAGTCCGAGTGAATACCACTACCGCCAGGGATCGCTCTTCGAGCACCTTCGTACGTTAGAGGTCTATGCCAACAACAGCCATGCGAGTTCAAGCATATTTATCGATAATCTGTTGAGGCTGTGCTCCGGCGTCGAACGACTTTCTCTTGGGCTACGTCCGTCTTGGACTGGAACCGATCAGAAGAACCTTTGCGAATGGATTCCCAATACACGCTTCCGGCACCTAAAAGAGCTGAGCTTATTTGAGTTACCTCTCCGCCCGGAGATTTCATTGGTTGGTCTACTACGAAAGATTGATTTCCGGACCCTGGAAAAGTTGACGCTTTCCGATTGCGATGATACCGACGAGTTCTTTTATCAACTGGGGAAAGAGGTCGACAATGCCCCACTATCACTCCGTCACATGGCTGTTTCAGTGGAAAATGGAAACTGTCTCGTCGAACTCCTCGATTCCTGTAAGGCTCTTACGGACCTCCATGTGAGGTCCTTCGAGTGGCCACCCGTGGCTCTTCTCGCATGGTTGAACAACCGCGGTTCTACCCTTCGCACTGTGGCTTTGCATCTAGACCAGGATGACCTGTACTACGACCCCGACCCTTTCCCTATACGCGCCTATAAATCCTTTAGCAAACCCTCTCGGCTCCGTTACCTCGGCTTTCAAATCTCACATTACGATCTGCATCCAGGGGAATTGCATCTTGAGAATAGGCACTACGACTATTTGGTATGTATTGGGACCCCTTTCGCGCATCGCTGCATACTCTCCTTCTCGAAAATGTCCGTTGCGTCCTGACCTCTGCTCTAACAGTATATAGAACGAATTCCGGTATCTCCCGGAGCTACGCGTTTTGCACATTAGGCTTCCACGCCGCGGGGGCGGGTGGGATCTAGACAGGGACTTCTCCCAAACCGAGAGGTCGGGCGCGTGGTTGGCTCAACGGTTCGCGAACGGATTCTTCGCCTATTTGCATTCTCACGGATTCTGCCCCAAGCTGACGGTGTTGGTTGTCGGGTGCTGTTTGACCCTCCCGTTCCCTCGAGACCTCCAAGAGGATGAATGGATCTTTCCACGGCACTGCTTCGTCAAGGGCTATCAAATGGACGTCTTGAACAGAAGTGCAGTTGTTGGGGTCCAGGTCCCTGCGTACATGGTTCGTGAGCTCGAACCAGACTGCAATTTGCTTCATTTCGACCCTGAGTGTGAATGGTGTGAAGGGTTTCCGAAGACCCCGCACTGGGTATGATTGAGATGAGACGAAGACATACGCATGAATTTCGGGCCGGATTCACTACAGGAGAGTGGGATGGGACGCATGTCTCACATCGTGTAGCTAGTAATGTCAGGATGTTCGTTACCTGTCGAGTCACTTCAGCATCCTTACCTCGATCAGAATAGCTATAAGCCTACTCGGAGCTACACAATACATCCGGGAATAATTCTTGCAGTATGGTCCTGGAGCGGCTTCCAGTGTTGACTGGGTTGCATGTGACCTCGCGTTCGCGCGTCGCTGAGTAATGATCTCTTGGCGAGCGCAATTTCTCGGAGCGGGCGCTGAGAGCTTCTTCTTCGTTCCCGTCATCACCAACCCGCAAATACCAACGACGACACGTCGAATGATCAAACGTTACTGGTTCTCAATCCTCCCCGTAGCGGTCGAATTGATTTTATCGGCTTTACTGGGCACGCGGGCTCAGCAACCACAACAATCCAAACCTCTCTAGTTCTCAATCCTTCTCGTAGGAGTCGAATTGATTTCGCGCTTTACTGAGCATGCGAGCCCAGCAGGCACAACAATGCTCTCTCTACCCTCTGATATCCACCTTTTGATACTCGATTATGTTAGTCTCCCGTTGGTTCTCGTGATTACAAGCTCACGTTATCTGACACGCCGAGGTAGATAACGCTGAAGTCCGATCTGAAATCGCTTTGTTCGACGTCTAAAGGGCTTCGGGCTCTTGCGCTTCCGCTGCTGTACGAGAGCATTACGATTGCTACTCGAGATTCGGATCAACAGCGCCTTCTGAGATTCATCAAGTGCGTTGCTGCTGGCGCTGGCCTTCACTTACGCCATACGAGAATCTTGACCTTCGACGATACGAACGCTCCCGAGGAGCCGTATTCGCAGCAGATTGGGCGCCTCAACTTCGATCCCGATTTCCGCTTGGACAAAGAATATACAAGCGAGGATGTAGATGGTATAATGCACGCAATTCTGGTCTCCATTCCGGAGAACACTCTCCATACCTTTCGGTAAGTGTGCACCCAGCCTCTACCAACTATTTGGCGTGCAGCTTTCCGTCCCGAGCGGAGTCGTTTTCTATCTTTGCGATCGGAGATTGATAGAAATGAGATAGGTTCATTTCAGATCGGGCGATACCAATGAAGGTACTCCGTCGCCTCTATTTGGTTCAAAGCAAGATCCGCCACCTTTGCGCCAGCTGGGGTGATGTAACCGTTCCTCGTCAACACTGGCTCACGATGCCACCGGGTCGGCTACGATCCCTCGATGTTTTCTTCACAGACAATGATAGCATCGGCCACGTGTTGCAATACTTGTTAGATTCCGGGACGCAGCTAGAGCGGCTTGCCTTAGGAGGAGCAGAGACCAGAAGTACGGATGTTCTGAAGTGGCACCTACAGGGCATGAAGGACGATAAACGACTTTCAAACCTCAAGGAGCTGACACTGAACAACTTTTCTCTTGAGAGTATATACACAGCTATCGCCGACATCATCGACTTTACTGCACTGGAGAGGCTAACGTTGTTCGGTTGCGAAGAAGCAGACCTATTTCTTGAGGAAATGGGCACACAAACTCTTGGTGCTGCACTATCACTCAGGCACCTGGCTGTTCAGGTGCAGGATGACACATGTCTTGAAGACATACTGGATTCCTGCTCCAATCTCATGAGCCTACATCTCCGGTGGGAGGATGACGCCGATCCCTCGGCTCTTCTAGGACGACTAAGGGACTTGGGATCTTCTCTTCGCACTCTCGCTCTACACCAAAACCGGGAAGATCCTCCTCCTGACGAGTGGGATCGGATTTTGTCATACTGTCCAAACTTGCGACAACTGGGATGCCAATTATCCACATACGTTTTCGATCCTAACGAATGGTGCAATGACTTCCCAGAGGTACTGGTATGTTTGAGCTGTCTCCCTTTTGAACTCCTGTTTTACCTCCCGAGTGTCAGATCTTCATGACAGGCTAACAGACAAAAGGATGCTTTAGGGCAGCTCCCAGACCTTCGCATAGTGCACTTCCGCTACGTTCGGTTCGAAGAACTCGCAAGGTTCGAGTGGCGCGACTTTAGGAAACCAAGAGAGATCACCTGGGAAGTCCAACGATTCGCGAACGGCTTTTTCCAGTATTTGGACGACCGCAACCTGTGTCCAAAGCTTAAGGCCCTTGCGTTTGGTGTGAACTGGACTCCGAGACGTCCGCTGGCCGCCAATGAGTATAGCGTGCCCCGGCATTGCTTCATCAAGGGGTGGCAGACAGATGCTTTGAATCGAAGAACTGCGATTGCGGTTCCGGTGCCCACGTACAGGCTTCGCGAGCTTGACCCGGAGCTAGATATTCTGGACTTTGACCCTGAGTGCGAGTGGGTGGGTGGTCTGCCAGGACGGTTCCTCCATAGGTAGAGCTGGGCGGCGTCAGTGAGCGGGATCGTTTCGGCTCGTTGAATAGCCTCCCGTGCGTATCGACCCGCGTCGCTCTGATTTCTAATTGAGGCTAGAGAGTCTGCTTTATTGGGGTTTCGATTGTGTCCAGAACGCTCAACCCGGAACAGAGACATGAGGCATGTAGGCGAATGATGAACAAACGGTGTGACGGGAAGGGTCTGCTGCCTCGACGACGAGGCACCGTCAGTTGCTCTGCCAAAAAGCTCTCATTCCTCTCTGAGTGGAGAAGGGGATACGTCGGGACGGAAAGAGATGGTGCGGGAGGACGTGTTTGGCTGCAGCCTACCTCCAATAATGGAGTATGACCCCTCTGACGAACGCTGGCATATTAGTATCCCTAGAAAGGCCTCGATTCCATTTTTGACCGTTGACATTGCGGCGGACATAGCACTGACGGGATTCTTATCCACTTGCTTCGCCCTGTTATGAGGCTAAAACGCTTCCCAGCAAGCGCCGTCTTCCAATCGAGGTTCCGTCATCTCAAAGGCAAGCAGATTGCTTGAGGCGCGGTCTGCTTCTCGTTCGGTCCTTGAAGAACTTCCAAGCACATACCCCACGCTCCGTTGTCGGAGTTCTATCATTTAGACGCATCGACCGATTTCGTTTTACCGGCGATGCCGCTGTGAAGAGACGTATCCTTCTACATCGGTTTTCGAACCTATCATCCTCCGAGGAAGACGAATACGCGCTCCGATTCCCGAAGAAAGTGAGGAGGATATGTATAGGATGGAAACAGTCGTCCCTGAACTCTCTTCCACTAGATATGCGTTCTCTCTCATCACGTCAATGTTTGGGATCCACGTTCGCGTGCTCACCCATATGACGCTCAATGATGACGTCATTCACGTTCATCCGTGTTCATAAACACCCGCCGACCCTCAAGCATCCGGCACTCCAAATCGATTCTCCAAAACCGAAAAACGAAACAAAAACACAGTCAAACACCACCTAACACGCCTCAAAAAAACCAATCTAAGCCACAAAAATGTCCCCCAACCAGAACAACCAAAACGCAAACGCACCAGGCCTCGTTGCCGGCCACGCCCAATACGTCAAAGCCGTCGCTGAGGTACAGTAACAATCTCCTATCTCTCTTTTCCCATTCCACCCTAGCCTAACCTTCCCCCCTTCCTCCTTCTCCGCCTTGGACACTCTATCTCACAAAACGCGCAGGAGACCATCGGCAACGTAACCGGCAGCCACGCCTGGAAGTCCTCAGGCATGCAGGACAAAGAGCAAGCCGTCGACGCGATGAAGACGGCGGGCGAGAGCAGGGACGCGAGTAAGGGGTTTGGCGGCGTGGAGGAGAAGGCGGGGAATTTGGTCGGGTGTGAGGGCATGCAGAAGGAGGGGGCGGAGTCGAAGAAGCAGTAGGTGGATGCGTAAATCTATGGGCTTTGCATATCCGTTAGACACAGAGTATATTGATTCATGAGATATACGTAGGAAGTCTTAGGCTGGGTTGGTACAAAGTTATGCGTTTAGCCGCGTTCTAAGTGTAGACCACTTATCCGCTATGAAACTTGCCCGATTGGGCAAACTTTAAGTATTTCAGCCTCTTCATCGTAGATTTCCCAGACTTTGAGTCTGAGTCCTTGCTGTCGACAACGAGGCTCAGCAGTCGCTATAACAACATGCGCAAACAAGAGAGCTCAGCGCCAACGAAAGCTCCCTTAGCTCTCTTACCTCTTTGCTCACGCAGTCTACTCTCCATCAATACTGTGGAAATCAAAGATACAAAAAGCAAAAGTCGTTCGGAGTGTTCAAGAGATGAGACCGGACTATACACAGACAGACGAGCTTGAATTCAATCCATCTGCGCCAGCCAGCTAACCAGCCAGCCAGCAATCTGCATCTCGTACTCCAGCAGATTTCGAATTTTCAAAGATCCTTCAAGTCTCTAACACTAACCTTTGTACTTCCATCTTCCTTATCCATGCAATTCTATGCGCTTTATCATCTTTCTATTGCATTCCTTTTCATTCTCTTCAACTACAATACTCTTTCAAACGCTCTCGATGAATCGTCCATATTCGTGCTTTCTTTTCATGCAAAACAAATTTCCAATTTTCTCGCAGTCATATCGCATTGCATTTTGTCCGTAGTCTTGTAATTCTTCAGCGCGCTTCATTTTACAGTTACTTATTTACTACTATCTACCACCTTATCCTAGACAAAACATAACACAACACAACACAACTCTCCACTTGTGCGTTTCATGTTAAAGTCAAGTTAGGCGAACGACCTCGGAATGCACAAACGAGCGACCTAACCCAAACAAGAATAAGCCACAAACAAGGGGTCCAGTGGGGTTGCATACATACAAGGAGTTGTTGGACCTCGGTACAAACATCAACCGTACTAGCCTTACAAATCAACTTAGAGACTTATTTGTGAAGAGCGCAACGCACACCTCTTCTACAATTGAAGTACAAGATAAGAATCAGATTCTGATAAATAGTTCTGGAGCGAATTTTGTTCGGAAGGAGGTAGTATTTGTTGGTAGTGCAATTTGCAGTTGTGTAAGAGACGGAAAAGGAAAGAAAGGACGTACGGCCGCCTTTGGAGAGAGATCGATTGATTGATCGAGCAGAGCAAGCAGCAGGACCAAAAACAATCTTCGACATCCCGAGAAAGACGCCCACCAGAAACTCCAGAACCAGCCAGCCATCAATCACCCCAGGAACGCAATCCCATCCCATCCCACGACAACAATGGCCCCTCCAAACCTCAACCAACCAGTCCCCTACCTCCCCTACTTCACCCCGCAACACATCGTCTCACCAGGCACTCCCTTCCCCCCATCCTCTTCCTCAAACTCCTCCAACTCCAACTCCCATCAACAACAACAACCCCCGATCCCCACGCTCTTCACCCCCCTCCCCATCCGCAGCACCACCCTCCGCAACCGCATCGCCGTAGCCCCCATGTGCCAATACAGCACGGCCTCCCGCGGGCCCTCCACCGGCGCGCTAACCGACTACCACATCGCGACGCTGGGCCACTACGCGCTCAAAGGCGCCGCCCTCGTCTTCGTCGAAGCCACCGCCGTCCAGCCGCACGGCCGCATCAGCCCAAACTGCCCCGGCCTATGGAGCGACGCGCAGATCCCCGCGCTGCGGCGCGTCAGCGACTTCGTCAAGAGCCAGGGCGCGCGCAGCGGGGTGCAGCTCGCGCATGCGGGGCGCAAGGCGAGCACGGTCGCGCCGTGGCTAGTCAGTCGCGAGCCGGGCGTGAAGAAGATGAGTGTGCGGGCGACGGCGGAGGTGGATGGGTGGCCGGGGGAGGTCGTGGGGCCGATGGGGGGCGAGGAGTGGACGTGGGATGGGAAGCGGTCTTCCGATGCATCGGGCGGCTTCTGGGCTCCGAGGGCGCTGACGGAAGATGAGATCGCGCAGCTGGTGCGGGACTGGGCGAGCGCGGCGGAGCGAGCTGTGTGGGCGGGCGTCGATGTGATCGAGATACACGCCGCGCACGGCTACCTGCTGCACCAGTTCCTCTCGCCGATTACGAACCAGCGCAGCGACAAGTACGGCGGGTCGTTTGCGAACCGCACGCGGCTGCTCGTCGAGATCATCACTGCGATCCGGGCCGTCATCCCCGCCACGACGCCGCTGTTCCTGCGCATCAGCACGACGGAGTGGATGGCGGAGACGGCGCTGGGCAAGCAGCACGGCAGCTGGGACGTCGACAGCTCGATCCGGCTCGCGAAGATGCTGCCAGGCTTAGGCGTCGATCTGCTCGACTGCAGTAGCGGGGGGAATCATCCGCAGCAGCGCATCCAGATGTACGACTCTAAGGACTACCAGACGCGCATTGCAGCGCGCATCCGCGCCGCGGTGCAGAAAGACGGGCAGCAGCTGCTCATCGGCGCCGTGGGGTTGATCACCGAAGCAGAGCAGGCGCGAGATATCGTCGAAGAGGGCGGCGCTGCGCGCTTGGCTAACGGAAACGGAGACGGCGGCGGGGAGATAGACAAGGAAGCGCAGGCTGCGGTGCAGATGACAGAGGCGCGCGACGGGAACGCGCCGATGGCGGATGTGATATTGGTGGCGCGGCAGTTCATGCGGGAGCCGGAGTGGGTGTTGAGGGTTGCGTGGAAGTTGGGCGTGGATATCGCGTGGCCGAATCAGTTTTTGCGGGTGCGGTTTCCTAAGCTTTGATCGCGCTGCAGTTTGATTGAGGATTGGACGTGCTTTACAATAGATGGGAGTGTGATGATGCGAGGATATACTTTGTTAGCCTGTTGGTAGGATCATAGACTCAGTACATATACGGCAAAGAGTAGATCTGATAGCGTAAACAAGCCATATTTGCGCATGCCGCAGTAGACCAAATCATTCAGCCTCTAATGCACGCCGAAGAGCTCTAGAAATACCCGCCCGAATGGCTTCGACGGACTGAGTGCGGCCCAGTTATATTCCAGTCAGTGTCAAATTAGATCCCGTCATGTCTTCAATACGTGCTCGGAAACACGCTCAACCTTCCACCATCCGTTACTTGCACCGTACCGGAAATATACGCGCCTCCCTTGCCCACCAGGAACAGCATCAGTCCCGCGATATCATTGAGGTTGCCCATCCTGCCCTGAGGCACCTCGTTTGTGCCATATTTCCCATCAGCCCCCGCCGTCATGTCACTCGGATACGGCCCCGGACACACGACGTTACTCCGAATACCCCACTCGCTTAGGAAGCTACTCATCATCTTGCCGAGATGCGCGGCTGCGGACTTGCTCGCATTGTATGCAAGCCCAGCGGTGCTCTTGCGCATGAACGAGGCCACGCTGGCGATGGTAATGATGTGCGCCATGCGGTCGTCATCCAGGTCTGCGCCGATCTCCTCGAGCTTCGATTTATCCTGCTGGCGCGGGTTTCCGGAGCCGGTGACCTTGCCCGACGCCCAACCACGACGTGTGTTCGCAGCTTCGAGCAGCGGGAGGAAGGCTGCGCTGACGCCGATGACGGATTGCGTGTTGATGGCCATCGCAGCGGGCCAGCCTTCCCAGTCCTTCAGCATAGTGTCCCGCAGTTGCTCGATCGACTCCGCTTGGTATAGCTGTAGCCCGTTCTGAGGGCCCGTGACGCCGGCATTGTTGACGAGCACGTCTACATATCCTGCTTCTTTAGCGACTTGTGAGGCAGCGGCCGACACGGACGATTGATCGGTGATATCGCAGGATATAGCGGTCAATGTGCAGGGCACGGCATGCGGTGCGTCGGTGGAGGACTCGAGGGTCTTGATCGCGTCTTGCAGGACGTTTGCGCGGCGACCGAGGAGATAGATGCGCGATGCGCCGTTCTGGTAGAGTGCGGCTGCTATAGCCAGGCCGATTCCTGCAGCAGTGAGCGCTGGCTTGGATGCTTGTGTGCAAGATTGCAAAGTTGCTTCGAGGTGGTGCGAGCGAGGCGGGGTAGCTCGAAGCTTTAAAAGACGTACCACTTCCGCCGCCGGTGATGACCACCACCAGTTGGCGCGCAGAGAAAAGGTGCGCGGTATTAAGAAGAGCCTGGACGTCCATGTTCATTTTGTCGGAGATTGCCGCGGGTTGAGGATTAGGGGTTTTCGTTGGAAGAACGGTATAGATAGCGTGGGAGTGAGTCTGAGTCTGTCGATATCGGTATTTTTTACCCCCGAAAGCAAGGGTCGTTCCTGCAGATATGCCGTCATGGGCCGAAGGACGCCACGGATCGCTGTAAGGCGGAGAGAACGCCGTCCGTAGCAGAACAAGCTTGGTATAAGGACGCCGTGAACTCTATGCACCAAGATACGAGCCGATAGGTGATTGTGGTACCATTGACTGACAGATTCGTGAGAAAGGGGTATCTTGCTTGCCCGAAGAACCTCCAAACGCCTAACTTTTACCATGCTCCCAGGAAAAAGAGAATCAAACCATGCCGCCCACAATCTTCAGTCCCTGGCTATCCGCCGAATATGCCAGCACATACCGACACGGATGCCACGCCACATGCGCCGCCGCCTGCGTGAGATCAATTGAATGCACAATCTCTCCGCTCTCCACATGCGCAATATGTAGCTTCTTCTCGTCCTTCTCCTCAGACCCGGCCGTGATGTAGCTCCCGTCGAACGAGAAATCCACGCTCTTCACAGGGTAGAACGTGAGGTCCAATGTGCGCACGCAAATCCACTCCTGCGTGTCCCACACCGATACCAAAGCATCACCTCCGCCCGCTGCTATGTATTCTCCGCTCGGCGACATGGTGACGGCGTAGCACGAAGAGGTATGCGCATTGAGCGTGAGCGCGGTCTCAAAGGACGGATAGCGCAGGATCTTGATGTAGCCGTCGCCGTTGGTGAGGTAGAGGTGGTCGCCGGACCAGTCGATAATGCATTGATTCGTTTGAACCGCTTGACGGTGTTCCGAGACAGTTTTGAGGGCGACGCGGTCGATTTGCACGATGACGTTGTCCTGTCTCCATTAGCATCCCATCGCTGTCTGGACCGCAGGGACCCAACCTTGCGCCCAGCCACAATCTCATTCCCATCCGGCGTCCAAGCCAGCACGAAAGGCTGCTCGCCGACCCTGACCTCCCCCACGCTGGCCTTCGATCTCACGTCCCAGAACCGGACCATTCCGTCAGTACTGCAGCTCGCCAGCTCATTCTCGTTGATCGGATGAAATGCGACGCGCTCGAGGGATACCGTCGCCGGTGCTCCGGGTGTGCGCAGCTCGGTGGAATTCTTGACATTCGTCTTTTCGGGGTTCCATATCCGCAACGTCTTGTCTGCGGCGCCTGTCGCGATGAACGTGCCCGTAGAGTTCCAGGATAATGTGCGTATGTAGTGGGAGGAGGATACTGGAACTCCGGGCCGGAGGTTGTCAATGTAGATGGACGTTTTGAGCTTCGAGAATGCCGGAGAAAAGAGACCTTTGGAGAGCGGCCGAGAGCGCTGCGGGGCCATGATGTGGAGCGAAGGTCTATCTCAACCCAATTTGTTCCTTGCAGAATACCTTTGGTGTTGAAGGCGAGTGAGGAATCGAGGCTTTCTGCGCGTGTAAGCTCTGAGGGAGGGAAGCTTGGATGCAGTTGAGGAATGCCAAGGAGCGAGGGTCTACTTCGTACATGGACTCCTTCGCCTATGCCATTTCACCAAATATCACCTATAACAACTTGCAATTCACACTGAAGTCACAGGTTCTTGTACGATGCTGCATTCATCAGCTAAAGCACTGCTATTAGGCTACCAGGCAAGACAGCCTCCTCCCATGCCAGCTAGGAAGCCATGCCCCCACCGGAACGCCAAAAGACGGAACTCAACCCCTCCACCAGCTGACTAGACATAATCCGTCATAATCTCCCTATCCCTCCATTAGTACAAGGAAACGCTTCCTCCACCTCAAACAACACCATCCTCAATCCAAACCAAAATCTGCATATCCAACCTCACCATCCGCTTTCCCATCCCGAATGCATTTGGCCCTGCCACCACCGAGTCATACAATCAAAAACACAAGGAGCGCTAGCCTTGTAATTCAAGGCGCAGTAGAACTCGCACTTCCTCATAGCTTGCTGGTGGGGCGCGCCGTTGTAGGAGTTTCCTAAATTGGGGGTGAACAGGAGCCTGGATGCCTTGAAGGAGGTGTACATACCTGGTGAAGGTGGGAGCTTTGGTCCGCTAGTGGTTAGTTGCTCTCCTACGCTCGTGGGCTTATCGGTAGCCGAGGAGAGCTGAGGGCTGGTCTGGGAGTCTTTGTGCGCCGTGCTCGGTGCAGCCATGGTCTCCCTTGTTATGATTGTCGGAGGTGTATGGGTCTGAGGCATGTCAGGACCCATTCTCAACTTCACCATGCTCGGGAAGGGCGTAGGGCTGCCAGTTGAAATCGCCGTCGATTCAGGAGTGGTCTTTGAGGGCGACGACGTCTTAGAGTGCTCTCCAGCATCGGTGGCTCCAGAAACCGTATGGGACGCTGGCCTCCTGAAAGACTTCCGGCCCGACCTTGCGGATGACGAAGGAACCCCCGTAGATCTCCGAACTGGAGACGTCTTCGATGGCTCTTCGGCATTCGTGGGCTTCTGAGGGACTCCGGGAAGCAGGGTCTCTGTCAAGTGCCGAAGCGTATGTGTTACGGATAGCTCTCCGGCGTTTGTGCCCTCCTCGGTGGCCACAGGCAGCCTAGACATGTTGTGCGTTCCCATGATCACCGTCTTGATGCTTGTGATCGTCACTGTTCCGTCCATGGCCGACGTGGATGTACCGGTGGATTCTGCGGGGATTGTCGTTTCTATGATGACTGTGGTCGTAGTCCAACCTCGAGCTGGCGAAAGTGTGCTGGAGGGCTTCTGAACCCCCGATGTCTCGTCGATGTCGATGTCGGTAGTCGGCGAAGGGATCGGAGTGAGAGACGATTTATGCGGAGTACCAGACGCGGACAGGGAGAGGCTAGGAGCGGTGTGGACGATGGTGTCGATAACCGCCTGTGTGCCTTCGCTCGAAACAGGGATAGAGGAGGTATGCGTAGGCATGTCAAGCTCGGTAATATCTGCTGTGAGCGTGGGAGCCGGACAATTGGTGGTGATGGTGGTGGTAACGTAAACCGTTGGCTGAACGCATTGCTCGCTCGAGACGCGTGTTATCAGTTCGACCGTCGTCGTTGGACTCGTGCTGAAGTGGGCCGTTGACACGATTGAGACTAGGCCGATGGCCATGAAGAAGGCGTGGAAGTGCATCTTGAAGTGCCGAGAGACGTCGTGCTTCCTAACGATATCGAATTGATGTGGGAGAGATGAAGCTCAGCTGAAGAGGAGAAGTTGGATGAGCGAGAGCTTTTCTGAGAGAGGGCAGCCATCGTTGCTCCTTCTGCAGGCTCCTATGGCAGTGGCTCCTAGGATATGAGCGAGTAGCTATTGCACGCCCTGATTGTGAGAGGGGAAAGCGCAGCTGGAAAAGGCATCATAGGCCCAAGTGGGCATGGAATACGGGACCCTGAACGTCTTCAATAGATGATCAGTGTGCAATGCTCTTTGCAGTTTATGCTGGCTTCACCTTTGCAAAGCTTTTGAGAAGGGTATCCCCCAGCTTGGTAGACTCGGGTTCCTTTAACAGGATCGATGTATTCGATCAACCCACGCGTGACGCACCAGTGTAGGTCAAAACAGCACTCCAAAAGGCTCCGGACTCCGGAAGAAGCCAAAGTATCCGCCGCTGGAGACTTTCTGGAGTGGCGCTTCAGAGCGCATCTACGACAACTTCGAGCAACAAATCAAGCGCAAGAGAACATCAACTAACCTTACCAGCACCGGCAACACTTGCATACCCTATGCGCACTCAACCAAGAAAATAGGTCCGAAGCGACCTCATGCCAGAGACTACCAGAACTCCTTACTGCTTGTCACAACTCTTCCTGCAATCGCTCCTAACTTTGCTCGTCTTGCAGTCCTTCGCCGACAGCTTTACATCCTTCACGAAAAAGCACTGCTGCTGTTTCTTCTCCACGCAAGATTCGGCGCACGTCTTGACCGGAGCACCCTGAGCCTTGGCCTTCGCATCGCGCTTGCCGACCATCGCATCGAAGGCAGAATCGATCAGCTGATCGTAGCTCGCCCCGCCAGCCCGCTGTTGCGCCAAATCATTCTGCATCGCGGCCATTCCGGGAGAGCTGAGGATGTCCTGGACTTGCTGTTTAATAGCAGAGCTGTCTCGTTTTCCTCCGTTCGGCTGGGATCCTGTGGCGCCGTTGCCGAGCGACATCTCGATGTCGTCGAGGAGGCTGTCGAGACCACCAGGGATGTTGTTGAATACGTTGTCGAATTGGTTGGCCTTCGTTTTGTGGTTCTGCTTTGACGGTTTCGGCGGGCTCTTGAGCTTCTTGTGGGACTTGTGCGAGCCTTTGGGGTTTGCGGCACTGGCGAAGATGGCAAACGCGGCAAGGAAGACCATGAGGAGAAGTTGAAGCTTCATTTTATGTTGGTGGTTTGAGGTATCGAGGGGTGGAAGTGGTTTCTAGACTTTGAGGCTTTGGAGAATATGTTTCAAGTCGGTTTCTGTAGAAGGGGAAGAGAATACGAAAGAGACACTGCGGTTTTGTCGCCAATTTGTATTTGGAGAACGGGAGAAAGAAAAATTGTACTTCTCGCAGTTTGGTATTCGGACCATGTTGGTGAGGATCTTAGGCAGGAATAGTGGGAAGTACTAGGGGAAATCTTCTTAGAATTGACAACTCAACACCTACGAAGTGTGGTGCGGACCCCAATTGGAGAAACCGTAGCGAAATGGTTAACATGGTCGAACTCAAAAGAGTAAAGTATAGGGGAGGTGTCGATTTGGTTTCTGTACAAGATAGCCATGTGCGACAAGCTCAGTCGAGCAGGTCGGAGCAGTATTGGTTTACGACTCACGGCGAGGCGATGAGGTCGATCAGGGACGATACGCGCGATGCGCGTCATCCCGAACGGGCAGGGATAGTGAATGATCATGCATGCGCCGCACAGACCACGCGGGTGGCCCGCGCCGGCTTTATTTCGAGCTCACTCAACCCAAAAAACTCACCAGACTGCTCATCACTACCATTGACACCGCACCCCGCCTTCCTTCCATTCGGCCGAATTGCCCTGAGAGAAACAAGGTCATACTCCTCCTCCACAATGAGTACTTTTGGAGGCCCCGGTGGTGGACAGAAAATCCAGAAGCCCACTCCGTATGTTCACCTCGGCTTTCGCACGCAGCTTCACCATCCCTGCTCTCTCACTTGCGCATTTCAACCACCTAGAGGGGCATATGCTAATCCGCTACATTCTACAGTCCCGAGCGAGGTTCCTTTCCTCTCGATCACGACGGTCGGTCACTCCACTTCCCACCCCGGCCGAAGCAACCTCTACCGTTGCCGCAAAACACCAACCATCCGGTCGGCCTCAGCAGCTGACGATACATTCCAGGCGAATGCAAGCACATCATGGCATCGTACCTCAGATGCATCAAATCCCACCGCGGGACAAACGACCCCGAATGTCGCAATCTATCCAAATCTTACCTTTCCTGCCGAATGGAGCGGTACGTACCGGCGCATTCCTTTGTCCAATCACTCCAGCTCTCCGGCCGCACACACTTCGCCTCCACCCCGATATACCATGTCTCAAGCCACCTTTCTCCATCTTTCAAGCAAGGGAGGGAAAAGGCCTTGTGATACCACCCTGTCAAAGTGACTTCGACCGGGTATTCGGGACGCTTCAGGACAGCTAGAGGCGGTGGGGGTCGGCTATAAAGCAAGGGAGAGTTCTCACGACCCTTCATTCCCCCTCTTGTCAAGATCTGAAACGCAGCATCCAGCCGCATCTGGCGCAGCTGTCAGATGGGCGCATCCCCTACCTCATTCGTCCAAATATCCTCCGATGTCGTCCACCACTCCACCCGCCTCCACATATCTCAGCGCCTCCGACAGCACCCGCTCCCCGCTTCCTTCTGTCACACTGCCTCGGAAGCAACCGAGCAAGGCTCATCACTTCCCAAAATAGCTCTTCCTAGTGACTGCGCTGACCTTTTCTGTCGTATCGATAGGAACCTCATGGCCCCTGACTCATTCAAGAATCTGGGCTTCGGAGACGACGCCGATGCTGCCTCATCCGCGACTGTAACCTCATCACAACAGCAACCGCAATCGCAAACACCTGATAAACCACGGACATCCTAGATAGGCCGACGTACCATCGGAATGAAGGGTCCCAGGTCTCCTGGTCTGCGGTTCGGCAGCATCCGAGCAACCGAGACCTGGCCGTCCCCACATTTCCTGCTCTTTCTCCCCAGCGCTTCCTCCTGCAGTGGCCCGCATATCCGAGCCCCGCGGGGACAAGAATGCGAAAGGATCAAGAAGGTGCTGCAGATTTGACAGGTTACATCACATTGAACCATGCAGCATCGCTGTCTCATCTCCAAACGAGACATGGGCTGAACAAAGGATTGGGCTCGTTGAGAACGGATGCTGGGGAGAAGGGACGCAGAAGAGAGAATGAGGAAAGACAAGTGGAGTGACAGCTTGACAACATGCTGTAAACGTTGAGGTACCCGGGCCCACTGTACCAAGTGTCGCTACGCGGCAGCGCGAGCACGACAGCAGACGGGTGAGCCACAAGTACCCTTCCCGCGCAGTACGAGCGCAGCACATAAATAAATGCATGAGAGACTTCAATATTGCATAGCCACAATTTTCGACCTTCACATGCCCTGCACTCTTCACACCCATCCCTCTCCGCTAACGCAGAGACGACAGCAGCGCCTCCTTTGCCCGCACATCCAACTGAGACACGGCATCATCCTTCCCCAACAGATCTAGAATAGATCAGCAACCCGATCGTCGGCCGATGAGTGTAACGTCGCACGGCGCCCCCGTCCCACCCCACTAGGCCGCCCTGCCCGCAACCGAGCCCCAACTCAACTCAACTGACTACAGCCAACCCGCCCCGGTGTCGGCAGCGTTTGCGTCGCGGGCTTGAAACGGCGCGTGCGGCCGGACGATATGTGGTGGATGGTGACGTCGGGGGCTTAGGCTCTGGTGGTGGGAATGGGTGGGGTTGTGCGAGGGGTGGGTGGCAGATGATTTGAAGAAGCATGTTTGTGTGGGAGAGCGGTGAGGGTTAGGGGGTAGGGCAGAGGGGAGAGACCGGTTTGCGGCAGGCAGGCTGGTTGTGAGGAGGCGCGGCGTGCAGGATGCATTGCAGGTTGTTGAGATGCTGCGCTTAATGGGGGTCTTATTATTGGATTGGTAAGGCGTTCGCATTGCATTATGTGCGCGGGGAATTGTTTGGAGGGACGGGATCGCGCGTTGCGTTGCGTTGCGTTGCGCGGCAGGTGTCTGTCGTCAAGGGACTCTGTTATCTTCATCTTTCTATTCTTATGCATGTATCTATCCGTCTTGTCATGTCGAACGAATCGTAGCACGATCTAAAACACGGCAGGTTTCCGAAGAGCGGAGAAGAGAGAGAGATGTTGAGCATTCCGTTTCGTTTCGTTTCGTTCCTTTCGGATCTATCCATTAGCGCAGCGCAGTGTTTAGTTTAGCTCTCTCCGCTCTCCGCTCTCCGTACAACAGAGAACAGACGCTATAATAAGCCCCCCTTTACTCTTCCTCTTACACGGACACACGAACACAACAGAAAGTTAAATCTGGCACACGCACACAAGCAGACCAGTAGAGTAGATTAGACTAGCGCAGACCGACCGTATCTGAGACCTACCTAGTCACACAGTACAGTGCACAGCGTGCGGGCGGGCGTGCGCTGCTAGATAGACTAGGCTCCGACCAAACTAAAGAAGTTTCGTCTCCTCTGGTGGATAGAATGGCATGGGATGGTCACGGGCGGGTTATATATGACGCGCATATGCATACCTATGCAGGTAGATGCAGGCGTACAGGATAAAGTACAAAGGCCGGGGAAGTGCGCCTCGCATCTAAGCAGAGAGACAGAGAAGCCTATACATGTCTTAGACGGCAGACCGGAGGGCTTGATATAGATACAAGAATCTTAGTACTGCCAGGCTTCCTTTGTTCCGCCTTCCAGCATCTTCCGCACTCAGTTCCGCGCTAAGATCTGCCTCGTAGGATAGCGGGTTTCTTCCGCTCGTCGTTAAGGTGGAGTGGTATATAGAGGTGAGGCGGGGAGAGGAAGGGGTAGGATATGGGTGGATGGGCGGAGGGATGGAGAGGAGGGGATGGAGATATAAGCGGGAGTCTCTTCCCTCCCCTCCTCCAAAACCTTCAGTACGCAGTTAGTTAGCCAACCAACCAACCTACCTACCCACCCACCCACCCACCTAACTATTTCCCTGCCTGCCTTCCTAATACACAATCCCAGCCCCGACTAAAGCTGGGCTTAGGTCCACTTGTCGGTCGTCGTCAGGCAGTACATGTTTCGGCTTCCACTCCCGCTTCCCCCCACCTTCCTTCGGTGACCCGATTGAGACTTTTCCGCAAAGGCAGACAGGCAGTGACTGATTCACCTCAACTCATCTCAACCCAACCCAACCCAACCCCGTGACTCACAAAGGCGTGGGCAGGGGTTGGCGGGATTGCGATACAGCGCAAAGTGAAGCGAAGCGAAATAAGAATAAAGCTGCCTTCTCCAGCGAGTCAGTCAATCAGTTGCAAGACAAGGCGAGACAACACAACACAACACAAGGCTGTAGCAATTGTGGTGGTGGCTGTTCAACATCAGTGACGCTACTGCGTACGTGCAGGGAAAAGCGACTTCCGCATAAACCAAGGAGGCGGAGCAAGTATTGAGTTCGACATCAAAAGGCGCACGTCCGAGCGTAAGGCCGCTGTTTGACGAAGAGGGCGTTGGGCAGAAACGCGAGGCATCAACTCCGGGCACAAGGCATCAGGAAGCACAGATCGTAGGATGAAATGTGTTGAATATCGATAGTATTAGGAAAGATGATGAATCCAAATCCATATCCCGAATGATCCCGTCGAAAGAGGAAAAGCAGATAAGAAAAAAATTCCCGAGAAAAACGCAGACCCATAGGCAATAGAAATCCACCCAGCCATAACCCGTCACGACGATCGCGGCCGTCCGTGACGGGACGGCAGCAATGCGTCGAGCTCCCAGACGCCGCTCAAGCTCCAACCATGCCTCTGCTCGCTGCAGTACAAAGGAAACAAATATTAGAGATATGTGCGGGAGTGGCGATGTGCAAAACCATAAAACATATCCGAACTCGGCCCACCCATGCATTGCGAAAGAAATCCAATCGGAAACGGAAAACAGGGAAAAGGGGACCGCATCGCCAGTTCTACAACAGGAGATGCACATGGCAACCCTGGTAGACGGCGGGAAGCGACAAACATGAAGAAATATCTAAACTCCGCGCCGAGCTGCACAGGCGAGGAACGCCTTCCAGCCTGCCGGCAAGGCTATGCTCGATAGGGGTACTCCGAAGACGCCGTGGATGATGTTGATGATGTTGGTGACGATGATGATGATAATGATGCGGACGGGTCGGTCGAGACATGTTATGCAAGGAGATGGGGATGTCGATGCAATGGGTGCAAGGTCCGTCCGTCTAGTGACCAGCAGAGACGGCGCGAGCCGAATAGACCACAAAAGACGGTAAACAGCGCGTGCGATTGGGAAGCTTCCAAAGACGCGAGGATAGTGTTATCCCTTCGTCCGAGGCCCGGCCCTTGTGGTTTGGAAGTGCACGGCAGTCTATGCGTCTTCCTAGTCTATTAATGAATGCATATGCCGAATGCAAGAACATGTGTTGCGGGGTATCGCCGGGGTATCATGATAGGAAAGCTGACAACGATGCAGAATGTGTCGGCGGCGGCGAAGGAGAATGTGCTCTATGAGCTCAGCCCATGTCCATTCCAGTGTACTCGTCCTCTTCTTTCAAGCTTTGGTTCGACCAGTATTGCTGGGTGCTGTTCGTGTTGGAACCGCTGCCGGTGCTCTGCATGTCTGGACTTAGACTTTGTGGCGAAATTTGGTTCAGGGCTTCGCCGGCAAGGTTCGTGTGCTTGGGCACTCGCAGCCCCGACCCTGGGCCGCGAGAGTACTTGAAGCTGCCAAAGCCGTTCTTCTCCACTGCTTCAAAAAGCTCTGAGCGCATGCGGCGTTCTTCCTCGGTCTGCTCCGTCTGCCACTCCTCACCGGTAAGTTGTCGGAGCCGAGCAGCCATCTCATCAGCCTCCTGCATCTTCTTGTACGAAATCCACATGAGGTCACGGGTCCAGCTGACGGCGCCGTTGAGGATATCACCTTTGTTGGGTCCTTTGTCCTTCTCTTCGATTGGCAGCCCTTGTGTAATGTTACCAGCAGCACGGCGCCCGGTACCGCCGGCCAAGAGGGACGTTGCCTGCGGCGGCGAGAGACCGCTCGCGCCAATCGTTGGTGATAGGGGGCCGTTGTTGTTGATGTGCTTTCGGATCTTTTCGTCCTCAAGGCGATGTTGTGGGACAAGTCGAGACAGGTCGTGGATTCGCTCGTTAATGTTGTCCCTACGACGGCGTTCGACAAGGTTGTGAGATTCTCGTCGACGACGCTTTTTCGCGTCTTGTGTTTGGCCGATATCCACCTTAGTTGGGAGGGAGGCATGCTTGGCCGAGTGCATAACCTCGGAGATTTGTTGGTGGTGCAGTGCCGCAGTATGTGGGGACTGCGTAGGGGAATCGATCCAAGAATGGGAACTCCCGGGCGTGCCGTCCCATTGGCCGGAGACACTCTTCTGATGGCGGTGCATGTTGGTCATGATGGGCTGGGAAGCGAAGTTCCCGGAGTCAGGGGTGCCGAGGTGGAGCCCACCAATGGCAGGAGTCTTGGGAGACATGGGGCTGCGGTTATCGGAACCATTCCTGCTCATGGTCGCCGGCATTCGTTGCCGCATAGCACCGGTCTGCATGCCAGCAGGATACCCCATACGCTGCGGGGTGCTCTGATATTGGTTGAAGTCGAACCCATTGGGATGGACGAAGGGGCTCTGGATGGGGAGGTCGTCAGGAGTGTTTGAGTAAATCTGGTTCATGCTAGGGTGGTTTCCACCGACGTGCCCGCTGTTGGCATTTCCATGAAAGAAGTTCTCCTGCTGGTTCATGTTGTCTTGTCCGAAGCCATCGAATCCTTGTTGCTGGTCAAAGTTCCCGAGGGAATCGGCAAGCTCGTCGTCCGCTATCCCAGCACCACCTGGGATGTAGCTGGCCGAGCCACCAAACTGGTTGCCCATGCTGAGACTACCGCTCATGGTGAGATCGGACGGATTGATGCCACCCGCATTCTCTGGAGCAGAGCTGAACTGTTGATTTCCGAAGGGCTGATTCATGTCGAAGCCACTGTGGCCGATGAAGCGGTTGGGGTTGAACTGCATGTCATCGACTTCTTCTTTGATGTAGGGTGTCGGAGAGCCTGTTCCGGCCATGTTGAAGATATCAGCGTCTAGATTGTCGTCAGAGTGGGAGTCCAATCGAAGGTCCAGTCTCGAGAGTGTTTTCTGAGGAGAGTAGGAAGAAGGAGGAGTAAAAAGCGAGTCCGCTTGGGGGATAGTCAGTATGCCTTCGTAGTGCATGATGGAGACGACAGGAAGGAAAGTGAAGAGCAAAGGAAGTGGAGAAGAGAGGGAAAGTAGGTGGAATATATGGCCGGATAGAGAGTGAGGGTAAATGGAGGTGTGCTCGAAGGGTGTCCTCATGACAAGGAGGGGTGGGGGATGTGACAGAGGCGTACTTACTGGGCGCTGGCATCACTGGAGGTTGCAGTAACCCCGGAATGTGGGTGCGTGAGGCCGGGGCCGATGCTGGTCCCCGTTCTCTAGGATCTGAAACGCACTGTCTTCGACCCAAGCGAGTGACTCCGGAATGCACTCGCCGGCTTGCAGGATGATTGCAGCACGAGACGGTCTGTGACCATATAAAGGCCTTGGAAGGCGATTGCTATGATGCGCGCACAAGATCACTCTAAGCAAGCTCGGCGCGCTCGCTTGCGAGGCTTGATATCGCTAGCAAGCCTTCTGTGCTCTTGAGGGCAAGAGGGTGTTTGTCTGCATAAGAAGCGTTAGCCCCGCAGCTCTCGTAGCAGGAGGCATCTGCACCTCGCTGCCGGGGGTCTCAGGCTCACCGGACACAGCTATCGCGGGCTGTGAGCTTGCACACGCCCAGCAGCGCTGTTTCCCGATTGATCCCCGCGGTGTAGAGCGAGGGCCACCCAAGGGAGTGGATATTGGCGGGGCGTGAATGTAGGGAGGGGTGAGGCGCAGGGAGCCTATTTCGGCGGGACGTCGTCCAGAGGGGTTCAGTGCTCGTGGCTGTGGTTCTCGGGCCGGGCCTGTAAGTAGATGTCAGCGGCGGAGGACCACAGACAGGGAGTGTTGGGGCAGTTGAAGGGCTGGTTGCATAGGTGTGGCGCACAGGCAGGTAACCCGCGAGGCGAGCGTTCGGCGGCTGCTGTGCCTCGGCGTGGTGGGGACGGTGCTACAGACACCCAAAGGAGAGAAACAGTCGGTACAGGCGTAGCACAGCACCAATGCGTCCGTTTGGGGGATGCCCAGGTGGTATGCGCGGCCCAGGCTTGGGGCGCTGGGTGGAGGAAGGAGCGACGGGCGGCGTTGACTCACCTCGCTACGGACCACACAGTCAATCAAAGGCGGGGACTCGCACAGCGGGCCTCGAAGGGCTTCAGCAGGCGTTCGTCCTCCGGATAGATGCCGCGCTCGGAGGGAGCAAACTCGACGAGTGGGGGCGTTCGGACGACGGCGCTCGGTGCCACAGGTTTGTTCTCTTTGAGGGCCGGGTCGGCTCTCGCAGGGCGCAGAGGGAGTGCGGGCGAGGATGCGGCGGCGGCGGCGGGCTCGTCCGGGCGCGCAATTGCAGGAGGGGGTGCGCTTTGAGATGCGGGCGTTGTGCGACCCGGGTGGGTAAAATAGTGATGTGGGTTGGGGAGAGCGGGGGATCTTCGAGTGGGATGTTTCGGCGATAGATGGCTCAATAGGGCGGCGGCGCCTACAGCGGAAACAATGCGCGCTCGCAGCAGCGGTCTGCGCAAGCGTCTGGCGGCGTGGAGAGGGGCCTCAGGGGAGCGACGGGCGAGAGAGGCTGCTGAAATGGGCGGTTCAGGTGTGGAGTGTTGCGCAGCGGTGAAGAAGAGGCCAGCCGGGCCGGCGACGATGGCGCCAAGGGTGGACGGTAGGCGATCGAATGGCAGGCGGCGCAGACACGATCTCCTCGCAGCCAAGCGGAGACGGCAAAAGACGAGCAGACGTCCCAGTAGTGCAGCAGCGCGACGGGGATCGCTGGGCGCTGGCGACAGCCGCCGTGGTACTGCAGACGACGGCGAGATGGCGAGATGGCGGATGACGTACTGGTGCCTCGCGCTGCGGTGCGATGCGGCGCGTACGGTGTGGTGTATGCACTGTAGTCTCGAGAACAGCGTCTGCAGAGATCGCTAGGGGCACGAACGGACAGCAGCGAGCGCAGACAAAAGGACGGTAGTGGTTGGCCGGAGCGATGCGGGAGCGCGCAGTTTATACGCTCTGCTCAGCGCGGCTCTTTCTATCTGACCTCGCCTGTCGCCTTGCCTCCAGTGTGGCTGTCCATCATCCACACCTGCGGCCGCTGAATTACTATGCAGGCCTCCACGACGACGGCCGTCCCCCCTGCGCGGCGGCTTGTTCCCGGACAGGGCGGCCGCAGATGGTCATCCAGAGCGAGAGGAAGAGGAAGGGGACGGTCCCAGGTCTCACATTCCCACAAAGCGCACCAGGAGGGCGCCGGCGGTGACATGACTCACCAGCAAACCGTCGAGCACGGCCGGGCTCGCTCTCCATCATCGCCGCATCATCCACCCTCCGCGCGCGTCTGGTTTGCCTTGGCCTGCCCGGTGTGGGTGCTGCGCAGTTGAGGTCGCGACGACCCCGGCTTTCCGGGAAGGCGGACGGCGCTAACGCGGGCTGGCGATCGCCCAGAGCATCAACGCCGAGCCGACGCAGACTGTGGGCGGCATACCACCTGGCCACACCCTCCCATCTCTCTCCGACAGGCTCCCAGCGAGCACCCCCTCCACCCCTCCGCGACGCTACCCTCCCCAGTGCCCCCTCCGCCCGCCGCTCTGCCCTCCCAGCCAATCGCTGCCGCCACGGGCTGCCCGCGCCGCCTGCCCCCCAGCTCCCCCGGCACCGCATCTGCCTCCGCCAGCGACGCCATTCCGCACGCCTGCGAGAGCGCGTCCTCGTCACAAGCCTCGCGCACCGGTCGCGCTGTCTGAGACCCGTGTCTGACATCTGTCATTGGACGTCTGCCCTTCGCACTGCAGGCGACGCGGTGGAGATCATCTGCACGAAATCCTCCGTAGACAAACGCCGCTGCCCGCTTCGTCGTACCCACCTCCCACGGCCTCACAAGCCACACACCGCAGCCGGGACTCAGGCGTACCGCTGAGGCCGCTTAGCCAGGGTGCCCCCTCCGCGGCAGCGTCCCCAGTGGCGACCTGGGCGCGCATATCTTGTGTCGCCTGCTGCGGCTCCTCGAAAAGCTTCTTCGGTACCGTTCTGCACACCGTGCTCGGCTCGCGAGCCTCTATACACCCTCTCCGTCGCCCGCGGAAACAGGCTTTCCGCTGTGGAAGCCTCCAACACCTCGTGGCCTCGCTGCGATTCAGCACTGTTTGACCAGCAAATATGGCGTCCGCCTCGTTTCGGGACTCGATGAACTCGCTGGGCTGGAGCAGAAGAGACCCAGACGTCCCCGTGAACACTTCGTCGCCCACCATCTTGGGCAGGCTTCAGAACCTGAACCCGTTCGGATCCGGGGGCTATGTTAGGCTCCCGACCTCTGAGAATCCCGGGGCTCCTCTCCCGGCGCCGACGCGAAGGGAGGAAGAAGAAGGGTGGTTTGCGCGTAAGTCCCCTCTTAGTTCTAGGCAGTGGCGAAAGCTGCTGGATTCCTTGAAGCCGTCACTGCCTTCACTGCCTGCACCCCTTTCATTGAAGCGCTACCCTACGATACTCCCCGAGGCATGAAGAGCTGCGCATTGCCATCTTCTATTTCTCGGTGCCATTTGACTTCGCTTGGGTGCCTCGTGATCGCGCCAAAGGGCACTGCGCGAGGCTAGTCTTAGATGCACAGCCAAATTCCCATGGTCCGCGTACGCGAGTTACATGGGAAAACTTGGTGCAGCACATCGCCTTCTTGCCTCAAACTCGCTATCTTTTCTTTGGGGACCCTTTGCGCGTCACCTGGTCTGGGATGCAGCGATCGGCCTTCCAACGGTGACAGAAGGGAGTTCCTGCGTAGATTGCAGGTGGCTTGCATACCCGTTCACCGCCAGCATTCAGTTGAGCTTTGCTAACATTACGTCTCACAGTGAGCCGATGGGACCGCATGCTCGTAAGGCACTCTCGTGGTACGAATGCCGAACATTTGCTAATCGACCGCGACCTCAGGTCTTCGGTGGACTCATGCTTGCAGCCTTGGCAATGTTTGCTACCTGCTTTGCCCTCATGTTTACGCCCGTCTTCCTCGTCAAGCCTAGGAAGTTCGCCATACTGCAAGTTGAACCAGTTTTCCTTTGCCTCCGAGTCAATCAGAGTAGGCCTTGCAGAGCGCCCTGGAGTCGTGAAGTCATATGAGGCAGCGAGGAGTGGCACATACCGCATCCGTACCCCGGCAAAGCTGCGAACTATCATGCAGCCCCTTCAGGGATTTCGACATACCCGCTGCGGTCCTTGATGCACTGCTCGCGGCGTGCAGGCGATCGATTCCGGCGAATGGCAGTCGATGCCCTTGGGGGTGTGCCACTCATGACCTCTCTAGCCACTGGACGATCGGCGTTAGACCCTTTTCGTCGATCGTCATGCGGGTGCTAGCTCCGGCGCGCTGCAGAAGGGCCTACCTAATTCCAACTTCTCTTCGGTCTAGCTCTCCACACATCAGCTGCAGGAGTTCTGAAGCTAACCTTATTGCCTGACTCAGATGGACTATGGGCAGCGTTCTGTTCTTGGCGGCTTGGCCTGTCATGATGGGTCTGCGAGCTTGGGGTACGTTTTTCAAAGCCTCTCGCGATGCGATGATCGCACACATCCTTTCAGCCTGGTGCTAACATTGATTCAACGCAGTGACCCATCTCGCCTCGGGCGCTCGTCTGCCCTTTACGGCTGCTTACTTTGGCGCCATTGCATTGACGCTGTATGCCTCGCTCGGAGTACGTTTGTCCCCTATCCCTGCCATATTTAACACCCCCCGCGCAAACCCTGTCGCACTCCCTTCCTTCGACCCCCCACACTAGGCTTATCGATAGTCGTGTGTCCGTGTTCGCTGACGGTCTGTCCGCGTGATATAGCTTCACAGCACCGTTCTCACCTTCATCGCGTCCATCTTGCAAATAGTCGCCCTCATCTGGTACCTGGTGTCCTATTTCCCCCTGGGCTCCACCGGCCTGCGGTTTGCTGCGCGATTTGGAGGCAACCGGGTCGCAGCCTGGATGAACGACTGAGCCAAGGCAGCGAAACTTGTACGAGTACTGCGGTGGATGTGTAGCTGTGGTACAATAGTATACTCGAGGCAGCGGCGTGCCGCGCGTTCGAACAAACAATGGGTCCGGAAACAGGATACGGTAGTCGAAGCAAACACCTCTCGACCGGGGGTTCCAGAATGGATCAGTCTGGTAATCACGTCGCATTGTCATGCACACCACGATTTCACGCTGAGCATCCTCGTTCTCTGATTGATCAGCAGCAGCCTCACGCTCATGCAGGTTGTAGAAAGATGCGCCACACCAGGGCTTCAGGCCTACAGATTAGTATCTAGCGCACGACTTCTCTTGGAATTCGACCACACTTCCCATCAACATCTTCACTCATCTGTAAATGGCCTTGTTAGCGCTAACGACATGCGACGGATGTGGCGGCAGTCGGTTGCGACGGTCTTTCTTCTTAGCAATTGCGCCTGACAGGTGCCGGTCCGGAGCGGTCGTCGGTCTTGTCTTACTTCTGCTTGGCTTCTCCGGGCCAACTCGTGGCGATCTCTTCCCCATTTCCCTCGTGGCTGCCCGGACTCCCCAGCCTCCGACCTTCGATGGCTGGCGCATTTCCAATAATCACTCTGCGAATGCTCCGTGCAGGCTCACACACCGATCAAGCAGGCATACTTCTCGTCTCCAATATCGAACGCAGCTGGGCGTGCTCGATCAAGCAGTTCTTGCCCTCCCCGGATCCTACCGGCTCGAGCTCAATGTGCAAGGCACAGTTAGCGCCCGTCATGATATACTCTAAAGTGCGACTGCTCGACGGCATCATGAAAGGGGTCTTGATGCAACGCTATCGCAGTTCGGCTTTCCCAGCCGGGTCATGGCTATCCTGTTTCGCCCTCGCCCCTTGTCTGTTTCGACTAAGCGCTTGGTGTTTGGGAGGGGTGGGCAAAGACCCCATGATCTCGCGTTTCGGTCGATATTCACGAGATGGTGTTCTGCAGGGATGCGATCGACAAAGTGCATACGGACATTCGTTCCCCGCACTGGCCCGAGCGTTCCGCCACAACGTGTGCAGGTGTGGATTGCACGCAAGCGGCAAGCCACCTCCAACATTTGGCACCCGCTCTATCTTGGTCTAGATATCTGTCATCAAGGACGGCCAGCTGCTCAGGCGGGATGGAGTACCAGACTGTGTCGCTATTTGCGGGAAGCGCGTTCCGGCTGCTTCCGAACGGTGAACGTTACTACATCATAGCTGCGCAATCTCGTCTGGAAGCAGGCCGTCCGAACGGGCTGCAGCGCATATTGGTTTGCTAGCTGCATCCGCGCGGTCCACGATGCGGCACAGTATTGCGCTACTTTAAATAGCAGACGGACGGGGAAAGTCGAATGATGGATCTCAGCGAACGCCGCGCCCAGACCGCAGAGATATTGGAAACTGGTACGCGTTACGAGAGCGGGTGCAACAATGATCTCACTCGCATGAGCTTGACTGCCAGATTCGAGATGGAAAGGTATGCGAGATGGGGTAGTGGTTGCACATAGGCGAGGCCCGGTGTTGGGCGGTCGCACAGGTGCGTGAGAAATGTCTGGCAGGGCTGAAAGAAGGTTATTGTGGCTTCTCATCTCGCGAAGGGCATTAATGAGGCCGGACGCCTTGGTCGGTGGAGTGATATGGAGTTGCTTGGCCTTGTCTGCCGAGGCTCGACAGAAAGAGAGAGTGCTGACAGAGAGCTTAGAAAGACATTCACAATGCTCAACCCCGCTACGTCTCCACGTGGTTCGCGCCCGGTCCGATGATTTTGCCGGAGGCGGAGCGAATGGCATGGCGAGAGAAGATGAGGAAGGCTAACCGCATATTGGTAGTTTGCGCGTCAGGCCGTGGAGCTACCCCTCCGAAGCTCGTCGGCAGTTGAATCGCGACGTCGACCGCGGAATCAACGCGTTCGAGAGTCTGGAGCTTCACGTCGGTAGCAACAGCGATTGGACAGACCCTGTGGGCTATACTTTTTCAAGACGTCTTTGCAACGATGGGAGCCTCAATTTGCCCCATCCCAAGGCGTGAGAATGCCCCACCTTGCTCCGGACCTGAGGTCGGTATGGGATGTGGGGTCGATTGATCTACTTCTCAGTTCTCGAAGGGCGCTTTTATTTCATCAATCGTTTCTTTCTTCTGTCCGTTGACGTGTGCCTTTCAATTTTACATACGCCGTTGGTCGAAGCGTAACCGCAACCCCGGTTTTCCTCCACGCCCTACGCACGAGCAATATCCGCAGACACGATGCCTGCGCAAACAGAAGACTACCAGAAGATCTTCCACTGGGCGGAGACGCAGAAAGATGGCACGATTCCTTCCTTCGCCACGAGGAAGAACGACCCTTATGAGGTGAGCTTACAGCCATCATCCTGGCGCTCCGCCTTGCTGACGCCGCCCAATCCAGTACCAGTCAGGGTTCAACAACTCGTTCGAAAGCGAGGCCGTTCCGGGTGAGAGGATACTCACGTCGATGGCGTGTGAGCTTATTCTGACCGCAAGGTTCGCTGTTTAGGCACGATTCCTCACGGACAAAATAGTCCGCGATGCGTCAGATTCGGACTTTATGCTGAGCAGATGACCGCTACTGCCTTCGTTGCGCCGAGACATATGAACAAGAAAGCATGGTGAGTTGAATGCAGCGTGTCTTGCGTCGGGGAGTTTGTGCGCTGACTCTGGGGATTAGGCTGTACAGAGCTCGGCCGGCGGTTGCTCATCAGGGATTTGTAAGATGCCTTTCTCGATTACTGTCAGCCTTATATCCAGGGGCAAGCGCGGATGTGCGAAATCCGGGGGTTGTGTAGCAGTCAGCGGTCAGCCTTAGAAGCATGCGGGAGCTATTGCATTTCCACATTAGGCCGTAAAGGTCGCCAGGGGTACCTTTTCGGATGCCATGTGGAATCCTAAGCGGAGCTCGCCGGCACTCGGATCTGGGCACGATGGAGGCACAGCTGCATACGCATCTTCACACCCTCCTGTTGCGATGTCTTACCATGACGACGTCATAAGCTGACGCACACCCCCACAGACTGAACTCCCGGACAACGAAGATACCGAAGCGTGCTTTATTCCCATCAACAAGCGCGTCCACATCTCGCCGACGCAGCTTGCGTGGCTGCCGTTTGATATCCCCACGGATGGCGACATCGACTTTGTCTCCGGGCTCAAGACGATTGCTGGGTCCGGTGACCCCACGCTGCGCGAGGGGCTGGCAGTGTACGTAGGCCTTGGGTGCAAACTCGTGTCTTGCAAATAGTGTCTGTGTCTCGTAGAGGTGCTACCTATGCAGCACTTCGCGATATGGCAGCCAACCAACTAAGACACAGAGGCACTGAACCCCTATTTTTGATGGACGGCGCTGACTTTGCACCGCCAAATTTAGACACACCTTCCTCTGCAACAAGTCGATGGAGAGGCGCGCGACCGTGAACTCGGATGGCGATTATCTGATTGTGGCGCAGCAAGGCGCCCTAGACATCCAGACCGAGTTCGGCATGCTGTATGTGCAGCCCGGCGAGATATGCGTGATCCAGCGCGGCCAGCGGTTCAAGGTGAAGCTGCCCGATGGTCCGACGCGCGGATATATCCTGGAAATCTGGGGATCAAACTTCCAATTGCCTGAGCTAGGTAAGTCGAGACACGTATTTCCCACCTCTGTGTTGGACTGGGACTGACGAGCGCACTAACAGGACCCCTCGGCGCCAACGGCCTCGCCAACGCCAGGGACTTCCTCCACCCGGTCGCGAAATACGAAATCGAGCAGGAGCCGTGGGAAATCATCTACAAGCTCGGCGGCAAGTTCTTCAAGAGCACGCAGCAGCACTCGCCCTTCGACGTCGTGGCCTGGCACGGAAACTACGTCCCGTACAAGTACGACCTGACCAAGTTCGTCAACGTCGGCTCGATCTCGGGTATGTAGCAGCCCAAACTCTCGGAAAGAAAGTTTCGCTCATTAGGGAACAGTCGACCACATCGATCCGTCCATCTTCTGTGTTTTGACCGCGCCCTCGCGCGATCCTACTGCTCCGCTTGCGGACTTTTTGATCTTCTCACCGAGATGGGATGTAGCGAGCCACACGTACCGGCCGCCGTACTACCACAGGAACGCCGCGTCCGAGCTCATGGGCCTCATCTACGGCGAGTACGCCGGGCGATCCGACGAATTCCAACCCGGCGGCGTATCATTCGAATGCGGTAAGTCAAGCCAAGTCACCACATAGCCAGCCAGCATCCTCCTCCTAACCGTTTCTCAACACCACACCACGAACGCCGACTGACCCTAAAACCAGGCTTCGTCCCCCACGGCGTCGCGTACGAAGAATTCAAAGCCGCGAGCGCGGAACCCCCGCCCGAGATGCGCATCTCCAAGGACGCGATTGCCTTTATGATGGAGAGCTCGCGCCCGTTTACTATTACCGACTGGGCGTGGAATAGTGAAAAGAAGCATGAGCATGGTTAGTTTCCTCCTTCCCTTTTTTTTTTTCCTGGGGTGGAAGGGAATGGAGGGGATTGGATTGGATTGGATGGAATGGAGGGGATCAAGTGGATTGGATTGAGTGGATTGTGCTAACGCGAAATGAATAGAGCCGAAGATGTGGGATAACCTCGTGGATAACTTTAGCAAGCATAAGGAGGAGGTGGAGAGGCTTTTGAGCGAGGGCGTGAAGAAGATGGGGGTTGCGAATGGGCATTGATTGAGAGGGCTGTAGTGGTGGTTTGTTTGGGAGGGAGGGGGAGGGATTGTGAGCTAGCTGGCTAGCTAGCTGATGTGGATTGGATGTGGGTTGATACTTGAAGGTGGGTGGGTAGTTTCGAGATTGAGTGGATTTGGATTGGATTACACTACGACTACTTACTGTTCTATATCACATCACCAATGCGAAATGCGACATCGTACCTAGGTATCCTTAATCTTAGTTTGGTACACGAGAGCACGAGCACGATCACGGGTATCCAGTTCACAGTAACAGTAACAGTAACCTAAAGATATTAAGTCAAACCGACCGACCGGCGTAACAAAACTCACGGCCTTCCTTCCTTCCCACAACTCAACTCGACGTGCTAGACTAATGCGCCGCGGAAGCTTTTCTCATTTCTCCAGGAGAGTGAGACTTGCTAATAGGTTGATCTCCTGCCTTGTCTTATCTTATGTTAAGGAAATGAATGCGCTCTGAATGCTGCCCCTGCCCCCTGCCCGCTGGAAGACGCCTCACAACTGGAAGCCTGAGCTTAATCCACGCGCTTATACGTATGAAACCAAATATCAGCTTAATTTACATGCTTCTGCCTTTCTATCCTGCGACGCTGTAGCTGTAGTTACAAGCAAGCAAGCAAGCCAGGCTCAGCCGAAGCCGAAGTTGAAGTTGAAGTGCCAGCTTGCCTACCTATGCTGTCTGTATCATGCGCCATTTGTTAAAGAAGGCGATGGGGATGGTATGGGATGCTTGAGAGCTTAGAAACAGATGTGATAGGACTCTGAAGTAAGTTCTTCCTGCGGGGAGTGTGTATTTCGATTCACTTCACTTTGGACAAGCGATAGGATAGGGCGGTGGGGGCCTCCAGGGAGATGGGATAGTTTCCAAATCGCTGTTTTAAACCAAGCGTGCGTGGTGAGTGTGGTCTAGGTCTCTCTGATGGGGATGATGGCTTTTGAGGCGGGGATGCATTGCTATCAAGAAAGAGTACGGAGGGAGGGCTGCGGCCGTGGGTGTAGGTGTGCAGAGAGGTAACACGTCTTACAGTATTGTGGTAGATGGTAAAGTAGTCCTGTGAAGCGCGACGATGTAGTAGAACGTTGCTGGGTAAGTGGAGATTCACGGCAGGCTCTTCGCACACAGCTGGCATACTGCGTAGGCGATTTCGATTTCGAATGAGGGTTTTCTTCTTCTTTTCCCTGATTAAATATGTCCTACATTTAGTGTTTTCACCTCATATCAGTCTCTGCTCTTATCTCTGATGGTGATGATCGTTCGGTGTTGCGGGGTTAGTGGAGAGTTGCTACCGGCGCTTCCACATCCTGCATCCTTTTCTCAGCTCTTCCACCGCCTGTTAGTTCTACTCCTAGGTCTTCTTCCTTATCCTCGGAGTTCGTCGGGACCGAGTCTTTGATGACTCCTTTGGCGGGGGGCGTGCGGGGACCACACGTCCTGGCTTCCTGCGCCGAGTTTTTGGCGTGGTATGCTGAGTGGCAGGTACTGCGGCCTTTGGTGTTGCTCTACCTCTGGGTTTCTTGTTCGGCGCTGCTTGCAAAGGCAGCGGGTCGGCGGGGCGTTTCATGCCAGCGATTCTGGCACTACGACGGGGTGGCGGGGGAGTGTTCTGGTCTTTGGCCTTGGTAACCTTACCCTGCGCTTGGCGCTGGCGCTGACTCCGGCGCTGCGGGTTCTGTGGTGGAGGGCTCATGAGGTCTTGTTGCGGCGGCGTGGATAACTTCTCTTCGAGTTCCAGGGACGCGTCCTCATGTTCTTTTGGGGGCGGTGAAGTTGGCCCGAAGAGTCTAATCGGGTTGGGAACGGAGGGAGGCGGAAAATCCCGAGCCAATTGCTCAACACTTGCGCTGACGTCTATGGTTTGTCCAGGATAAGTCCGAAACCCGAATCCATCAGGGATGGTCCAGAAATGTGGGGGGTGTTCAGAAGGCGGAAGCTCAATGGTCTCTAGATCATCAACCTCGGAGGCAGTGAAGTCTATATCTGCGGTGTCCAGTGGGCTGGATGTCATGTTGTTGATGGGGGTCAGATCTTCAGGCTCTGGGGAGGGAGACTCGTGCGACCATTTCCAGGAAGTAACGCAGTCGGTTCTATTGAACTCATCTCTCCAGTCCCCACGCTCTTTCCACCACTCGATGACTTGCATGTGGGCCGAGTGTGGATAGCGCTGTCGTTGCTCGTTAGAGAGGCGAAAGTGCCGCGCTCTTTCTTCGGCTATTTCGACCTGAAAGATAAACCAAGGCCTAGAGATGATGAACGATTCGGCTTCAGAAACGGACGCATCTCGTTTAAGGTGCGAGCGTGGGATCACGGGGGAGCTCTCGCCGCGACGTAGGCCCTGGCGCAGGTGTAGGGCGCGTGCAAGGAGCTGCTGCGTATACAAGTCACTGGGCTCGGAGCCATCTGCCTCGTGTTGCTGCCATGGCCACTTCCACCTAAAGACGTCGTCGTTCGGCTGCACCCTACGGCCGGGAAAACCCCACTCGGGATTCCAGACACCAAGTTTCTCCCAGCGGCGCTTGACATTGTGACGAACGAGGACTCCCAGCCGCCGAGAGCCCTCCACTCCTCGAAATATGTTGTTCGCCCTGTAGCGAGTCACGCGGGATTTCTCGAGCATCGCCTCTGAGTAGTAGAAGTCGCCGGGTTGCAGCGTGGATTCTAAGCCATATCGCTTCAGTTCGTCGGTGCAGATAGGTCGGTCCATGATGGCCTGCAGCTCTTCTGGCAGCTCGCCGCGAAGGGGCGGTGGTGGTGCATCGTCGAACTCTTCGGACTCTGTCGATTCGGCATAGGGGGGCGGATCGTCGCGCTCGAAGCGCCTGAGGGAACGGTTGCGCAGATGGTCGTTTGCAGCGATCGCCTCGAGAAGGGGCACGGCTTGATTGTGCAGCGCGTGGTCCAGCTGGACACGGTCTAGGAATGGCGGCATGGCTTGGATGACACTGTGGGAGGTTTGGCGTGGGAGGGGTTTGGAGGACTGAAGAGAGGAACTGGAGGGAAGACTGAAGACTGAAGGACGCCGCACAGCTGCTGCCAAGCAACGACGCTGCTAAACCTAAACGGGCGCGTATGGCAGGCCAAGCACATCGCAACACAGAACACGTCAACAGTCACACCCTCAACTGTCACACGCTCAACAGTCACACCCTCGTACGGGCTCTCGATAGCTGCCCGTACCAGGGCGGCCTGCAGCGCCATGTACTCGCCATCTTCTTCCCCCTCGACTTCCACTTCCTCTTCCTCTTCCATACTCCGCATCTGCCGTTTCCAATGCATCCAAAAACACTCTTCCACCTCGTGCCCACGAACCAGGTCGCCCACGACGCCCTCCTCTACCCCGACAACAGGCGCTTTGTGTCCAGCTCCGACCGTGGCCTTGGCCTCGAGGTTGGCTATCATGTCCCCTCCTTGCCCCGAGGCCATGTAATCACCAGACTCGGCCGAGATGCCGACCTCATTCTCAGAGAAAGCACTCCTAAACTCCCCATGTCTACCATCCACGTCGCCTTTGAGATAAACCCTGCTACACGTCTCATACTTTTATCTGTCCGATCAAAACGGGTTTCATCTGTCTCGTTTTCGATACATTCTTCTTGTGACAATACGCAAAGCTCTGGAGAGGTCGTTGCGGGAAAGGAAATTACGGGAGATGGTGTTATCATCTATGGGCAGAATTACAGCGTCTCCATTGCATCTTACAGTTTTGATTTGATCTGGCGCACCTTCTCTCCCAACTCTGTCAACAACATCCGGTGTCTTAAAACCCTCGCCTTTGAAGACTACCAAGCATCTGTGCAACTTTTGCAGCATCTGAGGTCGCGCGACCGGCCAACGGAGAACGACAACTCGGAGGCACAGTCGTGGCATGTTACCAGACTGAACACTGCACATCCTGTTTTCCGGGACGTTCGCCAACTTCGCGTGGATATAGGCTCAGGAGCCTTTGGCACTGTCTATCGAGCCGTCGATCAGACCTCTGGCCACGCGTTTGCTATCAAAGTGGTCGATCTTGAGAGTCACGGCAACGAAGATGCAGCGCGTGCTCTGCTTCACAGAGAAATAAAGATCATGCAGAGGCTAAAACACGTGAGTCCCCCCTTCAATGCCGTCTATATGTATTCTGTCCATTTGTGCTGTCCAATTGTTCTCATACAGACAACGCATCGGAGACTAACGACCCATCTAGGAACACATCATCGAGTATCTAGGGCACCAACTCTTCCACACTTCCCACCCGGAGATTTTCATGCCCCTGCGAACCGGGTCGCTGGCTTCTCTCGCCAAGTCGCAGCCACCCAGCTACAACGCCGACCAGTTCTGTTTAGGCTTCACAGAACAGATACTCAGCGCCCTCGACTACCTTGCGAGCGAAGCCTTAATCCATCGGGACGTGAAGCCCCACAACATTCTCTACTCGTGCTTAAGCGACGGCCGCTACCTGTTCCAGCTGGCCGATTTCGGGCTCGCGCATTACCAATCGCTGGCCAAAACGTCTTGTGGCACCCCCTACTATCAAGCTCCAGAGCTCTATCCACGCGCCTCTGGAGTTAACGCCGCTCAGAGCTCCAAAATTGATATCTGGTCCCTCTTTGCAACTATAGCTGCAGTGCACTCACGCTTTAAAGAGTTCCCACCGGCCACTGACAACTACGGCCGCGTTCTCAACGTACTTAAAGCCAAAGCCGCACAATCATCTATGCTCGAGCCTATGGCCAGGCTGCATCCAGATCGCCGCGCATCGGCTGCGCAGATGCTTGTCTACCTCTTTGAAGGCAGGGGGCTGACAACTGCGCTGTGGAAAATCCCACCAATCGAGCCCAATACCGAGGACGTTCCCCAGATAAACCCAGCGCCAGGTGTGCAGCCGACGAGGAACGATCGCGACAAGGCTCCTCGGCCGGCAAGAGAAGCCGCCCGTCCGTTGATTGTATATAAACCACGCAGGCGCGCCCCCCCGCCGAAACAAAGTGGAAACCATGCACAACCTGCTGCTCCGCAGTTTTCGCCGATTCGTGCACACAGAGACGGCGTTGTCAAGCACCGGGTCCAACCGTCTACAGCTTCAGCTAGAACCAACGCTCACGCCAGACTGCCGCCGGGCCGAAAGCCGCCGCCCGAAACAGAATTCCGGACAGGGGCGGGCCTTTAATTCTGCCCCCACTGACGGAGAACCAGCTATACTTGGGCGCAGAGAGGTATCTCACAGGGTCCCAGAGAGCTCTACAAACGGCTTGCAGCGTGGCGGTTTCGATGGAGGATGAGAGTGACTTGACGGAATTACATTCCCTAGCGTGTGCCAGGCTCGGTTTTTCAATGTCACAGTAGTATTTGCAAAACTTATTGGAGGCCTCCAGGACCCATAAGACACTCTCACTATGATGGTGATGATTGCTTGGTGTTGCGGGGTGAAAGCTGCGCCGCGCCACAGTTGCGCCACACGCTGACTTCATCGCCCGAAATCCTCCAAACAGCCGCAGCAGCGATGACTCTGAATTACACAACGCGCTTGCGCCCTTCTCTCTTTTCACGCAGATTGGGTAAGAAGCGCCCTTAATGTGTTGAGTCACTTCGGCTTTCACCTTCCCTGCTTGTGGCTGCCTGGATGGCAGCATCTTTTAAGCTCTTCGCCCCGCTCATTCATGCTCTCCGCCCCCCACCAGCTGCTTGCTTACCTTCTCCAATTCAGGTAGTCAAACACTCCTCGTACAAACAACCAATTCGAACGACTTCTACCAGCATCGCTTCCTTCCACGCCACCGCGACCATGGCGCACCGCGAGAAGGCCCCGTACGCGTCGCAGGATCCCCATGAGGTCCGACAGCTCATACAATCGCTCGAAGGACACAAGGGCAAGAAATCGAAGGCTGGCGGCTTCTCTGTCAAGAAGCACACATTTCCTCTGCCTAACGGTCGCTCCGTCGACTCGTGGAAGATGAACGACTGGGACTACAAGAAGGAGCACCTTCCCACGTACGCGCGAGGTCTCTTCACGTATAAGACAATGGACGGCGATCTTGAGATTGCGGTACGGGGTTACGACAAGTTCTTCAATCATGGCGAGGTTAGGAAGACGGAATGGCGTATCGTGGAGAAGAACACTCGAGGACCATACGAGCTGAGCGTCAAGGAGAATGGTTGCATCATCTTCATATCCGGCCTGGACGATGGCACATTGCTGGTGTGCAGCAAGCATTCGACAGGTGCACGAGGTGATGTGGAACTCAGCCATGCCTGTGCTGGCGAGCGGTGGGTGGAGAAGCATCTCGCAAGCGTGGGCAAGACAAAGACCCAGCTGGCGCAGCGGCTACGACAGATGAACGCGACGCTGGTAGCCGAGCTGTGCGATGACGACTTCGAAGAGCACGTCCTGGCCTATACTCCCGAGCAAGCCGGTCTGTACGTTCATGGCATCAACCTCAATCTCCCACAATTCGCCACCTACCCCGGTCCCTTGGTCGACGAGTTCGCCGATGAATGGGGAATGAAGAAGGTCATGTACGTCATGAAGGACGACATACACGAGGTCCGGACATTCTTGGACAAGGTCGCAGAGACAGGCAACTACAACGGTCGCGATACGGAGGGTTTCGTCATTCGGTGTCAGGCCCGGGAGACCGAGGACGCGCCGTGGGAAGACTGGTTCTTCAAGTACAAGTTCGAAGAGCCGTACCTGATGTATCGGCAGTGGCGAGAGTGCACCAAGTCCATGATCGCAGGCAAACCTCCGCGCTACAAGAAGCACCAGGAAATCACCAAAGAGTATCTTGAGTATGCCCGGAAGCGATTCGTCCAGCAGCCCGGCTTGGCGAAGCTATACAATCAGAACCATGGTATTATCAAGCTTCGAGATGGCTTCCTCCGCGAACGAGGGACCACAGGAGCAGAGATCATCCAGGCGGAGCTACGCAACGGCGAGCAGGAGGACAAGGACGTCACTCGTAATGTTGTCCTGGTCCCTGTTGCAACCATCGGCTGTGGCAAGACTACACTAGCCCTTGCATTGGTCAAGTTGTTCGGATGGGGCCACTTCCAGAACGACAATGTCAAAGCGAAGAAGGGCCGTGGGCAAATCTTCGCCGACACAATCTCCTCCCTACTCGTCACGAACCCCGTCGTCATTGCAGACCGAAACAACCACCAGAAGCGCGAGCGCGACCAGCTCATCAACGACATCTCTCGGACCGCCCGCGATGCCCGCTTTGTCGCTCTCCAATACGTCCACGACCGCTCCAATTACGATGCAATCCGAGAGGCGACACGGAATCGGGTCCTCACTCGTGGCGACAATCACCAGACGATCCAAGCAGGCTCGAAGGGCCAGGACGAGATCATTGAGATCATGGAAGGCTTCATGCACCGCTTCCAGCCTATCGACCCGTCGGAGGCGCCTGACGATCAGTTCGACCAGGTCATCAATCTTGATCCTGTAGTGGACTCACGCGAGAATCTCGAAGTCATCATTACGGAGCTATCCAACCACTATCCGGGCCTATTCAAGGGTCGGGACATGCCCACGGACGCGGACATAGACGATGCCATCGAATGGGCCATGAACGACTACCGCCCCGACATCAAGGTGGACCTCTCCCGAGGCGGCAACCGAAACCAGAATCAGAACCAGAATCGCAATCGGAATGCCGGTGCCGGAAGGCCCGCACAGCCTGAACCCAAGCCGAAGAAGGCACCCCGCATGGAGTACTTCTCGGTGCGTCTGAACACGCAGCGCGTGAACTCCATCCTGGACGCCATGTTCCGCGACCAGGACGCGCAAACCGCCCGCATGTACCGCCAACTGCAGCAGACGCGCCGCATCCAGAATGAATTCCACGTCACGCTCATGCACCGCGCCTCCGCAGCCCAAAACCAGGCCTACTGGGACAAGCTCACCACACTGCACCAAGCCGTCCAGCACGCCCAGTCCAGCCAGGGAAACTGGGAGCCCGAGCTCGCCAAGTGCGGCGTGCAGCTCGAGCGCGTCGTCTGGGACGACCGCATCATGTGCTTCGTGGTGCGCCTGAACGGCTCCGCGACCATGCAGGTGCAGACTGACGGCGCCGGCGAGGGCACCCAGGAGCTGCTCTTCGAGAGCGTGAATCCCGTGGCGCATGTCACTGTTGGCACGGCGGATCAGGGTATCAAGCCCAGGGAGAGCAATGATTTGCTGCAGCGCTGGTTGAATGGGGGGAGTGGTGGGGAGACGGGGATCCGCGAGATGGCTGTCAAGGGGAATGTGGTGCTCGATGGGTCGGTTAGGGGAGTACTTGGTCGGATGTGAGTGAGGTGAGAAGGACATGAGGGCTTTCAGGTTCCTAGACGTATAGGAAGGGGGTGATAGATAGCATTATATGGCGTTATATGGGTATCTTTCAGCATGCTAAAAGCGCGCGAATGGGCGGTGGGCGGCATTAAAATATCATACGTCGGCAGCAAGATAGACACTCGACTCTGACTGAGCTCTGAATGAACACATTATTCATTTTGTGTTGGAAATGGGGGTATCTCATCTACATCCTACATAGTACATAGTACATAGTACACATACTACATTTACATTGAAGCACTCACTCCCCCCACGCCGACCTTTCCTTCCCCTCACCTCACCTCACCAATGCCTCACCACAACAAGCCACCCCCCTTCCCTCACGCCATTAAACAGCGCCGCAACCCTCTTCCGCTTCAGCCCCTCGCGGGGACTAATATCCTCAATGGCATGGCGGCCGTCCAAGTGCCGCAGTAGCATGGGCCAGTGCTCGCGTAGATCTGCATCATGTGCAAACGTCTGCCCGATCTTCTCCAGCCAGCGCGCCTCGGTGCTGTTCGCCTTCTGCGGGTTGAGGATCAGCGAGGGCGCGAAGGACTGCGGTGATGGGGGTGGGGATTGCGGAGGGCCGGCGGCGGCGGTAGCTGTGAGGGACGGCGAGGTGGGGGAGAAGGGCTGGGGGCGCGAGGGCGAGGTGGTCTTGAGGTGGAGGGGGGAGGGGCGTTGGGGGCGCTGCTGTTGTTGTGGGTCGCGCGAGTGGGAGGGCGGAGCGGGGGAGATAGGGCGTTGTTGGGCGCCGCTGGAGAGGGCGATGGTGGTGCGCGCGCTGCTGGTGCTTCCTGCGTCGCTGGAGGAGGCGCGGGCGGGGCTGCCGCGCCATCCTGTTGCTGCTACTAGGGGGCTCAGAGCGGCATTGGTTTCTGTTCCCTCCTCTTCGCCGTCTCTGTCGCGCCTCGTGCGGCGGAGCGGTGTCGCTGGTCTGATGGTACTGGCGGAGAGCAAGCTAGATCGCTTATCCGAGAGCAGCGACTCCGTCATCGAGCCGTTATCCGACGCGGCTTCTCTCCGTAAATCGTCTGCTTTCTTGACGCGCTCCTCGCGTTCCATGTCGGCGGCTACTTGGGCTTTTATCTCGGGCGAGACGCGAACCCAAGCGAATGTGCGCAGCTGCGTGACCCAGCCGCCCCGCATGAGCCAGGCGAGGATGTCCATGTACGCTTCGCGGTGCTCGGCGGTGGGTATAAAGGATCTGTATGGCTTCGGTGTGCCGGAGAGCATACTTAGCATCTTGGGGAGCGTAGGTAGTGTGGAGAAACGGGAGGCGTATGCGGGGATGGCGGCTTGGAGATTTGACAGGTCAGCGTTCGGAGAAACGATGTAGGTATCTCTGGGGTGGAGGGGCGCGATGAGGCGGGCTCGACGCCAGTAGACGAGATGGCTTGCTATGTACTCCATATCCTGGGCGACGATGTTGTGTTTGTTGGAGATCTTGAGGAGGGATTTGGTGGGGATGATGTTGCGGATGTAGAAGGCTAGGGCTGCAGTGTTGTTCTTGTTGTCGCCTTCTAGGTCCTTGATCAGCGTTTCCGGGTCTTCGAGGAGGAGCAGGGCGGCGTGCTGGGTCATGGGTGCGTCGCTCTCATCCTCGATGACTACATTAGATGTTGTAAGCCACAGGCCAGGCATCTGTGGTTCGAGGGCGTTTGGCAGATATGGTGTGGAGTCTGCTTGGGGAATCTGGAAGGACGTGTTGAAAGTGGCGTCAAAGTGGACGTGGGCGATTTTATCGTTCGAAATAGCCTCGAACAGAATGGCAATTGACTTCGCGAGCGGGGAGATGGCGAGAATCTTCTGCCAGGTTGCAGTGAGCGCCTCGCCATTTTCCTTCGCTCGCTGCTTAATGTCAATGATTCTCTTGGATTCTTTCCAGACATACTGGAATCGCGCCTGCTCGTACTTGAGCGCCTTAGCGTACTTTCGCGATATGTTGTCGTACATATCCTTGACTCTCAGCTGGTATTCCAGGGCTGGCGGATTCAACACAAATACGACGTTGAACATGGTCATATCGGGATTATTGTCCGCAGTCGAGTTACTCCTGGCATCAGATCCAGCTTCGGACACGGCTCCGGAAGGCGCACCAGATATCAGTCCATGACCATAGCCCGGTTCGAAGCCTTCAGGGTAGACAAACGGCTCCGTACTCGTGCTGCCGCTCCGATCCTCTTCAGGACTCCCGTCCCCTTTCTTAGCCTCGCCGATCTTGAGGTTGGCTAGCAAAGCATCTTCGGCCGACCGCTTCCTCCGCTTCTTTCTTTTCTTCCACAGCCCGTCTTCCCTCACAAACATAGGCGCACCAACGAAGACAACGCTCTCAACACCCATCTCGAATCTCCGCTTATTAAACGCCTTGCCTGGACACAGTATTTTCTCCAGCGCATCGACCTTGAATCCCAGCACCGTATCCCAGTCGTGGATTCCACCCTTCTGCTTCCCATTGCCACTCGCCTTACTGCCATTTTCAACCTCTAAATCTCCGTCCTCTTCATCAATGCTCCGGCCCCACACTCCGCCAGCACCAGGCCGGTACTTGTCTTTATCGCGATGGCTCGCGCCCGTCCTCCACGACGACCCGCGGCCGCCGCTTGTCCGACTCCCGACCTCAGCATCGTCGTCGCCGCCTTCGTTCTCGGTGCTGCTGTCCCAGTCGCTGCTCGAGCTTTCGGAGCCGCCGCTGCTGGTGGTTGCCTCTTTGGCGAACCATACGGGCGCTTTGTTTGCTGCGAGGGCGGCGGCGGACGGCGAGATGGGCGGGTAGTGGAAGACGAGACGTGGGCCGAGGGAGCGCGATTGGGTGACTAGAAGGATCGCATGCAGGTTCGACGCCGGCGGGAGAGGGAGGGCCATTGCGCGTGCCGGTGGTTGCTCACGTGGCTCGAGCGAGGAGGTCGCAATTAACGGTCCGGCATCTTCAGACACGGTCCAACGCAATCAGGAGAACTTTGTCAAGCTCATTACCACTTTGAAACTCATCGGGGACTCGTTGGGAGGTTGTAGAAAGAGCCAATGCATGGCGGGGAAGCTCTCGGAGATTTAATTTATTTATGTAGACTAGCGGCAAGGGACCGGCCGCTGATCCCATACACGACCAGTAGCCGCACAGCCTTCTCCACCCCTCCACCTCCACATCACTACTCTTCATAAACGTCCATCGGTCCAAGGACCATCTGAGACTTCGCTACTGTTGTGGCGTTAAGGACCCTGTGGGCCACGGAAACTCTACCCAAATGGTAACCCTTCTGAGACCTCCCCCCGGACCAGGCCCATAACTTGCAGTTGATGCTGCTGGACTACGTCCTTGCAGTCTCTACTAGATCATCATGCCAGTGTCCGTCTTTCCACCATATCGGGTATCGAACATTAAAGAATAAAAGATAAGTCGGGATAGGAACACGCGCACAGAGGGGAAACCGTGGAGAACGACTGCCCAGCGTTTGAGTTGCAACATCGGGTTTGTTTCTTATTTCGGGTCGATCTATCGAATGTGTCACCGCGTGTACCACTATGGGCAGATGAAGAATCTAAACCCTTCGAACGTCAAATCCCCCTACTAGCTTTTATACCCATCAGGCTGCGTTTACGCTGGTGAAAACGTGGCGGACCTGTGTGTAACAGCTCGAGGAGCAATCACGAAGCTCCTGTCGATTGAGTGCCGAACGTCTACACCACCTCCGCAGCAGATACCACATCCATCTCTGCCCTTATGCCGTCCAAGAACGCCGACAAAACGCCGCACACGTCTTCCTCTCCGGAGATGAGCGCGCTCGCATTGATGTCGGTGAAGCCACTCGTTTGGATCAACGGCTTCCCAGGCACGGGCAAATGCACCATTGCGAAGCTCTTAGTCTGTCTCTTGAATAACTGCGAGCCTATATTGATCGATAATCACCAGCTAATAGATCCCGTTGAAGCCGAATTCACTCGGGACCATCCAGACTACCAAGAAGAAAGGCGGCAGGAGCGAGAAGCCGCATTCACTTGTCACGGACACATCGTCATCTTCACAGGTAAGCTTGCCATTCACTCCTGTATTTGTGTCTTGTTTCACTGCACAAAGTAACTGGACGGGTTAGATTTCCAATCTCACAACGACCTCGGACGTGCTGTAGCCCGCGAATACGAGGCAGCAGCGATACGAAGTGGACGGCCTTTTCTACCCATTTACTTGGAGTGCGACCTCGAGGAGAACATGCGAAGACTAGCTAGCCTGCAACGAGCGAGCAGCGGCACCACCAAGCTTCTGAACCCCGATCTCCTCGCGGATATGCGATCCACCTGCAAACTCTATCGGTTCGACAATGTCCAGGGCATCACCCAGGATGTATCATACCTGAAGCCTGAAGCGGCGGCCGACTCGCTCAGAAAGAAGATAATTACCGTGTTCGATGAGCTGTGCAAGTTACAAGAAGAAGAGTCCCGAGAACGACCGTTTTCTCCCACCGTTGTCCCACCTCGGCTTTTGGCGCAACCCGCTACTCAGAGCCTTCCCCAGATCTCCCAGTCAAGCCCCTCGATCACGCATACACCCTCGTTCCCTTCCGCGCATAGCCTCTTCAGCACACTAAACGGGACATCCCACTCCGCCATCCCCACGTTAAAATACGCCTCCAAAAAAGGCCAGCCCGTCACGAACAGCCACGCAAACACCCACACATAGCCCGCGATCCTAGCGCCAATCCGCCAAGCAGACGACCGCTTGTGCAGCTTGCCCTCGGCGTCTTCCTCGAATTCCTCGAGGAAGGAGAATACGGAGAGGGCGTAGGTTTCGAGCAGGATGGCGGGGACTTGGGCGAGGAAGAAGAGCGTGTTGGAGAGGAAGAGGTGGTGTGGGGGTGTGGGGAGGAGGTAGTAGAGCGAGGCGCCGTGGAAGACGGCGGAGATGAGGAAGCCGGTTAGGAGGTGGGTGGTGTACGAGTAGAGGGTTGGGGCTGGGATGTGCAGGATGGAGATTAGAGTCCTTGAGAAGCCGAGCAGCGACTGTGAGGGTGGGGGGTTAGTTATGGGTAGTGGTGTTTGAAGGAGGTTGGAGTAGGGAAGGAGAGAGGGCATACATGTTTCAGGACTTGTTGCCAGTATGTTCCCCAGAAGTAAGAGAGCGTGCTGCATTCAGTGATGTCGCCGAAGAAATCTGGCCATTCCTAGTCCGCGTGTCAGCCAGCTACTCTACTCAGTCCACAATCAACTTGCAGTTCAGTTCAGCTCAGTCTTTCTCGAAGGAAAAAGCCGCACACCTACCTCCGGCGTAGAAATCCCCACCGCAACACTAACAATACTCACAAACAGCCACTGCGCCTCCCAACTCCCCTTAATAACCAACCCACAAGCGACCCCAACCAACACCCTCTCCCCCCACCCCAGCCGCTCCAGCACCTCAGCCAAAGAATACGACTTCACAAACGCCATCCCCGCCTCAACGAGCAAGTAATCCATCGCCAGCATGAGCCCCTGTCTCCTCAAGAACGCCGCTCTTTCGTTCCGCGCAAACCGCGCCCTGCGCAGCCCCTTGATCTCGAAGTTCCAGCCCACACCGCGCGGATTCGCCAGCAGCGCCAGCGCCCACTTGATCTTCTCCCAGCCGCAGGCGCGCATGCTCATCGCCTCTTTCTCGCTAACAACTTTTCCCTTCTCATCGCGTCGGATGCGCCAGAAGGATTCTTCCGGGACGGTGCAAAGTAGCTTGTGCAGCGTGGGGACGTAGAAAAACCATGCTGCGAAGAGGGCGTAGCGCGGTTGCGTGCTAGACGTCGGCGGCGGGAACGGCGAGGTCCAGGTCAGATACACGAGCGAGAGGATGAGCGTGGAGCAGAGAGGGCCGCGGAGTTTGAAGGGTGGGAGGGCGAGCGAGAGGAGTAGGGAGAGGGGGAGTAGGATTTGGGGGAGGATGGATTGGAGTGTGAGAGGAGGAGTAGATGATTCTTCCATTTCTTGCTTGCTTGGTATGAGGTGTAATTGTCGATGGGTGTCAGAGCGTCAGTCGGGCAATGCGGGGAGCGCTACGGGTATGCATATAGGTGGAATGGACCCTATCGGGTGAGGTCAGGAGAGGGGCTTTGTTCAACGCAGCAGCAGTGGATGCCGTGACCCTTGGCGAAGCGAGCGCGCATGTTCATCGCTGCATTGGACGCTTTTGCGGTCAGCAGACGCAGCATCTTAGATGCAAAGCTCTAGACGTCGTGTGGATGGAAAGGGAAGGATGAGTGGGTCAAAGGGTTCTCGCCTCGACGTCAGCCACCGTTATTCTGATTGGCTGTTACGCGAGTTTGAGACCGGAATTGATTAGCGGGATAACATCAACACGTCGTGGAAGTGGGAGACAGTGTTCGGATGTCCATTTTTGAGGCGAAGTATCCCTCTCTAGCATAGTAAAATATCAGCCTTGCCTCATGGACCCAGAAATAGGCCTGCATCCTGCTCGCTCAACCACGAATTGCTAGGCCGAGCCCTATGCAGCGCCCAAACCTCATAAGAATCCCCTGTCATCCTGTTACTTTTTGTTCTAGATCCGCAACGATCAGTCTTTCATAGTTTCAAGTCCCTCATTCCATTCGACAAGGCCCGTAGAATCAGCCACATATACATGATACCGGCCAACACCACGGTCGCCGCGAAACCCGCCACCCACACTCAGAAGACCCTAATAGGGAGCAAATAGTCCGTACGCCGCCATGGAGGCAGGGAGAGTTGAATTAGGTGACATAAGATTCTGCCGACTGCTCCAAGTGATGGACGTATTTTCCGCCATTCGACGACGAATTCCTCGCCGATGTGGAGTCGGGAATAGTAGAATGTCTCGGGCGCATTGATAACATGCGTGGTGAGCGCAGTGATACGCGGGGATGCATCTGGAGTTGGTGTGAATGTGGGTTTGTGGTCGAGGGGTCGTATTCCAAAAGTCACGGTGTCGAGCCTTGAGATCCCGCCGTTTGGAATGTGCCATAGCCAGTCAATGTCTTTGGTGATACGTTCGCACGTACACTCGTCCTGGAGGTATTCCCAGAGACGATGGGGACCACTGTAATTGCGGTCGTCGTAGAAGAAAGTTACCGTTAGCTTCCGGCCCATGGGAAAATATCAGGCAGAGGCTGATTCGGAATCTGATCGAAGTAGCTCTGTAGCGCGGACATGGGAATGTCCACGAGGACATGTGGTATGCTGCCGAAAGTTTGGGGCGCTATTATCGTTCTAAAGGCCTAATCCTTTGTGCTGGTGTTGATATGCTTCCCGATGCTACGGAGTACGACGTTGTCAAGTTCCCGACGCAGGAGACGGCATGTAAGTCGCAAGCCGCCGTTAATGAACCTCGGCCTCTTGCGAATTGTCGATTCATAGTTTCGGGTTTTAGAATTGAGTCGCTCACGAGGGGCGCGAGGACATCATACACTCGGAGGCGGATCTCTGCTGGAAGCGTTGTCAACGTCGCTGCAGTCGCTCTCCCCATTTGAGTTTCGGTAACTTGGGGCTTCCTGGACATCGTGAGAGGGTTGTCTCTGGGTTTAGGAATGTAAAGGTGATATGGCGAAGTTCTCGTAGTGCGTGGCTTTGATGCCCGCTAATTTGTTTTCAAGTGAAACGCGGAGTGGATAGGTGAAAATTGTGCATGCCTTCAGCGAAGCCCAATAACTTCCCCACGCCAACCAATCGCGGAGAAACCACGGCAGCCACACGAAGGAGCCACTGTGTCTTCTCCTTCTGGTTCTTCGATTTTTGTGGTAGCTGGCGAGATACACGAAATCTTTTCACACCGACGGACGTGCAATATCGATTGCTAGATAACAACCTGCATGGTTTTCACTCATCGGCCACTTTGTTAGTGACCTCCACAAACTTCCGCCACTGTCTGTATGCTTCGCCGCTGGAAATTGCCCATTTCGCCCTCCGTACCCCCTCCTTCCAACGACCACCCCCTGGCCCAACTTCTTTAATTACGTTGCCATCGTCGCCATAACCCATTTCACTCGTGTCTGCGTCGCAGATGCCGCTTACGACGAATAAGGCTGCGGTGTTGATGTACACAAAGTGTAGGATCGGATCATCAGGTGGAACCTCGCCCGTCAATATCCGCATCAGTATCTCGGCATTCTTCTCTGGAGATTGACCTGGGGAAACGTCTGTGAGTGGGTGTGACGGGAGCCCGAAGTCTGCCGGCGTAACCGTGAAATACTTGATTTCCACTCCCTTGGTCTGAGGGTCTTCGATCAGCCGCCAGCAGTGGGTGAGTCCGGCACAGGAGAGTTCATCCAACTCCTCGTCTCCGCAGATAATCATGGCTTTCTTGACGCCGGACTGGCGTAGGGATTCTGCAAAGTCCGGGCCAATCTCTTTGCGCGCTACGCCAATTACTCGTGCCTCTATCAAGTCATGCAGTGGGTTTGCCAACGGACCGAGAAGGTTGAAAATGGTACGCCAACCGAGTTGTTTCCGGATTGCTGCCGCGTGCCTGGCGCCAGGGTGAAATATGGGAGCGAAGAGAAAAGCGTAATTGGTGCTGCTGTAGATTTCATGAAGCGTCGCTGGAGTGATGGCGGAGATTTGTGGAGGTTTTGGCGGTGCGCAAGATAGAAGATCTGCGGACCCTGAACGAGACGTGCTGGCGCGATTACCATGTTTTGCAATCATGAGAAGAGAGCTGGCAAGGATGGAAGATGTCGTGCTGATGTTGAAAGTGTTGTGCGAGTCGCCCCCGGTGCCCACTACATCACACTGCGAGTCGAAGTTAATATATGTTCACATAGATAATCGATAATGAAGGACATGAGCTCAAGCAGACTCCTTCCCATACAGGCTATATTTACGGGGCTCTGAAAGGAGAGGGACATACCAAGCCACCTTGATATCCGCCTTCCTTCCTGCCCCTTTGTGCGAGGAGCTCTGATAGTCCGTCAACGTCTATACCTGTCGCGTAATTTCGCATGGCTTCAGCGCATTTTGACAGGACGTCCGCTTGCCGATCGCGGTCTGTGAAGTGCAGACATGTCAGGAGAGCTCCGGTTTGGACTTCTGACAAGCTATTGGTGAAAATGTGTGATAATGCCGCGGCGATTTCTGCGGCATCCGGTTTGGTTTCGGCTGATTCATGCCACAAGCGCTTAAGGAGAGGCGTTATGGAAGTTTTCGGATGCTCTTCCCATCCTGTTGGCGCCATTTGCTGTGACGAAGTTCGAGTGTGAAATCTGGCTCGTATGCCTTCACCAGGACATGTATATACTCTCGGAAAGGTCGTGGTGGGGTGATGTAAGCGATTAATGTGGGCGCGATACGTATGCAATTGGGCCCGGTCCGCAAGTTAAGCAGATGTATGGCACACCTCGAGAGGTGAATGTTGGGAAATGCAGACCGAAAATGGAGCCGCCACACACCCCACTACGCCGATCGCGGCTAGCCGCACGGACACACGGAGGTTTGTTCTTCCAGCGCCGATTCACAAATTTCGAACGCGACGAGTCACAGCGAGCCTCGACCCAAGGTCATGACGGGTCAGAGAATTTTCTCTGACGGGCCTTGCAGCGACACCACCTCCGCAGACGACATCAAATGGGGAAGAAGCGGACCCATGCCGAGACAAAGGATGGCTTCACGAAGCCGCCGCCGGACAAGGGCCGGCTGAGCTCCAAGAACGACAAAAAGGACCCGCGGTGGAATGGAGAGAGGAAGGAGCACAAGCCTGCATTGGTATGTCGAGTCGCGAGATGTAATACTGATGGGTTGCTGACGTTGTGGTAGCTGTTCAAGCCCCAGCCCGAATGGCATGCGGTCGAGCTACCCGAGCTTCCCACCGTCGACAACCCGACCATCCCGCCCCGTAACATCATCGACGAGCTCCATCAATATGCCGACAAGCTCTTGGAAGCCGAGGCGACCGAATACGCGAATTTGCACCTGTCCAAGGATGCGTCGCACAAGTTCATGTCGACAATCATGGCCTCCGGTACCATGGAGGACAAGGTTTCGGCCCTGACACTGCTGGTACAGGAGTCGCCGCTGCACACCATGAAGGCTTTTGAGCAATTGCTGGGGCTGTCGAGGAAGAAGAGCAGAAATGCCGCCTTGATGGCTTTGGCTGCGCTGAAGGATCTCATGGGCCAGGGTGTTGTGCTCCCGCCGGACCGAAAGCTGAAGGCGTTCGCGAGACAGCCGAGTCTCATATGTGCGCTGCAAGGAAAAGCTGCGAATTGGAAACGCGGCGACAAGCTCCCCGGCCAAGTCCAGAAAGTGCACCTGATTGCGTGGGCTTACGAGGACTGGTTGAAGAAGCAATATTTTGAGATACTCAAGATCATCGAGGGCTGGGCAAACGATGAGATGGAATTCTCGCGCAACCGGGCGGTGACATTTGTCTGGGAGCTGCTCAAAGAAAAGCCGGAACAAGAGGAGAATCTGCTGCGGTTGCTGATCAACAAGCTCGGAGATAAAGAGAAGAAGGTCGCATCCAGGGCGTCTTATCTTCTTCTCCAACTACAGGTCACCCACCCGCTGATGAAGAACGTCATCATCAGCTCTATTGAATCAGACCTTCTCTTCCGACCGAACCAGAGCGCACATGCCAAGTATTATGCAGTCATTACGCTTAATCAGACGGTTCTGAGCGTGCGGGAGCAACCTGTCGCCAACAAATTGCTAGAAATATACTTCAGTCTATTCGTTGGGCTGTTGAAGAGGCAGAAGGAGCAGGAAAAGGAGGAGAAGAAGCTGAACAAGCATGGACATGCCCAAGGCGGCGGAGGGAAGCCTGGCAAGCTAGCCAAGAAGAAGGCTCAGAAGGCTGCTACGCAGGCCTACAAGACCGAAGACGAAACGAAGGAGAAGCTGATCTCCGCAATTTTAACAGGCGTCAATCGAGCATTCCCCTTTGCCAAAACGGATGATGAAAAGTAAGTTGTCATGCGTATCATCTTTATATCCTGGTGCTAACCCCCCAAGGTTTGAGGACCAGCTCAACACCGTCTTCGAAATCACACACTCGTCCAACTTCAACACCAGCATCCAGGCCATGACACTCATCCAGCAGATTTCTGCTACGAAGCATTACTCCACTGACCGTTTCTACCGCACCCTCTACGAATCACTTTTGGACCCTCGACTTATTACGACTTCCAAGCATATCATGTACTTGAATCTCCTTTACCGGTCTCTCAAAGCCGACATCAGCATCCAGCGAGTTAAGGCGTTTGTGAAGCGTTTGCTCCAGATCATCCACTTGCATGAACCACCTTTCATCTGCGGAGTTCTATATCTCATCAACGAACTGATCATCACGTTTCCTAGCATCAAGACGATGTTATCCACACCGGAAGACAACGACTCGGACAGCGGCGAAGAGCACTATGAAGACGTGCCACATGAAGAGGAAGCGGCACCTAAAGTGAGGGATGAGGCGAAGCATCCCCGCTACGACCCACGAAAACGCGACCCAGCGCACTCGCATGCGGAGCTGTCTTGTCTCTGGGAGCTCCTCCCTCTGCAGGCACATTACCATCCTTCGGTGCACGTCCTTGCCTCCAAATTGCTCAACCAAGAGCAGATCAAAGAGAAGCCGGACCCAACCATCTACACGCTCATGAACTTCCTCGATAAATTCGCCTTCCGTAACGCGAAGACGAAAAGCAACGCCACCCACGGATCTTCTATCATGCAACCAATGTCTGGAACCTCCAAAGCAGCCGACTACCTTGTCACGGCCCGTGATGGCGACAGAACGCATGATCCCGTCAATACCGAGCAGTTTTGGCGAAAGAAGGTGGAGAATGTTCGTGTGGATGAAGTCTTCTTCCATACCTACTTCGAGAAAGCGGGCAAAGCGAAGCAACTTAGTAAGAAAGACAAGAAGAAGAGAAAGCAGGATGAGGGGAGCGATGAATCCGGAGAAGAGGAGATCTGGAAAGCGCTTGTCAATAGCAGACCAGACATCGAGGGCGAGGATGACGATGACGAAGGCTTCAGCGACATTGATATGGATGATATGATGAGTGATGAGGATGCAGATGGAGTGGTCGGAATGGATGAAGGTGTCGAACTTAATCTCGGAAGTGACGACGAAGACGCCGACGCTGCAGCTGGACAGGACGAAGACGACGAAGATGGTATGGGTGGCTTCGATCTCGACGACGAGGATGGGTTCGTCGACAGTGATGAGGACGTTCCGGTCGACATTGGCATTGACGACGGCACTGACATTGAAGAGCCGCCACCTTCGAAGTCGAAGACGGAAGATAAGAAAGACGACAAGAACAGCCGCAAGAAGAGGAAGCTCAAGCATCTTCCAACTTTTGCGTCTGCTGAGGATTACGCCAAGCTGATTGGCGGCGATGATAGCGAGTAGATGATTTTTTCTGGATATAGGCTTCCTGTCGGACTATGGAATGAAGCCACAGCTGGCTTGAAAAGGGGCCACAAGATACCTCGCTAAACAGGTAGTGTAGCATGGTTAGCATCTTTCATGTAGATATCCCTGTTGTAATGGCTACTGCACCGAGCGACACCGCTTATGTAATCTGTTTAGGTTCCCCATTTGCAATACATACCTTTGGGTCGGATGCTCTGTGTACACGAAATCGAGGACCTCCAGCCCTTTCGAAAGCGGGGTAATACGAACTTTGCGGAATTGATGCTTTGGGTGCGTTCCGAAGGGTTTTGCTAATTCTCCTAAAAGGGTCGATGAATTGTGGGGCGACCGGTGGAATATGACGGCGGACTAGCATCACAGCTGCGCAATACTACTCACAACCAGCGACCTATTGAAATCCCCCCGCAAGCAAGGGTCCCTCGCCGAGAAGGCTCGCTGCAATCGCTGAAAAGTATGTCTTCCGGTGTCTTGGTACGTATGTTGTTGGGCGTTGCTCATGCAGATAGATGCGGCAACAATGGCGAAATGGTTTGAAAATACTATGATAAGAGCTTGGGATTTTTTTCTGGGGAGACAACATCTAAACCCTGGCTTTAGCAATCCCTTGTCTGCCTTCCTCTTGCTCGACATCGTATCCTCACGAAGCCCTAGCATTCTGAGACCAGCTCAACCCAATCTATCCAGCACTTCGACTACGCACTCAAAGCACCCGTCTTAGTCGCAGAGCTCTCATCCTCTAACCGGCCAACACACGGCAACTATTATGAGTCAAGGCAGCAACGCCAATGAGGACAGCACCAGCCCGGGCTGTCTGTCCTCCTGGCGCCGGCCCCTCCGCAAACTGCACTCCGTCCCCGTCGGACTGCCGCACCACCGCAAAGAAAAACTGCACCTCACGACCTCAAAGGGCCAGTTCTATCTGCTCGATCAGTTCCGCGATAAGGTGCCCTTGCCGGTGCGGAACTATGTGATTGCCATGCTGAGCGAGTTCGTGGGGACGTTTATGTTCATGGTGCGTAGTTGCGTACGAAAGTTGGAGTCTGAGTCTGAGCTCTTACTGCCTCCTAAGTACCTTACCCTTCCTTCCCTTCCTTACTAATCGCCACCACCAAGCGTGTAAGGAAGCCTTGGAGGACGTTTTTCGTTCCGCGGCGAAGCGCAGGGTGTGTCAGACAAGAAGACAATCTCAAACAACTTTTCTCCCAATACCATCTCAACTGCCTTCACATAGAAGCCGCGTCTCAGACAGACATGACGCTAAAACCAACGCGCTCAAGCGTCTTTATACCATTTCGGCTATCACCAGAAGCCAGGCCTAGCTAAACAAGGGCATGCTAAGGGTCCTGAGTAGATGCGGCCCATTCGCTGCACTTGCCAGCATCTTTTCACTACCCATCACTAAGCACCCTCGTCCAATCGAATTTCCTCCACCCCTTCCGAAAGCCCTCCACCCTCCGATCCCCCTTATTCCACCGCCCCTGCCTCTTCACGACCTCGACATCAACATCCAGCATGCCGCCGAGGACCTCTCTCGCAAACAAATCACTTCGCGGCCACCTGCGCTCATCCTCCACAATATGCCCCATCCCGCCATCCAGCTCAAACCACACATGGAAATAGGGCATTTCCTTTGCGAGGCTCTTCCTGAACGCTGCTCTGCCTTGGCCAGATCTAGAGGCTTTGAGCGTGTCAATGATGGGTTTGTGCTGCGACCACTCGGCGTCAGAGGAGAGGATGGCCTCACGGAAGAATGCCGGTGCTGTGTCGCCGAGCTCGAACGGGATGGGGACGGCGTTCATGGCTGCGTGTAGTTTCCTGCCTGGATTCGCCGCGTTCTCGTAGAATACGACATCCCGCCCTTGGTCATGATACAGCCTCGTTAAGGACTTCATGAAGTTGCGGATCTCCTCCCATTCGTCGTCGTCGCATTCAAGGAGGTTCGTACGATGCTGAACAGGCACAATGATGGCGCCACCTTCGCTGATTTCGGGTTCCGTGGGGAGGGTCAAGTAGGTGCGGGTGGCTAGCGAGACGATGGGCGCCACGGGGGGCTGGGGTGGAGACTTGTCTTCGTGGTGACAGAGCGGGCAGCTGTCGAGAATGCGGTTTGTGCGTTGGTAGTCTGCAATTGCGGTATTGCGGAGATTGACAGTAGATTTCGGGGCGCGTTGAGCGAGTTTGGTCGCGTTTTCGTCGAGGTAATCGAGATCATTCTAGGCAGTGTTAGCAACCTCCTAATGGTAGACGTATGAATGAAATTTCTTACATCAAATTTGGCGTCTTTGGCAATCTTCTCCGCGAGAAGCATGCCTTCGCCGCCGCGTTGACCCTTTGTCCGCCTCTCCTGTCTGACCATATCCTCAATAGACATGTCCTCATTTTCCACCACCAGTCCGCGCTCGCGACCCCTCTTGTTCGTTAATTCTTTGACTTCGCCCTTCCTGCCACCCGCAAGCATGCGGTTGTCCATTGGATCCAGGACCACGACATCGGCCTCCCTGGTGTTGGCAAGGCCCGCTGCTGCGGCGTTATACTGCGCTTCGAGCTCGGCGGCGTTTGCTGCTCCTTTCATCTTAGCCTTCATCATCTGTGCTTTCAGTCTGTTCAATTCCGTCTGACTGAGCTTCACCGTATTTGCGGTCGGCCGAGGATCCGGTACGACTTCGCCCTGGGGTAGGTCCTCGCTTTCCGGATGCGATGGCCGTCGAGGAGGCCTGTGGATGCCGGCCTTTAATCTCCTCTCCTCATATAGCTCACCGGAAGGCTTCTCTTTACCAACGTAGTCCTTTCCGTAAGTCTTTCTGCGATCCACTTCGATCTCCTCTTCTCTTGCATCGTCAAAGTCTCGGAGATTACCATACTTTTCCAGCGCGACATCTTCCACACTTCGACCTTCTTCTTCCGCGATCCGATAGACGCCCTTAAGTTTCATCATGCGCCATTGAGATCCTGCATCTCCGAAAGTGTACGGCACATCCCGTTGTGCAGGCTCCTCCTCAATCGCATCCTCGTCCTCCTTCACATCCTTCAGGTGATGGCTCAGCTCTGCCTCATGAATCTTCAGCGCATGCTGCGTCTCTGTAGATGCCACAAAGGTGCTCTTCCCCTCCCTCTTCTTCCTCTGCACGTAGTCTACATCTAAAGAAGACGGCGCCTCCATCCAAGAATCGCGCTGCAGGTTCGCATCCGCGGCCTCCTCAAGCTGTTGATCTAGGATATCGTTATCTGGTGGCGCATAATCCTTATCCATGGGTTCATTCTCAGACGGAGAGTCTTCCTCATAATCATCCTGGCGCGATTTGCGCTTCCGACTTATGCGCTCTTCTTCGTCGCTCGACGGTGAGCGGCTTCGCCTGTCCTTGTGCTTCTGCCCTGAGCGCTTCTCATAGTCCTCACCTCGCTCGCGTTCTCTTCGCTTTCGGCGCGCGCGCTCTTCGGACGTCTCTCGGTGGTGTCGCGATCGCTTGTGCCGAGGACGTTCGTCTCGGTCCTCGCCGCCGTGATGGCGGGACGAATGATGGTGTCGATGTCGATGCTCACGGTCTTTATCCTGGTAAAATGTCAGCCTGAATTACTTCCAATGGATATGCATATATAGCTTGCAAATCAAAGCTGAATCGCATACCTTCGAACGGTGATGCCTGTCGCGACTTCGACTCCTATCCCGCTTCTTGCGCGCCTCTTGGGCTTTGCTTTCCGCAAGCTCTCTTTCAAAATCTTCAAGACCCATCTTTGCAGGTCGTGAAGGGATTCAGTGGATAGATGATCGACAGAGGAGTGAGGTTGGTTGGTTTGGAGCTTGCGGAAAGTTTAAGCAGTCGAAGGTGGTCGGAGCTTTTTGACATCACCGCCGATCAGCCCAGCCCCGCCAAAGAATTTCTGGGGCAAGCACGACTGCACCTCTGCTCAGCACCACCACCTCACCACTTCCCTCACTTATACTCTCCTTCAACGGACATATTGCGCAAATACAGAATCTAAGTCGAAGCGAACCCTGACTCGACATAACACAACCATAAACGAGCCGCTAGGCACCCGAACGTTCCAAGCAACCCTACCGTTTACCAGACAGCATCCTCAAGATGTCCACCTCCGCAGCCCCCGCCTCCTCCTCCACGCCCTCCGACTCTCCCGTCGCCATAGTATGCGTCGGCATGGCCGGCTCCGGCAAAACAACCTTCATGCAACGCCTCGTCTCGCACCTCTACACGCACCCGGATCCGACCTCCCGTGAACCCGCCGTCTCTAAGGACCCGCCCGCGCCGCCGTACATCCTGAACCTCGACCCCGCCGTACACCACGTCCCCTTCACGCCGAACATCGACATCCGCGACTCGGTGAACTACAAAGAGGTCATGAAGCAGTTCAACTTAGGTCCCAACGGCGGAATTCTCACGAGCTTGAATCTGTTCAGCACGAAGATTGATCAGGTTATCGGACTATTGGAGAAGCGGACGGCGCCGCCGGAACCCGCACCGCAGCCGGAGCAGACGACGGTTGAGTTTATGACGAATAAGGGGAAGGCAGCGGCATCGACTGTGGAGCAGCCGCAACGGGTCAAGCATATCTTGGTGGATACTCCGGGCCAAATTGAGGTCTTCGTCTGGTCGGCGAGTGGAGAGATATTGCTGAGCAGTTTGGCGAGCACCTTTCCGACGGTTATTGCGTATGTTATTGATACGCCGCGGACAACGAGCACGTCCACCTTCATGTCGAACATGCTGTATGCATGCTCGATCCTGTACAAGACAAAACTGCCTATGATACTGGTTTTCAACAAAACGGATGCGCAGGACGCGACTTTCGCAAAGGAGTGGATGACGGATTTCGAGGCATTCCAGAATGCGCTGAGAGCAGAAGAAGAGGGGGGTAGCTTTGGTGGCGAAGGAAGCGCAATTGGAGGCGGTAGCGGGTACATGGGCAGTCTGCTAAACAGCATGTCACTGGTATTGGAGGAGTTTTACAAGCATCTGAGCGTGGTGGGAGTCAGTGCGATGACCGGCGATGGCATGGACGAGTTCTTCAAGGGGGTCCAGGAAAAAAAGGAAGAATTCGAGCGAGACTACAAGCCCGAACTCGAGCGCCGCAGGGCTGAGCGGGAGAAAGAGAAGTTGGCTGCCCGGCAGCGGGAGCTCGACAAGCTGATGAAAGACATGAACGTCGGCGGTGCAAAGAAGCCCAAGAAGGGCCCGAAGAAAGAAGAACCAGAGACCGTAAGCGATGCCGAGGATATGGATGAGGAGGGCATGCAGGTCGATGATGAATATGACTCAGACGAGGACTACGAGAACGCGGACGGCGGACTCAAGCAGCGTTACCAGCAGGCGATGGAAGACAGCGGCGCCCCATCCGGAGACGACTTCAGCTTCGTACGATACATGCATAAAGCCAATCTCGGCTGAGCAATGTGTCAGGCCTTGCATATTCATCAAAGGTTGCGAGTTGCGGCACTACCTTCGCCTCCGGAAGTGTGGTCGCAATCGGAATCTCAATGCATGAATAGAGTTGGTAGCTTGTTGGGCAGAGCTTAAAGGATGGTTGCAGATTGGGGCCTCAGCTCACTGTACGCCATGCCCCAAAACAGGAGTCTTCGGCCTCAATACGATGTCTTGCGCGAACAGCGAGAGGGTGCGGAACCAGACTCCGAGCATGTTGGAGAAGATATTTCTGAAGGAAGAAACATTACTTCCGTCGGACTGAGTCATGTCTTGGACACAGCGACGGAAGAACGCATCGACAAAAGCGGGAGCTTGCATACCCCATACAACGCAGTCTAGAAGTTCGAACGAGAATTGTTTCGCGGAGCATGTGATGGACCTAAGTCAGCTCGGCGTGGAAACCGTGTGGGCTCTGAATCTGGTTCGTGTGCTGTGTCCCTGCCCATCTGCCCTCAAAACCCCTCTCTTGTACGACTTCCATGCTGGCAGACCCCAGGTACGGATGTGCAAGCCAATCATTGACAGCCGTTGGACGACATCTGTATCGCATACTTGCGTATCTGCAGCCAGCCTCCTGCCCCGTGGCCCTTGCTCTTTCAACTGGTCACAGCTCGCTTCTAGACGTAATCTTCGGCGATTACACTGACGATCATTTGCAGGAAAGATGAGAGCTTCCTGCAAGAAAGATGATGGCTTGCTTCAGGTCCAGCGCCACCGTTGCGCCGAATATGCTGGAAGCCTTTTTCGACGCAGGAAGCACGGCATGTGCCCTTGCAGAGACGAAGTCAAAGAAAGGAAATGACAGGCCCACTGTAAATGTTGAGATGTGCTGCGGGCATATAAGGCCAAGCCCAACCCTGGGGCCGTTTGGGAGATGAACGAGGGTCTGGAGGCCTGTATCCGAGGATTCTCGTGGGCACTGTGAGACGGTGCGACGGGGTACGCACTCCCGCTTTTGGTGTTCAGTGTACACATGGCGTTTTGGTGCTACCTCCGAAGCTGGGACAGGAGGGCGTCCGGAACTTGACAATAGCAAAGCAAAGGAAAGCCTCAATCTGAGAGCAGTAAACGAATTCCCTCGAATCGGCCATGGCATCTGCCATCTGAAAATTCTCCGAAGATGAGCGAAGTCCAAACGTTGACAGGCGCCTCCCGACCCTACACCCGATACTCGGATCTTCGTCAATCTCAGGAACCCCTGTCGAACACGGCTTGCATTCGTGACTTGCGGATGCTGAAACAATGACCTGCTGCTCCCGATCGTTTCCCCGCCATGCTGTCTTACCTGTTTTTAGATCTGCAGGCAGATAGACGTAGCACGGCAGCCCAGTCATTCCGCCACAATCTGGCAGGGCAGCCAATGGAAAAAGAAATGAGAGACAGATCCACTGGACAGGGACTGGGGCTGTTTGGGCCGCCAGCCATCTCGAGTCTTCGACCGCAGATGCGGTTGGATGCGTGGCCGTTGCGTTACGTGTGTAGAGTTGAATGCGAGGTGCAGGGGGAGTTACGCTGAGCAAGAATAGGCTTTGAGTAAGAGGAAACAATGTGGGAGAAAGAATGGTACTGTGGCCGAATAAGAGAATTGCAATGCGGGGAAGTCAGAAAGAAGACGTGAGTGTTTACCACGACGTCCATTGTGCCCAAAAGACATAGGCATGCGTGGTGAGCGCCAAGAAGGGAAAGGACGAGTCAGTCTGTGTCAGGAAGGGACGTTAAGACGCGGAAGTCGCATGGCTTTGTGCTGCCCAAGCGTAAGGATGCGAGGAATCGTATCGCAAAGCTTGTCGAAGGGTACTGCGGCGGCGCGGTACCGCAGGGAAAGGCTGTGGCGAAACGTAGAGAGTCGGGTCCTGGTGCTTGTGCTCCCATCTCATCTGCAAGCAGGAATGGCGAACGCTTGGGCTGGAAACAGAGGCTTCCGCGGTCTGGATGTCCTTGCTTGTGCGTACCCTTCCGCAACGCGGATAAGTGCGGCTGACGGGCCGGGCGTCAACGACTATTTTGGTGGTGAAGTGTGTTTGAGGAAGAGCAGAGGCTGGGAAACGGCGCCGAAAAGCGACCGAGGCGTGAGCGCCGAACAAGAAGCAGTGACACCTCGCACCTTCCCCTCGCCGAGTTGTCGCCGCACCCTCAAAACATCTTACGATTCTGTCTTCGCAAAGCCATGTAGTCTCCGCAAGCTTCACGCCTAGAGCAACCCTCGCTGCCAATCACCCGCAACGGTCCCAAGTCCTTCCCGCCGCGCCCTGCCGGAAGGGGTTCACGTGCAGATCAGTGCGCGGTCTTGGCCTAGCCCTAGACATGCAGGGCCCATGCCTTAACGCGTTTATTGGCGGGGACGTTGTACCATGGCGCTGACGACAAGGTTCTTCTGTGCGTAAGGTAAGGTAAGGTTCACGCAGTGCAGTGGAGAGGAGAAAGGCCGCATATTCGTTTATGTGGCTGTGGCAAGCCGTCCGGGTCGGCTGGCCACTTCCCCAAACACGAGCCCTCTGTGTAGCATCCGCTGCAGGGTTGAGGGCTGTTGAAGGGTGTTCGGGGGCTTGAGCCAGAGATGGGGCGCTGTGGAGAACGATTGGGCCGGAACAGAGCGCGGTCCATTGATAGCACAGCGGAACGAGACTATTTAACAGCTATGCGGGGCAACGATGGCGTTCTCCGTGAATGTAACTGCATCTATATGAAATGGAGCTGACAGGACGCGCCGGTGACCCCAGGCTAAGTTTAATGTGTTGTTTCTTGTCTTAGTGCATTGCTCATTCCGAAGCTGCCGTCCACGGTCTGCTAAATTTGTTGGGAAAGTCTCGCGTCTGCTCGGAGAAGGTCCTGGTGAGTTCGCATGTGTCACTAGATCTCTTCACGATGCACGGAACCAGGATGGGGTCAGAATTTGCTTGTCATTGTCGGGTGCTCCCTATGTCGAACGACCCGAAACCCCTCACATCGCCCGTAGCGATCTTCCACAGATTGTTGCGAAGTATGAGAAAATCAAACGCGAAGTTGTGCACCTTCATCAAGGGCGGGGTATCCATGTTTGCCCTAGTTCCTGATCTCACCTGAAGATTACCCCTGATCACCGATGCGTCCCCCAGGCACCGGTGCCAACAATGCAAACGCCCAGCTAAGCGGCCAAGTGATACCGTTTGTGGGAATAGACAGAGCAAAATCAACCGCCCGAACAAGTCAAAACAAAGGCCGAGGGGAACCAAAGTAGGCCCAGCCGAGAGACAAAATACACGGTAGAAAGGAAGCCTAACTGTAGGGAAAAGAGCCGCAACCCCTGAACGCCTCATCGAAATCGTAGCCATGACGGCATGCGTCTATTGCGTGAAACCCGTAATTTTGATACTCGAACAAAGCCATTCGTAAAGGCGGACGCCAAGCCCCTGGCTCAGCAAGTGATTATCCACGGACGGACTCTGGGCATGCTGATACGGAGATAGGAATTGGTGGAGCGTTAGGGCAAGTCTATGACTCGAACTTGCGCTTTTCCCCGCTTGCGGCGATGGCAAGGGCATCTAGCCCATAAGAAGATCCCATGGAGAAGCCGTGGTTCATTGAGAAAGCGGTGGGGTCGGGATAGGGCGAGCGTTGGGAATAGTCGCTAAACGACTCTGCGGGCTGCACTGCGGGGGCAATTGCGAAGCCGGAGCCTGAGGGGCTGGCCGGAAGAGAGGGATCTACCATGGAAAGGGAAGAGAGGGATGGCACGGAAGACTGGATGGGAGCAGGCTTGGGTCGCTTTGCCTGCTGCTTGGCCTTCTTCACGCTGGTATCGCCGCCTTTGGCAGCATTGCGCCCACTCTGGTGAGTGCGGCGGTGCTGCTCCATGTTGTCTTTGCGGGTAAAGGCCTTGTTGCACTCGGGGCAAAACGCATCCTTCTTGCCCGTGTGCTTCTTGGCGTGGCGCGCGGCGTGGCCGGAGGTAGTGAAGTGGTCGCTGCAGTTGAACTCTTTAGCCAGTGGACAAGGGTAGCTGTTCTTCTTCGACCGCGGATTAGGTGCCGCCGACATGTTTTGGCTCTCTGTCGCCTGCTGAGGCCGAAAGTATGCGGCTTGCGACGCGCCCGTGGCATGGTACGGTAGCGGTCCAACGGCTTGGGGAACAGGTGGGTAAGCGGAGCCCAGCTCCTTTTGCGTTGGGAAGAAGCTAGAATGCGAAAAGACCGGGGAGGCCATGCCCTGGGCGGGAAGGCCCTCGAAGCTAAACTCTGGCGTAATGGGCGAGGGAGTCTGCATGTTGGTGGAATCCGAGGAGTCGCTGCGCACAAGCGGAGGCGTTGGGGGAGAGCTCACTGGCGAGGTCGCGTAGCTCGATGTTCTCGAACGAAGGGAAAGCGCGAGCGACGGCAGGCGGACGGGCTGGGAAGGAGGTTCTGGGTTGTCGTTCAACAGAGAAACTCGGCGGCCGGAGGAGTTCTTGCCGTCCATGATTTCTTAGTGGTCGGGGGCCAAACACGCGCCAGTGAGAGGAATGTGCCCAGTCCGCGGGGTGAACAAGGCACCGAGTCGGGACGGTGTCACACGTGAAAAGCGTAGAGATTTCAGAGAGCAAAGCCGAGCGGGCGGCAGCGCGCTGTATATTTATCTGAGCGAGAAGACGGCTGTGGAGGCGGCAGCAGTGTGAGGGCGAAGGAGCGTGAAGAGCACGCCAGAGCGCGGCAATGGCAATGGGGCGGGGGAAACGCAGGCGTCTGGAGGTGAAGTGGCAGGTTCGCACGATGGAAACAGCAGGCGCGGGACATGATCTTTATGAGGAGCGCGGCAGGGACGAGGGAGGTCCGGCGAGCTTCTTCCAAGGGAGATGTGGGTTTGGCCGGCAGGGGAGCAGGCTTGGGGAGGCCCGGGATCAAGGCTGATGCAAAATCCCATGCCGCAGAATGCCATCGGCCCAGAGTGCATCTCCATGCTGTACCAAGGGTGCTAGCGTGTGCCGCCTTGGCCGGCGGTCCCACGACGTAAGCCACTACAGCTCGCCTGTTTTGGATCGGCCAGCGCCCTGCCGTTGCGGGCATGGCGCGCCTCACCACCGCCCGCGGGCCACAGGGCTCTGCTCCCAGGCGTGCGATGCCGTGTCGCTGTCAACGCCCGACACCCGCCAATTTGCGCGAGCGAGCGCTGCTGAAGCCTGAAGGCCCTTCCGGACAGCCAAGCTCAACGAAGACTCGGACTCGGCGGGCGGGCCAATCACGGCCGGGCGCAGATCTGACGCCGCTAAGCAGGTTGCATCTTCGATCGATCGATCACAGTCGAAAAGCACTCTCCAGGGAACAACAGCTTGCCAGCCAGCCAGCGTGCCAGCTCACGCGCCCGGCTCCTTTGCCACTGTGGCAGTCTGCCCAAGCAAATCCAGGGTTTACAGTAGCAGGCCTCGCAGCCACCGCTGCATGTCGCGGATGTAACACAAGCGCACTCGCTCGACGCGTCTATTTACCATACCCGTCACTCAATTGCTCGAGCCCTGGGGCTATCCGCGGCACAGGAGTTCCATACCAGCCATCCGCCCTCCTCAGCGGCGAGCTTCCTCCTGGCTCCCCATCAGACGGTTCCGCACACACTTCGAGGGTCGTCCGTAATCAGGGTCCTCCACCGGCGCACGAGCCACCAGTGCTCGTTTAGGGCGGCCGCCAGGGCTCCCCTGCTAGCGCGCTATCGAAGTCCAGATCCACGCGCGATTCCTCGATCCTCAACGTCAGTCTACACTGAAGTGACGTCCTTCAGCCACATCACCTTGTTCTGCCACATTTCCACCGTTTCCATTTTTACGCCGCCGCCTCTTCCAAGGTTCCTTGCCAGGACCCTTTCAAGCTTTCCTCGCTGGCGGCTACAGTAGCGGCCAACGATCGAAAATTTCAGCGCATCGACGCTGCTCCTGTTTCCGCTCTTCCCGATTACCCTCCTACCTCCAGGTAGATCCACGAAAGCGTCGCCCGCCATGCCTTTCTCACTTTGCGATCCGCCGCTGCTCATGCAGGGAAGCCAGCCTCGGCGCCGGCCCTTTCAGCATGACATCATGGCTCTTCGAATGAAATATGCAGGGAGCTAGCGTGGGCCTTTCCCAAATCTAGAAGCCCCACGAGCAGGCTCCGAGGTCTATTGCGGTCTACAATGCTTCCAGATCCCCAGCGCAGGCGAAGACGACTTATGCCGTTTCGAGCCCTGCGTTCTTTGGGCACATTCCGCTAGAGTATCCACGGACCGGCACCGGGATTGTTCGCGTCAATCTAATCTCTGTATGCTTCGGGTGTGGAAATTCAATCCACCACAAGCGCCACGTGCTGTCGATATGCAGCCAAACCAGCTTGCATGGCCGATGGATGTTGTGGCGCGAGCGCGATCAGATGTGCACGGCCGTGAAAAGCAAAATCAACAGTGGGAAGTCGTTATCAACGCCATATCGACCAGATGGCGCCCAATTGGAAAAGAAAAGTCAAACGGTCACCCATGGCTTGCGTACGAACAGCAGCTGGAGATACCGCCTACGAAGGTTAGAATTTGCGCCCGTCACTACCTGCCATTCCGCTGCTATGGTACCCCAGATCAGGTAGATCATTGGACGGTTCAGAACATCGGATAGGATACTCAGTCTATCCTAGCAGCTGTTGTACCCAGGTGGTACGTGGATGGAAACCCGTAAAGGAAACCGGTTAACATCAAAGTTACAAGTCCTCACTCTCGTCTTGCCAGACTTTCCACTCCCAATGGCCAGACGTTTCTCTACCTCAATACCGCAAGAAGCACGAAACAAGATTGGCAGCTCTCGACAGCCTTCCTGGCTTGTCGAGTATGTCGAACCCCTAGCCCTCAAAACGATAAGATGAGGAGTAGCCCCTGACAAGCCTACGTGTCCGTCTTCGCAGATGAATCCAACTAGCACATCCACTCACGATAGCGTCCCTTCATCGCTCGAGCTTCCAAGGTTTGGGATGTCCCCGGAGCGGCGCCTATCACAGTAACGCGTCCGCAAGGCTTACCAGCTATATCACGGTCGGTCCAGACTTTGACGCCGCTTTCGAAAGTCCAGGGGCGATTATTATTACTCCTTCCATAGAAACGGGACGGGGAGAACTACCATAATTCGCCCAATTGTGTCCAGCCACACCACCTGCGTACTCAGAGCATTTCTACGTAACCAGAAACCGTTCACGCAAGATGCCGACGCGATGCCGGCTTCTAGACCATCACTCCCTGCAACCCGATCACGGAAGGTTTTGGATACGACTTCCACAGGAACACTAAACCTCTCCTACTCGTTGGCTTTAACTCCGCTGGAACAGCCTCTGCACCCCCAGATCTTGGCAACGCCTGCGCGCGCTCTGCTAGCTGTTGTACCCAAGTTAAGCGTCATTGTTTGGTCGATGGCGCGTCCGCTTCCTGCGAACCGCTTCCCCGGCGTCGAAGGAAAGACTACGGAACACCCTCGACCAAGGTTCGCCCTTCCGTTACGCAACGCCCACCGACGAGTGCACTATCCGTTACTTCCGACGTCCTCACAGATTATTCGAGGATGACTTAGGCCCCACTATTGACTTCGCACGCGACGGAGACGCACAGAATGTGAGTGAACAATCTCCGCATATTCAATTGCTGTGGCAACCGACGAACTCCAAAACACCCCCCGTTTTCTGCCACCGTGATGTCATTCATCGCGAGATCGAGCCATTGTGTGCTGAGTTCCCTGACGGCAGTGTGGAGCACACGCCACATGTAGAGCTCCTAGGATCCATTCAAGCTTCGGACCCTTGAGCGTTCTTAGCGCGGAAAATTCCCCCTCGCTTCATTCGTTCCTGGGAAATTATCGTCTGGTTATTGGCCAACGATTGCAAGAACCCCTGTCGCTACCAAGACATGCTCGAGCATTCGCAAAGCCGCGTCCAGACGGCAAGACGGCTCGCGCACATCTCTGCTTTTGCGATAGCATCCTAATTGGGCCTTAGTGCATGCAGCATAATTCGCCACCTATCATGATCTTGGAATGAAAGGACGGCAAGAGTAATCATAGTCAATACCAGGAACGCGATACGAAGAACTCACTGCAGAATCCAGTTCCCATCCCACCTCGCTTAGCTCAGGGTTCAGGTGACGGGTGCCAGGTACAAGACCCTCTCTTTGAACGAATGCGTACGCAACGTTTAGGCAGGATAACACCCCTTCGCTCCTTCTATTTTATACTGTGCGCTTCGATTCTCTATATGGCGTTGACGGTGCTAATGACAACCTTGAGAGGTTTCCCAAGGGTTTGCACTAACACGAATATCACGTGCAGTCGAGCCTCAGCTACAGGAGCCGTGTTACCGATTACGGTACAGTTATGTGGAACAGATTCCGCGATGCTATTCCATGAGCAGCGTTATCACTCCGCCCTGGTTATCTTTGTTCTTGCAAAAGCGCGAGTAATGCATGGCCTCAGCTCGTGCTTTTTGCGAAAAGACGCTATAAGCTCAGCATAGCGGAGGCTTTTTTGTTCTGCACATGCGGTTGGGGCAGCCCGAGCTTGGCTAAACACTAGGATATATTTATCAGAGCCCCGCGCGTCTCCTCACCTTTCGGTCCAGCCTGGCTTTCCCCACCGCGAACCTCAGAGTCCACAAAATGGGGTCGTTCACAATAAGCCCTGGGGCTGCATTTGTTGAAAGCTCTTGGGCAGTGGCACCGAATAGTTCTCTCCCCCAGAGGATCCGACATTACGCTTCGCTTCGCTAACTCGACGCTTAGCAGTTCCCCATATCAGTTATCGCGGGGGATCCGCTTCATGGCGTTTCTGGGCCTGCAGAGTGGAGACGCCCATGCCTGACTCGCTGTTATCATCGAGAAGTAATAATGAGGTATTGTGGTGTTGAGGGGCAAGTCGCGATGTTGATATGCAGGCGATCGCGAGGGGGACGGGATAGGTTTGGATAGTCCTGCCGGAGCGGGGAGCAATGAATGGTTGGGAATGTTTCCGTTGCTGCTATCCCTAGTAGGTAAGTAGCTGCAGAGATCGGCCCTGCTCAGCTGATGGACAGGCGACTCTCGCGCGTGAATTGTCCAGGGTACGCTGGCCGAGGTTCTAGGTAAGCCGCGGAAAGAAGGGGATGTGAGGTAAGTGTTTACTTTTCTTCCAGGTCATTATTCAACAAGGCTTTCGTCTTGTTGACGACGATGAGCTTGCGTTCGCCACTACTGCAATGCCCTGTTCCATTTCCCCTTCAAGCAGTTTGCAGCTCCTCAACGCCCCATCGGAACTAGGCTCCTCTTCTCTTCATTTCTCTCGTCTTCCCTGAGTCCCGTATCTAGCACTTTCTTATATTCTCCAAAGGTCATTTCCCAGGGCAATGTCTTGCTTCCTATCGCCCATAATCCATTCAGCGTCCTTCCAAACGAGCGCCTCGGGGGCCGATAGTCTAGTGAACGTTCATCCCGGCGAACGTATAAATGATCCAAACCAATCGCACCTTGCCCACCTAGAGTGCCAAACAACCCCAGCTCAGCAAGTTCACAGTCTTACTAGACTGTCTGTAGGCCCGCCCATTCGAGCATATACCCGTGTCGTCGCTCTATACACGGAAGAAGAATAAGTCCCCCGACGTGTTGCGTGCGTGACCAGACTTGTGGTTTCCATCCACTGCGAGCCTTCAGGGCTGTCAAGCAATAATGTATATGCAGCACGCATGCATTATAACTTCCCCCAAACCTCTTCGCCCGCTGAAGCGCCTTCTTCAGCGCTGGAGATTTCGCTGTTCTCGCTCATCGATCCTCTCTCGTTGGTGGAAGCACATACCCATTTAACATCTCCAGCGCTGAGGTGTTGACGGGGAGACAGAGCCCTCAGGCCTCCCGGCCCAAACATCCACAATCCAGTAACTCGATCTAGAACCGGCGCGGGACGGACGGGAACGCACGCACACGTCGTCCCTCCCTATGCACGATCCCCGTTTCCATTTCCGACTTACTTTATTTCACCGAGGGCATCGTCGCCGTGGCGGAATATCTGCAGGTAAAAAAGAGGCTGGTGTCAATGGGGAAGGGAGGAAGGGAGGTGGGTATTCTCCATGCACTGTCCCAGACCCTGAAAGTATTTAGTCTTAAGAACGACTTCAGCTTAGTGAAGTTCAGCCCAGTCAATACCAACTAGAATCTTAAATCGAAAATTCTAAACCGAGGTATGTATCCGTCCCTTACTTACCCACTCATCCTCCTTCCCCTGGGAAGCGGAGTATGATAACCCAACCAAACAAAGCCATACCATTACAGCGCAGCCGTAGCTGGAGTGGAGGCCGGAGTAACTAGCTCTTCCCATCCCGCTCGCTCACTGAGGCTAAGACTAGGAGAAACCTTTACTCACTCGGAGATCCGTTGAACCTTCCCTCCCTGCCCGCTGATTTACATGTGCACTGCCGTGCTCGGTGCTAGGGAAGAAGGAAAGGCCAGCACGGGAGCGGCGCCGTCCGAGGCAGCGAGAGGAAAGGAAACGAAACAAAGACTCAAGGAGTCCTTCCTTCCTTTCGTGAGCAGTTGCGAGGCTTAAGAAACATACTTGGGCTAGCATGCACGCGGCGTGCTCTGAACTGAGCTGATTCGTGATTTGACTTGACTTTTGACTGACTGACTATCAATGTCCCACCCAGCCATCCCGTGTCCCTATGCAATTCTTCGTCCTAGGCTACGCTAATCCAATACACAAGGGATGCATATCCAGTCCAGTCCAGCCATGGTACCTAAGTTTCCTCGATCATATATATCCGAAAAATCATAAACAAACCCCCGCGCTACCATCAACGACACAAGCGACATCTCCCACCACCCTTCTCACATCGCGCCATAAAACACATCCTTAAGCACCGGCCGCCCCTCCAGCACCCCTCTCTTCCCCGCCGTAAACACTTTGCCCGGCGTCTTCCGCCCCGTCTTGAGAACCTCCAGACTGCTGGCCGGCGACTTCTGGCTCGCGGAAGCCTTCTTCGTCTTCTTCGTCAGTGGCTTCACGTTCGCCTGGCCACCTCCAAACGTGACGTCGCCCAGCGCTTTCCGCTTCTTAGCCGGGCTCGGCGTCGGCGACTTGCTGGCGGCGGGAAAGCGAGACGGAGGATAGATGTTGGTCTTCGAAGACGATGTTTTCCCCGTTTGCGTAACGCGTTCGTCGAAAGAGTGGCCGTCGAGCATGTCCTGGGACAGGTCGAGAACCCACCCTTTTTCCCTGCATAGAGCCACTATGTCTCTGAGAAGCTCGTTGCCAGACAGCGTCTGCTCGCTGCCCAGGATGACAAGTTTAGAGCGGGCTCGCGTCAGCGCCACGTTCACCCTCCGTCTGTCCTTCAGCAAGTCCCCAACCAACCCGTTCTCATTGCTCCTCACACAACTCACTAGCACGACCTCTTTATCCCGTCCCTGAAATTTGTCTGCTGTGTGGAGCTCTACGGCTGCGGCACCGGGTCCCGTAGCTGGTGCCGCGAGTTCAGAAGACTGGGTTTGCGTGTGTGCGGAGGAGAGAGAGGTACGCAGGAGGGCGAGTTGCGAGCGATAGAAGGCGATGATGCCTACCTCAGAGGCAGGGACGCCGAGTGAGAGAAGGGAGAGAGTCAGGTGCGTTATTAGGCGCGCCTCGAGCGTGTTGGTGATGCGCGAGCCGGACTGGCTTTCGAGGAACGACGAGATAGTGTCCGTGTTTATGAAGACGACGGGAAAGTTTGGAGAAAGGGAGCGAGAAAGCCAGCAGCTAGGTGATGTAGGACCGCTGCATGTGGGGCCGGAGAGCACCCGCGAGGGGTGCAGTTTGTGGTGGTGGTTCAAGAGGCCGGATGGATTTGGGAGCGTAAGCTGGCGGGACGCCACGGAACGTGTGCCGCATTTGAGCCGTCCAGAGTATATGAAGGTGTTCGAGAGCAGCATGATATCGGCACACATGCGGTATTGGTGCTCTAGACTGACGACAGCCTCAGGGTGCGATTCGCACAGGAGCTTGAAGAGCGAAACGTCAAGTCCTCCTTCCAAGGCCTCCTTGTTCTGGACTAGTGGAGGAAGCTGGTAGTGGTCTCCTACCAATACGAACTTCTGCGACATTCGAATTGGCCCTAGGCAGACAGGCAGCGTAATCTGGGATGCTTCATCCACGATGCAATAGTCGAAAATCCTTCGGTTGAAGAGTGGATGGTTTATTGTCAGACACGTTGTCGCAACCACCGGTGGCTCCATCCATGATTTCTCAAGTTCTTCGAGGCTGTCTTTTGGTTCCGCGGCCAGAGTCGCGAACTGCCGGACTTCAGGATGTATCTTCGCGGCTGCACCGAGACGGAGGATGCCAATATTGTCGTTCCGAATCTTGAGTAGGATGTTGTCGACCGCAGTGTGCGTGTAGGAAGTAAGCAGTACGCTCTTTCCTTTCGCTACCAGCGCCCGAATGATGTGCGCAACTGTTGTCGTCTTTCCGGTCCCGGGCATACCAAGCACAAGAGCGTAATCTTTGGCCGACATGATCTTAGATACTGCTGTCTTTTGGTCGGTGTTCATCGTCATCTGTGAGGACTGAGGTAGCTCGGCGGCGCTAGGGGCGGCGGAGAAAGTAGGAGCCCGTCCATCAACTATCAAGGAGCGGAGGTCCCTGGCTTTGTAGACGCTATCATCCATAATTTGGATCAAGTTGTTGCGAGCGGCCGCCATTCCATTGCTGAACTCGTCTTTGTCTAGGCGGTAGAGGACAGGCTCCTCTTCGTCTTGGTACTGCTGCACAAGTTCGCCTTCCTTGCGAACGTCCATGATGCCCGCGAAGGTTTGGTTGTGCTCCGGGTCGAATCCAGGAAGCTTCGTCCGAGAGTTATGCAATCGTCTATCTACGGCAACGGTGATGCGGCGCTTCCGAACGTTTGTAACGTATCCGTTCGCGAGTGCGAAATGCCCTTGCTCATCCGAAACGACGATAGGCTCTCCGATGATGAGCTGCGACTCAGTAAACGAGAAGCCAGGTTTCGGACGTTGCTTGATGAACGTGTAGGTATATCGGTTGATCTTTTGGCCATTCTTCTCTTCATGTCCGGATCCGGGTTCCAGTATCACGTTCGAAAAGCATCGGCCTAGCTTTTCGCGCTCCGTGCTGAGCATAGTCCACAACTCTCGCCTGAATTTCATCATGTCCGATTCTTCCTTGGTGAGAAGCGTGTCCCACATCTTCATGAAGTCCTGATCTGAGGGTTTGAGGGACTTCACAAGCTCATCGTAGCGCTCCTTCGCCTTCTTATTCAAGCGTTCACCCTGGCCATCCTCAACCAGCTTGTGATAGAGGAAGCATGGCTCTTGTGCGTAGCACTTCTGGCATTTGTGGTCTTCCTTCAGAACAGGAGGCAGTTCGATGCGATCTCGAACGTAGCAAGCCAGCTGGTTGCGCTGAATAATCATATGGATGATGTCGTTTCGAATTGCGGGAATGCGGCTTATGTCGGAGGTCTCCAGATAATACAATATACCGTATGCAACGTCAAGGTCTAAGGGATTAGCGGAGGCCAAGGCGGATAGGGGCATAGGGCCCATATGCTCACCATATCTGTTCGACAATAAAAGATTATACAAGGCTGTCTGTGCAACATGCGCTGCGTTGCTGGAATTTTTGCCGGTCTTGACTTCGAACGGAACTGTAAGAGTTCGTTCGCCTTGGTCGTCCTGCATAGTGACTTGCACAGTAGCGTCGATGTTCCCTTTGAGACCATACATGGGTGACCATACGTGCTCTTCAACATCGAGAAGTTTGTTGATGCTCATGATCGACTGACGGCCGTTTCGATCCCGAACTACGGCATCAGCCTGGTGGAAAGTCAGCATTCGGCAGATTTATGAGGGGTTTCGCTCACTCTTGGTTGCGCTCGGACGAAAATCTCAGCCCAGGACTGTAGCTCTGGTAGCTTACTGCTCAGATGCTCCTTGACTTCCTCACAAGTCGATTCGATCTCCAGGATGGTCTCGAACTTTCCGGGCAGAAGCAGATCGATAGCCTCCAACAGAAACTTGGAGTCCCACCGATTGGCTCTCAATGCTTCTTGGAACAGCTCATGGAGGAGGGTCCCGTACAGCATTGGCGCATTTGCTTTGCTCGTCGCTTTGATCCGATCCTGCAGAACAGCTCGCCGCAGGCAACCGAAGGAGTCTGCTACGACAGTGGCGGATATTAAATGATCCGGATGCAAGATAAGCATGTTGTGATGATCGTCAATAATACACTGTCCTGTTTTTGAGAACTCTCCGATGACGTGGACGAAGGATTCGGGAGTACATGGCGTGTCATACCAAGCTTGCCGGAGGGTGATGGCTTTGAAGAGCTTTGTTTTCTCTTCTTCAACAAGCAGGACCTAGAGCATGTTAGCCAAGAGAAGTCGAAGACTCTGAGACAAGGTAAGCGCACCTTTTCGGGCATCTTGTGCCCTAGCTCAGTGGTGTAGGATCCTTCATCTACTCGCTTGATGAGATAGCGCTGGATAGCTCTGGCATCCTGTTGACTCTTCGAGATTCAGCATTTCATTCATAACTCAGTGTGTGGTCTACGTACAGTCGTGGCAGGCGCTTGCGTTGCTGCAACCTCAGCCGCAGCAAATACATCAGTATCAATATCATCGCCAAAATCATCAGAATCGTCATCGACTAAATTGATGACCGGAGGAGCAGGCGCTGTGTTCGTCGCCAGAGCGTCCCCGGCCACGGCGTCTGCTGCAGCCTCATTATCCTGCGGCGACTCTTCTGGCCTATTGTCGTAGAGCGAGGCAACCTTCTCCAGATCTGCGGCAAAGATGTCCTCGTCGTCTAGCCCAAACTCATCATCGCTATCCGCATCGTTTGCAGGTACCGGCGCCGGCATTGAAACACGGGGAGATGGATCCGGGCCGGGATCTACGGGCTCTGTGGGTACGGATACGCGGTTCTCAACCGGTTCGGGAGGCTTATTAGATATCTCCAGCGCATCCACCATCTCACTATCGAAGTCGGCGTCGCCAAACTCGTCGGAAGACCCTGAAGATCTCCGCGCTTCGTCCATCGCCTCGTCTTCATTCGCACCGCCGAAGGCTCCTCCCACTGTCTCGGAGGTCTCGGCATGCTGGTCCTCATCACGACCGCGTCGTTGCAGGGGAGACTCGGCCGGAGGAATATGGCGCTCGGGCTCCGGCAATGGGGACGAGCTGGACGGTATCTGAGAGGAGATTCTTGACTGCGGCTTTGATATCGACTCGCGCATTCTCTGAAGCATGCCAGCCAGCTTGGAAGTCTCTGCGGGTTGTTGGCCTTGGAACACTCCATCGGAACTGGGAGCATTGAAAACATCTTCCGTGCGCCCTTTGTCGGCACCCAAGACTGCGTGGATCCTCCTCTTCTTCTTAGTCGAGGCTGGGAATTCGACTCCACAGCTAGCCCACCTCCTTAGCCCACTGACACTCCCGGCGGTTGCGGACGACCGCGGTGAAGATTCGTTGATGAGATGCGCAAACGCGACGCTCTTGTTCGCGCTCGGCGTGCCCTTGTTGTTTGTGTACCGGTTCCACAGTTCCATTGCGGGATCCGCCTGAGGCGTTGTCAACTCTTTCCTGACCGAGTCCTGCCTGGGTTCTTCTTGCGATGGTGCCGCTGGAGAGGAGCTCCTCGCTCGCTTCCTCCCTTTGCGAGGCAGCGGTGTGTTTACGGGTTGAGATCCTCGCCAACATAGTTGCTCTTCCGGAGAGACGATGGGCTTCGCTATATGTCTTGAAGAGTCGTCCACATTTCCAACCAAATCGGCCAAAGGAAGTCTTGTAGCTGGCGTCGAGGGAGGAGGGGGTTTCTTCGACTGGGCGAGGTTTGGTGTCTCGGAAGGCTTCTGGACATTCCGAACGCCTTCCACGACCTTGGACGTCTCTTTTGTTTGTGACGCCATAGGCATATTCTCCTTCTCTGCTTCGCGTTCGTTCATGTCCTCTACAACCGGCGCTCCTTCAATAAATTGGAAAGCCTTCAGCTTCGTCCGTGTGTGCACCGAGGGCATAATGGGTGGTCCAGTCACGACCCGGCGTGGTGGTGGAGGGGCGTTGTGATTATTCTGGTGTGAGAAGCCGGCAGCGTTGCGGGGACGGTGCTGCCATTGGCCCTTGAATTGCTGGAGCAACGCAAGTCAGCACACAAATGTTGTTGAAAAGCGGGTGGAGTTGGTGGGGCCTACCTTCGGCTTCGGATCTTGGTCAAAGAAGGACTTCTGACGCGTTGACATAAGGATGGATACGCGTGGGTGTTAGCATGGGTCGAGGTACCAGAGACGCGTCGTTGGCGCTCCAATCAGCGACAACGCCTAACGTAATCACGTGCTGACACAGTCGGGCCGATGTCGGGCCAAAGTAACTTTGGAAAGCCGCTTCGGTGCTCACAAGTCGAGCGTCCTGAGTCAATTGTTCAATATCCTATTCGAAATATCGCCGCACCGGAAGACAGAGTGGGCAAAGCATTGCTTTTGCAGCTTCCACGTTATCGATCTAGGAGCTTGGACCTCCCACACAACTTTCCCCAGGTCTCGTGCAGTCGGTGTGCGATTCACCCACAAACCGCTCACCACCTTCCTCCGTCTTTTCTCCCCCCATATCGCATTCAAGATGGCTGCCGAACCGAAGCCGCTGCCGTTCATCTACCAGTTCGCGGCCGGTGAGTCTCAATGGCCGCGGGAATAAGGTCAGATAGCTGACCAACGTCTAGGTGCCGTGGCCGGTGTGTCTGAAGTAAGTGCAATTGAGGCACAGGCGCAACATGAGAGCTAATGGAGGATGTGCGCGCATAGATTCTGATCATGTAAGAAGAAGCCATTGGTGTGTCCGCGCGTCTATCAACCGGTTTACTGACTAGGCCAGGTACCCGCTGGATGTGATCAAGACCCGAGTGTAAGAGGCTACCTACCAACTGGCGCAACCCATCCGCAGCATCTAAACGGCACAGACAACTCCAGACGGGCAAGGGCACCGGCGAAGGACATTACACCGGCATGGTCGACTGCTTCAGGAAGATCGTCAAGCATGAAGGGTACAGGCGACCACCGCACATCTCCGAGGACGTCGTCCAGCATTGACACGTTCCGCAGTGCTTCGAGATTATACCGCGGTATCACCGCGCCCATTCTCATGGAGGCGCCCAAGAGGTAAACCCTCTACCCTGCCTCTCCACCCCATCCCCCGTTACTAACAAGCCAAGGGCCACCAAGTTCGCAGCCAACGACTCCTGGGGCGCCTTCTACCGCAACGCCTTCGGGCAACCCAAAATGAACCAATCGCTCTCCATCCTCACGGGCGCCACCGCCGGCGCCACCGAAGCCTTCGTCGTCGTGCCCTTCGAGCTCGTCAAAATCCGGCTGCAAGACCGCGCCCAAGCACACAAGTACAACGGCATGCTGGACTGCGTGATGAAGATCGTGCGGCAAGAAGGCCCGCTGACGCTCTACCAAGGCCTGGAGTCCACAATGTGGCGCCACATCCTCTGGAACGCGGGCTACTTCGGCTGCATCTTCCAGGTGCGCGCGCTGCTGCCCAAGGCGACGAACAAGAAGTCGCAGATCTCGAACGACTTGATCTCCGGCGCCGTCGGAGGCACCGTCGGCACCATCCTCAATACCCCCATGGACGTCGTCAAGTCGCGCATCCAGAACTCGCCCAAGGTCGCCGGCATGGTGCCCAAGTACAACTGGGCGTGGCCGGCGCTGGGCACAGTCATGCGGGAAGAGGGCTTCGGCGCCTTGTACAAGGGCTTCTTGCCCAAGGTGCTAAGGCTAGGTCCGGGCGGTGGTATTCTACTCGTCGTCTTCACGGGTGTGATGGACTTCTTCCGGAAAATGCGCAATGAGTAGACGAGGGAAAAGCCGCCGTGGATGGCAGTACGCGAGTGTGCTAGAGATGCGTCCTCGATACCAATATCCCTCCCCGCGTTCCCCGTTGAGTCGTCTCATAGCTGCACCGCGGCATATAGACTGTACATCCTGTAACTGCTCGGCTATGTCTGTAGAGTAGACCACATCAAATCAGCCAAAACATCAATCCTGCCTCCTGTCTGGCGAATGTCACACGTTCGCTACAGAAGAGGCACTCAAATCGTAGGGTAACGTGAAGAGACGCTTTTTGCCCTATCTATCCTGGATATCGCGCACCCATCTATAAGAAGCCTAGATATACACTCGCTTTGAAAGGCTGCATGCATGCAATCGCCGCCATGTCCTCATTCCCCACATCCATCCCGCCGCTCCAAAGTACAGCAAAGGAACAATCACAGCGCGAACCCGGTCACGCAGTATCCTGTGTTACGACCCGACCCCCTCTTTCAGACGCAGTCAAAAACGCCGTGCCTCACGCGACAGTCCGATCCGGCAGACTCGTCTCGCCAGCCAGTCTCGACCGCAGCTCCTCCACCAGCTCCTTCTTCTCCACCACGACGCCATCCTTCTCAGGGTGTCCCTCGGGGAGTCCCATTTTCTTGATCTTGACTTTGCCGGCTTTAAACTCATCCTCGCCTAGGATGACGGCCCAAGGCACCTTTCCGTTCTCTGCCGCCTTGAACTGGTTCTGTAGCCTGGGTTTCTGTTTCCAGAGGTACTCGGCCTTGATGCCAGCGTCCCACAGCGTCTTGGAGACCTCCATGCGCTCGGGTAGCAGGCCCTTGAAGTCCTTTCCGCCGCCGAACGCCATGACGAAGACGTCCACCTCTGTCGGGCGGATGACTTGATCGGCGGACAGGCGCGCCTTCGTTATGCTGAAGATGCGGTCTACGCCGAACGAGATTCCGACGCAGGGGATAGGTTTTCCGCTGAACATGCCGACGAGCTCATCGTAGCGGCCGCCTGCTGCCACTGAGCCGACTCCTATTGTGGGATCATTTGAGCGATCCTCGTCCGGATCCGCGTTCTTCTTCTGCTTCTTCTCTTTCTTCGCGACATCCTTGCTTGGTGCTGAAGGTGCTGAGCCTTCTGTCACGACTTCGTAGATGACGCCGGTGTAATAATCCAGGCCGCGGGCGAGGGCCATGTCGATGGAGAGAGCGGGGAGGACGTCGAAGATTTCGAGGTATTTGCAGAGCATGGCCATATCTTCCAGACCTTGTTTCGCGGACGCGTTTTCAACAACTTCAGGCATCCCTTGGAGTTTTGTGACGACTTCTTTGCCGCCTTTTAGTTGGACGTATGTCCAGATCTTGTCGGCTACCGCAGAGTCGAGACCTTTATCCTCGGTCATTTCTCGCCGGACTTCTTCCCACGGTGACTGTGAATGTTAGCGATCCTCCATTTCTGAACGTGGCATCCTAGGTATTCACCTTATCCAGCTTATCGACCGCGCTGCTTATTGTCCTGATCTTGTCCTCCGGCACGCCACATATCTGAAAGATGCCGTCCAGTATCTTTCTGTGGTTGAGCTTGATTGTGTACTTCCCCTTCCACTCCGGCAGCTCCTCAAACACTTCCTTCACTATCCTCAGCACCTCCGCATCGGGCAGCATGGGGTCATACACCCCGGCAATGTCGATATCGCATTGGTAGAACTCTCGCATCCGTCCCTTCGTCATTGCCGGCTGATCTCGTCGATACACCTTAGCGATCTGATACCGTTTGATATTCTGGATCGCATTCTGGGCGCAGAACCGTGCGAAGGGAACCGTAAGATCGTAGCGTAATGAGCAGATCTCGCCACCTTGATCTGCGAGGTCATAGATGAGCTTGCTATCTTCTCCATATTTGCCTGTAAGGGTCTCCTTCAGCTCGAAAACGGGACTATCTCGAGTCAGCGACACGATGCGGAAGCGTGGTTGAGGGCGGCTCGTACGTATCTATTGTGACAGCGCCGTGGCGCCTGCGGTAACGGTTAGCTTCCCACTTCTTCTATGATTTATCGTTTATGCCAAGCCACATACTTGAAGACTCTCTGAATCGTCGAGAATATCTGTTCCCTTAGAACGACATCTGTTCCCGACCCTGCACTCAAGTCAGCTCCATTCCCCGCCTTAATACTTCCTAAACATACAATCCCGTGTGCCCTTAGGGGTCTTGAGCTGAAAATTGCCCTTCCCTTCTTTCCCCATCTCGTCGTACTGTTGGTCGTGTGCGCGCCGGTAAGCAGTAGTTGAATGCTTGCGCTCGAATCGAAGTTGAGCGGGCCAAAGGAAGGGTAACAAGGGTTTGGAGCGCGACGAAGAGCTAACGAAGCCTTGCTTTTTGGGAAGTGAAAGTACGAGCGTGCCGGCACGACGTAGGGTGTTTGGCGAGGGTAATGGGTGGTGGGGCGGCATGTATGGCGGGGTGACTCAAGAAAATGTTGTTTGCATGAACGACCGGCGAAACTTGGACCCGCTGACGCCGATCGAGGGTCACGTGAATTGCTCTTCCGCTCATGTACCTAGTTAGGCTTAGCATATGATCTTGTACAGTATACAACCATAATAGGGCGATTTTCTTGCTCAGAGGCCAGCAAATTCAGATGACTCGTCCCGAAGAGATTCATAGAGCCCCATCACTTCTCGAGCCAGCGAAGGATTCACTTCAACTTAATTACCTTGTACTCGATTGCAGCAGATGCTGGACTACATCGCTTCAACGATGAAGAATCCGAGGGTACAAGCTTCTCCAAAACAGGAGGGAATCGTTACTATTGAGCAGCCTCTGCAAGGCTGTCCAGAGAATCGTACTACAAAGTCGGCCATCCGAATGACTGTGTCTGGTATCCATATCCCAAGCGAGAGTGACTGACTGACTCCGTCGCTAATGCAAAACGCCATATGAGATGCCTCGTTCCCAATGCATAACCGCAATGTGCGCTATGTCGAGAGAATAAGCCCGATACTGTACTTCTGGGCGATAAGAAATTATCATTACACAGGAAAATACTAGTCAATTTTAAGGGTCGGATGCGATTCGTCGGTCCATTGCTAGAAAACAAGGACTAAGAGGGGGCGGAGAGCTGGACGAGAATGAGGGCTTGCGGGTTCCTAGGAGGAGAGAGAGAAATGTTAGCCTGCGGCTTGCAAGAATCTGATAATGATATAGATTCCGACTTAGCCGAAGACGGCGGAATTTTGGCGGGTACTGGTAGCACTACCTGGACCGCCTGAATTGCTCGACGTTTCGCTGCTCGGAGTCTGCGGTTCCAGAGACAGTTGTGCTCGCAAAGTCATGATCCAGTCGTGCTGCAAGAGTTCCACGGCCGAAGCGCGTTTAGTTGGGTCGCGCTCGAAGCATCTCTTCAAGAAGTCGATGCCTTGTTCGCTGAGCTGATCTTTGGTTGGAAGTTGAGGAGGGTCGCCTTGGGCAATGTGGTACATGATGGCCCACTCGTTGTCCATGCTAGCCCAGGGTCGGCGACCAGTTGCCATTTCCAAGATGACGCAGCCGAGAGACCAGATGTCGACTGCGCCGTGACGGCCTTGTCCCGAACCTCGAATAACTTCGGGCGACATGTACATCGGAGTTCCGGTCATCGAGCGCTGTCGGCCTTGTCGAGTAGCTGTGTGTTCAGCAGCCAAGGTTCTACCTTGCCTTGCTATGACTTTAGCAGCTCCGAAATCGACGAATTTGATGACTCCGTTGTGGTCCAACAAGATGTCTTTAACGTGTTAGTCGACAGCCGTCTGTTAGGAATATTATGCTTACTTTCAGGTTTAATGTCGCGATGCACGACGCCGGAGTCATGGAGATATGCGAGACCTTCCAACATCTGCAGGCCATATACCTGAATCACCGTCTCGTCTTCGATCCTGCCATGCTCGAGCAAACCGGCCAGAGAACCGCCGGAGCAGTACTCCATGAAGATGTACACCTTGTCTCTATGCGGCTCAATACCATAGTAGGAAACAATGTTTGGATGATCAAGGACTTGTAGAACCCCCATCTCGTCGCGGATCTGCGCTACGATGGTAGGAATGAGTTGTGGGTCCTGTAGACGGATTTCTTTGACAGCCATCAAATGCCCAGAGTCCAGGTTCATGGCCGCATACACCGAGCCGAAGGTGCCACCGCCGACAAACTGTCCCTGCTGCCATCGCAGAGTAACATTAGTAGCGGAAGAGGATAGATAGGTAAGCGCCCGATCGGCTTCGTTGGAATCTTCCAGCACTCTTCCTAGGGTTTGGCGCTCGGCCTCCTTCTCTTTTCTGAATGCATCTATCTCTTCGAGCCGTTGCATCCATTGCTCCTGAGTCAACTGGATTGACTCGTCATCGTCCTTCATGTTCTTGGGATCGAAAAGGGTCTTGCCAACAAGAGCGTTCAGCCGCTGCCGCTCCGCTTGGGCTGCAATGGTAGACCTTGCACCCATGATGTCGAAGTGTGAGATGAGCACTGACATGCACCCGGCTACTTTCAAGCGTAGCATAGAGTATTCTTCGTCGCTAATAGAGAGGATGTTCTGCCCACGGGTCATCATCATGGCGAACTCTAACGCAACCACAGCCCAGCGGAAGGTCTTCCGATCCGAAGCGATGCAGTCATCGCAGATAAAGCTCACCCAGTCTAAAGCCAACCGAGTCAGCTTTATGTTATTCATGGCACGGCGGTTGTAGTCCATGTAAAGCAGGGAACGCTGGCCAAACTCGGTTGCGAATGCGAAACAAGTCTGGATAAGGTCCTGGCAGTCAAGCCCAACAGTCTGCTTCCGTACTATTTCAACACTGTCCATGATGGTGTTGGAGAGCTTGTATGCGGTCTTCTTAATCTTTTGCAATTCCTGGTTGACACGAGGGAGGTTCGCTCGCTGGTCTACTAATGTATTCAAGTCAATTCCAATGGCATGCAGAAAGGACGCATTTGCATTCGCAAGCCGCTGCTGTGAACCATCGGCGACCAGTCGTAATCTGCCGGGTTTGACGTCCAGATGAGGTTCTCGGATATTAGCCGCCATTTTCTTCCCAGTCCAGTAAAGACGCGTCTCGGGCCTGATAATGAGGGCGTACGGGTTCGAGGGATCTTCCGGATTCTCTTCTGCATGATAGCATGTGGTGAGGAGAGACTGGATGTCCTTCGGTCGATCCTGCAAAGCCGGTGAAGCAATGATGTATACGCCCATGTTATCTCCGCCAGTGGTCTCCACCAGGAAGTGCCCTGTGATGACCAGTGATTCGTAGAGATCGTTTAGCTGCTCCTGGTCCAAATCGATATGGTTGATATTGTACTCGGTACAATTCTCGAAACGCTGAGTAAGTATCCTAGAGAAACGAAACAGCTTCCGTTGCCGTACACGGACGGAGTCTAGTATCTGTTTGTATCGTTTCTCCATCTCGGCGCCTGTGAGCTCCTCCGGCCTGCGCTGGAGCTCCTTCTCAAAGTGCGCAGTTAGACGTGACAGAGACTTGGATGTGAGAGAGCTGAACTGTTCCGCCGTCTCCACATCACCACCTTCAAGCTGTCGCCCAAGCTTATTAGAGAATTCCCACTCTTGCTCCAGGATTTCAGCTTCCTTGAACGTGTTCTTATTTGCTGACAACTTCCAATTCAGCATCTTGAAGTAGAATTTCAGAGCATCCAACACGACCACATCGAAGTTCTCCTCAATGCAAACCGGCAGATCCCACCCTGGCTCCGGCCGTGAGGTGATGATGTAGCCTTCCTTGATTTTACCGGCTAAGGTAAGAAGGATCTGGAATTGCGAGATCATCTGCTCCGCCATCATGACACCTTGCTGGGTGGGATCCTTGATCTTCTTGGCATACGAGAGCCGGACTCTAATGATCTCCTGGAGCAGGCGCGAAGGGAAATTGATCAGCGTAAGCAGCTCTTCGATATACGGCGGAAGATGTCTATCGGCGAAGCCCTCGGCATTGGCAATCAGAGTAGCCTTTGCCTTGTGGATGACCTTCTCCAGAGCATCCAGAAGGCTCGATTCTCCCTGCAGCGACTTGAGACCGTCTTCCTTCAATATGCGGTCGATGAAAGAGGAATCGTCGGTCAGATGGTGGTCCTGGGACGAGCGTGCCCGTGGCATGGAGAAATCCAGCTCCTCGTTGCCGACCCACTTTTTCAAGATGGACATTTCTGTGTTGATAAGCTCCGTGGTGTTGTTCCAAGCGACGACGGCATCGCAGGCGTCTTTGTAGGCTTGCGACGCCGCCCTAGGATAAGCTTGCTCGAGCGCCTGCCTTGTGGGAAAGAGGCTTTCGATCTTCTCGATCTTCTTGACGACTTCAGCCACCTGTGCTGCTGCAGTTTGGCCAGCTTCTGCGGCACCCTGCACCTCGAACGTGATGATGCTCTCGAGCTCCGTCCTGATGCTTGACCGCTTGTCGTCTATGATCCGGCGCTGTGCTTGGAGAGACCTGCCGCAGACCTTGGCGCGGATGCCCATCCAGATCTCGGCCTTCAGCGTGCTGTCGCCCTGCTGCTCGGTGCTGCCAATCAGCCGCTTCTTTTCTTGCTTCACGACGTCTCCCGTGAGGACACTAGCGAGCATCGAATGCCACTCCAGCCTCTCGCGGTTCGCAGGTATCTTGAGCTCCTCCACCGACGGCTGCATGTCATCGTTGCCATAGTACAGCAGCGTCTCCTGGTCGTAGGGGTCATTATCGACGTACTCGGCGGTGGACGGCGACTCGTCGTCCGATTCGGAGTCGGTGCTATACCCGAGGCTCGGCGTGCGTACGTCGCTGAAGAACTCATCGTGCTCGTTCTCCTGCCGGATGCGCTGCACGTATGCCTTTTCCTGAGCACGATAATCGGCATTCGGGTTGCGGCGGGCGCGGTTCGTCGAGGAATTGCGGTGGCGGCTCGTGGTGGTGTTGAGGGAGAACTGCTGCGGGCGACGGGCAGGTGCGTATGCGTTGGACGGCGTCCTGACCGCGGCGGGTCGCGGCGTCCGTCCGGTGCTCATGCCGGTTGTCTGTATGGGCGGCAGATGGTTGTCGAAAGCGGCCACGGTTCCGCCGGGCGTCGCAATGCCGCGCGAACGAGACGGTACGGTGGTGGTCCAGTTGTAGCCTCCGCCAGCACTCAGTGGCGGCACGTCGTCGATGGGCGTCGTGGTCACGGGCGGCGCAAATTGATATTGGCCGTCGTCGTCGAGAGAGCCAAGCCTTTGCCGCGGCGCGTCCTGGTCGGATTCGCCTGAAGAAGCTGACCCGGACGAGTCGGTGGCCAGCAGCTCGGGCGCGTTCACCACGACGGGCTTGGTCATGTCGGCGGTTGTGTGCGCGGGCAGCAGAGTGTTGTCGTGCGCGACGCTGAAGCGGACCCCTCGAACAGAACCGTGGCTCATTTATGCCGTTGATAGACAGCCGCGCTGCTCTTTGCCGTCCGAGGACAAGATCGCCGCAGCTGGACGTGTGGCGGTGCAGGCGATCGGCGCAGACAAAAAGACGCGGTCGAGATCCTCACGATGGCGTTCCACGGTTCGCACGACTGGAATTGCACGAAACTGCGGACAGCTCTGGAGCCAGGAAACTGTCCATGCGCTGCCTTCCAAGGTTCGCAGCCTTCCACAGTTGTCGCGACGGCAGCAGGTTTCGCCACAGGGCCCCGATCGGAACAGGCTCGGAAAGGCTCCAGCTCCCAGATGCCCCCGAGCAGCCAATCCCCGAGACGGTCAGTTCATGGTGTCTGCGACCGGCGGCGGCAGCGTCGCGCGCTGTATCTTGGAGCCACGTCGAAAACAGGTTTGTATTTGATCCAAGACCAGAGGGCTGCTTGCATCGACCCTAGCATGCCATGCCCGCTCGCAACTCTTGCGAAGAGCCTCCGTTTGCCAGTCGCAGCACAGAAAGAGCAAGGAAATGTTTCTGGATATCATCGACTGCTTCATATTTGAGACTACATTCCACCCATGAGACACCTATCGCAGCGGCACCGAAAGCACTGGAATCGAATCGAAGAGCTAGCACCATCCTAGTTCCAGCGAGAGCGAATCACGATGCATCTCCAGGGCTTTCCAGCCGCACTTACGCCCCTATTAGCTATGGACAAGGAAAGACAACACTTTGAGCCGCCGTTCCGTGTCGCTGTTGCGCCGCTCTGGGTAGGACGGGAGCGCCTCTGCGGACGGACGTTCTCTACGCAGTTTTGCATTCGTTTGCGCCGCCTAGAGGGAGTGGCCTTGGATACTTGAGGAGCAATCGAATGGCGATGTCTGGCTGCTGGTGGGTCTCCAGGTCCTCTTTCAGCAATACTGTGTACGTCCAGTGCTAAAGAGAGCACCGGCGCGTCTTCTCATCCCCCGAATAAAGGGGCATACGGTGCAAAATATGCATGCCAACACACTGAAACAACCGTCGGATCCTCATCCCGGACACATCGATGGGAAGGTGCTGCTCCAACGCCTGCTCTGCATCAGTAGCTGGGGCACAAGATGCTGTGTTCTCGGACAAACCGACGTTGGTGGTACCAGCAATCCACGAAGGCTGTTTCAAACGCTTGCCCTGCTCCTCCTTTCGACTAGCCCGAAATTATCCACATCGGACTCCAGGCAACTGCTGTATTGACGGTAAGCAGGCCCTCGTCGTCTTCTGTACGCTGACCTTGGCAGATGTAGGTGAAATTGTTTAGTTTCGTGTTTCTGTCTTCTTTCGTGTTAATATATTTAGGGCTCCGGGGTGGTCAGATCGACGCGAGAGATCAGCATCTTTATATATCCCTATGGAACCAGTCAGCATGACGAGTAAGAGAGTCGTAAGCTACTCCACCCCAGATTTGCGGAGGCATGTTAGCGCCGCTGCAGGTACGCGATCGGAGCCAGTTGTGGAGCACGAGGACGATCCCTATGGTGGATGGCGCCGGTCATACTCACATCCTACAATGTCGACTCGTCTCAGAGGTACCCGCTCCCGCAAAGGTTTAAAGGGTCTCAACGGTGGTGCAAAGGCCACGAGGCTGCCTTACCAGCGTGATACAGGGTGTTCAGATGCTGGAGGACCGCCTGTGCTTTGCCTGTGCTGCAACTAACTCTATACTGTACGTCCGGTCAGCAGTGTTACTACCTCACGATATTTCTGGAGACAGGTCTATTAGGGTTCGCATTGGAGGTCTCCGCAGCATGTGCTGTGCCACATACGCTGCCTTAGTAGACGTGGAGCGCTACCAGGCTGACCACAGCAGAAGCTGACGACCCCTTCCCGCTTGGCAATTTGCTACGTCGAATGCGCGACCCGACGCGCCGAAGATGCCTGAACAGGCGCCTTGTACTACCGCCGGACTACCGTCTGAACACAGCAGGTGGTGCAGTCGTGTTGATGGTCAGGCAATCCCCGGATGACCGCTTCTTCACATGTAGACCTCGAGGCCAATGAAAGGAGACGGTCCCATATCGCTGGGTCAGTCGGCTACAGTGGTGCGGTCGGCAATGAGAAAACGAAATATGGAGTACAGGAAGGTTTCCTGGGCCCGCAGGACAATCACGGCGAGATTGGACGGAATGAGCCTTGTAATGCAGAGGGCGAGCGTTCTGGGATGCAGCCGGGGTGGCCAGGAAAAGCAGCTGCAAGGCCATTTATGGCGCAAGCTGCTGCCGCACGATCGGAGCAGCAGGCATGCACGGATGTAGAAACAAACGATGTAGGTAGGGGATACTTGGGGGTCTGTTTAGAAGCGGCGGGATATGCGGGATGGGAGTGGGATCAGGCCGTTCGCGCATGATAGGGGACGTACCGGCCGTGATACCGCCGTCGGCGCAGCGCTGGGATGATTCTCGCGATGCCTCCAACGACAGGAGGAGGGTGGGGAACGCAGCAAGTATCGTCTGATGTACGTCGTCGCCAGAGACGATTGATTGTTTGGACGGCGACGCGTTTCTACAGAGGGCCCGACTGGAAGCCGATGGAGACAGAAGCGGACTAGCGGGCTCGCTATGCCCTATTGGCTGGCGCCGGCTCAAGGCAGAGGCTGGGCGCTGGCCGGGGTACTGATAAGGAAACGAAATGGATTCTCCAACAGCAGGCCGCCATTGCACGCGAATGCGGCCGGTGGGCTCCCGATTCCACGCATCGCCCGCCGCGTTTGCCAGCCCGCGCAGCTGTCAATACTCGGGCGCGCTGGGTTGTGCCTGTTCCTGCGCGCTGCTCGGGGCCCTTTCACAGCGCCGTGTCTCCGGGCAGAGAGAGTGTGGGCGCGACATGTCACCACCGATCGACTCGCGACGATCCCGTGCAGGTCATCCCACGGTCGCGGCTCGACGGCCTCCAGCAAGCGAGCCATCGTCCGCCGAGGCCCTGTCCGCCCCGTTTGGATGGCGGATGGCGGCAACCCTGCGTGACACTTGCACGGGCCCGCAACGAAACATCGCCCAGCATTGGCTACAGGCCAGCCCGTATCTGACACCCCACCGCTGTGGCTTGCTCGTGATGCCGGGGGGTTCATGCTTCCCAGCAATTACTCGAGCTCGGCGCAGGCCAACGGTGCAGGTGGGCAGCGCAATGTCCGCCGCACTTAAAGATATCGCAGGCCCCTAGCCTGGGGAGAGCCGTGCTCTCCCTCAACGACCACCTGTATAAACCCCGGTGACACGCCCGTCGCGCTTCCTTGCGTGAAAGATTCCTTACTACAATTCCTCACGAGGGCGATCCCCGGCCCCCGCCAAGGACATTCACACTCTAGACCCTGGAAGTGCAGTTGGCTTTCTCTTCCGCTCACTCCGTCCACTCCTTCACCCACCTTTTCTCTCCTTCTACATAGTTCTCTGCCTTTTCCCTTCGCGCCATCGCGCCAGTTCGCAGCCCCTCACCGTCTCCCACGTTTCTCCTTTGAGAAAATCCAAGCTTCGAGCTTGGAAGAAGTCCAGAGCCGATCGCCAAAATGTCCAGCCCTACACCGAATGACTCCGGGGCAGACCCCACCACTCCTCTTGAGGCCTACCTCAACACCACCGCCACGGGAGGAGACTCTCTATATGACAATCTTAATGTGTTCTACAATGTGAGTGCCGCTCGTGCGCCGACTTTGTGTGATTGGTAGCGCTAATTCTTCCAGCCGGGCGACATCGCTTGGATGATTACGGCCACCGCTCTTGTGCTTCTTATGATTCCTGGTGTTGGGTAGGCCCGCAACTTCTCGCAAGCTTCGCAAATACAGCTCGCTGACCATGTTAGCTTCTTTTATTCGGGTCTCGCGCGCAGAAAGTCAGCCTTATCGCTCCTATGGCTGTCTGTAATGGCTACAGCAGTAGTGACGTTTCAATGGTTCTTCTGGGGCTTCTCTCTCGCCTTTTCGAAAACGGCTGGCAGCTTCATTGGAAATCTGGATAACATCGGCTTCAAGGATGTGCTTGCGGCTCCATCCGTGGGCAGCCCTCGCATTCCCGACCTTCTTTTCGCCGTCTATCAAGGCATGTTCGCTGCTATCACGTGAGTTACCATCCGTCTCTAGCTCTCGACGCATACTAAACGGGGTGCAGCGTCGCGCTGGCTGTTGGTGCTGTTGCAGAGCGGGGCAGAATGCTGCCCTGCATCATCTACATGTTCATCTGGTCGACCGTCATCTACGATCCGATCGCCTGCTGGACGTGGAACGCCTCGGGCTGGTCCTACAAGATGGGTGGCCTTGACTTCGCTGGTGGAACTCCTGTCCACATTTCGTCGGGGACTGCCGCACTCGCCTACTCGTACATGCTCGGAAAACGTCGAGGCCATGGCACCCAGGAACTCAACTACCGTCCTCATAATGTTACACACATTGTGATAGGAACCGTCTTCCTGTGGGTTGGATGGTTCGGCTTCAATGCCGGTTCAGCGCTTTCCGCCAACCTTCGCGCGGTCATGGCCGCCGTTGTCACCAACCTCGCGGCTTGCATGGGCGGAGTTACCTGGTGCCTTGTCGACTACCGTCTGGAGCGCAAGTGGTCAACCGTCGGCTTTTGCTCCGGCGTCATTGCCGGGCTTGTGGCCATTACACCTGGATCTGGCTTTGTCCCGGCTTGGGCTGCCGTGGTGTTTGGCGTTTGTGGAGGCATCGCGTGCAACTATGCTACGAAGCTCAAATACTTCCTCCGATGCGACGACGCGCTTGACATCTTCGCTGTGCATGCCGTTGGAGGATTTGTTGGAAACATTCTGACCGCCTTCTTCGCCGCGTAAGTCTTGCATCTTCATTCCCCTCGACTGACCGGCTAACACATTACAGCGATTACATTGCGCATCTCGATGGCTACACCCCAATTGACGGCGGATGGCTCAATCACCACTGGATCCAACTCGGCTATCAACTTGCCGACTCATTCGCGGGCGGCGCCTACTCCTTCGTCGGAACCTGCCTCATCCTTGGCTGCCTCGACTTCATTGGCAAGTTCCTTCCCATGTTCAAGCTCCGTGCTAGCGAAGAGGAGGAAGTGCTCGGCATTGACGACGTCGAAATTGGCGAGTTCGCTGTAAGTTCCTTTATTATCTTCCCGAATGGGCTTTGACTAACCGGTCCAGTATGACTACGTCGAGCTCACCCGCGATGTGAAGCTTCCCGAGGATGACATCGACGAGGGCATGTCCTCCCACTCCCTGGAGCCCCATGCCTCTGCGATGGGCGTCCACCACGAGAAGAACCAGGATTCTGTCGACTCCAACCAGCTGGCCGAGTGGGCACACCGCGCATAGTCGATTGTTTTCCTTCAGCACCCGCTCGATACCATTGCTTTAGGCTGGAGTTGCAGGTCGTAATTTGGAGTTATCCTTTGCTTAATGCGGAAGAAGAGATGAGTGACGTTGGATGGACGAAGATACCGAGTCGTGGTTAGAACATGGCATTGGATATGGATAGGTTCATTCTGGCTCAGGAAAATCCGGCTTGGTAAAAGGACTACATTACCGGGCGCGATTTTCCAACTTCTCAGCGCGACATTGTTCCAAGGTTCTGTTCTTTGTATAATAGATTGATCGTGAGGCTAAGGAACAAATCCTTGAAAGTGATACTTCACTCTCCTCTGGACATACTTCTTCGTCTGATGCTTTTATTAGAAAATGCTTTTATAAGGAGCACCCGATTCTAGAATATGATATCCGCATCACATACACACTGCCCAGATGGTCCTTTGATTGGTGCTATGCACGTGATCGGCTTACTTAGCGCCAAGAGTCTTGCCCGATGTCCATCGCACCTTTCCGCGATCCACGACATCACCATCTTTCTCGCATCGTCCCCGCCTCTTCTCTTCGACGTCCCGCCTCGGATATCTCGCAGCCGCTCGCTCTGTCGCTGCTTTGGAGGGAAACGCATCCCGCGCATCCGTCACAGATTCTCTCTTCGTCTCACACCTCGACCAGAGCTCCGAAATGCCCTTCTTAGGGACAGCCCTCAACACCGCCGGGCTCCTTTTCCTGACACACGCGTATGAGCTGCTTTTTTGCCTATCTCCATTAATAATTGCCCTCTGTCAACACCTCTACCCCCTGCCCCTGCACTTCCACCATCTGAAACTCGATGCGCCTCAAACCGACGCCCAGCGAGATCCAGATCTCATTTACACTCGCAATGACGACATGCAGCTAGCTAACAACTTCCAAACAGAGTATACTCAACCCACGAGCATACCGCGACGTTCGCGCACACGCCGCTCCCCCTAGACATCACCATCGAGCTCCTGGTTTCGATCCTGATACTCTCGGCTGGCATTGTGGTATCCTCGCCGCAGCTGAAACCGATCCAGTGGGCGAAATGGGCGGGGAAGATACAGCGTGGGGGCAGGCATAGCGAGGGGAAATGGACAAGGGAGGGTGAGGAGGTGCTGAGCGAAGGGGATCCGTATGCGTTCTTGGGGCTTGACGGCGGCATTGGAGGGAAGGGAGAAGGGAGGAGAGGTTTCTGGGACGTCAGGGGAAAGAGGAAAGAGTATGCCCACTGGGCGAAGACTGGCGGAAAGCAATGAAAAGGCGCTGCTTCTGGGAGAACACTGGAAAGTAAAGGCGGGGTTTAAAAAGGTGCTCCCCGAGTAGCAGTCCATCTAACCAGGCGTAGGTACGGATACACATAGACTGCGGATAAAAACATGATCGGGAACACATCTATCTGGTCGTCTTATTTGGGATTTCGTTCCTCTACCTTTTATCCACTATCATCCAGCCGACCACAGAGACACCTCACCGGGCTTCCTGGTTAGCAGCTCCAGCCTCTGATCTGCACTAATTCAATTTTTAGCTTTTTAACGCTGCTTCATGCCAATTTCATTTTCTTGCGCTCTCTGCCAACTCATGCGTCCCCTGTCATTTTCTCTACACTTTTCCTGCCGCACCCATGGACTCTACATGCATGGCATTCGGTCTCCGCCTGCGCACTTAGCGGTGCCTCCGCATCCGCTCCCGAGTCTCTCCTATCCCGCCCGTCCTTGTGCACGTCAATTCCAGCAACCCACCACACTCCCGCAGCAATGATGCGCATGACGACTTCGATCTCCTGCTCGTTCCGGGGCGCATATATCAGCACAAACTCCCTCGGTACGAATCGCCTGCACCAGCCTCCTCGTGCCAGCGGATGTCGTTCGCCCCAGCCACTCTCGAGCACAATCTTCGCGTCCGCCGGATGCAGCGTCATGTGTAGCGACCCGTCCGACGGATGCGCGTGGCACACTTCTCCACCGCACGTCCGCGTAATCGGCGTGCTGGCGAAAATACCCGAGCTGTGCTTCTCGAAGCAGCTCGTCCGCTCGAGCAGACAGTTCGCCGGCTCGCCGATCAGCCGCCGCATTGCGCCCACTAGGCCCCTGTATATCTCCTCGGACGACCGCTGCGTCTGCTGCCGCTGCGGCGCGATGCCTTGCACCACGGGCCGTTCTCCGGGTCTTGTGCGAAGCGCGGGCAGGTAGCCTTTCTGCGGGCGGAAGTGCGGCGGCACGGCGACCGGGCGTCGCGGATGGCGCAGGCAGATCAGAGAGAGCAGCTTGATCTTCGCGTAGCCGAGGGGCGTGCTGGGCGTGCCACCGGGTCCGAGGGAGAGGAAGGCTTGGTAGTCGCGGTGGATGTAGAGCAGGGTTATGAGGGGGAGGACGAGGGTTAGCGCGAAGGAGAGGAGGTGTAGATGCGCTGCGGCTGTGAGGACGTTCGGGAGGGTGGTGGAGGGCGGGAGTATGGAGAGCATGGCGGCTTGTTGTTGCTGGTGCTGCTGGAGGAGGACGTCCATTTCTTTATTGGCAATAGTTTGGAGTCGTCGAGGAATTGAAGTTTCCACGTTCGGTTCAGCTTCAATTGGTGTTGTGCGTGCCGCCGCCTGAGGGGAGAGGTCTCGTGGATATGGTTGGGCCCTCCCCTCCTTTATGTACGTCTGCAGCCGCTCGCGGCCCTTACGTCGTACCCCGTAAACCCGCGGAGAGATGCACCAAACGGCTATCGTGTGCGGATTCAGTCAGGCCAGGTCAGGTACCCCAAACCAAAGTCAACAATGACGCAGCTGCTGCAACATGCAACGAGCAAAATCCCACCTACACACAAACGTAGATAAATAGCTTTCCCGCACACGGCACACACCGCTCCGTCCCTTTCCTCTTCCGACAAACTCACATCTTTATATAAGCCACGCCTGCTGCGCTGTTGGTTCTGTGCGGCGCTCCGATCAGCTCACTGCTAGAACCAGCCCCAGACGGACGTCAAAGGGGACGCGCCTGGCCACGTGAGGTCGGGACCCAGCGTCAAAGACGGCTAGCTTTTGCCTCACTTGGGTTAGCCGGGCTCGTGCGGCGGGGTGTGATTGGGCTACGTGGTCGATCTGGTGACGCATTTAGGCGAGCAATTGTGACGCTGTGCTGAGTTCACACGGCTCCACATGCGTGCCTCAGCTCAACTTGCGAGGCAAGGCTAGGGAACGGGAAGGGCAAGGGAAGGGATGCATCGGCGATTGCTGCCGTTTTCTCCGCTGCTACTGCCAGGACTGTTCTGTTCTGTTCTGTTCTGTTTAGGTAGGGACGGTTAGGTTAGGTTAGAAGGTTAGGGCTCCAGCGATTGACGTCTGTGGAAGTGTATTGCAGCGCAGAATATTTCCTAGACAGGCAGGGGAAACAGGTATGATTTGGATGCGAGGCGTGGCGCGCCTGAACACCGTTCGTTCTATCTCTGCTTGGCAGACCTGCATGCTGTGACTGACGGACTATCGTGGCGCGCTGTCAGCTTGCCCAACAGTTTGTTTGAGTGGAGCTTGAGGGTTTTCTTTCTTGGAGGACTAGCGCCGAGGCGGGGATATGTTGTTGGATTCCAATTGTTCGTGGTGTACAGTACTGTACAAAGGGTGCCTGTGAGATGAGATGGGGAGTGCCGTACGAGCGGGACAGAGAGGGGAGCCTAGGGAGTAGGCAGAGAGCAGCAGGTCAGATGTGAGGTCAGTGGCTGCGCTGCTGTGTGGATGTGGAGTTTGGAGAGGGGGATGTTCAGGAACGGGATTGGATTGGCGTCACGGGGGCTCGGGACATGGTGCCTGATTTTGGTGATATCTTTAGCTGCCCCTTGAACACATTGCAGTAGTGAGGAAGAATGAAAGTGCTTTTTTGGGGGTGGGACGAGCAAGAGCTCGGAGAAAAGTCTGATCAAGCTTGAGGTCAGCAGCTCAAAGAAGCAGGGAAATGGTATCTTTAGGAAACGCGATCGACAACCGCAATGGCACTACTCCGCGGCAATATTGTTCAGATTTCGAGGCTATGGTGCACCCTTAAACCTTGGTCCAATAACTACAATTTCCTACTCCGCACCAAGCCCTTCTTGATACCGGTCATCTCACCACCGTAGGCAGCACTGCCGCTCGCGCGTTTGGTCGCATCGAACACCGGTTTCATGGAGCGGAGTTTCTTTTGCTTGTCTTGGTACTTCAGTTTCTGCGAATGTTGTTAGTATAGGTTTTGGGGTGTATAAACAGGGTAAAGGGAGCGGCCCCAGCAAGGTATTTCAAGTAGGCTTAGCCAAGACAGCCGTGGTGTTGTACTGACCTTCTTTACTCTAGGGTTACGCTGCGCCTTCTTCCGGTGCGGCGTCAAGCCTTTGTTCTTCTCGATAGCATACCTGTCGCGGAGATTAGCGCATTTCGTCAACAAAATTGGCTAAACGTACGTGATCTGTCGGCGTCCATCCTCTCCAATAATCTCCTCCGGCACAACCATTCCGCCTTCCTTTGCAGCCAATGCATATGCAGCAGCACGGTCTAGCTTTGCCTGCTTCTTTGCATGGCTCTTTGCGGCTATCAAGTCGTAATAACCGTCCTGATCTTCGAAGCCACGTGTTTCTGCATCTTCATCACCTGAGCTCTCACCGCCTTCGCCAAGAGGCGCGCCAGGGCCCGAGCCCGAGTCTGCGTTCTGGCCTCTCTTCTCTGCGGCTGCCTGGAGCCTGGCTTGTCGATCTTTCAGGCGCTCACGGTGAGGTACATCAGCATCTCCACCGTAGTCTCGGCCAGCAGCGTCGCGTTTGTTGGCCTTTTGTGCAATTTGGGAAGTGTAGAAGCGGAGTGACTTCTTCTTCCGAGCTTTTTCCGCGAGTTCATGAGCGGTAAGCTCAGTCTCTTCGCCGAAGTCGGAGTCGTCTGGATTGAAAAGGTTGACCTTGGGTTGATCGGCCTTCTTGTTAGTGGCCTTGCGGAGGGTCGCTTTATCAGTAAGTGACGCGAGCGTTGCGAGCTCCTGTTCCGTCTGGCGCAGCTTCTCTGCGCGACGTGCCTCGGATTTAGCCTGGGCGGCCTCTGCTGCCCGTTGGGACTTGCTCTTCTTCAATTTCTTCTCTTTTTGCTTAGAAGCAACCGCGTCTCTGATACCGTCCTCCGGAGCAGGGCTTACTTCGTCGATTATCGAAAGATCACCGCCGTTAGAAGCTTCGACCATAGGGTCCGCAACTGGTAGACTCTCGAGTCTGGTCCACGTCTTCTGAGTTTTGAGAAGGCATTCCATGACTGGATGCTCATGAAGCTCTGCGGGATCCATCGCGATGACAGGGGAGCCATCTTCACTCGCTGTAGAGCCCAGAATAGCGAAGTACATTGCCATTGCGGCTAGATAAGCTGCGCAAGCTCTGTACTTGGTCACTGCCATGGGCGTCGGCCGCCGTTCACCATTGGCCTTTTCTGCCTTTGTAGTCCGTGCATGGATGAGCCGTTCAGCTGCATGGGCAGCGGCAGCCAGTTCGTCGTGTAGGGGCTGTAACCTCAAGTACTCCTTCGAGATGTAGTCGAACTCCGGATAACGCGTCCTCAATATCTTGAGCCTCTCTTCCTCGGACATTTCGTCCGTGATCCGGAGTTGTGGGAGCACTTCCGTGACCACATTTTCTGTCTCTGTGGTCTTTTCGTCATCCTGCTCTAACCACTCGTCTTCGTCAAAGCCAAAGTCTGCCTCTGACATAGCTTGCAGTTGTTTCTTCTGAAGGCGCCGAGCTTCCGCCTCTTCATCCAGCGCATCTTGCTCCGTCTCGATAGCATCCGCATTGTAGTAGTCCTTCTTCGACGGACCCCATCCGCCAAGGTCTTCATCCTCTTCTTCGGCTTCTCGTTTGCGCTTGTCGGTACCGATGTCGTCAATTTCGTCGTCATCATCGACTTCGCCGTAGTCTACCTCGTCTTCATCTTCGTCTTCCTCATCCTCGTCATCGTGATCGTCTTCGATGCCACTGTAATCGAGTACCTCTTCGTCCGAAGGTTGCAGAAACTGGTCTGTATCCGAGAAAGTCAGCATTTAATCCTCATTCGCCGTCTGCGACCCATCTGACCTTCTTCCTTCCATTTTCTCAATCTTTTCGCTGCTGGACCTTCCTCCAGCAGTATCTTGTCGCGATTGATATGGAACTCATCCTCGGAGTCGGCGACGTCTTCGTAGGTGTTGATCGCGAGCTTCGAGTTCTCTTCTTTTGGCGCCTTGGACTCGCCGTAGCGTCCGCCCGCCTTCCTCTTCCTTCCCATAGTTACAGGTCGTGGCGATTTGATGTTGCTGTGCAGACAAGCTGTCTCCAAAATTTCAATCCGAAATCTTGGCACCGCGGGGATCTCGGGCAATCTGATTATTCGTTGCGCTAAAACCTCGCTAGTGCTAGTGGCTGACTAAGGCTCAAGGGTCCAGCTCCGCTCATGCCGCATCAGCAGTAAAACTTCCGTACGGCACAGCTTCGTGAGAACTTCCCAATTGGGGCTGTCTTTGCCCTGCCTCTCCTTTTAATCGCTGCTTTCCGCCCTTCCCTTATTTTCCCTCCACATCTCACATGGAGTCGATGCTTTGGTGGGCAACCGCAGCACTTTTGGCTATCGTAGGCGTTGTCAGTTTAGACATCATGGGCTTCCTTTCATGGGGCAATAAGTTCCAGGTAGAGGGGCAGGTAAGTCAAGATTCCTGCTATACTAAGAGTAAGGAAGATGTTAATTATGCAGACTGTCCTCCTTACCGGCGGATCCTATGGCATGGGCAAAGAAATCGCAAAGCTCCTCTCGCAACGCGGCGCGAACGTCATAATCGTAGCGCGAAACGTCGAGAAACTCCAGTCCGCCATGGAGTACGCGAAAGCCGCAGCGAAGAACCCCTCCACCCAGCGCTTCCACATCATCTCCGCCGACGTTACCTCCGAAGCCGAGAATGCGCGCGTGCTCGCCGAGTCAACCGCCTGGAACAATGGCGTCGTGCCCCAAATCGTATGGGCAAACGCAGGAGCTTCGGTGCCTGGCCTATTTGTCGAGATGAAAACCGAGACAATGAGGAGTCAGATGGACATCAACTACTGGGCCGCCGCGTATCTGGCGCATCAGACGCTCAAGGCATGGCTATACCCAGAGACGCCGTATAAACCGCAAGAGAAGGGCGCTAAGACAGAATCGCCGCGACACCTCATCATTACCTCGTCGGTCCTCGGCCTCGTCAATATCACCGGCTACGCCGCGTATTCCCCCGCGAAAGCCGCGCTCAAGTCATTGTGCGATGGGCTGAACCACGAGATGAACCTCTACAATGGCGCCAGACGGTCGAAGAAGGATAGCGGCCAAGCCCCGGCACCCTTCGACGTCCACATTCACTCCATCTGGCCCGCTACCATCGTCTCGCCCGGCCTCCAAAACGAAAACAAGACGAAGCACCCGATAACCTTCAAGCTGGAAGAAGCAGACTCCGAGCAGACTGAACTCCAGGCCGCCCAAGCCGCAATCAAGGGTCTTGAACGTGGAAACTACATGACGGCGCTGAACTGGCTGGGCGAGCTCATGCGACTCAGCAGCATGGGCCCTTCGCCGAGGGATAGCTTGATCAAGGACACGGTGGGGCAGTGGATAACGAGCATTGCGTGGCTATTCGTGGGACCTGATATGGAGGGAACGGTTTGGAACTGGGGCAAGAAGGAGGGTATGCCGAAGTTCAGGCCTAATGCACAATGAGCAGTAATGGTTATTAGGGCTTTGGGGGATATCTTAATCAACGGAGTGTGTATCACAATTTCTCGATACTTTCAACGTCTCATATCTTCGCGTAAGCTGATGGCACAGGAAAGTAAACGAAACAATAATCTTATTTGTTATTGGGGTATCCCAAGACCAGTACTATGGCCGTGCGCCGCGCAATGCAGGCAAAACCGGGATAACATCCGCGTCGTGTCGTCGGAATACTCATACGCCTCTTTCCGAATCCATGTTCATGCCGGGGAGATGCCCGAAAAATCGAAGAGGGAAAAGGCAGCCCGATGGCCTTCGAGGGGCACAGACTAGCCTAATGACCTTTAGGCTCTCTTCCCTCCTTCGCCGGCTTTGGAGCGTCAACCTTCCAGCCCGTGACCGTCTTCTTCAGTTCGGCCTTGATCTTTGCGGGCGTCCAGGTCTCATCACAGGGTACGAGGGTGAAAGCTACACTGTAGGGGGCCAGCTTCGCGAGGGACTTATTCTTGCAGCCCCTATTGATCTGCACCTGGAGGTTGAAGCAGCGCGGCTTACCAGGCATGTCGGTAGTATAACCTTGCATGTCGAGTCGCATCTCGGTGTTATTGTGCATCTTCTTTGAGAAGGTGCCCTCAAGCTTGCTGTCGGGGATATCGTCGATCCACTCGAGGATCGCGTCACGAGGAGATTGTCGGCCCATAATGTTCGCTTAGTTTTGGATACGGGCTTTCGAAGAGATGCCTTTGTTGCTGGATGAGGAAGCGGAGTGGTTGTCCGTATGGCGTGTGTTTGGAGTAAGCCACTGCAAAGGGTAAAACTAGGGAGCGTTATATATGAGGTGAGGCGCTCCTAGAAGGTGAAAGGCTCGCTTGTTGGCGCTGAGGATTACACGTGGAAGCAATTCACGATCCATCATACCCGGTTCTAATGGAATTGTCAAGGTGCGTTGAAGGACTTCGCGGTCACAGATGTGCACGTGGCTCGACGCATTGTTTGCGAATGCGCGCCAACAACGCGATCTTTCACCGACACAACGGCATGCGAACATAAAACCCGCTCAGCCTTCAGCATAATGTCCCCACCTCAACCACAGCATCACACTCGAGACAATCACCAGAATATGGAAGGCGCAACGTCTACCACTACCATCACCCAACCGGGCCTTCAGTGGGATTATGAGGAACTCTTCTTCGGACCACAACCCAAATGGACCGTGGAACCCAACATCGACGTCATTCGTAGTATCGTTAAGTGCGAGCTCGCGCTGGCAGAAGACGCACAATGCGAAGTCAAGTTTCTGGCTGAAGGCTCTATCAACAAAGTCTACACAGTCAAATGCGCCGACGAAAAGACATACATAATGCGCGTCGCTTTGCCGGTCCATCCTCGACTTCGGACACTGAGCGAAATCGCCACCATTGAATTCATCCGCGAAAACGCCGACATTCCACTTCCAGAAGTGATCCAGCATGATGCGAGCTTCACCAACGAGCTTGGATTTGAATGGATGATCATGAACCTCGTCCCGGGCGCTTCACTGGAGACCCAGTGGCATAAGATTAGCTGGCTGAAGAAAGAACTCCTGGTGCGGAAGGTCATCACCTACCTTACTCAGCTCTTCAACAAACGCTTCGATGGGATCGGCAGCCTCTACATAAAGAAGGATCTCGTGGAGCCAACTGAGAAAGGCAAGCCGTCGACGTTGCCGATTGGAGAAACCAAGTACTGCCTGGGTGAGACAGTCTCTCTTCCATTCTTCCTCGGAGACCACCTTACACAAAGCGTCTCACGAGGTCCATTCAAGTCCAGTCGCGAATGGCTAGCAGCTCGCCTCCAGCTCTATATCAGCGACTCCGACAAGATCCTCTCGGACTCCTCCATTCCCGAGGATGACTACGACCATATTTCAGCGACATGTGTCAAGCAACTCGCTATAAAACTCATGGCCATTTTGCCGAAGGTGTTCCCCGAGAACACACAGGAGGATTTTATCCTCCACAATCACGATCTCAACACGCCTAACATCCTAGTCGACGCCGAAGGCGAGCTCACTGGGATTATCGACTGGGAGTGCATCCACACGTCACCGCTCTGGTTCGCGTGTCAGCTTCCTGAGTTTCTGTGTGGCCCTCGTCGTCACGAGCTCCCAATGCAGTCCGAGTACATGTGCCCGAACGACGAAACCGGGGAAGAAGAGCTCGACGAGCAATACTGGGATCATATGGAGGAGTACGAAAAGACATGTCTGCGACAATTTTTCTTCGAGGAGATGCAGCGCGTCTTGCCTGAATGGGTGAATGCCTTACGGGAGAGTGAAGTTAAAGCAGACTTTGAGCTGGCGATGCAGTACTTGGATAATGAGCTTCTGTATCAGCAGATCTCCGGATGGATCGAGGAGGTTGAGCAAGGGAAGACGTCGCGCAGTTTGAAGGACAGTTTCAGGGGTTGAGAGGTAACTGGAACGGTGGCCAAGGGAATTGCTAGAGAGGTCTGGCACCCAGCCTGATTGCCGCAGATAAATCCTCGGTTCGGATAGCATAATGCAAGTATACTATAAGAGGTAATTTAACTTTAACTATAATTCTGTGTAAGTTAAAAGCGAGAGGAATGTCTTCAGGTACGTGAAATCTGCGGTCCTAGGAACCACGGGGCCGAAGACTGCCGACAAGGAAAGCTAGGGCGCCTATTCTTCGTCATCTACCTCCTCTTCGTCTTCAAAACTCCCATGATCAGACGTCCATTGCGTATCGGGATATTCCTCCAATTCCCTCCGAAGTCCTTCAAGCTCGTTCTTATAATCATCCCATTGATCCATCACAACCTCCCACCTCTCAGGAAACCTCCCCCGTTCCTCCTCCCGGAATCCCGTCAGCGAGAGGCGCGGCACCTCATCGTCTGCCACCCTTCCCAGAAACTCCCTAATAAATTCCCGCAGGCCCTCAGGCATAGAAAGCAGATACAATGGAGAACCGATCACCTCCGCCTCAATACCTAGATGCACGATCTTCTCAAGACGACACGCCTTCAAAGCCGCAATCCAATGCGATGGAATGCTGTCATATTCCGACCGCGACAAGTGATTCGGATCCAATACCACCTCGTCTCTCCCAGGGAATCTGATCCAGATACATATCTCCCTGACTCGCCTGCGACTCTCAACACCGATCTGTTCCTCGAAGGCAAACAACTGCCCCGGCTCCTGGAACCTGAACACATTCTTCGAATACAATATCCCAACGGCTTCGTGATAGACCTGCTTGTTTGCGCGCAGTAGGCCTGCTGTTGGCGGCTTGAACGGATTATCGCCTTCGGTGAGCATAAACGGCCTTCGCGGTACCGTCTCGACCGAGCTTGCGGCGCGCAGACTGTAGGTGTATATTTCGTCGCGAAGCTCACGAGGGAGGCGCAGGAGCGGGAATGGCTTGTTGAAGCCTGTCGCCGCTTTGAGGCGCTCGAGTTCCTCGTAGGTCCTGTTGTATCTTCGTACTGTCGAGTAGAGGAGTTGTAGCGTCGCCCCGTACTTGGCTGAATCGTCGAGGTGGCCATCGTCGACACTCTCCAAGAGCCGGTCGAGATTAATCATTGTGCGTCTTGTGTTTTGAGAGGCCTTGCAGAGGATAATGGGTGTGTGGCTTGGTTTGGTTTATTCTTACGCCAAGTGGCCGTGAGAGTTGCCTGTGCTGCTATTCTACGCTAACTAATTCCGGCAATGTCCACTCAGCTCATCTACTATGTAATGCATACTGGTACATCATTCTCCCGAAACCCCATTGTATTCCAAAGGATTCGACGCGACGTGAAGTGACAAGGCTGGGAATCCTGGAGGTCTCAGAAAACCCGCCGGTTCCTGTCGCTAGACCCAGAACGGTTTAGCACACATCCTTCCGTGAACGATGTTGGACCCTGAATTAGCCCGCAAATGAAGAGATTCGGCACTCCCTATGGACCTTTGCCTCCTTTCGTCCTGAGCCTCGATCTGTGAAAAAGCACATGTTGGTTGTCAGGCTGAGAGAATAAATAGTAACACAAAATTCCGACCTGCAGGATCCGGGCGGCACTGCTGCAGGACGCGAACATCGACGTCAAGCCTCTCACCTCCACACCACGATGGTTGGCCCTCAGCGACCGTCATCCAGAGATGTCATGGCGTGATCACGCGCATGTTCACGCTCGATACCCGTCTTACCTGCCTTATAGGCGCCCAATACTTCCAATCTCTCAGCTAATCAGCCACATTTTGAGCCTCATCGTCCATTTGTAGGACGACTCGCGTCTTCCTACTTCACGCATCACCACTGCTTCAAGGAGCGACATCGGCGGCATCTAGCCTTCTTCCTGGGACGGCTTGCATAATGAAATTGGCAGGCTTGAGCGCACCCGGAGCACAGCCCCCGCGATGCGGCGCCGACGCGGCGACGCCTATGGATCATTCCACTCATTTCACGATGCTTAGCGCAGGTGGCGAAGCGGACTGAAGCTTGGCCGCTTTGGAGTTGGAGCCCACAACCCTTTTGCATAGCTCCCGCGCCCTCGTCATTCTATTCCGTCCGGAAAAGCGCGTTGTTTGGCGATGAGGACGAGTTGAGGAAAGTGTCGGCGAAAGCAACAGCCGCATTTCGTATTCTGCCAACTTCACAAACCAGCTGAACCCCAAAGTTACACCACTCCACAGCCGTGCCGTAGGGAAAGAGCAAATGCAAGAGACATGGCTCCCACGCGTGCTAGATGACTGGCTCGCGTACTGTTTCTGCTTTGTGCAGGGCTGAATTGTTGGCTTCCGCGCGGAGCGTCCTGACCAGTCTGTGCCACCGCCTCCTTACGGGCTCCAACACCTATGGACGCTTATTTAAGCCTGAAGTTCGGTATTTACCGTCTCCTATTCGTCTCCTTACTTAGGTACCAAGCTCAAGACGCGCTAAACATACGATGAAGGGCGGGAAGCGGCATCCAGCCAACATGAGTCGAGCATCCCCACATGGACGCTGAGGCTGAGTACCCTTCAAGACTCACTTGAAGCAGGACGCCTCTTTGCAAATCCTTTACGCAAGTCATGAGAGTGGTCTAAGCGTGTGTGTTTCATTTCGCACGTAGATATATCTTCTGTCTGAAGCTCAAGCACGGTTTGGTTTGAGAGTTTCTTTGAAGCTTCAAGTTTTTCTTATTCCTTGGTGCAGCGTCTCAAGGCTGCGAAGAAGGAAGTGTTTCAGCTGCGTATGGCTTGGTTCATACTTGTTGCTCGTATTTCTTAATCCCGCCCTCCCGCCTCCATCGCGCCTCAAATACATCCACGCCCCGCTTCAACTCTTAAGACCCGCTTCGATTCCCATTCCTCGGAATACCGAGTCACTCTTCTGAATCACAATGGCTCCAACACCGGTGGACACTCAACCTGAAAAGCCCCAACCAACCTCTGAACCGGAGCAGAAATCATGGTCGACTGGAACCATCATCATGGGCTCAGTCTTCCTATTCCTCGCCGTCTCCCTCATCGTCACCCTCGTTGCTTTCTGGTTCCATAAACGCGCAGAGCGCAACAAACTCCCTCCGGAAAAGCGCCCGTCCTCGTACCACCCCTTCCGCACACAATCGTCCGACAAGAGCAGCCTCCTCGCGAACGCAGCACCCAGCCCCGAAGACGACAAGTCGAGCATGTTCAGCCGCGACCGGAGCACCAGCGTATCACTCTATGTCGATACGGATGTCGTGGACAAGAGAGCGAGCATGGAGAACGTGAGCTTGATTCCTCTCCATATTACGCCTGCAGAGGAAACACACGATCCCATGGACAGGACTACAAGTGTGGGAAGCAGAGTCAGCGCACTGAGTAGAGGGAGCAGCAGATACAGCACTGGTGCAAGCAGCTTGGCGCTCAGCCCGATACAGCAGAATGAGGATGGTGATCTAGGGACGAGTTCAAGGCCTAGGAGTACGAGCACAACAAGCATGCGCTATTACTCTACCACTCCTACCGATAGGGAGTCGGCGCCGCAGATACCAAAGATTGTGCACACGCCGTCGGAGTAGCCACTGAGCCGGACGGAGAAGAGGGGGTTTGAAGGCTCGAAGGCGCGGTGTCTACAGACTGGTTCCTTGTGGGGAAATGGGAGCAGAGGGGGGTGTTTCCTACGTCTTCATGTCTCACTGTTTTCAGCATGACCTTTTCCAATCTCGCATTGCTGCTATTTCATGTTTCCTATTGCTTCTAATTCCAGAATGTCTTTTGAGCATCATAACGAATACCCAATCCACGCTCCTGTCCAGCGGTTGAGCAACATCAGAGCATCTGAAATCAAAGTCTGCAATAATCACCTCACTCCTCGTTCCCTTTTTCCGTTTTAGTATTGGCTCCATCGTTGAGACTCCAGCCCCCATCGCCCAGCCTGTAGGTACCTTTTCTTACACCACCTTCACCGGAAGTCTTAAATTTGCGCATATTGCTGTATATGAGCATCTTTTACCGAGCGAGAATGGACTTCTTACTCCTTGGGGTAACGTGTATCAAGGAACCTGGAGCAGCCGCGGCTTTGCTGCACACATCATTAACAGCTCGGATCCTTTGCATGGAGTCCAGCACTGCGTTACCTGTGGCTCAGATCCGTTCAGAAGGTCTACATGCTCCTATGTGGCACCCATCGCGACTACCGCGGCAAACGAGAAACTCGCAGCGTAGACTTTACCCTACAAGAATGAATATCCAACCTACTGATCACACAAATCCAAGGCCTCCGTAAACACCTCACATCCACGCTCCAATAACGTCAGCGCCAAAGATCGTAAGTATAAACGACCGCTCGGGCGAACCCGAGTCAACCACAAGCCCTAGTGCTCGAAGCTGCACAGCCACAGCCACAGCACGAGGTTTTCGGCATCAGGAACCTGGGAGCTGGGACGATGGGATCTGGTTCGGGGCTGAAGCGTGCTCGTATTCGGATCCTGTTCCGCATGTCAATGGCCGGGTTTCCCGTCGGAGAATTGAGGACGGCTTCGGCTTCGGTTTCGCCTTGTTCATAGGCATGGAGGAGGAAGTAGTCCTCAGTTGTTGATACATGGCATTTGAAAGGGTATAACTTTTGATGTTTTGGAGAGCTATAACGGGCTAGATTATTCAGTCTTCCTCCTTCACACCCGTTCTGCGCGATGCTAAAATGGACGTACATTGCGGCAGCGTCTTCTCGCATGATGCAAAGATTCTTCTTGTGTAGGTCTAAGATCACAGCGACACTGAGAAGAAGTCTAGAAAAACATGCATCGTGAGCACTCTCCTCGGATCCGCAAATTACCAGCTAAGTGCCAAGCAGCAGCGACCGCCTCCCTTCCCAATCCGCAATGCCTCCGACAAGCTCTCCATCAGCTCAACAATCAACCCGCTATAACATCCTCCCTACGCATCCCACAAATCCACTCAAACCCCCACCACTTCACCTCCCTCCCACCTTCCCTCTCTACCCTTCCCCTCAACGAATCCATAACGCCCGCCATACACGCCAGCGGCTCCAACGGCGGTCTGAGATCGAATTCAACCAGTACTATACATCTCTTCTCATTCCTGTTCTGCTCTGCTTCTCCAGCAGCGCGCTGACGCTGACCCGAAAACCGCACGCCATGGTACGATTTCGTCGAGCTGCCCGCCTGCGTAATCGCTTCATCTTCTTGCGCGATGTGCAGGGCTGTTATTTCGAGACCGGGGCTTCCTTCTTTCGTTTTCGAGGATCCTTCTACACCGCTGGGAAAAACCGCATCGCCTATGCTGGAGAAAAGTCCTGATGCGTCTTCACTCCGCTGTGCCGTCTGCTCACCAGTACTACTACTCCTACTCAACGGCATCCAAAACGCCATCAACCCCACAACCCTTCCGCCCCCTCCTCCTTCTTCTCCTCCTGCTCCTGCAAGACCTCCCACCCCACCATCCATACTCTCCACAACCCCACAAGCCGACCTCCTCATCCCCGCCAAACGCGGCATAAACCACGCCGTCCGCTCCGTCGGCTCCTCCAACTTCTGCATATACTCCTCTGAACACAGATCCGTCACATTGTCTACCTCGTAGACGGCTAGGTAGACACTTTCACTTTCATCTCCATAGCCATCTCCATCTCCTCCTTCACGCTCCCCATTATCTTTCCCTTTACTGCCATCCTCACTTCCCCTTTGCTCTGGTAAAGAGCCACCCATAGCCACCGAGCAAGTCGTCGCAGTCAGAGTAGATGGAGGCGGTGCAAGAAGCCCGCGATACCGCCGCGCGCGCCGGAACCCCGGCAGGCGCAGACGTTCGGGCAGATGCTCGTTTGTCCACCAGTCATTTAGCGCGGCTTCGTCTGTTCGAGAGGAGGGCGAGATGGCGCCCCAGAGGATGAGGGCGGCGCTGCCGAGGAGTTTGCGCGATGCCTCGTGGGCGTGGGAGGGTTGTGGCTGTTGCATGTTTTGCTTAATGGGCTTGCTGGGGTAAGGTAGGAAATAGGATAGGATGTGATAGCTTGGAGAGGTTGAAGTTGAAGTTGGGGATTGGATTGCATTGTGGGGTAGGTAGGAAGACGGTTGGGCGTCATCTGACATTTATCTGCGGGGAAGGTACATCCCCAACCTGAACGACATCCGTAAAAGATTCTTACTACGCTCATCTATACTACCCGCCCATGCGACATCCCCACGGAGTTTCCATATTCACCAAAAAAAGAGCATGAACGCTAAAATGGCAGAAGGAAAACTAATATTACTATAAGCGCCGTCGCTAAAGGTGTAATCCAAAGAAGAAAGGCGCCCGTGGTATATTCCTCCCCGCAAACCTTCTTCTATGCAAAAGCAGACTGCCAAAGTATCGACAAGAAAAAGTAAAAGTGCTATCCAAAATGCTCATCTTTCTGACTCGGCTTCTTCCGACCCAGCGTCAAATGGAGGCTCTACCAGAGGTGGGTCGTCGACTACTAGTAGTAAGGGCTGGTCCTCCGATGCTTCTACGTCCCCGTTGACGACTCCCTGGTCCCCATTTTCCACTGGGACATCGTTGACCTCATCGGTAACGTCTTCTATCCTTCCATTATCGACTAAGGCTTCAGGCACTGTCATATCCTGCGCATACGCCGAGCTTTCGGAGGAGCTCGCCGCGCCGGGCTGCTTGGACTTGCTTCCACCAAGACCCAAATGCCTAACAGCGCGCTTCATGCTCTCGAGCCTTGCCCGTTCAGTGACCACCATCTTCCTCGCCAACTCTTTCAATGCCTTCCTCCCCATATCCACTCGATTCTCTTGCCAGCTGGCCAGCTCCCCTGCGACAACTTGCTGTGTATATCTAAGCTCTTTGCCCAGGCCCGCAAGCTCTTCAGTTGCTCGATCCATTTTCTCCTGCGCGTCGCGCTGCATACGGGATCGAGCATCATCGAGGAGGCCTAGCGGCCATCGATCGGATCGCCGAATGGACAAGTGGTGGCGATCTACCGCTTTTTGTGTCGTCGACATAGCGTTGATAAGGGTAGAGGGGCGGTTGAGTGCGGTCAAGATGGCATTGATGGTGCTGGAGATGGCGTGCATGTTGTAGTAGAAGCCTGCTAGAGGGCTCGCCTCGCTTTGCGTTAAGGTCTTGGTGTACCGCTCCGTGGCTTTGAGGTGCTTCTCCGGTAAGAAGTTCAGCGAATGGATAGCGGTATTGGCGAGCCTTGCAGCGTCGGTGAGATCGGAGGACACGGAGCGTAGCTTATTCGTCCTGCGAAGAACCGACTTCGAAGCATGGTGCAATGAGCGCACTGACTCGCGTGCGTGCTGGACGAAAAGCTCGACTTCGCGGACGTCGTATACAGGAGCATACTCATCTCGCACGCGTTCTACTCGAAGCTCAGCTTTGCGGGCTGATCGCTCGGCGAGCATAGAAGAATCGATATCGGGGACTAGGAAGAACTCCCATACCATCTCGTGGGTGGAGAAAGTGGGATGCTTCAGTAGTATCTTCAGGAAAGCGTCCAGTCGAAGCTGGATGTCGCGCAGTATCGAGCGTGAAGGTCGTGATGGTATCAAAAAGGGCGAAGCAAGATTGTTGATGACTGGGAGCCAGGATGCGGGATGCTCTTGGGCAAGCCATCTCGCCAGGCATTCGAAGTCCTGCAGCGAGCGACGGCAGGTTGTAACCGTGATTGTGGAATTACCATTAGGGGCGCCGGATTTCAAGACGAGCCTAATCGTCCCATCTTCGACGAAGAAAGACCGGACGACGGTAGTTGTCCGGCCATCAGGACCCGGCTCGTTAGAGAGAAGCACCAGGTCATCTATCCGATTCCGAACTTCGTCGTCCTTGGCAAGTTCTACGGCGGTAAGTCCTCGCACATCCTTGACAGACAGATCAACTCTCGGATCCTGGAAGAGCACACGGACCAGATCGGTGCGACCGTATTTGCTGGCCACCATCAGAGGAGTGAAGTGCTTATCGTTCGCCGCGTTCACATCGGAATCGCAACGATAGAGAAGCTTGACAGCGATCTGGGGATCAGTAATGATGTGGAGCAGGCTATTCCCCTTGTTGTCAATGTGCTCGTCGAGGTGCAATGGCTGGTCGTCATCTTGAGCTTGTGTTGCGGCCAAGAGGGCTTTGTCTACCATGTCGCGGTACTGGTCGTGATCATATGACCTGCAAAGAGCAAATACTGGAGTCTGGCCGTTTTTGTCCTTCAGCCGCCATGGCACAAGATGCCCAATCCGGTCGATGAGGCGAGGCTGATTGAAGAGATAATGCGCCATGCATCTACCTTTTGAATCCTGCTTCGCGAAATATTGTCGTACGGTCTCTTCATTCGGACTGCTCTCAATGATATAATCCAGTAGAGCATCCGTAGTCTTCGCGTGAGCAGATTGGATTGCGGCACTCAGCAACGTGGTGCCATCATTGTTGCAGTCCTCCAGGACAAAGTCCAAGGAATAATATTCGGAGAGGCTAAGCAAGTATTGCAGGGCCTTTTCTTGTTTGTTCTCCACGGCCATCATCAAGACAGATTCGCCCTCAAATCCTTGAGTCTTAGTCAATTTCTCGATGGACGTGTCGCCTTCAAGCCCGCTGGCGCGGGAGTCGAGAGTGGTACGTGACCTAAAGGAGAATGCGGAGGAGCTAGACATGCTCCGGGTATCCATAGACACCCTCTTCTTTGCCTTTGGACGATCCGCAGGAGGAGGCGTCGGCGCTCTTTGAAAGGGAAAGATGTGGGCCAGCGGGCCATCCTCGCCTCTATGCTTGCTACGAAGGGGACTTCTACGCCTGCGCTTCGGTTCAATATCGCCATTGATAGTCGTTCCACCGAAGGATGACAGGTCCGAAAAGCTCGCAAATCTGACAGGTCGAGGGTCATGGTGATCATCGTCACTTAGGTCTTGTTCATCTTCGAGTTCATGGAATGACCTATCTGGTTCAAGGACACCTTGCATCGTCGCAATGTCACCCGACTTGGTCGCTTTCCAAAGCGTCCTATTGCGTCGGCTGGCTTTTCGCAGGCCTCCGGAGTCTCTGGCCAGGTATGATAACACAGCTTCGAACGTACTCAACGCATACCCCATCTCGCCGCTCTCCACGTCGTCGATGAAGATGAAATGCCGCATGTAAGATAAACGCGCCTGGAGATTTCGGATCGGCGACCGGATGACGACAATGAGGAGCAGAGAAACGAGAGTATCGGCATTGATGGTGAGCAGAGGATCATGTTTCTCCGACAAGGATTCCCCATTAACACCGTTGACGTCCGATTTCGCCTTTGTACCGTTTGTATTCGGCGATGCGTCGGGCTGGGTGATGTGCTTCTGAACCGCGAGCAGTATCTCCACCATTTCTTGCGGGCTTCCCGCCACGCCCATCTTCTTGAAGATTTCAACTGCCTTGGATAGCCGTATGGAAAGCTCGTGTTTGCCTTTTCGCCCGTGGCCAATATCGATGCCGACCTGGGAGATATCCACATCCACCATCTGCCGCATCCTAGCTTCGAGTTCAGCGTCGTCAAACCGCCGAATGTGCCGCATTCGAGGGAACAACGTTTCATGCAGCTGCTCCGTTATGTACCGTTCGATTAGACGCTCGACGATAGGTCCAGTCAGGTCCGTGGTCGCGCCAAGTAGTGAAAGCTGCTGCTTGTCCACCATTTGGAAGAGATCTATAGCAGCGGTCACTGCCGTTTCTAGAGACCGCCGCATCAGGTCTTCCTCATCGTCAATTTCGAGCGTCGAGATGAAACCATTCGGACCGGAAATGCTACTGTGAAACGAGACGGGCATGCTCTCTGATGACGAGAAAGAACCTCGCCTCCGAGAACCTAAAGAGGATCGCCGTGACGACTTCTGTGCTGGCGTAGGTGGGAGAGGTTTCTCAAGCTCCTTCTTAAACTCCGTGAATAATCTGTCTAACCCTGGCTGCATCTGCCGCGCGATCATGGGAAAGTGGTTCAATAGGTCCCCGAAAGACTTGACCTCCTTCTTCCGCGGCATAGATGCGGTTGCCCCGCCCGATGAACCAGCTCTAGCATGATTTGTAGGGTGGCCATTAGTGGAGCCTGGGAGTAAGGCAGGTGTGATCGGCGTCGCTTCATAGGTCCCTATGAGCGGGCGCGAAATGAAGTATACGAGCCACGGCTGGGCTTCGAAGGCGTCGGGGTAGAAGATGGTATCGTTCAACAGCTGGGCTTGGTTCAGTGTCTTGAATCCTGCGTCCTGTCAGCGCCGAATCTTATATTTGTCCCATGCGCGCACCTTTGTTGCTGTAGACGAAGGCATCCTTAATTATCACCGTCCGGCCGTTCGCTGTCGAGAACTGCTTTGCCTTCCCCCGGTTCTCCCTAAAGGTTGAGCCATCCTTGACGTGGTTGTTGGGGCCCACTCCGCCCGGCACCCGCAGGACATGGCTGGCCAGAAACTCTTCGGAGCCGCTGAGGTCAGCGTACGAGGCGTTTGTGTCGCGATCACGGGAGGTGAGGAGGACTTCGGTGGTTGGGACGAGGAGGACCTGGGCAGCCTGTAAGCAGATATGTACGAGAATTGCCCGGAGCGGCCCTTACATGGTGCTGGACTGGCGAGCACTGGCTAGGGAGAGTGCTACGGAAGAAGGCCCGCAAGAAGGGATTCAGGACCGGAGGCATTCAATCGATATGTGGGGCGTTTGACCGAGGATCAGCGAACAGGGACCATGTGTCCTCGAGTGGGTGACCGGACGAGCCGGCGCTAATTGAAAGACCGACTGCGATTGCGAACGGGTGCCTGTTGCGATGGCGCGGAGCTGCGGAATGCGGAGGGCGCACGGATGGCTTGAGCGGCGGAGGCTTGCATCAAGTGGATGCGCGGAGAGTAGCTTGCGTCGCGCTTCAAAGAGCGAAGGTAGCGAAGGTCGCAACGGGCGGAGGAGAGGGTTGGATACGGAGTGCAAAGGTTGTGAGAGGCTGATGAGAACATATCAGATTAGCTTGTGAAGGTGGACACACCCTTGGGGGACCCCTGCCACGCTAGTAGCGAGAAGAGCTTAGCGCGAACGTGCTGTCATCGTCATCCCAGCTCTCCACGATGTTTCAGCCTTTCACCGAAACCCTCTCTTAGCAGCCATATCAACCATTCACAGGCATCTCGTGACGCCATTCAATAGAAAGGGTTCATTGAACTTGTGTATAAGCGTATGTATATGAAGTGAATCAACCACCGAAGCTAATCAGTCAATAGAATATCATCCCTTCGTTTATGTTCACGGTGCCGCATCCCTTCACGACGCCTTCTTGCAGAGCTTCGTCCCATAGTCAATCACATCCCAGTCCTCCGTGCCAGGAGTCGTCTTGGCATAGAACAGCCCGGTGGGATCCCACTTCTTCCGGATCTCGAGGAGTCTAGGGTACTTGCTGCCCCAGTACGACTCCTGCCAGTTCGGCTCGTTAAGATCGCCCTGGACGAAGCATCAGCACCATTCAGCTTGGCAAGCACAGTGGGAAACTCACTTCGTTCACATAGGTAGCACCATTCGGACCCGCCTCCCTCAACGCCTTTCCGACGACGTTCGTTTGGACGTTCTCGCGCTCCATTTTTACCTCCCAGCTCTCGGTGCCGGTCATGATCACGTTGGTGATCACAAAGCTGCTCGCATTGCGCCACGTGGGATGGATCGCGTTATCCGCTACCGGCACACCATGCCCTGGATCGACGATATGTCCAACAGAGAATCCGAAGGTGTCGTTCGTCGGCTGGCTAGCGAACAGGAGCGCCTTGGCAACCCCGTCGCCGTTCTCCTCGATGTCTTGGTGAGTGAAGATGCGGCCGCCGACTACCGAGTTCTGGTTCGGCTGCTCGTCCTCGAACATGTCGATGTATAGCTCGAAGAACGTGGGGAACGCCCTGGTGTACGCATCGTACGGGATATTGGCGGCGTTCAGCTGATCAAAAAGTGGCTTCAGTACTTCCTTGATCTTTGCCTCGTCCATCCTCGGCCCCACGAACGGCTGGATATGCAATGTGCCGAGGGAGAGTTCGAAGTAGACGAACATGCCGTTCTCCACGTAGTGGTTGGCAAGATTGTGGAAGATACGGAAGCCTTCATTGAAGACAGCCGAGTCGTTGGTAAGGGTGCTGTTGATGTTGAGTCTGGTGCCGGCGGTTGGGACCTCCGGGAACGTCTTAGCGGTGATGGACACAACCGTGGCGAAGACGGGACCACCTCCCTTCAAGGCCCAGAACAGATCGGGGTTCTCCTTCGCATTGGCTGTGACGTATTCTCCCGAAGCTGTTACCACGTCGAACGAGAGCACGTTGTCCGCTCCCATTCCGTAGATGGTTGTCAAAGGACCATGGCCTCCTCCTAGTATGTATCCGCCGGCCCAACCAACGGTCTGTGAGGCACGTCAGCTAGATCTGTAGGGAGCGATTCCCCTGCTTACCGGGCACTCTCCACCGACGATGACAACCGGAGGACTCTGAGCAAAACACTTTCGGAAGAGTTCGCGTCCTTGAACACCAGCGCCGACCACCGCAGCGCCACCTGTCCAGTTCCCTGGGCCATCATACTTCTTCGTAAACGTGACGTCCTTGAAGGTGTGGGTGTTGATGATCAAGGATCCGTATCCCGTCGAGCGGCCCATGAAGTCATGGCCAGTGTTCCGGATAATCAGTCGAAGATTGTGCTCTCTCGCGAAGTCAATACCAGCTTTGATGTGCGCCTTGGTCGTCGCTAGGATCACGTAGGTTCCGTAGAAGCCCCGTGTGCAAGGAGCGCTGGGATTGTCCGTCGGCAGGCAGGTGTTGTTGGTGTAGAGAGGCCAGAGGTTTGCAATGGGGTGGTCAGTCCTAATCTCTGTCAGCTCTCTTTGTGCATGGTACAGTCGGTATCAAACACTTACAGCCATTGCTCATTCACCCAATTGGCTTGCACATTTGAGCAGGCCGCTTCGTTGTATACGCTAATCGACGAGTTTCCTAGCTGCTTATGGCAAGGCGCACCCGGAGGCACGGCGACTTGTAAAGCACCGCCGACAGTCGTGTTCAGCGCATCCCATTCTGCATTCTTTGGCCAGCATGCATTGTCCGAGTAGCACTTGCACTGGTAAGTTACGCCGTCCACCTCCTTGACTTCTCCAATCCAAGCCACGGCGGAAACGCAGCTTGTCACCGAGAGCAGCGAAAGGATCCACGACACTCGACCCATATCGATAGCGCTGAGAAGAAACAGAAGATCAGAGCCAATTCGCTGCCGGAAAAGCTTCACCCAGCTCGCCAGCTGAAGCTCTATTTATCGACAAGAGCTCCCAGAGCTCGGCTTACTCTGGGTTGCATGAAACCTTGCCTCTATTACGCCGAAGCCGTTCCTGACAGGGCCAAGCTCATCAAAAATTAGAAAGGCCCGCAGCTCGACCCTACCATTATTGAGCATCCAATGTCAGCCCAGAGTAGCCGCCGCGAATATATGCCCTTGTCGCGAACCTGTAAACCACATGGGCCGACCCATCGGGGCCGTATCTCCAAGGCGGATAGCCGCCGCAAGAGGATGCGATCCGCGCCCCATAACAGATCGGCTCCGGCCCGCTGGGAGCTCCCCGGTGTTTCTATTCATGCGGATAAATTCGCTGTGGCTAGTGGGGTTTATAAACAGCAACTGCGCCGAACCATTACCAAGGCTATCGTGGCACTCGTGGCAAACGCCTTCGAAATCGCTTCCATGGAGAACGGGGCGAAAGTGCTGAATTCGCGCTCAATATCCGACGAACGCCCCAATTGTGCAAGTCGTTTGCGAGCGAAGGAAGCAGATGAGTAAAGACGTCTTGGCATTAATATGTATGCGCTTCGAAGTCGGAACGATATAAGCGAATCTCGGTACTGATGTTTTCCCGGTAAGATTCCAATCTCGTGGCAATCTGGGCGATCTATGATTCATCAAAGAACAGACTTTCTTGCAGTTCTTCTAGAGTATTGTGCGTCCTTTGCGCCGACCGTCAGGTTGGTGTCGTTCGACGCAAGGTCCCTGGAGCAGTTTGGATGATTGTGGGGCCTCTGCTCCGTTGGCGGGGTCCAATTAGGTCGTCAGCCCTGCCAATATGTATGCATGTCAGCCTAGTGGTGGTCCGAAGGTTACGGCATCAGGTACGCTTCGAGGAAGCGAGGCGTGGATGACGAGACGAGTGAGAATAATGGATGGAGTCGTCCGTCCGAGGGGTTAGTTGTCCGAGCTGAGTGCTTATGCTGCGAGTGCGGGATACTCCAGAAAATGGTGCCTGCCGGCAGTTGTGGCAGGAGGTCCCTGGTGTACGCTTCCCTCGATTCAGTAGCACACGCCGCCGCCTAACTCCGTCCTTTTCGTTCCAGATCCTCCCCGCTTCAGAAGTTGTGGACGGGTCCCTCGCCCAGACAGAACGCATACGTATGGGGTTCGGTCTCATCTCGGCGCTCGGTTGCTGTCAACGGTACATCAAATCTCCGCCGTCCGTACAACCTCGAAGCCTCAGCTGTTGGCTCGCTGTGGACTGGACGACCGACGTGAGCTAGATTCTAGCTTTTTGTGATTTCGTTCGGATGGCCTCGAATATCAGCAGTAGAGCCGCGATGCCAGGGAGAAAGTCGAACACGATTGCCTTTGCGTGTGAAGTACTACCTAGGTAGAAGCAGCTCCACTGTGGTCAGTTTTGTGGCCTTCTTCGCCAACTTCGGAGGGCCTGTTCATTGGACGTGGCAGTTTCCTCATGGATGTTGGTATTCGTTAGACAGTGTCGTGGTCGGGTGACCACCTGGGCAAGGTCCCTCAACGAAATAGGGATTTCTCCCAAGTAAGAAGGGCTAGCACATCTTTCGCGCTCGGAATGCTAAAGGAACGTAGAGCGCGGAGGAAGAAGATGAATCGATCCATCAATAGTCGTGCACGATGGGAGGTAGAGAACGACTTCTAGGGAGAGGAGACGTCACCCGGGACGCTCCTGCCTTTCTGGCGCAGCTGCGCCTCCAACGGTAGCACTTGTACACTTTTGACGTCACCCCTAACCAAGGCACATTACACATGATCTTCTCTACGAACCTGCCCTCCACCAGCCTCACCTTGCTCTCTCAATACCATAGGGCCGCAACCACCTGGCACTCACCATGGCCACGCACAAACTCTACGAAGCCGACAAGCCCGAACACTGCTCCCGACTGGAATCCTTGCCCCGCGAGGTCAGAGAAAAGATATACTTCTACCTGGGTTTCCCTGTGGCCGGTCACTGCGTACATTACTGCGACAAGCCGTGTTCCGTTCATCAGGCGTTGCGGTTTGGCCAGGAGAGGAAGAGGCATTTTGAAGAGCTAAAGCGACAGTATGAGCAGAAGAAAGAAAACGCGCGCTGGACATCGTATAACGAGGGCGAGATAACAAAGTTCAAGGAACAGGCTCGCATAGCTCTGGCATCCAACGTCGTCACCATCTCGGCGATCGCAAAGGGCCAGGGCTTGATACCGGGCAAGGTCAGCATCTCTGGCGTCGACGAGAGCAGATTAGAGGTGAGTCCCGAAACCTTTCCTTTGTGGCATGGTATGTATACTCACTGTTTACGTGCAGCACAAGCTGTTCCAGATTCCGGAGTGTGGGCTTCTGCTCGCCAATCGGTTCTTCTACGACGACCTTTCCGCATGCTTCGAGGCGGATTCAGCTATAGCTCGCGAGGTGCCGAAGCCTGTACACCAGCATTTCTGCTCGGGGAGCTGCTTTCTCTCATTGGATGATGATGAGGGCGATAACGAGGGGATACCATCTCCGTGGTCTTGACAATGCTGTCCCACGATTCACGGCAGCGCTCTAGCAGCGCCAACCGCATGACTTGACACGCAAGCGGGAGATGCCATTGGCTATCGTGGCTTGACATTTTGGCATCATAGTAGTGAGGAGGAGTGATTGCTAAGCATTCTAAGGCTTCACAGACCATGCTACGGACAGAGATGTCCACACGATGTATTTAGCATGAATCCCAAATGTAAGAAGATGCTATAGCCGTATGATCGCTCAATTTCGATATGAATTTCGCCGGTTGTACTCTGCTAGTTCCGACGTCACCGCGAGCAAGGTGCGTTTTGAAGCCCCTTCACTCACTCGTTAGCTCCCACTCAAGTCAGAAAACCACCACTTAACTCCAACACCTTCAACCATGACCGCTTGCCCGCCCGAATACATCTCGATCACCATGGACACCATGGAAGCGCAAATGCCAGAAGCTGGCGAAGAGGGACAGCCTGCGTCCCGCCTAGAGCTTCTTCCCCGAGAACTTCGAGACCGCATCTACTTCTACCTCGGCTTCCCCGTTGCTCGCCGCTGCCTCCACTACTGCGACAAGCCGTGCACCGGCTACACTGAGTTCCGCGGAAATGCGCAATACGTGTACAGGCTCGAGAGGTCGAAGCTGCAGGCGCTTCTGCGGGTCGGACGACTCAGCCGACGCGAGTATCGCGAGTGGGAGAAAGAGCAGGCTGCAAGGCTAGATTTGCGCGAGAGCTTAGCCGAGTACAAAGATGAGTGTCAACTTCTCCATGCGGTCTCTGCGGCTTTGGGCGCGAGTCGCATGTCGGGCAGGGATGAAGACGGTATCAAGGTATGGCACGCTTTCGGGTTATCTAGCTGCTCGTGGACTGAGACTCAAGCGCAGCACTCCAACTTCCCTGCTCCCAAATGCGGACTCTTCTTCGCGAACCGCTTCTTCTACGATGACATGTCTTCCTGTTTTCGGATTGCTTCGACTATCGATCGGGATCAACGGAAGCAAGCGCGGCTTCAGCGTAAGTTTCACGTTCCATAGCTCACCTGTAGGCCACCGGTATAACCACCACTCTTCTAGGTTATCCGGTTCGCGATCGTCGTTGTCATTTTGCGTATCGGGCTAGAACTCGGTCTCCCCGCCCTCAGCCGGAAAGGGAGCAAGGGAGCCCATAGGCGCAGTCCCGATGCGCTTCGGCGGGGTACAGGAATGGTATTTGACGCTGGACTATCCGGCCCTTGGGGCTGGTGGCTGACCATATGATGGGTATTTACGTACTCCAGTGGAAGTAAGAGCTAGAGATACGATGAGAATGCCAATAGCGGAAGACTTACAAGACTATAACCATCCCATTCGAAGGCTAAACCGTGGTCTAAGTTGCCGCTCGTCTTTCTATACATGTCAGGCTAGCGGCGGTCTTCTTCACTGGATGATTCCCCTCCTTCCAGATAGCTAATCAAGTGGGCCACTACAGACTGCAGAGTCCTATGGTAGAAGCCATTAGGAGGAGCGTGATCAGGCCATAGCTCACCCCCGACTCCGTGCCGGTGGTAATCTGTCCGTGACCCGCGAAAGCCGAACGATTCGTGCTAAACATCCTGGTGAGCTCTTCTGAACGAAAAACCACCCTCAGGCTCCGTCATATGCGTCTCTCCCATGGACCTATGCATGAAGTAAGCAAATGCTACATGCCCTTAATTGGCCGAACTCACGTTCCCCTAATGCATTCATAAACTGCTTTCGGAACCTGATACTACTATCCTTCATATAGCTCGGTGTCCACTTAAGATTCGTCATGTCATACAAAGTGATCTTAGTTTCGCTGCAGGTCTCGCGCGCCCCCACAGCACTAGTACAGTTCTTGAGCTAGATAGCATCAGGGGCAGCATGAGATTGAGAAAGAGATGCGCGTCGAAGGAAGAAGAGAGGAAGTAAGATGATGCGGCTTCCTATCGAGCCGCTAGCCAAGACGGTAGAAGCCGTCCCAGTTGCTGCTTGAACCGATGTCAACCACTGATCACTCCGCGAAAAGCAACTCATCATGATCTGAAATAAGGTATCCTTGAAACAAGTCTCTGTATATTCCATCGTCTCGACCCAAGTGGTACAAGAGCAGCAATGAATCTAGACTCAGTTGGGAATAGCGCATTCACTAGCGGCCGCGGGATCCTCCACTGTTCTCAAGCACGAGGTCTCAACCCCACCTCCACCTGTCTCTTCCTGACCTCAGCAAGCAGATTGCCAACGTCCTTGTCCACGTTCTCAAACTCTCTCTCGATCAATGCCCTGTGCGTCTCACTCCGTGGTTCAAATATCGCCTCAAACGGCTTTGGATGTGACACGAAGCCTGCTGCGAACATGCTGTCGTCAACCTGGATCCTCGTCCCGTCCTTGGACCGCACATTGAATCCCCACAGAATCCGAGCAATTGCGATAGTGACTGAATTCTTCGCGATGTGCCTTCCGGTACAGATCCTCCGCCCGTAGCCGAAATTGTTGGGTTGCCCGACTTTGCCGATCCATCGCTCCGGTCGAAATTCCAATGGAGCGTCGAACAGCTTCTCGTCTTCGCGCATGGCCTTCCAGACGGGGATGACTATTGAGCTCTTCGGGATCAAGTAGCCGTTGTACCAGTCCTCCTTTAGTGTGGCATGTGGGAAAGACGCTGGCAAAATGTGGCGCCATCGGAAGTTTTCTTCCACGATCGCGTGGATATATGGTAACTTCTCCAAATCGGCGAAATCTGGCATCCGCTCTTGTCCTACGACGTCATCGATCTCCTTCTGAGCGACGGCCATGAAGTCTGGGTGTGCCACGCAAGCCAAGGCGAACGTTTGTAAGAAAACGGCTGATGTCTCCACTCCGGCATCACACAGAATGCCCAGGTCCCAGGCCAGTTCTACTTCCGACATCCCCTTCACTTCTTTAGCATTCGCAAAGTCCTTGCACCAGTTCCAGCTTTCCCTCTCACGGGCTTCTTTCATATTGGTTATGTGCAAGTTCGTCTCCAGTTGCCAGTAATTTTCCGTCGTCTTCTTGAACGGGGCCAGAAACGCAGGCAGATATTTCAGCATCGGAAGCGCATCTACCATCCACTTCCCGGGCTGCGCCGCATGGATGAGGTTGTGTAAGACTTCATGCGATGTCTGGATCTGCCACTCATCGTTTGTCACTATCCGGAAACCATATGTCAACACGTAGACGACGCTGGCGGCGAAGATTTCGAAATTCTTCTTTAGATCGTTGCTTTTCAAGAAGTTGTGGAGGAGAACTTTGCTCTCCATATCCTGAATCGGAGTATACGTCGTCGAAGCCCTCGGGCTCAGTGCTGGGGCCTCGAGTCGCTGATGCAGCACGTATTGCGCATCAGGCTGTCGCAACAAGATGTGCATGCCTTTGCACGTCAGCTCCGCAGCCATCACTAGACGCGGACGGCCGCTGTAGATGGTCGCGCGCCGGTCCAACAGGTCTTTGGCCATTTCGAAGTCTCCGACGAGAATCACCGTGGTACCACCGAAGTCTGCACTGACGAGTGGTCCGTATTCCTGGATCCATTTCTGATAGGTCAACCACGGGGCCGACTTGGGAGCTTGGTGGAGGTTCCCAATGATTGGGAGACGTGGAGGACCTGGGGGAAGCTTGGCCCTGCGACGCCTTTGTTGGAGCGTATAGGCAAGCAGCAAAAATGCAGACGCTGCAAGAAGAATCGCCTTGGGAAACATGATTTCGATAAGTGTTAAAAAGAGGATGCGAAGATATGTGAAACGCAGACTTATCTTGGTTCTTATGCTCACTTATAGGCGCTCCACCTTTTGCAGAGCGTAGCACCCATCTCCATCCCGGATCCATGTCGGGCAAAAGTTGCAGCTGTCGGGAGCGGGGAACGTTACCAACTCGTTTATAACCCCTGCAACTGCCGTCCAGAATGCCACGTTGAGCCTATCAGCTATGTTTGCCTGCAAGGCTGCATATGCGCTCTGGTCAGTAAACGGAGTTGCCACCCCTCGTGCCGTCCCGCTTGCCAGGTGCAGTACGGAGGTGTGCCCGGCAACTCGTTCTATAGGAGGGTTCAAAGCCGGCATTTCGAACGACGTTATCTTCTGCTGCATACATACGCTGTCTCCCTACACGCTTTCACCGCTATACACCATCTGCTCGCTCTAGAGTCTCGGTCTTCGCTCCTCCCCTTGGAAGGCAGTGCGTTTTCTGTGCGGGCCCGATACTGGAGCATGTTATCAAACTAATACTTCTCCAGTCTATTGAATCTCGAGGCTGCAAGTTCCCAGGTCCTTGCGCGCAGTTGCTTTTCTGCGTAAAGCCCTTGATGATTGGACTGTCCGATTGGCCGAGTTCTCGGCGCGTATACGCCCTGCAGTCCCGCCAAACACCCCTCTTGGCTGGAAACTAATGAAGCAGTCTGACGCACGCTTGTCCATCGCTCTCTTTTCATACTTGCCGAGAATCTTCGTCTATATGCCGACCTTTCTCATCGGTCGCCATCGGATTTACCACGTCCAAATCAACGTTGGAAGTATGTCAGCTCTTTACTAAGCCGATGCCTCTCTAATCCCTTCCCTTCCAAGCTATGCCTCCATGCAGCCCTATATTGCGGCCCGTCCCTAGGCCTAGATTTTGTTGAGGAATCGGGCCTGGATGCAGGGAAGCTTACAACCCCTTCTGGGAAAGCGTGATTATTCAGCAGTAATCATGGAGGTGCGCCTTCCGCTTGGCTGCATCTTAGCGACCTATGAGCCACCCTTTCACTCACATGGCAGCTGTTGATCATGTCAAGGATGTGGGGGATCACTGTTCATGTCTGCTGATAAGGGCTATGTCGCTATGTATATACAAGGGATGTCTGATTAGGCGATCAAAAGCAATGCGTTGAGCCCAGGAGCATGGCTCCCGCGAGTGCGGCATCTGGAACCCTGGGAATGAAGAGGAGATGGCCCACATGATAGTGAGGAAACCCGATCTATTTCGTTCAGGTATGGTAGGCCACTATCGAACAAAGAAGATGCTGGTGCCGCGCGCAGCAAACAAGCATTCAAGCCCGTCTATAAGAAGAGATGTTATGACCTAAGCAACCGTCCTATTGACGCCCACAGCACTCGATCTTCCAGCACTTTCCTCGCTTTATCTCCCCAAGAACGCTCCGCGTCCACCATTCCACATCACAATCCCACTTTCCCCGCGGGGCTTTCTTCGTTAGGCTCTCATTACTAATCTTATACAAGATACATTGCAGACGCGCCTGCTTCTAGTTGCACTGCCAGCACCTCTTTTGAGCTAGCATCTCCAAGCACTGCAGATACTCGCAATTTTCCGACAGCGTTCTTATAACCGCCACTACCCACTTTACTGTCTTCTGAGTGTAGGTCCGTGTATGCGTCATCTGTGGGTCGTAATTGAGAGTAACGACAAAGGAGCAGTAATCCGCAATATAGCCGATCGAATGCACTTGTCGTCGCAAGACGTGCTCGTAGAAGAATCTCGTCTGGCTAGTGCTAAGTACGCCAACCACGTCATCCAAATAAATCAAAGTGAGGAATTGACACAGTAAACTCGCTCAGGGCTTGTAGTTGTGGACCAGGCCGTGACGACTGCTAACGCAAGTGCAACCGAACGCGAGCACACGACTTCAAACAGAACGGTGGAAAAAGCATCAGAGCATGTTAGTGGCAATGTGTACTCTAGAATGCGTTTGACACATCGAAGAGAGCGTGACGATTTTGTAATTCCCTACCATCTCCATCATTACCTGCCTTCAAACCATGAATTACCAATCTCCAAATGCTCCTTAGCCGAAGAAGCGCCTCAATGCTCCACATCATACACTTGCAACGGGAACTGCACGCCCTCTTTCTGGTTGCACACTGAAAACCCCGAAGCAGCATGCGCGCACTGCAGAATGTCAAACCCCACCAGGCCCTTCGCGAACCTCGTCGTCCTCCTTCCATGCTTCCTGCTACTCTCGAATTAGCTTCTATCCACCCACCCTCCCCTCTAACATGTACAAACAGGTTCTCATCGCGCCTACTTACCTCGTATGCCTAACATCCAGCGTAAAGTTATAGTAGGTCGCATAGTCGACGAACTTGAACGCCCACGCCGGATCGATCGTCCCAGCAGGAGTTGTGCAGTTCACAAGCTAAGTTACTGCGCATTAACAAGATGGACGAATTAGCCTGGCTGGAGGTAAGGGTGCGTACGTAGTCGTGAGGATACCCAGTGTTGTATTCGGCATACGGCCAGCGCGTCTCGCAGAACGTAGCTGCAGCGTCGCTTGGGTCTGTCACATTGAATCCGACGCGATAGGGGGAGTGATCTTCAGGTCGTCCGGTCGGCTCGAAGGTGTTGAGGCGCGTGACTTGGAACGCCGGGGGAGGAGAAGGAGGACTCGGTCGAGCGAGCGTGAGTTGTGCGAGGGCGAGGAGAGCGAGGGACTTGATGGCGACCATAGTGTCTAGTAGCGAGCGTGTGTTTAGCGTGTACGTATTCCTGGTATCTGCAAGGTAGATGTGAGGGCCGAAAAGACATTTTGAACAGAAGAGTGTGCTGCTCTTATAGCTGCAAGCTCCATCATTATACGAAGTTCCCTCAGGTGATTGGTCTATTGCTATTTCCGTCCGAAGCAGTAGGGCGAATGCTCTTTTCGTACTGCTCTTGACCATCGCGTCTCGTATCCGTATTCTATCCGTCTTCAGCCGCGCATACTTCACACTTCCGAGGCAAGGATGCTGGAAAGAATGCCAAATTCGTCTGCGTTGCGATTGCAATTGAATTGAGGAGACTTCCCGGGGACACGGGCATAGAACTGCCAGCGGATATGCCGTGTATCGAGGCGGGTGGTGTAGGCTGCCGTGCCTCACTTCTCAGCTCTCAAACCCAGTGTAGCTGTCTAATCATAGCACCTAGACTAGATACTTGAGATCTCAGTCCAGTGGAGTCTTGCGCGATGCTAAGATTCAACGGTCACCCGATTCTGCAGCCACAGGGGCAGCCAAGGCTGCTAGCACGAGAATCGCTTCGCGAATTCGATAGCCACCCGCAGCGACGAGGATGCGAGAAATGCGGCTCGTATGATCATGATAATAGTTTATTCGGGTTGTGGTTGCAGCGCACCGGAGGAATTACGTATCAGCCTCGTGTTGCCCCCGCATCTCCATCTTCGGAAAGCTGTCATCCCTTGTAAGGTCCAAACTCGTCTCGAATAGCCCCCAAACCCCCACATACTGATCGAACAAACATGTATTACTTCAGTCTGCCGTACGAAATATATCGGCCAGTGTAAAACCAGCAGAAGGCCTTCATGGACCCCCACAGCAAGCTAGAAAACATCCCGAGCTGGGTATCGTCCGTCGTAATATCGACCCTGAACTCCAGAGCTACCGTGCAGTTGAGCATCGTATGCACCATGTAAGAGAACCCCGGGTCAGTCAGATTCGCAGTCCTCCCAATCATTGTCGTCGCTATCATCGCTCAGATCCACCATCTCCTTCATGTTGCCGTAAATATGGGATCCTGCAATGCCTGCGATCTTGTCCGCGAGCTCATTGCCCGGCACCTAGGACATATTAGGAGTCTTGCTTGAAGACGCCAGATTATTCTTACCCTGCTGTGGCCTGGGCACCAGTGTAAAGTGATTGAAGGCCTCCCGGCTTTGCGAAGCAAACGCGCTTTGGCCACCATTTGATACCCCAATGGACATTTTGCTGGTTGTCGCGCAAGGTGAAGTGCTGTAGTGGAGTCGGTGTAGATCGAGACAGCTGTCAGCTTTGAATGGCGGGCAATTTCCCGAGCCTTCTCAAGCGCCTTGATGACGCCGAGGTGCTCCATGCCATCAGAGGTCAGAGGCGTCCCGATTACTTTGTATCCTGCGGCTTGCCAGCGGCCCCACCCAGCTGCTGTGCTGCGACGCCAAGCAACCGCGAAGCCGCGTCCCCTAGAGCTCTTGGAACCGTCAGTCCACAGAACGAGCCGTCCCGTATCTTGCTTTGCAGTCGTGTGCTCCTCGTACGCCTGATGCACAGCCTGGCCTGCTGAAAGGATTTGGACATCACCAGGGAAGGTTGCCGTCCTCCTCCGGCCCCGCTTGGACGTCACTGCTCGGCGGAAGTAGCGGTTGGGGACGACTGTCTGGATGCTGCTCTTCTCAAAGTATTGCGCGGCATTGGTTGCTAGCGTCAGCTCGTTGTCGATTCCTAGCTCTTTAAAATACTTGTCCTTCCAGAACTTCAACGTGCGATGGCCGCCATCGAGTATTTGGAGGTCGGGGCCGGTCTGCTTCCGCTTGTAGATCTTAGTGTTAGTCTTGGTGCGGGCGCGTGTTAGCTGCCTAGATCTCGTGATCCGGGAAGTCTGTACCTGCTGCTGCCAGCCCATGCTCCGGGGCATTGTCGGCGGGTTGAATGGGTGAAGTGACGTTCCCTGCGCCAGGTCGGGGTCCCCACGGCTCACCGTCGCGTTGACAATGGGCCTCGGGTGGAGACGTCCCAAGCCTGGCCACTGTACGTGTTCCAACTCGCGCTCCAACTCTGCCATCACATCATCTTCGTCGTCTTCAGTCAGATCGATAGCGGTAGCTGCCGTGGAGCCGGCCAGGCCTACGGCAGCAGCGTGCATGGGGAGACCGCTCGCATCGAGGGACACCTCCATGCCCGCCGCGATCTGCATAGGTACGATGGACATTGTGATGTGGTGAGGCGAGGTGAGGTGAGTGGAGGAGAAGAAAGTGGAGGTGAGTGAGGAAGTGTGTTTGGCAGGTGGGACTAATGACGCGCAAACGGAAGGTACGCGCTAGCACGTGATGGGAGATTTAACGGTGAGCAAGAGCTACCCGGGTTGCCATCGGCGGGCTTTCACCTTGAGGAGAGGGAGACTGCAAGAGTACGTTTGAAGGAGCTCAAGGCACTTCGAATAGGAGAAATATGCGCTGTTCAAATATCTGAAGCCAACAAATGACCTACTACTCAGGACTGGTCTAGCATACTCTTAGAAGGCCAACTCAGTGTGCGATCTTGATATCTTCGCGTCTACAATGTCACCCGTCTTCCTCGGGCCTGTCCTTCTCTTGAAGCGTGCCCGGGCTACCGTCTAGTGCCTCGGCATCCCCAGTCCAGGAGGCCTTCAGAGCCTTGAATACCTAGGGCCCCTTATTCTTGAATATCCGACTCTCTTTCAAAAGCCCTGGTCCTTCCTCAATCCATCCTCATGTCAAATCAGATTCTCTCAACCTCCTCAGCCGCTCACCGCTTCCCCCAAAGTGGATTTGGCTGATATGTCATCCCCTGCAACTCAGTATCACTCAACAAGCCCACCTGATCCCCCTGCTCATCGTCTACCTTACTCGGGGGTGTTCTGGTCTCGCCCCTCACGACCTCCAGCATACTAATCCCTGGCAGCACTAACAGCAACAACGGCAACAACTGTCCATAGCTCCACGAGCTCTCGCTCGGCCCCACGAGATTCACGCCCTGGGGCACCGTGCCAAACGCCTGGCTCACCATAACAACTCGCACAGTTGCGCCGATTCCCATCGCCGTGAGCATGATGAGCCCGACGACCTGCACGGATTTGAGCCAGCGCGGGTTGGTCCTGTTGTGCAGGTACCAGGTTGACAGTATGAAAACGATGACATTGCCCGCGATGACGGCGATCGTTCCGGCGATGGAGAGCCCGGCGTTGGAGGGCGTACCGCGGTCTGCAACTTCCCAGACGCAGCCGATTGGTAACCGGGGCTCGAGATTTTTCATGACGGACTGCAAAATAAAAATGGAAGACAAAACGCTTAGCAGGGTGTTGATGAACATGAAGAATTGCCGCAACCATCTGAGCACCCAATCGCGCTTGAAGTCGTTGACGAGCGCTAGCAATGTCGCCATGTTCGTCGCGGTTGAAAGCAGGGACAGTAGCCAGATGATGAAGAAGTGGTATGGAACCATGGTCTTCATTTTTGCGAGCCCGATGGATTGGATGCCGATACCCGTGATGATCTGCTGGTCGGAGAAGGAGAGGAGAAGCTTGCGCAATAACGGCGCCGAGGTGGATTTGCGCAGGCCGAGAAGGATGATGACAGCGCTGAGGAGAAGGGAGAGGAAGTTGGTTATGATGAAGGAGAGGAGGGTCTGCGCTTCATGTTAGCAAGATGTTCTGAATGTGACGAGATTGGACATACACCAGCGCCCGCAACTCCAGCATCTGTATATACCGTGTCCGGCACGAACGTACAATTGCTCCCCGTATCGATCGACATGTTCTCTGCAAATCTTAGGACACGCTAAAGGAACGTCAAGTGGGTATATTTCGCGAAGACGCGCAGAAACGCAGAAGAAACTTGTAGACTCAAGGAAAAGCGACCGGTCGCGAAAGCGCGCACAGAAAAGTTGGTAAGAAGTGAGAGTTAAGCAGCGAGGCCAGCACAGCACAGCCTCTCCCACTACATCATCGTCATCTTGTCTCACCCTAAATTAAGCCTGAGATTGGCGAGCACAAACAAGGGGTCAATGTCAACGTTAAGGATCAGCGCGACAAAGCAACCGAAAACCGGCTCCAATGGTTGATCTTTGTCGCCTTTGTCCTGTGGCGCAGCGCTTAACTTGCGACACGGCGAAACGCGCGGACATCCACTTAGCCCCACTCCAGGGGACAATACCTTTGTTCTACATCGACTCTTAGTCGGTCGCCTTTGAGATAGATGTCGCGCGCGTACGTGGAGGAAAAGTGCGAACGAGAAGGGCCAGAGACCAGCGCAACTTAGAAATTCCATCCAGCCACAGCGCCAAGCCCCCGGTGCATTGTTGGATCACGTGCATTTATTCGGACCTTTTGTTCAACCGAAGGGTCTCCTTGCGACTACGCCGAGGGGTTCCTTGTGAGCATGCTACAATGACGGCATACCTCATCCCCATAGTCCTAATCGACGACTGACAACCACTGGCCTGGAAACCCACACCTCATTATCGTCCACCATGAGTGCTCCCGCGATACAACGTCCCATCATGAAGCGGGAGCCAATTGAGGCACAAGCTCCGGACAAATGCTTGTGCAACGACGTCAAAAAGAAGACCCAATCTGGCAATGGCAGCTGGCAGATGATAGGCCGGGAAAGAAAATGCGGGGAATCAATACCGTACCTTCGAACTCCTGTTATGCTCGCTTCCGTGATCACACGCCGCGCTATGCAATGCAATCCAACATAGACCCCCAAGAGTCGTATGCCAAAACCGTGACGCGTTACGGCTCTTGCACGACAGCTCATAGCCGAGCGATCCCTGTCTTCGGCCCAAAATCTCCCCTATTATACTTCTTCAGATCATAGCCTGTCTTCTTAAACTTCTTCAGCTCCCAAGTCCTCTTCTGCTCCCACTCATCCCCCGCCATCCTCTTACGGACCTCGGGCTTGGTGGGGCCACCCTTGATCGTGCCCGTTCCGTGAAGAATCTCGGACTGCTCCCAGGACCATGAGAATTCTTTTATGAGAGGATGAGTCTGGTTGTTGGGTTGGATGGCGGAGAAGGGGTTCTGGTGGGAGAATTTGAGGGGTTCGGGGGTACCTGTGGAAGTTTGAGCGGCCGTGGTTGCCGATGGGATAGCAGGGACGCGGAGACTGAAGGATTGCTGAGCGCTTCTTTTTGGCGGCACAGTGATGAACGGGTCGGAGTCATCATTTTCCTTGTCTTCCTGGTCCAATCCTCTTGATACGACAGGATATGCCTTCTTGAGCGGACTGTCCAGCTCCATGCCATCCTCAAGACCCTTTATACCGAAGATGTTATTCCTCCCAGCGGGTAATGCCTTCAGCGACGTGATGGGGCCGGGGATCCAATCGCTCTCTGGGTCACTCTCAGGCTCCGGCGTTTGTCCTCGCCGCTTATAGTTCTCCTCATCTTCCGCAGCCGTGCCCTGAGCCTTAGACCCAGTCGGCAAAGCTTTGACGTGCTCTTTGCCCTTGCCTTTCAGCTTGGACTCGGTTTCTTTGACCTGCTCCTTGCCCTCCTTCTCTTCACCCCTCCTCTGAGCTTCTCGGACCTCCTCTAGCAGATTGCTGGGGATCGCAGCATGAATCTCCGTCATGAGCTTCGCTCTCCTGCAGAAACCATCCCAATCATCGCTGGCGAGCTTCCCAGCGGCCTCATTCAGCGCGCTCGCGGGATTCGGCTGTATCAGAAGACACGATATCGTGACAAGCACATCTCTGAGCTTCAATGAGCTACTCCAATCGCGCTTCAGTGTCTCGACGCAGACAGCGCCAGTCGCTTCGTCAATGTTGGGATGCCATAACCGCGTGCGGAACGTGGCCGTCGGTGGAGCAGTAGGATACGTAGGAGGAATATCGAGGTGGAGGCGCCAAACGCCGTTCACGTAGGGAGTTCCTTCAGGACCCGCGAGGAAGATATCGAGGGATGTCAGGTCGGAGGATTCGTAGGACGGTGGGAATAGGTAATTCGGCGGCAGGCCGGCGGTGTGCAACGAGCCATGGTCGGTGGCGAGACGACGCAGCGACTTCGAGTTCTGTAAACATTTAGCCCGGCTTCAAGGGCTGTAGCCCGTATTGGCGCAGTGCGCGCGCGTTGGGTGATGCGTACCATGATCAATCGCTGCGACGCGACCCCCGTGCGTGTAGGACGAGTCAAGAGAGAAGAGTGGAAGGATGGAGATGCGAATCTCCCATGCTGAAGTCAGTCGGGAGTCAAGTCTGGCAACGAAGCTGTCTTTCTGGAGTGAATGCGAGAAGGCGCGTTGCCCCACCGATGGCTAGCGCGTATGTTTGGCGTCGACGACCCAAAAGGGTAAGAACGCCCGACAATCATTGCCTCTGTAGCCGATGCTGTAAAGCTCGGCCTGAGGACTTCAGAGGAGCCTTCCGCTTCCCATAGGTTTTATTTCAACGCCTTTTAGAGCATGGCATACTCAAGAGATAATCGCCATGTATATCAAGCAATAGTAGGATGTTCTACCTACGAAGGATTTCAAGCTACCTTTTCCTTTGCCCACCCCATAGAGTTAGCACCTATGGCAACCCGACGTCGGGATGCCGGTAAATTCACCAAGAACGCCGCGCTAAAGGCTCCTATATCTACAAGATATCCATCTCATCGCCCGGATCCACGAAGGGGAATTGTCCCGTCTCAATCGCCGCCACCCGATCCAGCTCCGCCTGATATTCCTTCCTCAACGTGTCTAGCGTGACAATCTGCCTCTTCAGCATCTTCTTCGCTTTCCCAATTGCCCAATTCGTTGACGCACCGTCATCCCTTCTCTGCTCCGCGAGGATGTAAGCATCCTCGTTGCTGACTGACGAGAGCGCATTGATAATCATCAGGTAGCACTGTGTCAGGGACTCGTCCGCTGGGTCATGGACCTTGGATGAAGTGGTCTTTAGGCGCTGAAGTCGCTCATGGAGTATAGATGCCGCGCCTCGGAAGTTGTTGCGAGAGATGCGGAAGGAATAGAGGATTTGGTGGTATGGCGGGCCAGAGGTAAGGTTCAGTGTATTGTGGCAGAGATTCGAGAGAATTTCATCCACGTCTTCTGTGAGTCCAATAAAGGGAAACCTCAGAAGCGTTTCGGTTCGCGATTGTGTTACCATAGTGGTGATGAGGGACTGGAGTGACGAATGTTTCCTATCATCGATTAGAATTTGCTGTGTTGAAGGCATGAGTGACTCACAGAGCTTTGTCTGAATGCCTCGTCATGGCAGAGTAAGCCTCATCAAACCTTGACGTCTGTATTGAAGCTGTGAATAACCGCTGAAGGAGCTCGGTTTTCAACTCCTCGTCTTCTTTGCCCACCATTGACCCTAGACCTAGGCGAGCGAAATCAACCGCGAAAGAGTAGGCCTTTGCCTTTTCGAACAGGCCCATGATGTGGTGATAGTATTTGGGCAGACCTTCAGAGAAGTAGTTCCGCTCCGCTTCTGACACCAGGGCCGCACTGTCCGAGTCTTCAACGTTGAAGAGGCCAAGCGCTAAAACAGTTAGTCCACAATCCCCTTCCCGGAAAACTAAAGGAACTCACCGAGATTGTATGCTGCCTTCTGGAAGCATACGGATGCCAGCATGTTCTCACCAAGCGCGATGTGCATCCGACCCTTTAGGTAGGTAGCCCAGTTTCCTTCCGGCAGGAACTTCGAGAACTCCATCGCCATCTCATACTCTTTCTGTGCAAGCAAAATCCCCATCGTGTCTTCTACTACAGAGTCAAAGTTCTGTTCCTTGAACACGAATGCTATCCATGCGCGACTCCAGTAAGTCAGCAGTCCTGACTTCAGTCCTCGCGGCATGGGAAATTTGAAGGCGAGGCGACCATAAATGCCTTCCAGGACAGTTTGAGTGATGGGGAATCTGGATGAGCTTTTGAAGGCCTCGTTCAACGACTTCATCAGCGCATCTGAGCCAAGTCCGGTTGGCGACGGGTGCGACCACACCGTCCGTGCAAACCAAGCTAACACTAAGCAATCCTTGAACTGGTCCACCAACTCGACGAAAACCTCTGATGCATCAAAATCCTCTGATAGATCTTCCTCGAACTGCATGAACAGGATGAGCAGAAGTAGATCCAGCAGCGTATTGTAGTTCGCGTCCAGAGTCTCTTGGGATATGCTGACTAGGGCGTTGAGACCGTATCGGGCAGTTTGCTTTCTCTTATTGGCTCGACCTTGCTCTTCATATCCCAAAGTTTGCAGTGCGCGAAGGAACATGTCGGTACTCAAATGCTTGACGTCTGTCCCGAGCTCCTCGACTAGTGTTGATAAGTCTTCTTCTGTTAGGAGTTGGGTTAGATCGCAGTTCGCTTCCATCAACTCCATACGATCAACGACGGTTAATGATCGGCTCTGCAAAATGTCCATCTCAAGCTGGCGTTTGAGTTCTTCTTGGAAAGATATTGGAAATCGTCGTCGGAAAGAAGCGGCAGCGTTGAGTAACCTAGACACATCCCGCGCCTCAGACGTAGGGATAGTTCTGTGTAGAGGACCATGGAGTAGATGTGATCGCGCTATGGCTGCCGAGTTCAAGGCGATGGTTTCCGAGTCGCTGCATTTACGAATAGCTGACAGATAATCGCTTAGCACTAGCCAGGGCATGTCGAGCTCGTGATCATAGACCAGCGACAGAGATTCCCCTCTCCGTTTGTGAAGATCTTTTACTAGGCCATAAAAAGCCTGCCATTGTGCGGAGACTGCATCCTCGAACTTATCGGCATCGGATTCACTGCCCTGTCTCTTCGTAGCGAAAGCGACGATAGTGGCACATATTCGATCTTTCAGAGACCCCCTCTGAGGCGTCCGTGCAGAGCGCGATCGCTCCAGTCCTCTTCGAAAGATGAGAAGTGCAGTCTCGAGAGTCGCGACGGTGAATCGCCCTGGGTAGAATAGAAACTCCAGCCATTGCTCGGTAAGACTTGAGTCGTACAGATCCAAAGACCCCTGGCCCCGTTCGCCGGGATTTGAAGGGTTCTTCCTGAGAGCGTCGACAGTAAGCGGCCCTGAATCAACAGTTGTCCACTCCGTTCTCCAGATCTGCTTCAGCCTGCTCGTATCCTCGTTGAGATCGAACTTCAACGAATAGACCTTGCTGCTCGGCCCTGACCTCGCGCGGATCCAAAGTTCTGTGCCTCTCCATAAGGCAGGTCCGGGAATGACGTAGAATTCGGCCATCGTCCAGACAGTCACATCCATCAGCTCATCAACCGGTGGGATTAGGTCAACGTGCGGTTGGGCATCGTAGATCCCATGTTGGTCGTCGTCCGCATCCCGAATGCCCCAAAACTTGAACTGATGCTGCTTCGGGGAGTATGTCACCACGTGGTAAGCGGCGCCCTCCACTCCCCCAGGAATATTCACGACCTGCATGAGAGTCGGCTGCGATGGTCCAATAAAATACGTTGCTGCCTTGCCGTGCCCATTTTCAATTTCGCCGAGGAGGTCCTTCTGAATGCCTGTCCTTCCAGATGCGACGTTCCACGCTCTTAGTTTGTGGTCCAAGCATACAGTCAGTATGTGCTTGCTGTCCGGGGACAAGGCGATGGCAGCGGCTGAAGAGGCGTGAAGCTCCGCGTTATCGAATCGAATCTTCTGTTCTCCCTTCCAGGGCAACACGCCGCGAAGCGACAACGACCAATTATTCTGCTGGTACAGCGCCTCGTTCCACACCACGTCGTCCTTGCTACTCCTAGTCAGGCGAACTATTCCTCCATTCTCGAGCGATATAAGCAATTCACTGACGCTGGTGGCTACCAGCCGGTATGGTACGTTCTGTTGAATCAAATTGGGAGCGGTCCGCTTGCACCAGTCCTCAATTTCTTGTTCCGAAGCAGAAGGTTTTACGAAGAAGTCGCGATATAGATTAATCGCATATAGTTCGTTTGCGGTCGTAATTGCGAACACGGTGAGCGCGTCTCGATCTTCGGGTTCGGCGAATGCGACGCAGAAGGGTCGAATCGGCGACGTGAAATGGAGGATTAAAGTAAGGTTCGCCTCGAACTTATGCCCGGCGTCATGGTCTAGGTCCGCCGCCTGTATTTCCAGTGTTTTCCTGCCGTCGAGGATGCGCCAAAGGAAGCTCCGCGGATACTCGTGGTGTTTCCTGAAGAACATGGACCCATCGCTGGCCAGATGTCGCTTCGCAAACGCATCATCATCCTGATCAGTATATGTGTTGGCGACTACGGCGCGCTTTGGGCGTGTCTGCAAGCCGAAAGTCGAGGTGCTGATAGCGGGGAGGGTAATCGAGATGGTCGAGCCAGGATACGCAGGCTCAATGTTCAGTCGCGCCTCTTTGTAGAGGCATGAACCTCCGTTCTTGACCATGGCGATCCCATGCGACGAGAAATCTGAAGGTAACGGAGGGCTCGGCGAGCGTGGGCGGGGATGAGGTTGACGTGAAGTGAGGGTGAACGTCGCGCTCGGAAACAAAACTTTGGGAGCTGAAGCTTGCGCCACAGTGTGGCGGCACTAGCCACATTCACATCCGCTCCAGGAATCAAGAAAATCCGAACTAGCATTCAAATTGGTAAAGCTAGCTGCAGGCCTCCAGGAAGACCTTTCCGCAATTGAAAGCTGAGGCACGCTAAATTGTGCTGGAGGGTATACCGCGATTTAGGTACGCAATTTACAGATGTAGTACAACAATGGGGTCACCTCGATATCTTTGTCATTCAAGAATATTCTTGCGGTAGAGCACCAGAGAACTGAAGCGATTCTAGATCATAATGGTACAAGTACTCCAGCCAGCGCCGTCCATGCACAGAAACAGACAGTACGCCGCAACCAATAGCCCCCGTCTAGCACATTCCCATACTCCATCAGTGATTCTCCAAATCCTTGTCCTTGGGGTCGCCAATGCCATCCTCATTGATCGCAAACAGGCAGTCGCTCTCTGGCAGACAGGGACTGTCGTAGATCTTGCATACTCGCGTCTCTCCTCGTCCCTTTCTCAAGCTTAGACGGGTAGTGCTAGCATGAGCAATGATGTTGCCGCCAATAGGCTTCTTCGGGTCTGGATTGAACATAGCGCTGGGTCCACCGTCCACCTGAGCAACGACCTGGTTTGTGATCACGACCGCAATGCCGAACTCATCCGCTAGCCTCTGGAGTGTGCGCATGAACTTGGCCAAATGCGTCTGCCGGCTCGAGAGCTCACCACGGCCAGAGAAGTCTGTTCGGTACAGGGACGTAGCGGAATCGACAATGAGCAAAGAGAATCGCGTCTCGGTCATCATCTGCGCGGCTTGGTTGAGGAGGTCGAGCTGGTGGTCGGAGTTGTATGCACGGGCGTACGCGACGTTGTCAAGGACTTCCTCGCCAGATAAACCGTAGCGGTTTGCCACTGCCAGCAGACGGACAGGTCGGAATGTCCCCTCTGTGTCGATGTACAAGCATTTCCCTTCACCACCACCCATGTCGAACGGCAACTGGCATGTTACCGCAAGCGTGTGGCATATCTGACTCTTTCCGGTTCTGAACTCGCCGAATATCTCTGTGATCGATCCCGTCTCGACACCGCCCGCAAGCAGAGTATCTAGCTGCTTCGACCCGGTGGTGATGGAAATGAGCTCACTTCGCCGCTGATGCATCTCGGTCGCTGTCGTAAATCCCATCGGCACGAGTTTCGAGGCTTCTGCAAGCAGCTTGGATGCCTTCTGCTCCGATATGCCCTTTATCTGCTCGAGATTTCTTCTGGGTCTGTCTTCGGGTCAACTGTGGGGTCCGACAAAATCTGTTGCCCAACATACGTGTATGCGATAGCTTCGACGGTATTATAACCGCCATCAATGACAAGTTTGATGTCGCGAGCAGTCAATCCGTTGACACCCTGCATTTTGTTAGCTCCGAGTGCTTTGCTCCATAATGCGACGCGTACCTCCAGAGCGGAAACCGGCGTCGGTGCGCCTGGAGCGCCCATGGCCCCATCTTCGTACTGCTCCTCTTCGGTGCTCATTGTCTCAGTATCTGTATGGGCAGCTGTGCTGAGACGGGAAGCCGATGGTGCGGAGAATTGGGCGAAGTGGCGAAGTCACGACGCGAGAAAGTCAACAAGGCACTAGCGCCTGGACGCGCTGTCACATGATGAATACCTCGGCAGGCTCATCCCCACCACTTTCGATCCCCAGAAGGCAAAGTTAAAAAGGCATGTCCTCTACAATACTATTCTCCATTCTTGAATAGCCGGCTGGTGATATTTCCTACCGCAAGGTCTTCCCTTCGAATTATCTTCTCGCCCAACTTCCGGAGAAGCACCCAGGTACTACACTCTACGTCCCAGTCCACTCATACTCTAGCTGCCAGACCAACTCATGCGTTGATTACAGCGTGGCGATGCTTGATTCTGTTCATGTAGGCTCCCAATAATCGCCTTCCTTCTAGGGCTCACTCGACGCTCTTCTTGCCCTTCCATGCTCCAGCCATAGAAAAATTCAATGCATCGCCTCAAATCCATCATATCCATAGCTCCATCTATAGAACGCCCCATCCCTCTCATCGTCAGCTTAAGCGCGGCTCATCAAGACACATCACCTGTTCCTCCACAGCCAGCACACCACTCCCAGACACCTCACCTTACCTCGGCTCCTTCCTCCGTCGCTCCGCCGCACCGCACGCATCTTTCGTACGGAAGACATCCACTCCCGTAATCCGTTCCGTTTCACCCTACCCGCCGCTCGCTCTCGCACACGTAAAGTCCGAAGCTCGCCGCCCCATAGGGCGTAACAAGGCGCGGTGACCCACCGTCCTATGCTAAGAATTTAGACCTTCCTTAGTCATCAGGGCGCAATGCGATCTCGCATGCTCGCTCGCAACAGCAACCCCACAAACAGCACCTGGGCACGCCAATAAGAAAACCTCGTACGTAAAAGCCAATAAGCCATACACACGGAAAGAAAGAAAAAAAGCTCCATGCTCCATCTTGTCGCCTCGCTGAGCTGGCAGGCGGGCTCGCTAAACAAGCCCTAGAGACCTCCACCACTCTGCCCCCTTTGTCTGAAAAAATTCCACAAATTGCAATTGTTACATCAGCACCAGTACCGACCTCGTACTGGGTGTCGCCTGGGCAGGAGGTCCCCCGCAGCTGGGGCCAGCCTCGACGAGCGCCACAGCTCTAGGCGACCCTCGCGTCGATCCCGCAAATACGATGGGGAAAATCTCACCATGGCCTGATTCGCTGCACCTCCTGCCCAGCGCAGCCTCTCATACTCGGGGAAACTCTAATTGCTCGTCATCGTGGACAGACGTCACGCCATATAGAATAACGGACGACTACGCTAAACGGCGAGGAAAGGAAATATCGAAAAAGACAAAAGTAGGTAGGCTTAAGCGGGGTTCGTGTTGAAGCATAGCAGCAGTGGCATGCGTAACTATGTATCCGATATCCAACTTGGTATCATAATTAAGACCGTCTTTATGCACTTGATAAAACGCCCAGTATCCAAATGCGACTTTTTGATGCCCCACGCGCCCTGGAGTGCACAACTCTGCAGGGGATAATGCCAGAACCAATTGAATGACCAAGAACCTCAACATGCAAATCCAAAATGTTCCATGTACACGGTACATATAGAAGTCGCTCCAAAAAACTCCAATGCAGTAATGAGGTGCCAGCCCGTAGAGGTTTAGTCCGCGTGCAACCTTGCATGGTGAAATAAGCCTGCTCAATAAACGCCGAACCATGATGCTGAGGGTGTACAAGAGCGCAAGGAGATCCAAGATCGAGCTTGCGTTGTGCACGTGTAGACGTTCCGACCGATGACGAAACCGTCTATGCAAGGGTCTCAAACTTGCTCCACAAAATGAGACGTTCTTGATCCGGCGGACGATCTCCGCTTCTTCTGCAGTCGTTTCGATTGACGCTTCTCTGCGTTCGCAGCTTTGTCCTCCTCTTCGGGACTTGGCGGCGCGAATGTGCCCGGTCGCAGAATTTCGAACCCCGAATTGACTTTACGGAGAACCTGGGAGTCGACGTCGCGCCGGTTCTGGCCTGTCTTGACCTCGATCGGCATCTCGTCGTACGAATGCTGGTGGTGCGGACCTTGGGGCTGGTAGGCCTCGGGAAGATAGTAGGGTCGGGGCGCGTACGTCTCGAGCAGTGGTACGGCTTGTTTAGCCTGGTTCCTGGCGTGTCCGTCCTGGGTAGGTCTCGAAACGAAGGGCGCTGGCGCTTCGTCTGAGGGGCTTACGGCAGGAGGAAGCGGAGGAGAAGGAGTCTTCTGTTGAGGCACGAAATAGTCAACACCATTGGCTGTTGCAATTTCTTGGGGCGACCTCAGCAAGTTCTCCGCAACACTCGCCCATTCTCCGCTATTACCTGGTCTGCGAACCCTTGGTGTGAGCTGCCCTGTCTCGGCGACGTGCGACAACCGATGGCTTTGGAGCAGATCAAGATCCGTCCGCGGGTCGACTGGGACTACTAGCGATGCGTGTCTGGGGTTGATGTATGCGGCTTCGTATGGCCGGGCTTCCTGAAGAGCCATGTAGTCGGACTCGTCGCTAGTGCGGCGGCTAGACTTGCCAGAAGTGTTGCCGGAAGTGTTGGCAGAGCTGGACGAGCTGGCCTGTTGGTCGCTGATAGGTTCGCGACGTGCTGTGACATCAGTTAGTGCCGAGTTTCCACCATGATCCAAGTCGACCTCACCTGAAGAAGATGCTGAAGGGGCTCCTTCCAGTGCGTGCAGGGTGGTGGAATTTCGAGTGATATTACTATTACTGTATGTTGAGCTTCGGGGAGCAGACGGTCGTCCACGGGCTTCATTATGGTTCAGGTGACTGGCAGGCGAGGTTGAGCGCGACTCATTACTTGGTATGCGCTCGGCGGAGACGGCGATGTCGAAGGAGCTGGGGGCGCGGGAGCTGTTGCGACTAGAGCCATGTATCGCTTGGGGAAGCTCAAGCTGCGAATTACTGAAGCTCCGTGGGAGTTTAATTTCGGTCATCGAGGAGCGACTGCTGCCGACTGGAGTGTTGCTCCTTGATATCCACACGCCGTCCACCTCGATTCCACTCTCGATGGCGCGAATGCCGAACGGAATATCGTCTTTTTGCTCCTCGCGCTGCGCCTCCAACATCTCCGGCGTCCGCGCCGTCTTGCCCTTCTCGACCTTGGTGTACTTGCGGATGCGGTAATGGTCATATTTCAGTTTGCAGAGACCTAGACATATCGTAGCAACCTAGAGCTGTCAGCACAGTCGCAACTCGTGGTGGTGAGAGCAGCGCATACAATTCCGCAAGCCAGGACCTGCACATATGACGTTAGTAGCCGTCGAAGCTGGTGTAACGGGGCAACTCACAAAAGTCATCTGCTGCCACAGCTCCCACCCGGAGAAAAATTTCTTGCCCATGATTGCAATTAGAGAGGAGGATTAAAGATCTAGGATGGGCGGAGAGTATGCCAGGTAGCGACGAAGGAAACAGAGTGGGGTGACGGCTAGGAAGGTGCGAGTCGGCGCAGTTCCGCACTCGGAGGGCGACGTCAGGGACGGCGGTCGACAGAAAGGGAGATGAGGGTGAAATTAGGATGGGCGACAGTAAAGGTAGAAAGATATCGTCGTTGAGCCGGCAGCGATAAGAAGATGGTTGTCCGGGGCGACAAGCAATTTAAAGTGGTTCACATGCACGTAGCGTAGTGGTTGGTCGGTGTCTTGAAAAGGAAGCTTGAATCCTGGGCCGGCAGCAGTCCCGTGACTGCGCAAGAGCTAGGTGAAGGGCGGCAACGGAGCGGGAGCGAGGGTAGAGTTGCAGGGCAGAGGCGACGTTCTTAGGCCACGACGGGAATCCGGCGGTGAGGTTATGAGTAGAGCGAGCGGCGTAGTGGAAACGAGCGTGGAACGTCCCGGGAGCGAGAGAGGAAACGGGTGTCACCAGTGAATCAGAGCCAGCATCGACGGACTACAACGAGCCAAGGTGCAGCACGCAGGCCTCGTGCTCCGCTATGGCTATCCGTTTCGTGCGTTTTCTGGGACGGCGGGGGAGGTCTTCAGAAGGGCGGTTGGTGAGGGGAACATGGGGGGATGGGGAATTATATTGCGTGCAGTCAGGAGAGAAGTGCATACGAGCGCAGCAACCAGCGCTGAGGAAACGACGGCACGAACGGATCCTCCTTGGAGCAGAAAAGCGCGCATCCCGGACCGGTGCTAGAGGCCCGCCACGGCCGCGGCGTGCCATTCGCTGGCGGCGTGCTGTGCGTGCTGGCCAGCCACGATGGAGCTCGCAGGGGAATCCTTCTGGGGCGACAGGGCGGCGCGTTAGCGCACGGTAGACCTTGCCGGCTAGAAATAGAAGGAAACGACGGGTGCCGTCCGCGCATGTTCCAAACGTCGGCCGTCTGTGGATCGGCGCAAGAGTGGTTGTCGAGGAATACGAGCCCTGGGCGGGCATGCCGGGCGGAGGCAGGCCAACAATGCAACGCCGGGCGCGCGAGCACGCCGCGGCGAGGCTGGCCACGACAGCAGCACAGAGCTATATCGGACAGACAGATTGGGAGCGGAGTAGCGATGCGCGCTTCTCTCGCGCGCATCAAGGCTCCGAGAGCGTCTGAGCGTGTCCCGTGCGCCACCCATGCCCGGCAAGGATGCGGCGCCAGCCCTTGCCAGGCCCATGACGCCTCGCCCGGGGCAGCCTGGAAGCGCTGCTCTGGGGCCAGCCAAAAAGGCCGCTTCGGGGCATGGGCCAAGCGGAGCGAATCCGTTTCCGCCAGGGGGCTTGTCGTTTCCATCTCGCGAGCACAGAATCTCCAGGAGGTATACTGACAGCAGAAACATTATCGCCGTTCCTGCATTCACATCGCACGTCTCACATCCGCACCTCACATCTCGACGATCCATAGCCACGTGTAAGCGGGCTAAGGCAGGCGCCATCACAAGCATCGCAAGAGGCCGCCATATAATAGTGTGGACTGTTAGAGGCGTCCGGACCTCTGCCGTGCCGCTCAGCTTATTAACCAGCCTTGCGCGACTGACGGCAAGAATGACGCTGCGCGGCATCCCTCGGTCATCGCGCAGCGTCGCCTCTCAACAAGCAGGATGCAATCTCCCATTCTCCACAGACGCCGTCCACTACTACGACACACGCCTCGCGCTCCTCGATGCCTTTGGTGTTTCGCCACGGGCTAAGCTGCGCCTTTTGCAAGAAAAGTGTGGCTAGTGCCGTGCTACCTCTGCGCGATGCCATGCCGACTTCTCCACCATGACGGACGCCCAGGCACCGCCAGGGCTGCTCACTATTGGGGCGGCGCTGCCCGATTCTGCTCGCTACTCTGGGCACCTGGCGGAGCGCACTGCATCACGAGCCGTATTGGATGCCACGGCACACAGCGTCTGTGAAACTGCAACGACCCAGCTCACCGCTCCTGCTGCACCCAGCCGCGAGCGCAATACACGGCCACGGTATTGGAATTCTCCGAGTATTCTGGTAGAGCCGTGAGCATCCCGCATTTCCAATATTAGCGACATCATATCGATTGGAGAATGGCCGGCTTCCAAGCTTGACTAAGAGACGTTCAATAAGCTAGTCGACGCCTCGCAGCCTTAGGGCTGTGCCTGGAGCGCCACACTGGACTCAAGTTTCTTCAACCTGCTCGGCTATCCTGGCAGCTAGGAGGAGCCAATGCTGTTGTTCCTCCCGACGTCGTGTCTTCGGCGGCAGATGCCAGCGGTACACGTCGAGTCAGGCCACTGGTTAAGGAGACTCGCCCTGATGCCTCCTTTGTCTGATGCTCTCATTATGCATATACTTTTGACCGTTGTTACGTACCTGGCATGTACCGAAGAGTCTCAGCGAGTGTATCAGTCTAACGCAGGGCTAGTCTTGGGCTTCTCTACGAGCGTCAAAGGCGACCGCCATTGTCTGACGAGGCCAATTGACAGCTATGATCCGCAGGGACTCATGCCTGCAGGGGGGCGATTCGCTGCATCCAGATCTCATGCAGCCAGATTCAAGCGCGCAGCAGCAATGGGTCCCCCTGTTTCTATAGGGCGCGTCCCACCCAGAGAATGACGACCTGACAACCACGAGAAGGCGAGAGCAAGTTTTCTTCTCTTGTCAGACTTACTTTGCTAGAAGCTGAATTACAGCTTTGACGCCCCGAGTACCGGGCTATGAGATGGTCCCGAGATTCGGCTGGACGACATGTCGGAAGACCAGCAATAGACGGTACGACATCGGATAGCAGAAGGTGCACTGTGTATTGGGAGCCCAGCTCACGTGGAAGTACACGATATGATCTATCCCGGGCTTCTTCATCAACGGCCAGGCCGATATCGTGCAGAGTCACAGCAGCTGCTCAGAACAATCTCACCGCGATTTCTCTGTGACGGGTCAGCGGCGATATCCACAATATTGACAGCTGCAGCCCGAGCGAAAGTCCCGCGTCGTGTAGAGAGGGCCATTGGCTATGTTGGATCCTAGGGCGCAACTCGAAACCTGGTGAGGACCCTTGTGCGTGCAGTACAGGAGGGGCGGATCTTCGCGAACTTCACCTCAAAAGCATGCTCAGACACCGGATGATTTGTTGGCTGTTCCCCTTCTGGAAGTGGAGAGTGAAGCGCCGGCCAGACACAGCACAGATCACGTTGTGCTGAGTTGGAGCCTGCAGCTTCGAGTGGCCTCGACTCCTGGTGATGGTCGTGCGATGAGGCTGCGCTGCAGGGTCGGCAGACCACACGCAGTCATGCTGCGATAGCATGGTGTGGCGGCAGTGGCTGCGCATGCACGGCAGCATTGGAAGCCTCAGGCGAGAGCGCGGAAAGTTTGCGGAGACGAGCTTCCAGCCATGACGCCGATAATTATCTTTTGCAAAAAGCCCGATGGCGAGCTGAGCATTGCTCCCGTCGACGGCGGTGCCTGGGTCCAGTTTTCGTTTCATGCAGGGTCCGAGGGGAAGGCGTCGACCGATCCGCGACGTCGGGGCGGGCGTCAGAGGAGTCCATCAGATTGATTGCTGCGTCGGTGCACCCAACACCGCAAGATGCCCATGGTGGACTGCTGCCGATGGAGTCGGCGATCGAGTGCAGCGTCCGGAGCACCGTTGCTTCCGAGCCGGCCGAGCTCACCGGCCACACTTGCCTATCTTGATTCGGCAATTCGGGGCTTGGCCAGGTCATGACGCTTGAGAGATCCAAGTGCAGCGGGACGAGCGCACAGCGTTCCTCGTTCACTCCACCACAGCGCACGACCACCATCCCTCCGAAACAACCCCACCAACTCGCCGCCCGCAACGTGTCTGTCGCCAGTGTCTCGCCGCCATGCCTCTCCGCAACCCTTTCCGTCGCGCCGGTGGCGTAGAAGTCCTCGACGATTCTCAGCGGGGCGCCGCGGAACGTGGATTTCAGAACACAGCAGTGTCCGGCGCGAAGCCTGTCCAGATCAAAGAACCCGCCGAGTACAAGTTGAGTGGTAAGTCTCGTGCGGCCGTCTTTGCGCGCTCAGAATCCATGCGATTCGGGGTTGTGCGCTTTGCACCAGGTGCTTACCGTTTAATAGAGATCAACGGCAGCGGGGTCTATCTACCAGTAAGGCACTACCTCTTCGTTCCTTCGATGCCTACATTCGCAGGCGACTGCAGAGCGGAAATTGCATGTGCGCGAGCCATCTGACCTTGCGCCAGCCTTCCCCGCCGGAGAAGCCCACTTTCTGGCACTCGAAATCCAATACCTCCACAACGTCATCGAATCACAGAAGCCTGCTCAGCGAGAACGAGCCGTTCAGCATTTCGCGAGAAAGTTTCGAATCCTACAGGAGGTCATTCGTACGCTGCCGCTTACCGGAGTCGCTCTCCTTTGAAACGCTAATGTCGTACAGGACATCTCTGCTCGCTCACCGATCCTAGATTGTCTCGACACTCGGCCCCGCCAATCGCTCGATGCTCGGCGATCGCTTGATGCGCGACGCTCCCTCGACGTACGCCGCTCGCGAGCGCAGCCACGGTCATCGTTACAGGACCGTCGCCCTGATAACGCAGAGGACATGACTGCTGAAGAAGGTTTCGAAGACGTCGGTTTGAATGACGAACCGAAGCCCCAGAAGAAGCGCGGAATCTTTTCGCGCTTTGGCGACAGTGATAATAAGGACTCCACGCAGGACGAACGCCCGTCCTCCAGCCATCACCACTTCACCTTTACAGGCCGGAAGAGGGCGCAGAGCGGGCAAGGCTCCGAGCTAAAGAGTATGGGAAACCCGGGCCCGCAGAAGCAAGCGACCGAGGTGCCCGTTGAAGCTCGATGAGGACTCATACACATAGTACGCCGTCTTTGAGAGGAATATGATGCATCAGTGGAGTCTTTCGGCGGTCGACGGATGGATTGGTGACGAAGGCTTTCAGGCCACATTTTCCGACGACGCTTTAGGTGCGAAACCTTTAGGGTGCGGATGGGAGTTCGCAATCTTTCTGGCGTTTTGGGGAATCGCTTTCAGCAGCATACCCTGCATCATGCATTGGGCTGGGGGAAAGACGGGTTGGGCTGCATCCACAATCGCTACCTACAGTAAGGGCGTTTTGTGTCTTTCCACGCGCATATTAAAGGTATCATCTCACATTGCCTACCTAATAATGAACCTCAATTTCTGGTCTTCTAACTCGCCTCTTACACAAGCTTTTCCGGTTATCCCATATCGCTTTACCCCTCGTATCTCGTCTATGTTCTTCACATGCGTGTAGCTCGTCCCCTTTTCTGTGCATGTTCATAGTCTCATTTCATCCCCTCTCCTCCCCACTTGGCTTGCCCCAACATATAGCTTGCCCACCGGTGTTTTTGTTGGTTCCGGTAGCGTCAACAGCACGCTACGCTTGACCCCTCACTTCTTCTCCACTTGGGCCTATTGAGGCTACCATGGCTTGCGGCGGCTTCATGCAGCTGTGGGCCCGTTTACCGCGGTGGTTCAAAATCGATTCTTTTACGGAATAGACTGCTGTCTTTCGGTGGTGCATCCAAGGGGCATATGTCATGCCATTCACTGCTTGGTTAACTGGCTAACTGGACGAGGTATAGTTGTTGTTGGAAGAGACAAGGTGGGAAGGGGACGATGATGGGGGCCGGGAAGTATGCTACTTCCTCCACGTTTATGCTCAGCATGCATAGAATGAGAGAGGAGGAGCGCACTGTATGCGTGGGTTTCTCGGCAGGTTATCGTGCAGTTGTCCTATCGATACTGAGATGTCCATGATCACCGGATTTTTCCTATACCGCGCACTTTTGCCTCGCATACTAAGTTCGTATTCGCTTTGCCCCCTCAATAAATCACAAGATAGAGCCCTCCCCCGGAGTGAGTCGAGGGCCGTGGCATTGCGAACCGTATCATCGAGAGCTAGCACGGGAATTTCGAACCCCCCAACATTTGCTAAGCTAAGCTAAGCTAAGCTATGCGCCTTCCATACACTCATCAAACAAATCCCGTGCGCAATTCCCTCTACCTACGTTACCGTTTCGGACAGGAGGATGCGCGCTGCGCTTTATTTTATCCGGCGGAGCAAGCAAGCAAGCATCCAGCCCCGTACCCGAGACCATGGTTTGTATAGTGGTGGAGAAAGAAAGGGCGTGGGCTAGCTTAGCTAGCTTAGCTGAGCTGGAGATGAGCCTGCTATATACTCGCCCGGAGGGTTGGAGCGAGTCCAACCAGCCCGGCCGACCATGGAGATGTGCATGTATGTGTATAGTACTGAGCTCCGACCCTGCATGGGGCTAGCTAGCTAGTTAGCACGGCACATGCGGTCGCCATCGCGCCATAGCATCTATCCACGCATCGGACCTTCGTTAATTCATCCTTCGTCGGTGGTGGTGGTGGGGAATGGAACTCCACTAACTCCCGTTCTACAAGATGAGGTATGCTGATGCTCGGACGAGAACACCGTGCAACTGACGGGTGCCGGAGTCGAGCTGAGCTGCTTCTTTGTTCTTCCCGTGTACCTGGACGACGTACGTACGCAACGCAACCGTGCTGAGGCCCAACCCAGCCCAACGAGGGGTAGGTAAGGTACCAAAGTAGACAGACAGACTGCATTATCGATTGGCGGGATAGAGAGACAAGCATCTCTGATCTCCAGGCACAGAGGCTTGTCTGCCCTTGGCTATCTTGGAGTTGTCAGACAGTGAATGCAAGCAAGGAAGGCGAAGGAGACTTCATCGCGGCACGTTGCAAGCAAGGAACGAGTGTCGAGGTAGCACCCCCCACTGCAGATGTGCCCGTCGACGATGTTGAAAGGCCTAAGCTCAACACGTGGGGATTCGCGACGCAAGCCGCGAGCCCGGATCTCGAAGAGCGCTGGCAGGTTGACCCCTCCGTTCCGGATCAAAGGACGGGTAAATAGGCATATTGCAAGGTTTCGAAATCCAGGACTTTGAACCTGATGTGTGGCCGGGATCGATATAGAAGTTAATCAGGACTGCATGGCTTAATTGAGCATGCGGGTCAAGAGTAACGTTGAGCACGACATACTGTCGTGGGGACCGGCTCGTTCCCATGGAAGGATAGAAAGGTCACACAGAGAGAATAGTAGGAGGGCAAAGGGATCGCGACGGTATAATTCAATTCGGTACTCGACACCAAACTAGAACAAGCCAGTGACACCCAGGCAAACCCCGGGAGATGTACCCGATGACCAGAGCTGGCCCGCTCTTAATCCAAGATGAACTGTTTTTCCCAAAGGAGGCATCCGCCCAAGTATTTGCATGCGGGCGAGGGCCACCAAAAGAATCGTAAATCTTCCACAGCGCTCCCATCACTCACTTGCTTTCGTGCGCTTTCCGTGGACTGCGCGAGCCATCTACTCGTCATCGTCATCATCATCATCGTCATCATCCCCATCATCGGTAGGAGTGGGCTTCGGGGGCTTGGAGAAGGAGGGCGTGGGCTTCTTGGTGTAGGAAGGCTTGGGTTTGGGGGTATAAGAGGGCGTAGCCGGAGGAGTGGGCCTAGCAGTCTATTAGTATCGATGCTTCAGTGGAGAGAACAATGTAACCCCATGTCTGCCTCGTGATGGCGCATCGGAGCCAAAAAGGCTTCCGTGACGTCTCTTAGACGAGATATAGAAGGTTCTGGGGTTCCGTACTTGACCGAGAGGGTGAAAGATTTTGGCGGCTTGCTCGGCTTAGGGAAACCGGCGCTCGGCTTGGAGTAGCTAGGTGCAGCAGGCTTGGAAAAGCTAGGCACGGCCGGCTTGGAGAAAGAGGGCACAGCGGGCTTGGAGAAGCTGGGCAGGGCAGGCTTGGAGAAGCTAGGAAGAGCTGGCTTGGAGAAGCTGGGCTTGGGAAACTTGGGCTCCTCATCCTCCTGGGGAAGCGGGTTACCAGCGACGAGGCTGGGAGTGCGTTAGCCAGAGGTTTCATGTGGAAAGCTGCATCGACACTACAATGACAATAGTCAACGGGGGTGGAGCTTACCCGGTGATGCCCATTGCGAAGATGATGCCGGAGAGCTTCATGGTGCCGAGATTGAGCTGATTGAAAGATGATCTGCGAGATGCTGCTGGATTGCTTGCCTGGTAGTTCAGAGACGGCGGTGTCCAGCAGCTTTATATGCTCTTCAAGCAACCCTAGAAGCTTCAACATCGAAAGAGCCCACGGCTATCTCCCAAAATAACATATTAATCGCGGCGTGCCCAACCGCTCATCCGCCTGAATAGACTGTACCTCTGCATCCACGGAGGACATGGGAGGGATGGCAAACGCGTGAGCTGTTAGGATAGGGGCGTCGAGAGTGACCATTCGACCAGGTTAGAAGAAATTGAACTCATAGCAAGAGGGGCGCGTAGGCGCGATATTGACATTAGCGAGCAGTCGCACAATATCAAGATATGAGAAAGAGGCGAAGAAACCAGGCTTGCAGGCAGCTGTGTACGTCAGCACCGGTGAAGATTCCTGGCTGGGTAGAGGACGGCTCCGATGTCCAGATTCGCCGCCAAGACTCCCGGGTTCTGTAGGACCCACACTGGGAGATCAACAGGAACGGAACGCGAGGACTAAGATTCTAGATCATCCCATTAAACCGAAGGCGCTTCCAGTGGTCGAATGATCGAGAAGAGAGCAGATTTGCCGCCAGGATGCGTGGAGAGTGCACAAGGGGGAGATCGTGGGATGAGTTTATCCAACTATCATACCTGGCCGTGCCGTCGTGCAAAAAAGGCACTGGACCATTTCCAGCCCGGATACGGGATACACCACACCTAGGTAGCGTGCATAGTCTGCACAGGGACTGGATGTTCTACGATCGAGATCATCGCGTTACAAAAGCTAGCGTCGTAGGCGCAGCAGCCTCTTGTTCCTGCTCCTATTCTCCGACAAGCGCTAACCTGTGCTTGACGGAGGAACAGAGGTTGCATCAGGATAGGCTCGAATGACGTGAGGCAACCTTCCGGGGTCAAATTATTCAGAATTATATCCCGGTTCTAGGATAGCAAACCACAACGGTCCATCCTGGGGGAGGCTCAACCCTATTGGTTGCGAAAATGTTGAATATGCGACTGCGGGTGGAAGGATCCCGGACTGTCGACGACACGAGACTGTTCGGCGATGAATGTAGCGAGAGCCGCTGTTGAAGCTTCGAGCAAGTTCGCGAGCATTTGATACCTGCGGAAGGTTGGCTTCAGCCTCGCGTAGCGGAGACCCGGAACGACGCTTCGTGTACGGGAAGAGAAATGATGCCATTCACTGTCACTGGAGAACGTAGAGTTAAGCATCTATTCAAGCTATTAGCCGAACGAACAGTAAGCCAATGAGGGCAAGGCCAGAATTAACCCGGCAATAAATGAAGTGGGGGAGTGGCCGCTGAGGCGGTTTTCTGGGGAAAAACTGGGGACTGGTTAATGATCTCATGTTAATGAAAGTACTATGCCTTACGCGTCCTCCTAGGATAAGACGGCGGTTCTGCCCGACTGGGCTATTTCTCGTTGGAACCTAAGAGATCTGTGATCTCCGTTATGCAGAGCAATGAGGCTGCAAACCCCTGGCAGCGCTTTGAGCTGTAAGGTGGCCGGCTAAGGTCCAGACCGTGGAGTGACTGTAGAGCGATGCTTTCGTGGGGCTCCAAGTAGGCTGCATTCGAAGCGAAATCCACGAGGTGGGAGCGGCACATTTGGCTCTTCATCCTGGATTCGTTGGTTGAGAGGGAACGAGTATCTCGCTACGGCGCGTGTAGGGACAAAGCGTTTGCCGTCGAGTTGAACGCACTGTGGACGGCTTTCTCCGTAAGCCGTCGATGCCGGGGTTGCGACAGCCTGTTGATCTGACCGTCTCTGAGGCGCCATATTTCGCATATGCAAGGAAGCAATATGAGGAGACGTTTACCAGCCTCCGGAATGCTGCCGACTGGATAAGGTTGAGATAGGCGCAGGAGGCGGTGTTGGTCAGTCAATGAAGTAACCGTAAGACAGATAGACGGAACAGCGCAAAGATGTTTGCTGGTGCACGTGATTTGAGGTTCACAGATGGCCCCTGAGTAGACGTCTCCGCAAGTAGCGGGTCTGGATTGAGGTGTGAGGTTGGAGTCCGTTGCAGCAGTGAAAGCGGAACGTGCCCCCTCGGCCCTAGTCCGCAAATAGCATAAGGATGTCGGAGAAATACCGGGCCGAGAAAAGTTCGAAACTTGAGAATTTCGAGCTGCGCTCCTAAAGAGCGACAGAACGACGACGAAAGGACGCAATGGCTGGCATAAAACGAAAATCGGTAGCCTCAGCCCCGCGAGACCCCAAAGTCAAAAGCAAAAAGGTTAAAGTCGACAAATCCACAGCAAAGCGTCCAGCCGAACACAATGCTGCCAAGCAGGCGCAGACACCCACGAAAACCAAGCTGAAGGTCGAACCGGACGGCTTGGTCGAATCGGATACGAGCGAAGACGAGAATGGATTTTATGGGTTCTCAGCAGACAATACGACCACCTTGAGCAGCTCGGATGGGTCCTCTGCAGATGAACCCGGCGCTAGTAGCGAGCCCGACAAGAAAGAGGGAAACAAGGGGCAGAAAAAGAAGCTTAAGAACGATGACAAGAAGACCCAAAAGGCCTCTGTAAACGAGAAGAAGCCTTCCAAACTTGCAGAACTCAATGGTACGCCACAGAGCTCTGTTCTTCTTTCTGCTGGGTATACTGACAGAATTGTCCAGCAACCTCATCGCGTGAAGCCCATGCCAAGCAGAAAGCCCTGGCTAAGGATCGGAAAGCCGCGAAACCAAACGCCGATGCCGTCGAACGAACCAAGATCCTGTGGGAGAAGCTAAGGCTCAAGACGAATATACAGAAGAAGGAGCGGGAGGACTTGATCAACGAACTCATGGGGGTTGTCACAGACAGGGTCAAAGATTTTGTCTTTAAGCATGACTCGGCTCGGGTAATTCAGACTTTGATCAAGTATTCAACAATGGAGCAGAGACGAAGCATTGCCAAAGAACTAAAAGGCGAATTTAGAACTCTGGCCGAGGGAAAATACTCCAAGTTCATGGTCGCCAAATTGCTTGAGAAGGGGTAAGTGCAGTGGAGATCACAGACATAGCGGAACTGACCTGCTACAGTGACCAAACAATTCGAGATATGATCATTCCGGAGTTCTATGGCCACGTCCGACGTCTGATCAACCACCCCGAAGCCGCCTGGATACTGGATGACACTTACCGACAAGTGGCAACGCCAGAACAAAAGGCCCGTCTCCTCCGCGAATGGTATGGCCCTGAGTTCTCCATCAAAGGTCTCAATGCCAAAAGCGATGAAACCGCAGACCTGACTGCGATACTGGAGAAGTCGCCCGAGAAACGCAAACCCATATTGGAACACTTGGAGGTTCAAATCAACCAGCTCATGAACAAGAAGATGACCGGGTTCACTATGCTGCACGACGCGATGCTTCAGTATTTCCTAACGTGCAAACCTGGCACGTCCGAAGCGAGCGACTTCCTAGAACACCTGAGGCCGGATGCAACGTTGAAGGAAGGAGAGGAGCCTGATAATGTGGACCTTCTGAAGAACCTCGCATTCACGAAGTCTGGTTCTCGGCTCGTATCGCTCGCTTTCGCTTACGGCAGTGCAAAAGATCGCAAGGTCTTCTTACGACCGTACAAGGAAACCATCGAGATGATGGCGTATGATCCACATGCTCATCATATCCTTTTGGCGGCGTTAGCAGTTGCGGACGATACCAAACTCACGTCCAAGTCCATATTCGGCGAACTGCTACCTTCGAATGAAGATCTTCCCGAGAAAGTCTTGAGTCTGGCAAACGATGCGCGAGCTCGTACAGTTCTACTGTATCCCTTCGCAGCAGACAGCAAATGGCTTCTAGATGATAACACCCGCGAACGACTATCTGAGCTGTACCTGATACGCGCGACGACGTCTAAGAAAGACCCGAACACGCGCCTACAAGAGATCGCAAGAGCTATTGAGCCTCAACTTCTGACCGCCGTCACTACCCGAGCCAAGGATCTTGCGTCCTCTGCATATGGCTTACAGTTCATGGGCGAAGTTCTCATCGGAGCACCGGAGATCGAGCCATCAAAGCGGATTGACGCATTATTGGAGGTCGCTGGTCTTTCCCAGCGGATTCTCGATTCATCCGCCGGCGATAAGACCATAAGTCACGGGAAGAACATGCTCAAGACTCTTGTACAGGGTGGCAAATTTGATCCCAAGGAGAAGAAGGTGGTATCCGTAGAACCACCCCTCGGTTTCGCAGACATTTTCTGGGATGAAATCAAGGAGAACGTGCTTCAATGGGCTACCGGCCCAGGCTCGTTCGTCATTGTGAGTTTGACCGAATCTGAGGGCTTTGAGAGGAAAGAGGAGGTTCTGAAGGCTTTAAGCAAGGGTCGCAAGGAGCTTGAGGCTGCAGCAGCACCGGCCGATGGCGAGCCTAGGCCGACGAAGTCGAAGAAGGGTGATACGACGCAAGGCAAAAGGCCGGGGAATGCGGGGGCAAAGATCCTCCTGGAGAAACTGTAGATGTAAGCGTTATGTTGCATACCTAAAAAGGAGTTGAATCCCATGTTCACAGCATGGTTGCTCTCATAGCTGTCACATGGAGTAAACGCCACGGATGAATACCATGTCTCTTGACATCTGGCCGTATTGCGTCAGTGGCTAAATAGCTACCCTAAGATAGGATGAATTGGACTCGCAGCAGGCGATTATATTCCTCGAATATCGCTTAGCCGGTGGAACTACACCAGACCTTCAAGGGCTGGGAATGACCCCGGATTTCGTCCATGTCCTAGCTAGAAGTCCTGACTTCCGTCCTCTGTCACGTCTGCAAAGAAGTCATGGGCAATACGCTCTGTTCACATGTGACGGGCGGCGATCAAACGTCTTGCTTTCGAAGGCTCTAGATGCTACGCGAGGACAACGGAAGTCTTGTCAGTGAGCAACCTTACTAGCACAGCATTGCAATGCGGGAGTGAAGAACGGAGAATCCTAGCAAACCATAGCCAGGAGCGAGCATTCTAGTTGTAGTGACGGTATTGTGTAATGCTCTTATGATCCTCCAAGGTCAGTAGGTTGGCGATTGTTAAGTGGAGTAGAAGGCCACCCGGCACAGGTACGCGTTTCCTCAAGCTAGAGGGACTGGTCTTCGGCTAGCGGCTAGCGGCTATTACGCATCTTTAGCTTTGTTCTTGCCCACTGGAAGGTTACCCTAAAGTTCCCAGGATGTCTAAGTCATCCGAGAATGCAGGTCCAAACCTGTGCTTGTACAGCAGCATACGTTGTTGTTCATAGATCGGTAGGCTTTTCCACTGGTATGAAAGAGGAAACAGTGTCTACTTTCTCTCGTTGTGCACAAGGTTTCGTGTTTGTAGGAGAAGGGTGTGGGTTGTCGGGAGGGACAGATGGGGTCGGTGACACACGCTTGCAGTGAGGCACCGACGTGCGAAGATGGGCGCAGGCTTCACAAAAGACGACGAGATACCCTGTACGGCTGCTGTGAGAAGCTTGCTTTGGTGCGGCTTGCAATCCAGAGTGAAAGGAGTGCTGATTGTAATATAGCTGTTCGAATAATGTATGAAGTACTTCGTATAAAGGAAAATGTGTCCGGCTCTGCTTGCTGGCCAGATTGCATACCTTAAGTCCACCGTTCGTCCAACTGTAGCGGATTGCATCTTTGCGTTGTAGGCACGTCTGAACCGCATCTCTTTTGGCGGCGTTGGTTGGCCACTGATGAAGTGCCGTTGTCCAGCACAGACGTACAACAGCGCTACCGCTCACAGAGAAGTCGAGGCGCGAGGTGAAAACGCACAGGATGCGCAGATTCATCAAAGATTGGCACTTTCCAGATATCTTCACAAGCTGTAATCACTCCTGTTTGACTGAATGGTGACGTATTGGGACCCACAGATGGCGACAGGGTCAGTCACGCAGAAACAAACCAGCGCTGGGGAATGCAGTGGAGTGGCTGTTCGGTGTTCCGGCCTTGGCCGGTAGCATCGAATCGTCCTATTGACTTGTAACTGGATTTTGATAGGAAAGTATATGCTACCTTCATCAGAACATATGCACTACCCATAGGTGAGAGTACGGCATGGTGATGAGCGTCTGATTGCCGTTGCGAGCGATCGGACGTCTGGTGGCAGGGGAGGAATGACTTCCCAGCCCAACGGTAGTCGAGGGTTTTACAGACACCCACGATTAGCCCTTGTGTTATTCAGGAGACTCGGAGTTCCTGAAGCCCGTGGTATACTTGGCATACCGGCGGTTCACTCGGGATAGTGGCAATCAGGCGGTTACGGTTCCGCCAAGAGCCTCATTTCATTCTCAATCAACTCTCCTCCTCACGCTGCGGCCCGCTTGATCCGAGCTCATGTCGCCCACAACTTCGGACACCAGCTCTCGCAACTGCCTTTGCCCCTCTTCCGTCTGGAAGTCATCGCGCGCCGCTAGCTCCTCTATCCTCCGTCGGATCTCAGGGTCTGGCGCCTCCCCCGCGTCATCCTCCGCCATGGTACCAACATTGACCTTCACGCCATCGGGCAACGGTGGGGGCGGATGGACACCCTCGACCTCTACGGCTGCGCTGCTCGCTACCTGCCCGCCCGTCCGCACACTTTTGAGATATTGACCCACCGCATGGGCCTCACCCTCTTCTTCCGCAATCTTCTCTTCAGCGGTCTTCCCGTCAGCATTCCTAATCCCCCAGTCTACACCCAGCTCTTCAACCAAGCATCTCGCTACTTCTGCATTCTCCGCCGCAAACAGCGGGGTCTCGCCGTCCTCGTCCAGCATGTTCACGTTCACCTTGTACTTTTGGATGAGCTCGCGGAGAACCTCGAGTTGATTGTAGGACGCGGCGGCGTGGACGAGCGAGTAGCCGTGCGCATCGGAAGCTGCGGCGAGCTGAGGGTGCTGGGAGAGCGAGGTGAGGACTGAATTCGGCCGGGTATCGATCAAGTTCAAAAGCAGGTCGATCGTCGGCGGCGGGAGGGCACGCTGCAGAGAAGCCATGATTGCGCGGACAGGCTGATCGCAGCTTCGGCGGGGACTAATCGGCGACCGGGTTTGAACGCGACGGCGGCGGCGGATCGTGGAGTCCCAGCGGAGGAAAACTTGGTGTTGGATTACGTGAGCAGTGGCGGACGGACGCCACGCTGTGGCTTGCCCGCTCCACTCGCGTCCGCCTCCCGTGTTCGGCAGAGCTGGGATCCCGAAGCCGAAGGCGACAGGTCTTGACTTGCATCATTATTCATGCGAGATCAACACAAGCACTCGTATCGCAGCAGCCATCAACGAAGGCTCGGCTTGCGTTGCTGCTGCACTCGAGGGCGAACGTGAGCTTTTGCCGCCGCCGCATCCAATTGCGGAATGTCTCAGTGTCACTGTGCGGCGCGTAAATAGACGACGATTCGCGACAGGTCGTCAGCCAAGCGAAATGCCGCGCTGCTCAGCCTCCAGGGGCACGTCACAGCTTTTGGTTGTGTCGCGTGCCCAGTGGCCCAATTTCTTCTGCGATGACTTCACCTTCCACGAGCTGTTTCTCCCGCTCCGCTGCTTCTTTTCTTTGTCTAGCGCCTCGAGTCGGCGGCCAACAGCAACAGAGTCACGTATCTGACACTGAACACACATAACCGACAGCTTCCGGCCACCGGCCCTGCGCTATCCCATGCGCATATCTCTCTAAGACTCTTGGACGTCTCACTCCAAGACCCGTTCCTTTCCCCGGTCCTCCCTCTTTCGAACCCCGTACAGCTTTGTTCTTGTCCTTTCAAAGACTTCAACTCTAGCCATGAACATGAGGTCTCTACACATGCCGTCGAAACGGCTCGTACTGTCATACATCTTTGACTGGATAGTGATAATGTGAGTACCTACTGTCAATTCTCTACCTCCGGCCTTCCCGGCTTGTTCAACACCGCTATGCTCACGGGTTACGCCCACGGAAACACGGCTATCGCATGCCCAGAGCAAGGTGCGCAGCCAAAAAAAACGACAAAAGTTAACTTGGATAGTGCTATCGCCGCTGTCGGAGGAGGATGGAACTACCTGACGCCTTTTCACCGACCATTCTCTCCCGTAGATCTCAACATATCATATCCCTTCGAGGTTCATGAGACAATCCCAACATGGCTACTTGTCTTGTGCGCGCTCGTCATTCCCGCTATCGTCGTCTTCCTGGTCTGTTTGATATTCGTACCCGGACCGACTGCTAGCAGAGGTACACCGCAAGCGCTTATCTGGAGGAGGAAGTTCTGGGAATGGAACACCGGGTGGATGGGCCTCGGATTGTCACTCGCCACTGCCTTTATGATTACCCAAGGGATGAAGAACCTTTTCGGAAAACCGCGGCCTGACCTTCTCTCGCGTTGCCGGCCAGACCTCAACCGCATCGCTGAGACGGCTCTCAACCCAGTCGCGGACAACTTCAACCCTTTGTGGGTCCTGGTCAGCTCGGATATTTGCACGAACACCAACAATGATATCCTGCAGGACGGGTTCAAGTCCTTTCCTAGCGGGCACGCAAGCTGTAAGCCTACACCCTTCGTGCACTCCACATATCGCTGCGTCTAACAGTCATTATAGTCTCATGGGCTGGTCTTCTGTACCTCAGTCTTTTCCTTGCCTCCAAATTCGCCGTCGCGATACCCTTCCTGCCACCCCGTCCCTTTAGTACAAACCCTGCATACACTTCCGCCATTGCGCCATCCAATCTGAAGGAGAAGTCTATCCTACCGACCCATAAGACAGATTCCAGCTTGGCATCTCGTTCCTACCAAGAGGAGAAGGTTGTACCCATCCGCTATCACGCCGCCGCGCCTCCCGTATACACTCTTGTCCTGGTCCTCGTTCCTGTCGGCGCCGCTATCTACATCACCAGCACGCGGTTTACGGACTTCCGCCATTTCGGCTTCGACCTCCTCTTTGGCAGTTTTATTGGCATCGTTTCCGCGTGGTTCAGTTTTCGATGGTACCATTTGCCGGTCACGCGTGGTGCGGGCTGGTCTTGGGGACCGAGGAGCTATAAGAGGTCTTGGGGCATTGGTGTTGGTGTAGGATCATACGTCGGAACGGAAGGTTGGAGTCATGGGGCTTCAGAGGGAGACGCTAGAAACGGGCAAGGAGGACTCACAGAGAGTGAGAGACGTACAGACGAGACAAGAATAGAGGGTGAACATGCGGTTTGATACCCAGGATTTGGTTGTTTAGGATGTAGGGCCGGCGTTCTCTGGATTAGGATTTACTTTGTGTGAAAGATTCGGTGGAAGGACACAGGACCTTTCGAAAAGCTTGGTACATCAGAGTATAATAGTATTACTTCAATCCCTTCGCTCCCTCTTTGAGCTTTGGTGATTCCTACCATCCTAGATTTCATAGCGCTCTGCGCCGAGTTGCAGCCCACGTTGATACGACTAAATGTGGACCGGTAGCACCTATTGCTAGAAGTCTGACCTCTGGTGTAAAATGTTGGAAACCCGTACCTTTGTAGGGTAGGAACAACATCTGAGGCGGATAGCCCGGAGCTGCCGGGGGTTCTGAATCGTGCCGCACGTGCCTGAATGGTCTGTGCATGAGCCGCATTTCACCGCCTTCGGTTCTGCTGTATTACATAACCTCCGCTCCAACTTCCTGCTGGCTTCCACAACACCCCGGCCCCTCTTCACAATGGCAGAATACTGGAAGTCTACCGTGAGTATAACCCATAAATGGTGTCGCGTGCATCGCTAACAGCTGTCCAGCCAAAATACTGGTGCAAATTCTGCTCCCTCTACGTAAAAGACACCAAATTCGAGCGCCAACAGCATGAAGCCACCGGTCGCCACCAGGGCAACATCCAGCGCTCTCTAAAAGGTCTCCACCGCGAGCAAGAAGCGCAAGAGCGCCAGAAACAGCGAGCGAAAAACGAAGTTGCGCGTCTCAACGGACTCGTCCCCAGCTCCTCGTCTTCCACCGCTGGTACACCGGTAGCGGGAATCAAACCTACGTTCACAAAACAGGACGAGAAGAAAGCGACGCTCGAGGACAGAAAGCGGCAATGGAACCAGCTAGCTGCTATGGGTATTGCGCTGCCGGAGGAGGCGAGGGGCGACATGGCAATAGCGGGAGAGTGGAAGGTGGTTAGTGAGCAGGTTGTAGGTGAGGTGGATGAGCAGGGAGAGTTCAGGCCGGTGCTGAATAAGGGCATACATAAGAGGAAGCTGGACGAGGATGAGGAGGAGCAGGTTGCGGCGAGGGAGATGATCACGAAAAAGAAAGGTTGGGGTCAGACGTACAAGAGCTTCCCTGGGAAGAACACAAACAAGGACGACGACGTGGAGGCCCTATTTCAGAAAGGCAAGAAAGCGGAAACTAAGGATGAGCAGAGCGTGGACGCCAAGAACGAGGTGAAGGACGAACCGGGCGTCAAGGAAGAGGACGCGCCGAGTTTGCTGCAAGCTATCCCGACTGAGGAAGAAGAGGCTGCAAGCACGAAGACTGGGAGACCTGGCATCGCAGAATCATTGCTGAAAGAGGAGGAGGATGCACCGGCGCCGGTGGTGGTGTTCAAGAAGCGGAAGAAGATCGCTCGGTGAGATGGAGCATGGGCAATCTTGGTGAATACTCTACGGCCGGAGAGTTTTAGCAAGCTGATCCAGAGGGCTTCTAAAGAACTTTCGGCTCGGATACCGACGCCGCCCCAAGAATGGATGTTGGACTCGAGAGCCTGACCACCCAGGCCGCTTAATTGCTGTTTCTTCCGTACTTCGGACCATTGCTTGCGGTATGCGTTCAGCATATGTCAATCGCTGTAGGACTGAGCATCTAGTATTCATGTCCATTGCAGCTGTTGATGCACGCACGGTAGTGAGGGGCAGAAAGTGAGAGTTGGGTCATAATGTGGATATCCCATTGTCTGGTGAACACGGACTCAAAAGCAGAAATGCTGCCTATAGAATACTCATGCATCTCGAAACACACCTCACCCGTATCTGATCTTGTGAAGCCCACATGATATGATCGACGCCTAAACCTTAAATTAACCCTGGCCGCCTCGCCTCGCCTCGCCAAGAGCGGACAACTCCAGGCTCGCGTCTACGCCAGACAACTGTCGCGACTCAGCAACAGACGTGCACTCGCACCCACCGCGCCCTCTACCACCTCTTTTCCACCTCCATTGCTCATGGTCGCGTCGTAGCATGCTCCTGTACTTGCGCAAACTTCGCGACCATGCATCTCATCAAGCCGCAGTGGTTGACACACCCGGGTACGTTCACCTCCGGCCGCATGAACAACTTCGTACTTCTGCTCTCCTTCATAATGTACAGGCTGCTAACATCTACTTCACTCGTTCAGGTGATCTTAAGGACTTTGAAGTATACAGCTGCCACGTTTCGCCAGATGGAAAGCGTCTGGTAACCGCCGCGGGAGGTTCGTAACCCATTCATCTGTAGAGCCTGCGCGCTCTGTGCCGCCTCGAACAACATACTGATGCCTTGCATATAGATGGCTATGTGCGAATATGGTCGACCGAAGCCATTCTCCGCTCGAACGATCCCAACTGCGCAGAACCCAAACAATTGGCGGCCGTCAGCCACCACTCCGGAACGATTCATGCGGTCCGTTTCTCGTCCAACGGCAAATATCTCGCCTCGGGCGCGGATGATAAAATAGTTTGTGTATATGGGCTGGATCCAAATGCGCCTGCACATGTCACATTCGGTGGGTCAACGCATTGGAAGGGACAGGCAACGCGGCAGCGACTGACGATGCCGAATAGGATCAAACGAAACGCCAAATGTTGAGAACTGGAGAGTCCTTCGCCGTCTCATAGGGCACGATAACGATGTGCAGGACCTCGGATGGTCATTCGATTCCTCGATTCTGGTATCTGTGGGTTTGGACTCGAAGGTCGTTGTATGGTCGGGACACACATTCGAGAAGCTCAAGACGCTGTCGCATCACCAGAGCCATGTAAAAGGCATTACTTTCGATCCGGCGAACAAATACTTTGCGACCGCTAGCGACGACCGAACTATTAAGGTGTTTCGGTTCACCTCTCCACCGCCGAATGCTACCGCTCAAGACCAGGTCAACAACTTCATGCTGGAGAGTACTATCACAGCGCCGTTCACCGCTTCGCCACTCACCACGTATTTCCGCCGTTGCTCTTGGTCACCAGATGGCGCACACATAGCCGCCGCGAACGCTACGAACGGCCCCGTGAGCTCAGTTGCAATTCTAGCACGAGGAAGCTGGGATGGAGACATCAGCCTGGTCGGCCATGAAGGGCCTGTGGAGGTCTGCGCGTTTTCGCCTAGAATGTTTCATCGAGAACCTCCCAGGCTGGAGACTGATCCGAACAGCTACCAGCACAGTGTGACGGTAGTTGCGTGTGCCGGTCAGGACAAGTGCCTAAGCATCTGGAACACAAGTTTTGCCCGTCCGTTCATGATTACACAGGAGCTGGCCATGAAATCAATATCGGATCTCGCTTGGGCGCCGAACGGAGAGACGCTGTTCGTGACAAGTCTGGACGGCGGCATCCTAACGTTGGTGTTCGAGCCTGGAGAACTGGGCTATCCTGCATCGTTGCTAGAAAACGAGAAATCACTCTCTAAATATGGCGCAAGTAGAAGGGCGGGCATCATTGAAGGCACAGATGCCTTGCTTCTTGAAGAGAGCAGTAAGAGCGGAGAGTTAAAGGGCGTTCAGGGAAGAATGGGCGCCCTGATGGGAGACGGCGGCGCTGTCCAACCTGCTTCCCTCACAAATGGCACCAACGGTACCATAGCGAGCAACGCGCTCACAAACGGCTCATCCTCTACACAACCAATAGCGCCGCCCGAGCCTCCATCGGACCAGAGAGTCGAGAAGCTTAAGCAACGTGTCACCGTCACCAAAGAGGGCAAGAAGCGCATAGCACCGATGCTCGTGTCATCATCGTCTGGAGTTGGCCAGTCGTCGTTACCCCAGACCCAACTCATTTCTGCGACCACGACGGCCGGAGGCAGGAGTGACAATCCCCACAACGTCCTTGATCTATCGAAACCATATGACGGCTATCCGAAAGGCGGTCTAGCTTCCATGCTCATCGGGAACAAGAGGAAGTTTGCCGAGATCGAGGGTGATGAGGACCGTCAGGTCGAGAAACGGCTGGCAGCTTCTGTCCGACCCGGAGGCGCTGCTATCGTCATCAACAGTGAGAATGGTGTCATGCCACCTGCTGCGGCTGGTTCAAAGACAAATGAGCTCGAGGTTCCGAAGGTTCTACGACCCGCCATCGTCAGTCCTGCTCTGAGTGTCAGCCAAGTCCGATTGGCCGTTCCCAAGGTTAGAAGCATCATTGTGCGGACCATGGATGGCAGCGAGCCACCGCAGGCGAACGGTGCCATCGGTGCAAAAGAAACCGATACTGTCATTCTAGAAGCTCGCAATGCCACCGGACCTTCGCGGACCGGACGGGCACAGGATCATGACCCCGCGAGGATAACTTGCACCAGAAGAGGGCAATCTCTTTGGCAAGACTTTCTTCCCAAAGCTGTACTGCTCGTGACCGGAAACGAAAATTTCTTTGCAGCTGGATGCGAAGACGGATCGGTATACGCTTGGACGCCTGCGGGACGGCGCACGCTAAACGCTATGATTCTGGAAGCTCAACCCGTGATCATGGACTGCCGCGGGTGGTGGCTTCTCTGCATAACAGCAGTCGGGATGTGTTACGTTTGGAATCTAAAGACGATGTCCTCCCCTCACCCACCGATATCTCTAGCTCCGGTTCTCGACATTGCAGCGCACGCTCAGGGACCGCATCTTACACGGTCTCCAGGTATCGTTTTCGCCCGCTTAAACTCCGAGGGCCGGGTCATTGTCGCTATGTCGAACGGTGACGGTTACGCCTACTCGCCGAGCATGTATGTCTGGCAGCGGATATCGGAGCCCTGGTGGGCTGTGGGAAGCCAGTACTGGAACACTGCCGACTCCTCCGTTGGCAACGTCGCGTCTTCGAGCAACAATGGAACCAGTAAAGAGAAGAACGACCATGTCTCCATTGAGAATATCTCTGCCGGCATCATCCCCACTCTGGAGCGCAACACGACGAATCAGTTCCTCCTCCAAGGTCGCGCGTTCTATCTGCAACGTTTGATCAAGGCGCTCATATCTGCGGAAGGTTACGAAAGCTTCGAGTCCTGTGTATCCGTTGCACATCTCGAGAACAGGGTAGCAGCTGCGCGGGCGCTCGGCGCAAGGGAGGAATTCAAGATTTATCTCTCCATGTACGTCAAGCGGATAGGCGCAGAGGGCCTCAAAGGCAAGATTGAAGAGCTCTTGCGTAGTCTTACGGGCGACCTCCTGCCCGACGAGGAGGGCGACGAGGCACCTAAGGAGGAAGTCATCTGCGGGTGGAAGACGGAGGATCTATTGAAGGAAGCGGTGGTTATACTGGGTAAGCATTTTCTTCCTTTTCTTCTAAACTATTTTGCTAACGGGATGCAGGCAAATTCCGCGATCTTCAGCGCATAACGGTGCCCTATGCACGCCTCCTTGGCATCGTCAACGAGCATCAAAGTGATCAGGCCATGATCACCGATATGTAGTATACCCCTGGTTAAGTGGAATGGCGTCTTTCTGCTTTTTCTTCAAAAGCATGAGGTTATTATTGTATTCTAAAGGCCTATATTTCTGAGCGTGCATGTCTTCGCACAGTACCTGGCTTCTAGCGGGTCCGTGGATATGGACTGTAATTGTACGCTGGCTTAGTTAGGAAATGTCCTGAAGTCGTGCGGGAGGCATGATACCTTACTCAATGGAGCGATATGCAATGGATTGCACCGATCTGACCGCGTGATCGCACTTGCTTCCGACAACGCGCCACAATGAGCGCTCGGGCCATGTGCACCGCCCCAAACTCCGACTCCACATTTCATTCACCGCTACCGCGTCACAGCCACGCGCCCTGCAGCTTCAGCTTGCTTGAGCTGTGTGAGCAACTACGCCGCTGTGAGATGGGCCCGCCCAAATGCAGCCATCAGTTGCCATAGAGCGCCATGACGTATTGGCCCATCTCCTCGCCCTCCGTCTTTGCGGCCACCAAACACAGCAATCCCGAGCGTGTTCAGACATCCCACGACAGCGCAGAGACGCAGCAGGGCGAGAGACATGGCATTGCAGACGATAACACGCGGAGCTCCGTCGCGGACTCGGAAGAACGGACGGATGAAGGGTCTGCGCAAGGAGACCATGGGGTTGAAGAGAAGGCGGTGGAACAGCGATTGAAGCAAGAGCAGCTGGCCGAGGATGATATATCCGGCGAGATCATTGCGATCAAAGTGACCCGGAGTGGGCATATGTTTGCGACTATTACTCGGACCACCTTGACCATTTGGCAGACCAAGGCACGTCTCTCAGGCCATGCCGTTGCTCCATACTAATACGCCTCGCAGCCCACCGCTATCCTTGCCTCTGTTCTTCGTTCAGACCACTCCTTGAGGACGTATGGACCTAATATCAACATCCTCCTCCGCCCGGACTCGCAAATCTTCGTTGTGCAAACCGCGCTGGGATTCCTGATCACGTATTCCCTTGCGACCGAGCCTACGTCCCGCGTCTACAAGACCCAATTCACACACACCGGCGGCGGGCATTCGAGAAGGCATAGCTCGGTGGGCGGCTTCAAGATTCCGCGACAGCATGACGCGAATGCAGGGCCCGGCGAGGGCAGCGGTATCAAAGAGCTCAGCCTGCGGTTTCGCATGGTCATACGCGTTGACGCAGGGATCGCGCGAGCGTTAGCCTTGGATGACGAGCTCATTGTCGCGACTGAGAAACCCGCGGCTGTTCAGTGCATACGCTGGGCGCCGGATAGCAGTGGGAGCCAGACGAGCACTGAGCTACTGAGTCGCATGACATGGCTAGGAAAGAAGGCGACCATTGTGGATATGATTCATGATCGGCCCATGAATCTTTGCGCATGGATTACGGGCGATGGAAAGGCGTTCGCGGTCCAGCGATTGCCTCCAAATACGCTGCAAGATGGAAAACCGCACCCCAACCTCTTCCGCGGACATGGCTTCCATAACCCTGAAACAGAACCCGAATTTGGGGTGAAAGCTGCGATTAATGCGCGATTCTCCCTGCTTGCTGTGGGGTGCGTTCATGGAGACATATACGTGTACACTGCACGAGACTACACAGGGAATATCCCACTTTCGCACAAGCTACGACCGAATGCTACGAATTCTGGGAAGCTGAACGTGTTAGCTTATTCACCTGACGGATATTGCCTGTTCGCTGGTTATGAGAATGGATGGTCAATGTGGAGTGTCTACGGGAAACCAGGCGCTACCAGCTTCACCACCGACAGAGCTCTATCAGAGACAAACGGCGAAGGATGGTTGCTCGGCGTCAAAGATGCTTTTTGGATCGGCGGCGGGGCTGAAATCCTCTTGTTGGGGAACAAAGACAATCGGATCTTCCTCCTAGAAATGGCTCGCAGCGCGATTACGGGATGCTTTTCATCTGCCAACGTCTCTAGATCATTGATGCAAACCAGTACTGGCTTCATGATCTATCGCGGCTACGAACTCCCTGATCTCACGACAATATCCGCGGATGTCTCGCTCTGGCATCATGTCCAAGTTCCATCACACTACCTCGTGGATCAGTGGCCGATTCGGAGCGCTGTCATCTCGAACGATGGCAGATATGTTGCGGTGGCGGGTAAAAGGGGCCTAGCACACTACAGCGTGAATAGCGGAAGGTGGAAGACGTTTGACGATCCGTTCGTGGAGAATGAGTTTACGGTACGAGGAGGGATGTGCTGGTTCCAGCACGTACTTATTGCGGCTATCGATTCGCATGATGCGCACGAGGTGAGTGAACTAAGTACTTGAGTCAGTCCCGCGTCTAATTGCATTCTACAGATCCGTATCTACTCGCGCGAGCTCTCTCTCGACAGCGACCATGTCATGCATGTCCAGCAACTGCCAGCACCTATCGTCCTAATCGCGCCGTCTGGAGAAGATTCTCTTCTTGTCTATACCTACGATAATATTCTTTATCACTACGTAATCAGTGTTTCAAATGCCACGGTGAAGCTGGTCCAGGTCGGCCAGATTGCTCTGCATGGCATCATTCGCGCACCCCCTCGAGTCCGGGCCTTGAGTTGGATTTTGCCTGAGGATCAAATTCGTGCGTTTGCATCCCATCATTGCTCGGGTCATACTGACAAAAAGGGTAGACAACGGAGACCCCTCGCAAGATGTTGCAGTTGCCACCATACTGTTCCTTGTCGATGGCAAGCTCGTCCTGCTACAGCCCACAACCACAGAAGGCGGAGAACTCAAGTACGAAATGCGCATCATCGCACAGAACGTAGAGACGTATGCGTTGATGCGCGACCATCCAGCGTTCGCGCTAGAGATGCAGGCAGACTCGTTACCGCCTAGCCCCTCTGTAGGGCTGACGATCAACGGTGTGCATGGTCACGATCTGCGCGACTCGCTGTGGTTCTTCGACGGCCATGACGTACGAGTTTGGATTGACATGCAAGACGTTCTATCATCTGCATCGGTCGAATTGGGTAGGGAATTACCGACTCCAGTCAAGATGCCCATCGACTTCTATCCACTTTCCGCACTCATCAATAAGGCGATTATGTTTGGTGTGGAGTCGGAGTTGGTGCAGCGTAGGGATACAAGCTTCGCCTACTTGCGATTCGGGACAAGGGTATGTTGGGCGCCTAATCTATTGCTCGTATTGGGAATGATATTCAGCTGCTTACAGTCCGCAGACGCATCTCTTTCTCCCCGCCTTGCTGCGGCACCATCTTGCGCAGTACAATCATCCTGCAGCCTTGCATCTCGCCCACCATTACCAGCATCTACTGTACTTCCCGCATGCACTAGAGATTCTTCTACATGAAGTACTTGACGAGGAAGGAGACACGGCGCCACCGCCCGAACAAGCTCTGCTACCCTCGGTACTCTCCTTCCTCAGCTCCTTCCCGCAGTACCTTGACATCGTAGTGCAATGCACGCGCAAAACCGAGGTCCGTTTCTGGCGCACCCTCTTCTCCAACTTGCCCCCACCCGAAGAGCTCTTCGAGGAGTCCCTGCAGAAGGGTAGTTTGAAGACTGCAGGCGGCTACCTACTAGTTCTGCATACATTTGAAGAACTTAGCTCGACCGGAGACCAAGTAGTGAGACTGTTGCAGAGAGCAAAAGACGAGCAGGACTGGGACCTGTGCAAGGAGTTGGCACGGTTTTTGATGGCGCTGGACGAGAGCGGAGCGACGTTGAGAAGAACACTGGAGCTGGTCGAGCTGAAGAGCCCGACGGCGGAGCCAGTGCAGGCTGCTTTCAGCTTCGATAGCAGCAGGCTTGGTGTTCCGCGAAGAGGAAGAAATCGGACGAATGGAATGGGGGATATCGGGATGGGGATTCAGTTTGGATCTGGGACTGCGAGCGCAGAAGCGAGCTCCGCTGAGAGCAGTCGGAGCCGCAGTCCAACGAGCGCGCCGGCTACGCAGAGTGGGGGAGATTATTTTACAGGCGGCAGTGGTGCGAGTGGATAGCAATAGCAATAGCAATATGGATACCGCTCTTTGCGATTCCGCATCCCAGAAAGTCGATGGACTTGCTGCAGGCTTCGCTTACCGACTGCTGTATCGCATGATACATGGCGCTCACCTATGGGCTCGGGGACTGAATGTGGAGCTTGTCTTTGCAGAAGCCACGGGTCTTGGTCGCATCAGTATGGCGGGGCTGGGAAATATCACACGATCCCTCAGCTTCCATGTGTCGATGCCGCTGCGGCTTCGCTCGCCGATGCCTCTCGACGACTGATTAGTTAAGGCTTGGGCGGGGTGGTGGTTGGTGGGTAAGCGACTTGGTGCTGCAGCCTGCATTCTTCTGCGCGCTATGCAGCAGGCGGTGAGGGTCAGTGCGTTGCTTCTGCCGCCGGCCGCTCTGGCGTCAGCGTCTCACGTGTGCGAAGACACAAAGAAAGCGAGTCTTAGTGCTAGCAATGCTACCGTGGGTCGAGGGGATCTTGTATTCGCGCGGTCCTGATCTTGTGGGAGAGGAGCGGCGAGTACGGATGCCACATGTACATAGCGGCCGTAGCACCGCGCTGCGTTTCTTTGTCTGCGCACCGAGAACCAACACAGTCTGCGAAATGACAGCAATTCTCCGACGGGCCCTGCGATGCCCATTTCCCTACCCAGCATCGCCTATTTGGCTTGGCGGCTCGTAGGGCACTGCACTTGCGGTGCAGGGTGGAGGAGTCCAGGCTCACACAGCCATGCTGCCGGCCGTTGGCGTGCCGCTCGCCGGCCGCCGTCCAATGCGAGCGCCCCGCGACACTGCCACTCTCCGCTGCTCACCGTCCCCTTGCCCGCTCCCCAGCACCGCTACTGCTGCCGCGCCTTCATCGACGCTGTGCACACATGCATGCATGACGCACGATGCGATAACGGATCTGAAGTAGCGGAGCGCGCATTGAAGCGCCGCGCATTTTATATATCCCTTGGGGACGCCCTGGGCGATGCAGTTTCGGGAACGCAAGACAGTCCATCCATCGCACCGAACACCTCGTCCACAGCAGCCTTCCGCCTTACCATCGCAGCCCTACGCTTCCTTCTGCGACCCAATCGAGCTACAGACGCGGCATGGTAGAGCCCGGCGCCGATATTACGACGCGCATCTTCGACCAGCGGACATTATTCAACCATGACGGCGCCTCCGCCCCAGATGCCCCTCTTTACCCTTACCGAATCGCACCTGCCGCCTGCATGGGCCGGAGCAGGAGCAGCCTCCTACCTCTCTCCCGCATCCACCGCCTCCGATTCGCCCTTCTCCTGGTCGTCCATGGCTCCGCTGCAGAGCTCAAATCGTATGCGCATTTCTTGTCTCGTTGTTCCAGTCTAGTATGAGCGCGTGTGTCTTGTCTCTTCGGGATTGCGCTAACGGGGGTGCTTCAGGCCCACCATCACACCAGAAGCCGATGAGTCCACAGACCATTGGGAAGAATGCGTCCAATGGCTTGCTGTTCATCACGGGCAACTCGCCTGCGGACTTCAAGTCCAAGAAGAATATGACCAAGGTGCGGAAGAAGGCAATGGGGAGCTATCTGGAGAAGGAGAAGAAGCCGCGTGATTCGCTGAAAGAGCAGGAGCAGCGGTCAAGACTCACGAGCGTGGACTCAACGGGCTCACGGGCGAGCACGTCGAGTGAGCAGCAGGATGTTATTTCGAATACCGAAGCCATCAGGATCTTCCATGGGGAAAGCAGACGGCCGGGACGACGCGCTTCGTCGCCTGCGTCGAGCGTCCATGAGCAGCGGACCGTGTCGCCTGAGGCGCAGATAGCGAGGATTCCTAAGCCGTCAGTCGATTTCGTCCTTCCGAGTGCGCCTATTGTGCTCCCTATGCGCACTGGAGTGGAGCTCCCATACGACAAGTTTGCGCCGCGACCATTTGAGTCAATAGGCAAGCCGTTGGACCCTTTCCGGGCCATGTTCCAAGCCAATCATCCGAGGGTGTCAGTGGAAGAATTGAAATGGTATTGTTCACGATCCTTCGGCACGAGGGCCATGGGCCGGCATTGGATTCCGACGCTGGTCAAGTCGCCGCACGCCTTCCTCAGCACGCTCTGCATCGCCTCAGCACATTACGACGCCATCAATGAGCGGTCGATTGAGAGCGTGCAGACCCTGGCGCTTCGACAGGAGGTTATACACCTCATCAGTCGGAATCTAGTCAATCCTAGTTCACAAGTGGATGACTCTAACGTCATTGCGCTCACGCAACTCATCGCGAGCGAGATCATCGCCGGCGAGGAGACGGCGCTGAGCTTCCACGAATCCGGCGTCGAAGCGATGACAAAGCAACGAGGCGGCATGAATCAACTGGGAGTGAACGGGCGATTAGCATCAACATTATCCTGGGTGTCCCTCGAATCCGCCGTCCTCCGAGAAGCGGCACCGCGCTCCATCTACTCCGACTTCTGTAGCTCTGCATCCTCTAAGAGCTATCCCAATACTGCCACCGTACCCGAGTCTCCGCTTTACTGCCCTCGCGGAGAGTTTGAGACCATCAAGAGATCCCCAAGATGCTGCGCACGCACGATGGAGCTTCTGAAAGAGATGCGCATGATGCTGGATCTTTTCCTTCACGAAACGAGACAAGGCCGGCGGAATTCGCTGTCCCTCAAGAATATCTACAAGAAGATCATCCAGCTACCCTCTGTAGCTGAGCTCCAGAAGACCAACGTCCTCACATCGAATGATTGGAGGTATGAAGCAATCCGCTTGACCTCCGTTATCACAGCTACCGCAATCATGCACCGAGTCCCGCTCTCCGAGGCACTAAAACTCGCTGCTCACGTTGAGCAACCGATCTCGTTATACACATCCTCATCAGGTTCTAGATCCTCCGAATCCCTCGTATCACCCACCAATCTCCGCCACGACTCTCCCGTCACAAGCTTCTCCACTAGCCCTTCGTACACCACGAGCCCCGCCTTCTCGCAAACCAACTACTTCAACTTCGCGCCCGCCCGCCCCTCGTTCTCGTCAACCACCTCCGAGCCTAGCTTCTTCCCGCCACCTCGGGCGCCAGCACCTGCCGGACCGTACGCAGTCCTGGCGAATCTAAAGACGGCACTCCAGAACTCCGATCTTTCGGATTGCTGGGCCGACATGGCTGGCGTGCTTCTGTGGGTTGCGCTCACGGTGGGAGCGGCGAGTCGAAAAAGCGAAAAGGTGCTCAAGAAATGGTTCCGAGCGCTTGCGGTCAGAGTCTCAATCGTGCTTTGCTTTGAGCACCCCGAGGCTGTGCACGCTACGCTGTTGCGGATGGGCGAGGTGGTTGAAGGAGTGGGGTATGCAGGAAGCCACGCCTCTAACAATGAGGTGGCGAGAAGGGAGTCTACCGCGGGAGCTGGGAAAAGGAGGAGAGTATGATTCTGCGGTTCGTGAGATAAGACGTCTGAACAAGCTCTTCAGCGCGGCAAGCATCCGAGCATCGCCACGCGTCGATCCGGGGTAGACGACACGAGCCCTATGGGGCTGAAAGTGAGCTGAACTATGCGGCTCACGTGGAGTTTGGGTGCCTCAGGCCACATGTTTTTGAAGGAGGCTGTGCAACAGTAACGGCCGTATGGAGTTTTGGCTTTTCTTTCCTCTTCTCTTTTCTTTCGCTTCGATCCATGTCTTTTTTATTTTACCTTCGTTTATTTGGGGGTTGCTGTCGTTTCTTTCCAGCATGATACCTTGGGTTTAAATGTGGGCTCGGTTTGTGGCCTTTTTTGCTTTGTGGGAGAATGTATGATGGTGTGGAGTAGCGGCCGGAGAGAGACATATTGTAACATTGAGCGCCGCGATGGAACGAAATTACATTGAATGTCATCTACACCTCTACAAAGAAGCCTGACATAGTGTAGCTTGGCGTGTTGGCTTCTGGCCATGTGAGGAGTTTGTAATGGCCGCCCACCGTGCGCTGAAGTCCCTCCGGCAAGTCGTTGCAGCGTCGAATTTCGATCTTGTTCACATCACCTTCGCGATATGACAAGCGGTCATATTTAGAGTGTTATTTTCCGAATATATTATTTCCTAGCAAGACAGTTCCCGAACAGAAGTCGTCTCGTTCATCTATGACGCTCTATCATGCCACATTATCAGGGTACTCGGAGATACGCCTCCGTACGCTACGTCCTCGCACCAACCCGCCCGCTGGCACGTACGGCTAACCGTATCGCACGTTCTTCACCGTGCCATCCTCATCGACGTGTACATTCAGTCGCTCGGGCTTGTGGTCCATAGTGCTCATGCTGTCGGGCTTGAGGATGCGGTGTTCCTTGGGGAGATCTTGCTTCGCGAACGTCTTCTGCAGGCGTTAGTAGACTATCCTTGCAACCCCCACTCTCCCCGGTGCAGTGTACCTGGGAATAGGATAAAGGGAAGGGAAGGGAAGGGTAAGGCTGAACGTACGACTTCATCATGGTTCTCGCCGATCTTCTTGCCCATGAGCTTGTTGGTCCACTCTTCGATTCCGGCGCCGCCGCTGGACTGGATACCGGGGACTACGAGGGGCATTTTGTTGTTGTTGGTGGTGGTGGTGGTAGTGGGAGGTTTAGATTTAGGTTTAGGTTTAGGTTTCTGGTCTGCAAAGGTGCGCTTGAGGAAGCTTTGGCGTATTGCTCGGAGGGACTTCGTTGTGGCTGCGATTGTTGTTTTGCTGAAAGAGCTGCTGCGTGGAAAGCGTAGATGGTGAGTGGGGAAGTGGGAGCGGTATTTATGCACTGGTTGTTCAGCTTATGATCAGGTTTCCTGAGGGTGTGTGGTTTGTATGTGAAGCGCTTAGTGTAGGCAGAAGATGGCGTGGACTGAGATGGCGTGGAGGGGTGACGTCAACCTCGGTACTAGCGCGGATAGGGAAGGTGGCATGGCGGGGCACGATTCTGGTCAACGCAGAGGCAGTGACTTGCGCATCTTGCGGTAGAGATTTGAGGGTTTGTCATATAGGTAAGATTGTACGTATAGCTAACTATACATGCTATTGTACGCACCTAGGAACGTCTCTCGGGTAGATGTTACGTGCGCGCCGTGCGTCGTGCCCCGTCATATCCGGAGGACTCCACATCGTGAGAGGGCGTTTCAGCATTTTAGCGTTTAATGTATGTGCTGAAGCTGACTTCTAATGCTCTCTGCTATCTTCAGAATAATTTCAGAAGGATTTAGGGAGTGGCGTCGGAGAATGGGTGGCATTGGGTCAAACTGCCTAGATAGGCAAGTTCTATACAGTGTCGATCTCTGCGCGCAGTTGCGCATTTTTGCGCATTCTTGGCGCGGAATTTCCTCGCTCACTCCCCTACCGCCACCACGAACCACTTTTCAATGAAACTTAACTTTGCCTTTGAACGCTCCACGACTACAGAAAGAAGGAGAAGGGGAAAAAGATTGTCTGACTCCCTCGCGCCTCTGCTCCCACTCCGCTCTCGGTCGGGCTACCGCCCAGCTTCCTCACCGATTAGATAGCTATGCCGACGGCCTAGAATCATCCAAAAAGCGAATGGCGGATCGAGAACCTAGCCGGCCAGGGGAAGCGCGTCGTCCGCCGATTGTGAACCCACTGTATACCTCGTTTCCGCGAATATCCCACTGTGGTCGGCAAAGGCAGCGGCTCACTAGAGGAAGGGGAAGCACCTACTCGATTATGGAAGAGTCAGGCTCCATCTCACAACGAACTGTATATTCATACGGAGTACAGGGATGGTTTGGCAGGGTCCGCTGGCCAAAAGCACTCCAAAGTGCTTGACGCCCGCTCGACGCCAGCCCCGCCTAGAGAGGGTAGAAGGAAACTAACCACGGATATGTCTGTACAGGCACTTCTCCATCTCCAGCAGCAGCTCCGTCACCATAGGGTCACCCGGCGGCAGAATTTGCGTCGTCAGCATACCGCCAACACCGGTCGCCTTATCCAGCCACTACAGGGAAATTAGCGCGTTACCAACCGACGCCGTAGTGGCCCGATCTTACACAGTGTGTGCCCGGCATGCCACTCCAGTTACAACTCATAGCCTTCCTCCGCCCAACGAAGTCCTGCTTCGTGATCGATGACCTGCGATACACTTAGCTGATGTCCCAGATTAAGGGGAGGATGGTCAACACTCTAGCACGTTGCCTTACTTGCTGAAGGCCCTAGGAGGAGCTTTCCGCAGTTGAAAGTTAAGACGTGCTGGGGTGTGTACTCTCCACGGACGTACCCGAAGCCGAACGTTCCGTCAGCGTTCTTGTCCCAGGTCTGTCCCAAGTGCCCCTGCAAACGTAGATTAGCGGATGTCTCAGATAGGAAGGGGTTGGGAACACTCTAGCATGCATGCCTTAAGCCTTCACCTGCTGAAGACCCTCAGGATGAGCTTTCCGCAGCTGAACGTAAGACCTGCTAGAGTATGTACGCGACCTACGTACCTGGCCGACGCCGCGGATTACTTCAAGGAAGTGCTTGTCGCTTGGAAGTTGAGGCCTTGTAAGCATATCATAGCTCTCCGCTGTCATCAAGGCTGGGTCCTTGCTGATGAGCGCTTGTAGGACCTTCGTGCAGTCTTCAATCGTCGAATACAGGCCGACGCCACCGCAGCAATCCGGTGCGAATGAGCCTTGCGCCTCCTGCGGTACTACGCCCTTAGTGATGGTCATCGTCTTGCGGTTGCGGCTCGCCATCTGCATTCTACGCGCCTGGATGTCGGGGCGGAGGTCCGGACGGAACGTCGTGCTGGCCATGCCGAGCTTGTCCCAAACGTTGCGCTTGAGGAACTCCTCAAGAGACAGCCCGGAAGTGACTTCAATCAAGCGACCAGCCCAGTCCATACCAGGGCTATAGGCCCATCCGTTCCCCGGCTCGTAGATGAGCGGCTTCTGGTATCCCCTCAACGTCCCAGAGAATGTGTTATCCTCGATACCGTGGTACGCAGACCACTCCTTCAAGCCGTCGTGACCGTAGTCGTAGATCATACCGGACGTGTGGGTAAGGAGTTGGCGGAGGGTGATCGGGCTGCTGCAGGGCCTGGTGATAGGCTTCCTGGGAAAGTCGCCGTCCTCGAATCCGGTGAGGAGATCAATCTCTTTGAGCTCTGGGACTACAGATCGCACGTTGGTATCGAGAGTGAAAAGACGCTGTTCGATGCCGATCATGCACGCCATGCAGGTTTGCAGCTTGGTGATGGAACCTATCCACATGGTGGAGTCGAGCTGGAGGGGCACTTGCTCGGTAATGGAGCTACTGCCTTTGGCGTTGGAGTAGAGGATCTCGCCTGCGGTGAGTTAGCGCTGTCAATTCATGGGACCTGTTGAAGGCGTTGGACAAGTCGCACCATTCTTGTTGACAGCAGAGAACGCAGCGCCTCGCAAGTGGTTCGGAACAGTGGATGTATACTTCTCCAGTATGCTATCGAGCTCCTCCGTCAAAGTCAACTCTGGCATAGAACCCATTGTAAGCGACGTGTTAGACGAAGACACGAGAGAAAGTAGTTTGGAGGGCGAGCAGAATAACAACAGAAGTGACCTGACCGTGGAATGAGACTTCTCACGAAAGGCACTTGAGCCATATATGCCAAGCTGTATATGATGTTGCGCATCTTCGGGTAGTTTGATTCGTTGCTGACGGCTGTGTAGGGGTCGCCAGTAGTACCTGATTCGGTTTCCGAAGCCACCGTGTAGACAACGATTTCCCCACCACCACTTCGACTATGCTTTCGGATATCGTAATTCTGCTTGAAATCTAAGTTATTCGTGCTGCTGGATCATTCTAGTATGGTCCGATTCTTGAGAGGTCGGAATGCGCCTTAGTATCCGGTCGAACCATCAATTCGTACTTTTTGAACTACTAAAGCTGAGCGCGCGCGCGGGAACAATGGTACACATCAAGTCACGGACGATAACCCCAATATTAAAGGTCTCCTTTGGCACGCCTAAGTCTTCTATCATCGAGTACACCTCTCGCTCCTTCTCTTCATCGCAATCTCTTCTGCCACAATGTCGCCATCCATCGCACAGCTTCCCCCACGCGTCCTTATTATCGGCGCGGGCCTGGGTGGGCTTTCGCTTGCTCAGGGGCTCAAGAAGAACTCCATTCCCTTTCATGTCTTTGAGCGGGATCCATCGGCTTCTTTCCGCCCACAGGGATACAGGATCAAGGTGATTGCACCGTTCTCCTTCAAGAAATACGACCTAACTCAAAACAGATCAACTATGAAGGCGCGATGGCCTTGAAGTCGGTCATGGGTGATGAAATGTGGGAAGAGTTCGAGAAGACCTGCGCTGAGACTCAGTTTGGCGAGACGAACATCAACGCCCCAGACGGTGCACTAATCGCTTCTCGCGCCGGTCCAGGTCTGCGCGGGGGATCCTTCGTCCCATACCTGGCCGACCGTACCCTCCTGCGATCTCTGCTCTTCCGCGGTCTCGAGGAGGACGTCTCTTTCGGCAAGACCCTGACGCACTACGAGATCCTCGACGAGGGCGTCATCGCTCACTTCACAGACGGTACCTCCGAGCAAGGCATCCTCCTCGTCGGCGCAGACGGCTTCCGCTCCCCCGTGCGCAAGCAATTCCTCCCCGACCACAAGCCCATTGACACGAATGGCCGCTGCATCTACGGCAAGACGCCCATGACGGAGGAGTTCATGGCGAAATACCACGCCCGCGCGCACAAGTGGATGACGCTCATTCTGGACAAGACGCCCATGACGCAGACCCTGGATATCGATGAGACGCCTCTTACTTGCCTTCTCGAGCCGGTCCGCTTCGTGGATAATGAGTACAAGCACAAAGCGCCCCAGGACTACGTGTACTGGGTGCTCATTGCCCGCTCCGACGTCTTCGGTCTCTCAACCGAGAAGCTGCTCACCCTCAACGGCCAAGAAGCCGCTGAACTCTCTTTGAAGCTCACCGAGGAATGGGATGCCTCGCTCCGCGCGCTCTTCGAGCACCAAGACATCAAGCAGTCCTCCGCTCTCCGCATCTCGACCGCGAAGCCCCAAATCCCCATCTGGGAGACGAACCCGCGCGTCACTCTACTCGGCGACGCTGTCCACGTTATGAGCCCTTGCGGGGGCGTTGGAGCTGTTACTGCGATCATGGACGCTGCTGCTCTAACAGAGAGCCTGCAAACTGGCGGCATCAAGAAGGAGAGTTTGGGTGAGTACGAGGCAAAGATGAGGGTGTATGCGAGGAAGAGCATTGAGAGGAGTTATTTTGGCGGGAAGAAGATGTTTGGGCACGCGCCGTTTGATCAATGTGAGATTTTGGAAATCTAGATTGCACTGGGGCCGGTGAGCAGAGTGTTGGGAGTCTGATGGTTTAGTGTACGGGATTGGGTGTGGGCGCTTCTGTGTGCATGTTAGTATCGCGTATAGAACTGGTTATCTTCCTAATCCTTCGATATGGTTCTTGCCTATTGTAAATGGTGACAAGTGGGGATGCATGAAAAAATACGGGACCACGAGTCGTGAAGGCCTCCAGCTGTCGTGTTGATGGAAAGCTTTGCGTGTAGTTTGGAGTTCTCTTCCTTTGGGCCCACGTCTGTTTGGCTTGAAGCTATATCTCGCAGCTTCGTGAGGTCCTCTTTTACAAAGCAATTACCTGCACGTGGTCGCCAAAAACGCCCACTGGTGGATTTCTTAGGGCTAAGCCAGCGAGGCAGTGTGAGAGAGGGCAGAGCATCCTTCGTTTGGTATCAAATAGTCCAGTTGTAGACTTGAGCCTTTTCCTGCTCTGAGACTCCACTCATCTGGGAGAGTTGATATTTGGTATTGGTTCGCAGTCAGGAGCGACCTCCGGGACGTAAGATCTGATGGATTAGCCAGATTGGGACTAGCGTCTAAGCTTGGTCCGGTATCGTGAAGCCTTCCCGTCCCTTCTCTCGATCCTACAACATCCTATCCCATCCCATTGTCAAGATTGCGCCTGTCAATGGGCGGTGTGCGTATGACAGGCGATGTTCTCATCTCAACCCACGCCCGATGAATGAGACCACAGGTGATGAGGCAGTTCGGTGAGCGAAGCCATGGTAGAAGCTCTTTCGGATGATGGGTATGGGAGCACAAACAAGATGGGTTTTGGAGAGCGAAGCACCGGAGACAATACTGCGAGGGCATTGTTGCCAACACTCCAGGTGGCTCCACGCCGCCCTGACATTGAGGCTTGACCGATGGCAGTGTTGAAGCTGCTTAAATCCTCTAGTCTCCTGCTTCAAACCTCCAGTCGTGTTCGTTTCGCGCATCTCCTTTCAGACAGCTCATACGTCTCTCATCCCTTTCCAGCTCATTTCTCTCCATCTAGAAACCATCAGTCACCATGGCTCCCGTTCTCGCCTGGACCGTCTGCGCCTACCGCAAGCCCGGTATGTCCGAGGAGGACTACCACCACTACATGAGTGAAATCCACGGGCCGCTCGTCAAGGGCCTCATGGCCAAGTATGGCATGCTCAGCTTCTCCATGGTATGCCTCCCATTGAAGCCCGCCAGGCACCCCCATCCACATCCCGAACTGCTAATCCCCTTCCCAGTCCCACAACACGAACAACACTCGCGCCGAGATGGAAAAGCTGTTCGACCCGCAGTTCGCCAATGTGGCCGACTACGACTGCATCGTCCAGGCTACTTTTCCGGATACCGAGTGCTTTGTCAAGATGAAGGCGGATCCGGAGTATATCGCGAAGTGCATCCCGGACCATGAGAACTTTGCTGATACTAAACGGTCCAAGTGAGTAACATGAGTAGAGTCTTGGTATCTATATTGATCAGGTACAGGATGACCATCGGCTGGATTGAGCATCATGTCCAGAACGGCCAAGTCGTCTGCTAGAGATGGACGGAAGGTTGTTGATGGCTTTGGTATTTGCGCTGCTTTTGAGGGATGGAGTTTAGACGTTTCTGTACACAAGTTTTTGGATAGAATTTGAAGGTTTGGAACTTAGAATGATGTCTCCTTGTGATTGACCATATGCATGTTGAAGGTGGTTTGCTGACTAAGCCCCTTCTACGTGTCGCAAATCTCTCATGCCATTGCACTCCTCCCTCATCTTCATCGCTCGGGGCGTTGGCCAAGCAGAATCCATCTTGTCAAACAGCACGTATCAAAGCACGTACTCTTCTTCGCAGTCATTCTATGAGAGGCCGTACGTAATCTATCGTCCAATATGGGTCGCGATTAGGGTGTTCCTCGAGCGCAGTTGACGCAGGCTTTTAAGCTTCCAGCGACAGCGCCACGCCGACCTTCCAGAATCTTCATTTTGGCGGCTGGAGTTGAGAAAGAAGACGAAATGCAACGCCTTCGCCGGGCTATGTGGTGTCCAGCCATTACAAAATCGCGCTCATCCCTTGCGGAGTTCTATCCGAGCTTCTCGAAAGCCTTTGCATTTACTAGCACCACACCGACCGCGTGTCTCCAGCAAATCATTGCTTGCCTTCGGAAGAAGCTTATTCTCAGACTTCCACCGCTTGTTTTGAGATTCGATGCGCACTGCGCGTCACTTTCTTTCCGGTGGCTTCTACAGCTGGAGTCGCCCTCACGTGTCGGCGCTGTTCGGGTACCGAATCCGTTGGCTGTCGACAAACCATCGCAGAGCGACACAACATGCTGACCAATCATAGATCTGACCGGAACGTCTGCGCTGAGGCTCGCTATCCCAAGAAACGCGAAGCTTTCCTGGCAGCGTTAATCGGGTTACAACGCTCCGTTCACGAATGACGTTTTGGCACAGCCGCAATTGCCTTGCCCGTTTAGGAAACGTCCTCGAAGCCTCCAGGACACCCAGCCCACACTCGGTCCACGACATCACAGGTGCGCTGCCATGGATCTGGCATACCGGAGACTCTACGTTCGTGACCGGGCTTCGCCATACCAGATTGTATCGGAACTCAGGTACCTCTTCTATTACAGTTTCTTATATATGATGCGCCCAGGAGTATGTGCTTCTTCCGCATCCCACTCATCAACCACAGGCCTGTCTGTCTCCAGTCAATAAACGCTAGCAGTCTTCGAATCGTTGTCTGTATATTTCCCACCTTCCCAATATCCAGCCAACGACTCGATTCACTCTCTAGCTACAATGGACAAATCTTCCCAAGTCCTCCTGTTCGGAGACCAGACCACCTCTTCCCAAGCTTCCCTCAAGCGTCTCCTTTCAGTCAAGCACAACGCTCTTCTTACTACTTTCTTTGAGAGAGTGTTCTTCGCCCTGCGTCAAGAAACCAGCAGGCTCCCCGTTTCGTTCCAGGATCAGTTCCCTCGCTTTACTTCCCTCCTGGATCTTCTGGCGCGCCACACCGAGTCGAAAGTTAAGAATCCAGCCCTTGAGAGCGCATTCCACACCCTAAATCAACTCGCTTCTTTTGTTAGGTGCGTCACTCATTTTGCTTTGAAGCCATCTAAGATCCCCCAATACGCGATTACTAACAGCTGGTAGTCATTATGGCCAGAGCACGCAGAAGTACCCTTCCCCTTCCGAAAGCCACGTTGTTGGTGTTTGCACTGGTCTTCTTTCTTCTGCCGCCATCAGCACCAGCCAGACATGGGCCGAGCTCTTCCCAGCGGCCATCGAGGTTGTGCTTATGGCCTTCCGCACCGGCCTACGAACCACCCAAGTTCGCGATGATATCGAACAGCCAGGAGCTGGCAATCAGTCATGGTCCATGATTGTGCCGCTCACCGCGCAGCGCGCCAACATGGCATTAGATGCGTTTGAGGAGGACCAGGGAATCCCGCACGCATCTCGGCCATACATCAGCTATGTTACGCCGAACAACGTGACTATCAGTGGCCCTCCGTCTGTCCTAGACACCGTGGCCAAGACCTCACCGTTCTCGGAACTGAAGGCGGCTAGAGTCTCAGTCTTTGCACCATATCACACTTCCCATCTCTACTCGGAAGCTGACGTGGAGGCCATCCTTGCCTCTAGCGACAACAAGATCCTTGACTCTTACCAACCGAAGATTCCAGTCTTTTCCGGCGTCACTGGCGAGGTCGTCCAAGCTGCCACCTTCGGCGACATTCTGCGTATTGCCCTTCGAGAGATCTTGATGGAGCCCATTCGTTGGGATAAACTGCTTGAAGGCACCGCGGCTGAACTGCAGAAGACTGGCGTGACTTATGCCACCATCATGCCTTTCATCGCCAACGGCTCACAGCACCTTGCCGCCGCTCTCTCTCAAGCCGGCGTTCCCAGCGTCAAGATCGACGCGGAGAATACCAACGTGGGCGCGCAACCTCATGCTCGCGCCCAGCAATCTAAGATTGCCATTGTCGGATTCTCCGGAAGGTTCCCAGATGCTGCAAGCACCAACAAGTTCTGGGAGATCTTGCACCTCGGGAAGGACGTCCACCGCGAGATCCCCAAGGATCGTTTTGATGTGGATGCCCACTATGATCCTACCGGCAAGAAGAAGAACACCTCTCGCGTACGGCACGGCTGCTTCATTGAGGAACCAGGTCTTTTCGACGCCCGATTCTTCAACATGAGCCCGCGTGAAGCTGCGAATGCTGACCCGGGCCAGCGGTTGGCCATCACCACTGCCTATGAGGCATTTGAGATGGCTGGCTTCGTCCCCAACCGTACTGGTATGTCCAGGATCTTGCTAATACGTCCCCTTATCACTTGAATTGCCAGAAACATTTTCTTATGTAAAGAGGAGGCCGCAGTATCTCAGAGGGCCATCAATATTCATCTAGCTTTTGCAAAGGACCCAGCTAACCGTTCTTAGCGTCTACGCAGCGCGACCGCGTTGGTATCTTTTACGGCATGACTAGCGACGATTGGCGAGAGGTCAACTCTGGCCAGAACGTCGACACATACTTTATCCCCGGCGGTAACCGAGCCTTCACCCCTGGTCGCATCAACTACCACTTCAAGTTCAGTGGTCCTTCGTTCAGTGTTGATACAGCCTGCTCTTCCAGTTTTGCCGCCATCCATACCGCATGCAACTCCCTCTGGCGAGGTGATTGCGATACTGCCATTGCCGGAGGAACGGTACGTCCACAATCTTGCCCACCTCTCCCCTTGTCATATAGCTAACGCTTCCTTATTAGAACGTGATGACTAATCCTGACAACTTTGCTGGCTTGGATCGAGGTCACTTTCTTTCTACCACTGGCAATTGCAACACATTCGACGATGCCGCCAACGGATACTGCCGTGCTGACGCTGTAGGCACGATAATCATGAAGAGGTTGGAGGATGCAGAGGTACGTACTGGCTTAGGTCTTTACCTGCGGAAAGCTCTGCCTGGCAGCCTTCAGCAGGTAAAAAGCTTGGAGATGCTGAAGAGTGGGGAAACCCCCTCTTTTTCCCCTCCCCCACACCGTGCGCCCCCTTTAATTTAAGACATCTGCTAAGTATACCCTCACCTTTACAGGCCGACTGTGATCCCATCCACGGTGTCATTCTAGGTGCATACACGAACCATAGTGCTGAAGGTTAGTCGTCCCATCCTTAATCTTCCGCAGAAAACTAACGATTGTGTCAGCTGAGTCTATGTAAGCCAACGCCGTAGTATAAACACTGAGCGTTTTCTAATCGTACCGCCACATCAGGACCCGTCCGCACGTCGGAGCTCAGGCGTTCATCTTCGACAAGATGCTGAACGCTGCGAACGTCAACCCCCTCGACGTCAGCTACATTGAGATGCATGGTACTGGCACTCAAGCCGGGGACGCTGTCGAAATGGGTTCAGTCCTCAAGGTCTTCGCGCCCAGAGAAGGCGGACGACCTGCCCAGTCGCTTCACTTGGGCTCAGCAAAGGCAAATATCGGACATGCTGAATCTGCCTCAGGCGTTGCTTCTCTCATCAAGGTGCTGATGATGATGAAGAACAACGAGATTCCTCCTCACTGTGGCATCAAGACCAAAATTAATCACAGTTTCCCGGACCTTGCAGCTCGTAACGTCCATATCGCGCGCAAACCGACTCTTTGGCACCGTCCTGAGGGAGGCAAGCGAACGGTCTTCATGAACAACTTCAGTGCGGCCGGAGGCAACACCGCGCTCCTAATGGAAGACGCTCCGATTGCCTACCGCGATGCGAAGCCAGATCCGCGTCCGACCCACACAGTTGCAGTGTCTGGGCGGTCGATCCTCTCCCTCAAGAGGAACTTGGAATCCTTCGTCACCTTCCTCGAACAGCACCCGACTACCTCTCTTCCGGCCCTCTCTTACACTACCACCGCTCGTCGGATGCATCACAACCACCGCATCATGGTGACTGGTTCCGACATTACCACCATCAAGAAGAAGCTCCAGGATGCCACTCAACGCCAGGACTTGAAGCCGGTCCCAGCCAAGCTGCCCAAGGTTGCATTCGCTTTCACCGGTCAAGGTGTGCTTCAGTCTGGTATGGGGAAGCAGCTTTACGAGAACTTCGCCCAGTTCCGCAACGACATTCAACGCTTCGACCGCATCGGCACGAGCCATGGCTTCCCAAGCATTCTGCCTCTGATTGATGGCTCGTTGGATGATGTTGACAACGTCAGCCCCGTCATTGCCCAGCTTGGCACCACCTGTATGCAGATGGGACTCACCCGCCTCTGGGCTTCCTGGGGAATAACCCCTTCCGCTATCATCGGCCACAGTCTCGGCGAGTACGCCGCGCTCAATGCTGCTAGTGTTCTGTCTGCGAGCGACACTATCTATCTCACCGGGAAGAGGGCGCAGCTCCTTGTCGCTCGATGCTCAATGGGCACCCACTCCATGCTCGCAGTTCAGACCTCGCTGGCTCAGGTTGGCACGCACCTTGTTGGCAAGCCTTGCGAAGTCGCTTGCATCAATGGTCCGAACGCGCTGGTTCTTAGTGGCGCAAACGACTGCATCGATGCTCTTGCCGAGGAGCTTGCTAGTGCGAAGTTCAAGTCGACGAAACTCAAGGTGCCGTACGCGTTCCACTCTGCTCAGGTTGAGACGATTCTCTCCGACTTTGAGGCCGTAGCCGAGAAGATCCGCTTCGCCACGCCCGCTGTTCCATTCATCTCTCCGCTCCTCGGTGAAGTTGTTGAGGGTGAGGGCGTCTTGAACCACCTCTACCTCAGCCGAGCATGCCGCGAGACGGTCGACTTTGTCTCTGGGCTCAATGCCGCTCTTGACACCAACATCATCACCGAGAAGACATTGTGGGTTGAGCTCGGATCGCACCCCGTCTGCAGTGGTATGGTAAAATCCATCGTCGGCAGTGAAACGGTCGTTCTTCCATCGCTGCAGAAGAACAAGGATTCTTTCGACGTCCTTTCTAGTAGTCTTGCGGGTCTCCATCTAGGAGGCATTGAAGTCAACTGGAATGAGTACCATCGCGACTTCAAGATGTCACACAGGGTCATCGAGCTCCCTGCCTACAACTGGGATAGCAAGACCTATTGGATTCAGTACAACAACAACTTCTGCCTGACCAAAGGCGATGCTCCGGCGCCCGTTCCTGCCGCCCTTCCAGCGCCTGTCCAATCCAAGCTGTCGACCTCTTCGGTGCAGAGAATGATCGAGGAGAACCTTGACGGTGCGAAGCCCTCTGTGCTCATGGAGTCAAATGTACAAGACCCTACCCTTGTTGCAGCATTCACGGGTCACCAAGTCAATGGCACGCCGCTCTGCCCATCCTCGCTCTGGGCCGACGTTGCTCTTACCCTCGCCGACTATCTCATCCACAACAGCAAGTCGAAGCCCTCTCAGACCGGGATGAATGTCGCCGAGATGGTGGTCAAGAACCCTCTGATCGCTACCGGAGAGAAGCAGCTTTTCCGCTCCTCTGCTGTTGCTAATTGGTCTGCGAAGGAGATTGCAGTCCACATCTACAGTGTCAACGAGCAGGGTAAGATGACTACCGACCACGCTAACTGCAAGGTCAAGCTCGGTGACCCCGATGCCTGGGCGGCTGACTGGAAGCGCAACTCGTACCTCATCCGATCTCGCATCGATGCTCTGCACCGCGGGGTTGATGATGGCGCTACCAACCTCATCAAGCGCGGCATGGCCTACAAGCTCTTCGGTGCGCTCGTCAACTACAACGAGCAATACAAGGGCATGCAGGAGATTGTCATGAACAGCGATGATCTCGAGACCTCTACTCGCGTCAAGTTCCAGGCCGACCCGACCAACGGCAAGTACTATTGTGCGCCGTACTGGATCGACAGTCTTGGTCAGGTCACTGGCTTCACCATGAACGCCAATGATAACACCGATTCTAAGGTCCAGGTGTACATCAACCACGGCTGGGACACCCTGCGCATTGCTGAGAGGTTCTCAGCGGAGAAGAGTTACCAGACTTATGTCAAGATGCAGAACATTGGCGGCACTATGCACGCCGGTGATGTGTACATCTTCGATGGCGAGACCGTCGTCGCCATGTATGGAGGCGTCAAGGTGAGCCCATCCTAAAGCCCACCAGGCCTCGCATGCTAACTGGTTCCAGTTCCAAGGTGTTCCTCGCAAGGTCCTCGACTTCGCCCTGCCAGGTGCTGGTAAGGTGGCGCCGAAGGCTACCTCCGCCAAAGCCGCCACGCCCAAGCCTGCGGCGAAGTCTATGCCGGTTCCTGCTGCCGCTGTGGCTGCGAAGCTCCAGGCAAAGCCCGCGAAGCCTGCTCCGGCCCCTAAATCCACTGGCCCAAGCGTTGCTGACAAGGCCCTCAACATCATCTGCGATGAGGTCGGTGTCTCTATGTCCGACCTGGTCCCAACGGCGGCCTTCGCAGACTTTGGTGTCGACTCTCTCCTTTCACTCAACATTTCTGGCCGTTACCGCGAGGAGCTCGACCTTGATATGGGGAGCTCTCTCTTCAACGACTACCCGACCGTCAAGGAACTAGTTTCTTTCCTTAACAAGAACAGCGATGCTCAGGATGTTGTGGTCGTTTCTGAGATCAGCTCCTCCTATGCATCTACCCCTGCAACCGAATCCGAAGCTGGAGATGCCACGAGCACCAGCGGAGGCTCCATCGAGGGCGACGATGCTGGCGTTATTGACTCTATTCGCCGCATCCTTGCCGAGGAGATTGGCGTTAAGGAGGCTGAGATCACTGGAACTCTGGACCTTAGTGAGCTTGGCATGGACTCTCTCCTGTCGCTGAACGTTCTCGGCCGTCTACGTGAAGAGCACGCCATGGACCTGCCCTCTGATCTCTTCGCGGCCAACAACTGCCTCAACGCAATCGGAGCTGCTCTCGGTATCCAGTCGAAGTCCGCCCCGCCTGCCGCGGCTTCTCCTGCTGACAACTCGCCCCCTGAGACCGCTTCTGTTGTTGTGAAGGAGCTATCAATCCCTCTCCAGTCTAAGCCCGCCCAGACTCTCCCCCGCGCATCTTCGATCCTTCTCCAGGGCTCACCGAAGTCTGCTACCAAGCAGCTCTTTCTGTTCCCTGATGGTTCCGGCTCTTCGACCTCCTACGCTCCGCTGCCCCGCGTCGCACCCGACACCGCCGTGTACGGACTGAACTGCCCGTACATGAAGACGCCCCAGGACATGAAGTGCGGACTCTCTGACCTCACGGCACCCTACCTTGATGAGATCCGACGCCGCCAGCCCCACGGTCCATACTACCTTGGTGGCTGGAGCGCAGGTGGCATTTGCGCATACGATGCCGCACAGGTTCTCACTCGCGCTGGTGAGAAGGTTGAGCGGCTGATCCTTCTCGACACGCCGAACCCTATCGGCCTTGAGAAGCTGCCCACGCGCCTCTACGACTTCTTCAACAGCATCAACCTCTTCGGCCAGGGCGGTGCACCCCCGCCATCATGGCTGCTGCCGCACTTCCTCGCTTTCATCGACGCTCTCGACACCTACAAGGCCAAGCCATTCCAGGGCGAGGCGCCCCAAGTGCACGTCATCTGGGCCGAAGATGGTGTATGCAAGGACGGCAGTATCCCACGACCGGAGGAGCGAGCCGATGACCCACGGGAAATGAAATGGTTGCTCAACAACAGGGCGGACCTTGGGCCGAACGGCTGGGATACGCTTGTTGGTGCGGCGAAGGTGAAGATTACGAGCATGAAGGAAGCGAACCACTTCACCATGATGGAGGGTGTGAAGGCGAAGGAGCTGAGCCAGTTCATTGCCAGCGCTATGGTATAGGCGATTGTCTTTTGTCTGTAAGCTTTTCTTTTCTTTCTGTTATGTCACTCTTCATGTACATGACTCTTCTCTTCTTGTACTGCTGACGCTCGGCATCGTTTGGGAAGGCGGTGTCGCCCGGGCGTGGCAGTCTTTTTTCTCTCACCTTATACCTCTCTTGTTTCTTTGCATCATCGGAATGTTGGCGTCGATTTTGGAGTGACGTAGCTTAGTGTTTAGTTTCTTCGGCATTCGGAGCTAGACTTAGACTGGTAGGCTGGGGGCGTAGCTACTTAGATGTTTCTTAGACCAAATGGAAAGTGTACTCCATGAACATCCCCTCGCATCGCGTCCCGAAAGAACATCTACTTCTTGTGCTGCCGATGTTGCAAGGGTCTGCATGTCTAGTCTACTCCACTATGGAAGAAGGACTGTGTGCATTTCGATCCGTTCTAGCCATGTAGGCCGCCGTTCATTGCGCTCTGGATGCACGACGCTTCAAATCCTTTCTTTTGTCTTTTCGACGACATTGAAGAACCCCACCGATAGCATTAGGCCGACACGTTGATGACCATTCCCACCGATTTCACTAAGCAGCGGTGGCGAACGTGTATCCTCGGAGCCGTAGTAAGCCTCGAGTGGGCAGCTGGAGTGGTACTCAGCCTGATTCGACACCTGCTGGACGCCACAAGGTATCCCAGGATAATATCGAGTTCGTAGTCTACATTAATTCGGACTTTTGTTGGCACTTCGGCGGTGGCTCGGGAGTGTTTCACAATATCAGATCTAACGACGAATATATCACACTCTCCGGTTCCAATACAAGTTCAAATTGCAGTTGAGATACACGACAGACCGCAAGACGTCTTTGTTCTCGAAAGCCGAGAATGCTCACACCCTGTCGCATTTCAACTTCCTGGGCTGACCTTTTGGATGCCTGCACCTTCCTCCGCCCTTCGGCCCGTACCCTTTTCCACTCCTATCAGCCTCCTCATGTAGTCCTCGGAACAATCTCAGTTATATTAAAGGAGTACACGGGATCCCACGCACCCTAGACTCTCGCCAAGAGACATCAATGAACGGATATCTCCTCCAGAACCCATGTCATCCCACATATCCCACATAAAGGGCCAAGGGCCAGCAGCAATAATCCGTAACTTCCGTTGCTCCTCAAGCTTGATGGTTTTACGATCCGATGACTTGAAAGGCGGGAATCGCATCTGGACTGGAAAATGGTCGCGCGAGAGAATATCTGGCACGACAGGTCGAGTTCCGAACGCGTTGCAGTTCGACTGAGGATCTTTCTATGGCCGGGATTCGCGAGAGGCCCGTAACAACCAAATCATAAGACTGTGAACGGGCTGCAGTTGTTTGACGGTAACTAAGGCCTTGGTATCTTGGGCAGCGATACTCATTCGCGGGATGCTTTAGGTTTGAAAGGTGACAGTGGCCGACGAAATGAGACGTGGTGGGTGCAGGTATGCGCACTGCCTAATCGCCTCCTTCGGTTTGCTTGGGACATCAGTGACACCGGAGTCTGCAACCAGAAATCCAGCTATAGGGAGCAGAGCTCTCATAGATATCTAACAAAATATTGGGTTCGTTTGCGCGTGGAGGGCGATGAGAGACTTCTTCGCGGAGAAAAATACGCCTAACCAATGTATTCTGACCGAGTTTGCTGAAAGCACGCGAACGGCTCAGGTGGCGTAGCGTAAAGAAGTTTTCGGAACTGCAGGGCCAGTGTTGGGATAGATGGGGTTCCAGTGGCGAACCTTAAATCAGTCATCGCGGCGGGGGGTTAGGAGGCAAGGTTGAATGATGTTGTAGAACCGTTGAGCTGTATGTCCTTTCGAAGTATCTGGACACAGCTGAGACGACCAGGCGCCCTGAAGTAATTTTAACTCGGCTGCCCTGAAGATATTCTTTTTGTGATATTGGGTGGCGGAAGGCGCTTAAAGTAGATGACCGTGGCACATCATCCCCGTACAAAGGCATGCACTGCGCGCTCATTCCAACCCGCTACCACTAAGTGAAAGTGATCGTGTAAGCTGCGGACTGTTCCGCACCTCGTGGTAACATGATGGACGCAATAAGCTCGACGTCTTGCCGTAGGATTCGGAAGGTAAGGGGTTACCCTTAATCGGTGGCGCAAAATAGGAATGTGGTGGGTTTCGACTGAGAAGATACGATCGAAGATGATACCCTAAGAGAACTTATTAGCTCCTTCCGTCCTATCACAAAGATCAGTGCATTGGAACTCACCGTATTGAACTACAGACTCAAATATGCATAAGTACTCAGATTCTTTCTTGACGCGCGGCGACTCCTCGCTTGAGGGTAATCGGCCTTCCTGGCGTCACCGGCGGAATACTTCCATCGGTACGTTCCATGGGCGAGATGTTCTCTACGGATCCTTGTCTTCGTCTTCCAGTATAGTTGTCCTTGTGAACTGTCGGGGCGTGGATGGATAGCTTCTAGGTCTGGAGGCTAATTCTGTACGGGTAGCGGCTTGACATGCCGCGTGGAGGAGAATTGACGTAGGTTATAGGACAGCGCAGGGAAAACCCAGGATGCAGATTTTAACAGGAACGTTGCGATCGCCGTTTTGAAGGATGAGTACCTAGGACTCTCTTGTTATTGCATGGCAACCTGATGTCGCTTCGATTGCAAACGAAAGAGACTGTAAATCTTCGTGGTTTTGGAGCGGAGCCACCGGAGTCAAACATGCTGTGGATCTGCAGAAACAAGTGCGGTACCGCTGGATCGGAGCTCGGTAAAGGCATTTCGTGACCGCCGTTTGTCGGGGGGCAAGGGTCGGGGTTGCCCTAAAGCGGGAGGAACGTTGGCCGACATGGCGTAAAAGTTGCAATGACAAGCGTGTCTGGGCCCCACCCCTACCGATGTTCTAGTCACTTCCCCGAGCTACGCACAATGTGTGGAGCTCCATGTATTCGGAGACGATTGACAATCATCGATGAAAGGGGGTGATGATCATCACCATCAATAACAATGAGGTCGTACAAGGATCCGCTTGCTGAATGCCTTTTACGTGGATTCGGCCTTATCCTTGGTCTCGACCTCGGAAACGATTTCGTTCAGATCTACCGCATTTCGGCCAGTATGTAGCGCGTGTTCGTTAGGTCGCAAGTCCTTGGAGTTTTGGATCTGTTCCCAGATGCGAATAACCTGGGTAAGATTCGGACTCCTCTGGACGTCCGAAAGGGAAGATGCGAGTGAGGCGGAGCCGAAGGATGTCCACCAAGCACCCTCACGGTTCTCTAGATAGTCCGGGTTCGCGTTGTACTTGAGATTCGGAATACGAACGATCCACTGGAATTCGGGCACACTAGGTAACCATTCCTGGATGAGCTTCGTATTGCAAGTGCACCCATCCCATCCAACTGCAACAATAGTTGGATTCTTGGCCCGCCGTAAATCTGCATTTATAGCTGCAGTGAACTTGAAGGCATTGTTCTTCTGGACTCGCTGTTGTTCTTTGTCCTCGAAGCGATCCTGGTACTGCTCAGGTGCCGGAAGTTCCCGTGTCTTCATGTTCCACCCAACGTGGAGCACTGCTGCGCCGCGATCGTCGAACGCCCTTCGATATTGCTGGAGAACTAGGCGGCCCCATATGGGAAGTCCGGATTTGATATTCTCGCGGTTGGCTCTCTACTCGTCAAGGGCTTTAGCTGATGATCGTGTGATGATGATGACCCGCGGTGGCGAGTCTGACTTGCTCAGAGGTATTCGAAGCATCTGGGCATTGCGAGGCTTATAGCCCTGACCGTTGCAATCTTGATCATGGAGAGCCAGTGTATACCTGTCAGCAAAGTAATAGCTACATTTAGCACACTGATACGGCCCTCGAGTATCATGTACGTGTGTGCGGATATGGTTGCCCACGCCTTTCATGTTAGGAAAACTCCTGGGGCAGCCGATAACAGATTTCCAAGGACACTCGTGGACTGCTCGAGACTTCGAACATTGTCCTCGTCCGGAGCCGTTACGAATAAGTGCATGGACCCTAGCGTTAAGATACGATCGGAAGAAGAGACCGCAACAGTTGGGGCATGGAATCTTCTATGTTCCGTCTTCGCTGGAATCGTCGGGAAATGGGATTCCATGTTTCGCATGGACAGTCGTCACGTGTCGTTCTCTCCCGTTAGAGGTGGAAAACCAGGTATCGCAGGACTTGGACCCCTTGAAAGCAGCCTTAAAAGGACATTCGTATCGATCGCGAGAACGGCTCGGCTGGCATCCACGCCTCGTCCTGGTTAAAGTCTTTGAAGTTGGGCCCGCGACCAACAGCTTCCCCGGCGAGGAGTCTGTGAGCATCTGAATGATTCGTCGTCCCCCACTAGCAGTGATTGGGTTCGCCGCTTTAAGTCCAGGCCGGTTACGGTTCGTTTATCGCTGGAAGTGGTCCTGCAGTAGACTGAAAAGACTAATATCCTGGAACGGGATGTTGCCCTTTTCATGCACGAACTGTAAGATTCTCTTCGCACAGGCGAGCCTGATCTGCTATCCGAATATGTAGCGGGCGTTATTCGAGACCCGAGGTTTCGGTAAGGGTTCCTGGTTGGCCTAGAATATGGCAGCCAGGATGCTTATTGCTGCACAGTCTACATCACAGCTGGCTTGCTGGGGGCACTCGGCGGCGGAGATACGGTCGGCGCTCCAGGAGACGTTTCTGTATGGCGAAGATGGCCTGAGGCCAGTCAGGGTCATCAGTGCAACAAGCTCCTGACTCGCCGGGCATGTTGGAAATAGACAAATGTATTTGCAATGTGACATAGATGGAAACTCAGGAATGATATGAATAGTCATTGATAGAGAACACTTAGCTTTCTCCGATGCCTCGAGGTCTTTTGAACACCTGCACCGTTCCTCGCACTAAGCAAATTAGTTCTTGCGACGTATGTGCTCTTGGTGCACCGCCTTCGAGAGACTCAGCCCAAGAGTATGCATATTCACAGAACGAAACCTGCATGCGTATTGCATCGAATGAGCAGCCTCTTATGATCAGGCAGTGGAGTACGGGCTCCCGTAGTTATTATGCATCTAGTTCTCCCATCTCTTCCTCCAGACTACAGTACTTCGCGCCCCATCTCCCGGTTCCCGTAGTATGACCGACCAGTCCCCCGCGTGCCGGAAGAGTAGCACCGACAAACGAAGCCCTCCCCGACAGGCAATGTAGCAACCAACTTCGAGCAGGTGCGCCGGCTGCTGGAGACGTGCCGTACCAGATCACGTATAATCTTTCCGCGAGCCCTAGAGATATTTTATGGGAGCAGTCGGCCCGAGCAGGTAGTGGTCCGCATTGAACGTAGGAGCGCCGTGCGATATCCGGAAGACAGATCCGGGCGTGAAGAGAGCGTCTCGCGGAGAGCGTGAGGAACGGGAGGCCACACGTTTGAGCGTGTTGGGTAGATGCGATATCAAAGAGTGAGTGGGGACCAGCTGCTCAATCGGTCGATCAAGATTGGTGTGCAGAACGGAGGGAGCATATTCTGTGAGAATGTTAGTCACGGCGAGAGCTATCGCTCTCTGGCGCCTTATAGCCCTCCAGCAGTTTTGGCCAGACTGCCATCACGGAAGCTGAGAGCGATTGTTCTGGAGAAAGCTATTGAGAAGCAAGATGGGGGAGGGCGTAGGAAAGGGCTTGCGCGGTTGAAACGTTTAAGTTTCGTGCCGGGAGGCTTGGCGCTTCGGCCCACGGATGCTCATGAGAGCCTCCCACGTTGGATTTGAAGAAATGCACTGCAAGCAAAAAGTCATTTGCAAATGATAGTAGTTCAATGAGAGGTGCGGGAATATCTTGTGCTATTACTAGAGTATACATAGACTGCTGTGCAATGCAACCACAACTGCCACGAAAAGGAGGGATACCTAGTTAGGGCGGCGCGCACTAGGATGGATTCTGGTATTAGCGCATGTTCCTGCTTTGTCTATCCATAGATCGTGATGTTTCATGCAGGGTACGAAGAGTTTACAAAAAATTTTACTACAGTATATAATATCTCTAAAGCATCAAACCACCATCAAAATCCCAGAACGGTGAGATGGTAAGTACCTGCAGCTCAACGTTCCCAAACACACGCTAATCCACGAATCAGGCCGAGTTGGTTATGGCGCCAGGTTAAGGTTACCTTAACACTAATTCCTGGTCACGAAAGTGGCGTGGGTTCGAGTCCCACTCTCATCAATATTCGTCCGCTCGTTTGAGCGGTATTCGGGAAATTTTTTTTTTTTGCCGCTTTCTGCTTTTTTTGGGCCCTTGAGCGGGGTGCGTTGTTGAGGGCCCCGTTTTACAGTTGTCCAAGCTCTATCACGTCTAAACCTTTCCAGGCGCTTTCAATACACTTATGAGGGCTATTAACTGCACGTGATGCTGTGGCCCGTGGCCTGTCTTCTGGTGCCTAATGATGTTTTTTATTCGTGCCATAAGGTCTATCATGCAGTATCGGCTTATAAATGCTCTCTCTGGTGTGGTTTGAGAACGTCTTCCTTTCCCAAGCACTTTCCGTAATATCCGCGATTATACAGGAGAATTGTTGCAGGATCTCAAGTGTCCAGCTGTCGATCTCTCGAATATGTTCATGGCTCTAAGTCGAGATCCTGGTATCGGAATAAAGTAAATGCAACTTCTTCGATCATAACACGAATCTGGATATCCCAATCCGCATGCCCCGTCACGTAAGAGCACGCCGCGTTTGGGTTTCAATGAGCTGGAGTAACTGTGTCATGTTTCGTTTTCTGCTAGGTCTGTGATCTCTCAGCAGATTTGCCTTCCGCCTTCGAATTATTCCTCCTCCTCCTCCTCCTCCTCCTCCTCGAACACTACACATCTTCTTTCCTTGATATGTCGGAGCCTCTGTCCGCCGGACGACGCACGGTGGCGTGCTAGGCTTGCTCTTAGGCTTCCCGGACGACAGGTAGTATATTGTATCAGGCTCCCTCTCATGATCGCCGGACGACTCTTTGTCACCTGCCATGCTCTTGTGGGTGTAGCAAGTCCCTGGTCGCCGGACAATCCATCGTCGTGCGCGAGATGTGGGTATTCTGCTAGTACTCTTGGTCCATGGAGATGGGGGAAGACCACTAGGAAGGGTAATGTTCGCTAAACCAGAATCTGATTATGTAGAAGTCTAACATCTACACCGGGTCTAGACGTACCATATGGCACAGCATACCGCCAACATACGGCAGAAGGTTTGCTTAAGAGAAGCCTCTATACTCCAAAACGCCGTCCCAATGCTCGTCCACTCGCTAACCCTACGTAACGACCCTCTTCATACTCGCCGCCTGCCTCGGCTCAATAAACAGCGCCTCCCCCTCCGTCAGCACAACCGGCTTCTCACCCTTCTCCTCATCAACCAGCGTCTCCAACCTCCCTTTAACCCACGCCTTCCGCCCCTCCACCTTGGTGGTCTCCGCCTTCAGCACCACAATCTGACCGGCCATACACGGCGCCTTGTAATCGATCTTCAGTGAAGCAGTGACGGCGACTTTATTCGGCAGCGCGGGGAAACAGCAGCGCGCTAGACCCTCATCTAAGAGCGTGGCTAGGAGACCGCCGTGCACGATGCCCGGATGGCCGCAAAGAGCGGAACCGACGTATTGGAGGGAGACGAAGGTAGTCCCGTCGGCGGTGCTGAATTGTACGGGCGGGACGGCAATCTTATCAGGCCCTAAAAGCGTCCCACCTGTGAGATTTTGCGTCCGCATCTGCTCCGGAATTTTCAGATGCGGTCTGCTCGCAATGTACTTCTCATCCTCTAGTAACGATTTCGTAAGCGGATGCTCGAAAATCTGCTGCTCTATAGTGACGAGCTCCTCGGTCGTGGGTGTGAAGAGTGTGAGTGTCTCTTCGTCTGAAGGGGGCTGTAGGAGCGCTTGTGCGGTGGAGAGGGCTGGAGCGGCGGCCATGGTGAAGCCAAAGGTGAAGGTAATGAGGGTAAGGGCGATGGTGAGCGGGATGCGGATGTACAGTGGTTTCTTTTGGCGTGGAGGCGGGTCGAGAGTCGTTCGTGGTGTTGCTTCTGAGGTCGGTGATGCTGCGCAATGTTAGTCTCTGAGGGCCACAATGAAGGAAAGCAAAGAAGTCTCGAGATACGACACGAGCCCAGGAGACTTACCTCCCGCAATGCTACTCTGCTCTCTCCGTCCAATATGTCCTCTCGTGAACTGCGCTCGAAATACCGCCACCTCGGTAGTATTTATACTCGGCCGGGAAGCCTCTCGGAACGGCGCAACAATCCACCTAGCCAGGGCCACCCTTCTGCAAAAGGCCGACCTTGCGACAGAATGCATGGCCCCGTATCCGCTCCAAGGCACTAGATGCAGATTCGAGCGAGCAGGCCCTCCGTCGTGTTGCGGTCAACGGAGGCTGAATGACGCATTGGCCATCGGCGGTCGGGAACGCGCTTTTTGCCTCGGCTCAGGGGGTCGTTCCGAGACTTCTTTGGTTGGGATGCGTTGAGGCCAAGGCAAGGTGACATACGTACGCAGAATTTTAGATACGAACTTCGGCCGACCTTCTACGTCAGATGGGATGCCTGGGATACAATTTAGGGGCGGTGAATGTGCTGAGAAATACGTTGTGGAGGTTGAAGCTGCCCGGTAGACCCCCGAAAGAAATCAGCAGGCGCTCATACCTGCACTGCTCTAGTCATTTTTGTCTTCTGAAGGCATCTATGGATCCCAGCCTCGCTTTACAAAGTCAGAGTTGAGGCCGGCTTGTATATGTCCCGCGACGTTCGTCTCATGGACATGCCTAAGTTTGGGTAGAAATGTCTGTTTGGTATCTCTCTTCATTCATCAGCTCCTAGCCCAAGCGTTCCTGTACATACACATCTGTCAACCTAATCCCTGCCCAGCCGCCAAGTAGTATACATTCGTGAGAGTGGGGAAATGAATCGTAGCATATGGAGCGCCTTCAAATCTCTACGCTCGCCCAGCCGCTTCCATAGCTCAAAGTAACCGAGCTACATACATTGAAGAGAAATTATCCCCTCGTGAGGGGAGTGGTAGTAAAACAGGTGTAAAGAAAATAAATGGTTGACCTTTTGGACGCCTGGATATGCCGGAGAACCGAGAGTGCCAGATGAGACGATACAAGGACAGATGTAACGGTATAAGAATGGGAACAGTGGCATCAAAGGGGCGATTGTCTCAATAGTAGTCCCTAGCGCTCTTCTGGAGCTCGATGAATCTCCATCCTCTCGTCTCGGGATTGCTCACGTCCTCGGGTATCCTCGTCACACCAATGGCATACGTGACCTGCTGGACCTTGTCATCCATGCCGGCGGCGAGATCGCCGGTTTTGGCGTTCCTGTAAGTGTGAACCTCTTGCGTTCTGCAGGTAATGATAAAGACCGGAATCTCTCCTGGTTCCAGCAACCGGGCATTGAGGATGTCGACATGCCTGATATCCACGATCCGTCCGTCCGACTTCAGGCCCGCCGTGGTGTATTGCTGCATCAGGGCCGCATACACCGAGTATTGAGCTGCCGACAACCAAAGCTTCAGCGTCTCGGTGTCGCCCTTCACGTATGCATCCAAAACTTCTGGGAGTATATATTCGCGCATTTCGGTCAGGAAGGGTTCCAATTGGAAGTTCGGGTCCATTTCTCGGAACTTCTTGATGACCATTGCAGTCTCGTTCTCCGCGAAAAAGCCCGTTATGCGATCCGAAATACTGCGCGCCGTTGAGATGAGGGGATTGTCCGACTCGTTGTACACGCTCTTCATGCTGTCGAAGCGTCGCATAATGAGTGAGTTATCCTTGAATTCTCGCCAAATTTCTTTGTAGCGAGCATCTTTGTGCAGAGTAACATGTGTTCCGGCACTGGCAAGAATAAGCTTCAGCGTGCACGGTGCGCAAATTCTGAACTTACTCGGGATCCTCCTCCATCGGCTCGTCTGGCTTCTTTCCGCCGGTTCGCTGTAGCTCATTGAGCTCTCTCAGCTCCCGCCTCCTTCTACGCTCTTCCTTCTCGAGCCACCCTCCATACCTTGACGAGCTACCATCGTCCACAGTCTCCTTCACAGCCTGGAATGCCTTCGACTGCCGCACCGGCCGGGTCACGTATTCCAGGCCAGATCCGGTAACATTCGCAACCTTGCGAACGCCCTTCACAGGAGCTGTATCCCAAGTCCAAGCCGCACCATGACCAAGAGCTTTCCCCGTCGTCTTCAATGCCTCGGCGGTTTTTGTGGTCGCCGCATCAGTGACTTGGGTGTACGTGTTCCGAGCTTTTTGTACGTGCGGGTTCTGAGTGAAGTCGTGGACGCCCGCCGACAATTGCTTGGTGGATTCATTCCACTCCTTCGAAGCCTGGAATTCTGACTTCAGCGTTTCGGTGAAGACCTGCCAGGGTGTCTTGTCGCCGTGAGGGGGAGGCGGAGGAGCATCCTTCTTGCTCTCCTTGCCTTCCTCGCCACCTTCTTTCTGCCCAGACTCCTCTTCGCCGGCCTTCTTTTCTCCCGCTTCTCCCTCGTTTCCCTGTTCTCCTGCCTTCTCTCCCGCGGCGCTTTCAGAAGAGTGCTGCTTGGTGTCTGGTTGCGACTCCGAGTCTCTTCCCTTCGCTTCAGGTTCGGCTTGCTTCTGCGCCTGCTGGAATAGCACAGTGCGGGAGGAGAATTGGCGGGCGTATGTGGCGGAAGTGCGGAAGAGGACATTCTGCGGTAGGAAGTCGCTCCGCAGGAACAGGAAAGGGGAGGACTGGGGGTCTCGGGATGCGAAAGATGGTCGCTGCGTCGCCTGTGACCGCGCAACTAAAGGCGCTGTAGATAACCGCCTATATGCCGCCGCTCGGCCGTGGAAGCTCGAGGGTGAGGCGGCGAGTGGTTGGATGCTACTCCATCGTGCCCTGGCCGAGAGAGCGGTCGCTGTGGACGGCCTCATACTCTAGAACGAGACGAAAGGACCAGCAAAGAGCTGTAATTGCAATACAAGCCCACCCGAAGGATAAATGGCAGAGAGGTGGGCGCGGCGGAGGACGGGAGGAAGGTGAGGTGAGTCGGCGGCGAGATGATTTTCTTCGGAAAGCACGCGCGCTCGGGCCACTGCCGTCGACTTTTCTGCCGAGCTCGACATCGACATCGACATCGACACCTCATCGAACCCCAGTCGGCGCAGCGCCCATTGAAGGCCGGCATCATGGGCAATCCAACACCATCGCGCGCCTTCCGCTCCCTATGCGCCTCGTGCCGCTCGTCGGCCGCTTCTGCCCCGCTCGCTCCCAACCGCTCCTTCTCAAGCTCCGCTCGCCGTCTCGCCAAATACAAGACCCTCGACACCACTCTCGCCAATGTCAACTCGAACTTCCGGCAAGCATCAATGTCTCCTTATGGTAGCATTATTCCCAGGAGGGAAGGCGAGCCTGTAAACCTGACCGAAACTGATTGGCCAGCCGAAAACCGACACCACCTCCACGTCTACTCGCACAAGCACAACACGCACATCACGCTCACGAAACCGAACCGTGATTCCCTAATATCTGTCTCATGCGGAAACATTGGGTTTAGAAAGGCTGGAAGGGGGACATACGATGCGGCGTACCAGCTTGCGGCCTTCGTCATGAGCAGGATCAAGGATAAGGGGTTGCTTCAAGGTACCGACAAACTTGAGCCTATCAAGGAGCTAGAGCTTGTATACCGGGGATTCGGACAAGGCAGAGAAGCGGTCACGAAGGCGATCCTGGGAAGCGAAGGAAAGGACATACGGCCTTTGATCAAGAAGCTGTCGGATTCGACGCGACTAAAGTTTGGCGGCACAAGAAGCAAGAAACCAAGGAGATTGGGCTAAGCAGACGGTATGTTGGGCAGTCGAGGCGGTTAGTCCCATCGAGGAGCTCTGTGTATATATTATGGCAACCAGGAGCATGGCCTGTGGTAACATTTGCATTGTGCACGTAGAAACCACACGCATTCGGGATCGAGGGAACTCAGAGACAGTCATGTTATTCGTCTGGGCAATGGGGCTCTCTCCGCTGGAGGAATCTCCCGATTGCTGGTGTCTTTGACGAGCCTGGGTGCATGATTTCTGGCCGAGTGCCGCGGATGCCCTCTTGCGCCTCTTTGCTCACTTCCAGCGCCAGCACCAAGTATCCCCGCCGCTTGCTCGCCCCACCCTTCCTCCTCCTCGGAACTCGGAAGGCGCCGTCTCTGGTCGTGCCGGAGCATAGACGATCTTTCGTCTTCAAAGTCCTCGTCAAGGAGCTCTCCATCCGCAGTATCATGATCCGGTGGCTCAATCCATTCCCGCGGTACAACGCATGGGAGAGCTACGCCTATGCTAGCGGCGCGATTGAGCCAGCCCGGGGCGGGGCGGCCGGTGAGTTTCTCGCACAGGTACGAGGTGAAGTGGTTGCAGTTTTTGGTTAGGAGATTGTACGAGGTTCCGATAAACTGTTGCGAGGCCTAGCACTGTCAGCGTGATCGGGCATTCCGGGAGGCGGGTGTTCCTACTTCGTGGATAATCGCGGTCAGCTCTTCTTCTGGCCGGAATGAAAAGCCATGGAGGATCGCCTGTCTGAAGGTGCCGCCTGGTGGTTCTTGCCCGGGCTTTGTCCAGTACACACCCGTCATTCCACGCTGATCATGGCCTCCATATGCGTATTCCCGGTCGCCAATGACCACCCCGGAGTGCAGGAGAGAGCTTCCTATTGCCCATAGCACTGTAGACACTTTGCCTGGGGGAAGGAGGTCGTAAACATGAATCTTGATCTCTGTCTTTTGCAGCGAGAGCGTGCTTCGGTGGTTTGCGGAGCTCTTGCGCGACGGTTTGGGCCGACTAGACGAGGACATTGTGGATGTGATAACGCGATGAAGGGCGGTGGAGCTTCTAATCGAGGTAAAATGTATACGGCGGTATGTTGCCTAGTTGGGGAGGGCTGGTCCTAGGACCATTGAGCGCCGCCAACGGCGAAGGCAGCCAGAATGCGGTAGGAGAGGAAGAAGGATATACGGGGAGCGAAAGACGGGACCAGCCCTGCAGAGGGGTATAGTACAAGACGACGGGTGAGGTGGGAGATGAGGCGGAGAGAGACGCCGTCTGCGTCTGCGTCGCGGTTCGTGGTCGAATCGTGCTGCGTCACGGCCACGCCTTCCGCGTTCGGCCGTATCACGTGAGCAGCGGGGAGCTTGTGGAAAATTGGCCTGCAGCAACACCAGGCCCTGCAGCCCACGCCCACGCACGCAAGGCACCACAGAGGAGAGAGGCTGCGAAGTCATCTCTCTGCAACCCCTCCACCACCACGCCCCCCGCCAGGCCCCTCGCCCTTTCCTTCTCTTCTGTGATACCCGCTTTTTCCCGACCAGCAGCAAGTACTGCTCTCGAATTTTCTGCCACACTCCACTCTGCACTATTCTCGCCTTCATTTCGCAGCATCCTCACAACAATCCGCACATACGCGAAATCCAAGAAGATGGCTCCGAAGAAGCCTGTCCAAGAGGAAAAACTCCTCCTCGGCAGGCCGGGCAACAACCTCAAGAGCGGCATCGTGAGTGAGAGCCCTCGCTCGCCGCCGATTGCCTCGTTCTCACATTAACAGTAGTCGTCAGGTTGGGCTTGCGAATGTCGGTAAATCAACGCTGTTCCAGGCAATCACCAAGTGCCATCTCGGTAACCCTGCCGTAAGTCGCGTGCCCCTGTTGGTCCCTTCCTTGCGCTCACCACCATAGAATTTCCCGTATGCCACCATTGACCCCGAAGAGGCCCGCGTCATTGTGCCCGACGAGCGGTTCGACTGGCTGGTAGAGCACTACAAGCCCAAGTCGGTCGTGCCTGCCAATTTGACCGTCTACGACATTGCTGGTCTCACAAAAGGCGCGTCAACTGGCGCTGGTCTGGGAAACGCTTTCCTTTCGCATATTCGAGCTGTCGATGCCATCTTCCAGGTTGTCCGATGCTTCGACGACGCCGAGATCATTCACGTCGAGGGCGACGTGGACCCCGTCCGCGACCTGAACATCATCAGCGAGGAATTGCGCCTCAAGGATATCGAGTTCGTCGAGAAAGCTCATGAGAGGCTCGTCAAGGAAACTAGGAGAGGCGGCCAGAGCCTGGAGATGAGGAAGTTGAAGGAGGAGCAGGCCACCGTAGAAAAGATCCTTGACATGCTCAAGAATGGCAAGGACGTGCGGAGGGGCAACTGGACACCGAAGGAGGTACGTATTCCAATTTTCTCGCCACATTGTCTCCATTTGCAAGATGACAAAGAGCGATTGCTCTATAATCCCAGCTCTTTGATAGCCTCTTTAACGCAGAGGTCACTTGAAAAGACGTCCAACTCTGACAAAACTCCTCATCGTTCCTTGAACGTGTGCTGCTAAACATGGCGACTTATACTGACTGTCCCCAAGGTCGAAGTCATCAATCCCCTCTTCCTCCTCACCGCCAAGCCTGTCGTCTATCTCGTCAACCTCAGCGAGAGGGACTACATCCGCCAGAAGAACAAGCACCTCCCCAAGATTGCCCAATGGGTCAAGGAAAACACGGAGGGTGACCCTATCATCCCAGTTTCCGTTTCTCTCGAAGAGCGTCTGGGAGCCATTACCGAAGAGGAGGCCGCCGAGGAATGCAAGAAGCTCGGCACCAAGTCCGCGCTGCCCAAGATCATTGTCACCATGCGTAAAGCTCTCAATCTCGGCAGCTTTTTCACAACTGGTGCAGACGAGGTCAGGCAATGGACGATACGAAATGGTACCAAGGCCCCGCAGGCTGCTGGAGTCATTCACGGCGATTTCGAGAAGACGTTCATTCAGGCGATCGTGTATAACTACAACGTGTTGAAAGAGGAGGGTGACGAGGCAGGTGTCAAGGCGAAGGGCAAGGTCATGACCAAGGGCAAGGACTACGTGGTCGAGGATGGTGACATTTTGCTCATCAAGGCCGGTGCTGCGAAGGGTTAAGAGACGAAGAGTTTCCTTGGGCAATAGAGGCTTGCATGTTTTAGTGATTCATTGGAATTTTGGGGGCTAGGTATCTCGCCTGCGGATCTGGACGTGCTTCATAGGCCAAAAACTGGCAGCTCTGACTTGCATGTCTGAATAAACTCTCCATAACAGTTCGACGTTGCCCTATCTCGCTCTCTTCTTCTCCGGCGCTAGCATCCAGCTATTCCCGCAAACGCAATGCTTCGCAACGCCCATCAACCAAGAAACGTGATGATTCGCATAGCCTGGCAATCCCATCGTCACATCCTCCATGTACGCACCACACCTGACACACTTCCTCAGTTGCTGTTTCCTCTTCTTTCCGTCCTCCACGGCACCTCCCATACCCATGCTCAAGCTCTGCATGCTGTCACTCCTATTCCGATTCCCCTGCTGCGCCGCCGCACTCGCAGCACCCGTGGGATGCGACTGCGCACCCGTACCGCGTATAATCATCTTCTGGCACACGTCGACGACGTGCGTGTCGAACCACTCGGCCGCGCGCCGCGACTCCTGAAAGCCGAGCCATGTTGTGTCGAAGAACATAATCTTCGCCATGTCGACTTTGTCGGCCAAGCATCCGTTCTGCTGGTTTTCGTTGAACAGAGTGTCGGTTACGAGGCGGCGTGCGGCAGGCACGAGGACGTCCGGGATGCGGCCGAGAACGAGTTCGCGCTCGTGGAGGTTGCGCAGCGCGGCCTGCTCCTCGGGTTTGCCAGAGACGCAGCGCTTGTAGCAGTTTCGAACGAGGTGCTGTGCTTCGGAGACGAGGTGCTCGAAGTGCCGCCAGTCGAGAGGCGTTTCACTGAGGGCTTGGTGTAGCGGATAGTATAGTTTGCGCATTTCGGGTGGTGGGTTCCCATTGATATAGGTGAAGGATGTGCGCATTACCCATTGGATCGGCTGGGCCCAGAGCTTCATCATCATTCTAGGAAAAGAGGAGAGGAGGACGAGGAGGGCGGGTTTGTTGAGCTCGTGTATTTTCGCTTCGAGAGCTTCGCGCGTGATGCCGTTGGGATTTTGGGCGGCGAAGGTCTTGATTTCGTGACCGATCGCGAGCAACTCGTCGATCATGTACACCATGAAGTGCATGATCCAGCGGCATATGCCGATGAATTGAGGGACGACTTCGGGACGTAGCGGGTTTTTCTCGATCTGGCCGTGCATGCGCGCGATGGTGGTGAGGATCTGGGTGACGTATTTTATGTTCAGGGTGATCCACGACATTTTGCTGGTGAGCGATCTGTTGACGCTTCCATGGAGGCCGAGGAGGTGAATCGAGGAGAGGGTCTTGACGAAGAAGGGGGAGCGGCCCAGGAGTATGAGGTGGTTGTTGGACTGGTCGTCGATGCCGCAGTCGATGTTGACGTTGAGGCCTTCGAACATAAGTTTGATGAAGGTGCTTTTGCGCGCCTCGGAGATATCGCCCATGGTAGAGAAGATGTCGTCACTGCAGAAGTATTGGTTTGCGGCGGTAGCGGTTTGGAGGATGAGAGCTGCGATGGCGGCGGAGTGGCGGGCATCATCGTCGTCGGTGGCGAGCGTTCCATAGGTGTATTCCATAGAGCGTACTTTAATGCTACCTTCTTGCTGCATGCAGGCTGCTACGCAGTAGTTGGGGGATAGGGCGACGTGGAGAGAGGGTTCTAAGGTTGTGAAAGAGAACCCGGCTTGAGGAAGCGAGGATACAGTGTCGGTGTTGTAGTCAGGAGCAATGACTGCCATAGTGGAGCGCTTTCGGAATTCGATCGTTCCGTCGCTGTAGCAATACGCCAGCAGCATATGGTACCATAGTGGCACAAATGATAGGATGACCGAGTGCGTCATGGTATCAGGCTGTCTTCTCAAAAGCCACACACCCCGCGCGGGCACAGAGCTTATGCTCTTCTTTTTGGACGTAACTTTGTCGAGGCTAGTATGCAGCTGATTCTGCTGCATGTGCTGCGCTTCCCATCTTACGACAATGCTGAAGGGATCCTGGGCGGGATGCGTTTGGTCGACTGAGACCACATTTGGAGGAGTGGAGAAGATAGCCTGGATTGTCGGTAATGACCCGTCGTTCTGCTCTGGAGTGACCGGCAAAAAGTCGAGGTGGGTGAGTTGAGCTGGCACTCTAACTCTTGACTCCGAGCCACCGTTCAGATCGCTGTTTATCATAGCAGGGAAGCAATTGTCTTCTACCATGAGCTCAGACACCTGCAGTTCCGGCTTTTCGTATTGTTTCGGTGGCTGCTGGCCATGTTTTTGGGGTGGAATGCTCCAATGCGCGTCCACCTGATAGAGACGCAGTCGGCCCGACACATCGTACGCTGCCAGCACCAAGGTGTTATCTGTAAGAGTGAGTACTTGAGCGCTGGATCTGGTGGGGTTGCGTACCATTGTTCGAGGCAAAGGCGGCATGCGTGAATGTCTCTCTGGTCGAGATCTTCGGCCCTAGCTGAGCAGTCACCTCTTGCCAGCTGCTGTCGGGCTGCTGAAAGCGTAGCTTGAGATCGCCATGCCGCTTGAGGTAGATCAACGAAGCTTTTCCTTCGGCGGGGTGATGCATGTCGTTGAATGAATGCGAGGTGATGTGGAATTTCCACTTCTCTCCCTCTCTGTTCGCGGACCATGCGATGTGATTCTGTCCCCATGAGCCGAAGTCTATCCGCAATGGATGATGCTGCACATACCTTTTGCTCGTATGGGAGTATGGCCAGCCAGTGCATGCCCACTACAGCGTCCATCTCAGCATCTGGCTGAGCGAGGTCTGCTCTCATGAACGTCATCCGATCGAGCGCCATGGCGCAGGAAAACACCATCACGTGTCCAGCTGCATCCATGACAGCGAGGTCATTTCCCAGATGGCTCCAGGAAATATGCACAAAAGGGAACTCATCCTGTCCGTGCGGCACCTCTACTGGAGTGTCCTTTCCCAGGTCCCATTTGCCCGTGGATTCATCTCGTGAGAACACCCTCAGATTGACCGAGTAGCCGTCTGGGGTGATGTAGGCCACGCATCCATTCTTTGACCATGCGATCTTCCTGTTGGGATTAGCCTAGCGTCCTCGGTTGGCGGGTTCCCTCGAATGAGGTCCGCCGTAAAAGGAACAGAGAAGGATTGCGCGACAGCGAAAGAGCTATATATTCACAGGAAGGGCGACATACGAACAACATCCGCTTGCGCTCAGCTCGTCTAATCTCCTCGCAAGGCCTTTTACGGGTGGCGCATGGATGGCATTTATGCTAGGCAAGGCGACCTGTTCCGAATCTCCGAAGAGATCGTCGACATCCATGTTGTTGTAGCTTTGGTCGTCCATGATCATAGGCATTACCCGGGCAAATTTGATAAGAGTAGTCGACGGTTCGCTGAGCGGGTGAAATGATAGGCGGAATCTGGCAAGATAGTCAGCAACATGCAGAAGAAAGAAAAGATGGCTAGGGGAAGCCGGGTATCATGGGTTGTGCTGGAAGGAAGGGGAAAATGTGAGAGATGTCGAGCCTCACAGGGATCGGCAGCAAGCGAGGGGCGCTAAGCTCGAGCTAGCGCAGCCTCGCCTTGGCGCTTGGCGTTCCACGTTCGCGCCAGACTCGTGCACCCAACACCCGTAGACTATTGTAGCTATTGTACGGAGGAGTATCGACAGAACGTTCACTCGCGCTCTGCGAGATTTGGCGCCGAGAATACCGTGGAGCACGGCTCGACACTGTCTTCTCGGGCAACAGCTGCCAGCTCGCCTTGGCTCACGCGGCAGACTTCACTGCGCCGGCGGCCAGGAGGATTGATTGGACTCCGCTAGACACCTCTCGTAGAGTCTTCTTCTATTCCGAGAATCGCACCTGGAGCTCCAAAAGTCTCTGCGGCGGCAGTCTATGCGAAGACACCAACGTTGTTTACGTGCATCGGTTGTTGTGGTCCGCCCTGGCCTTGGCATTCGACGGGGTCAGGGCCGACCGCCTTCCCGCGCGGCACCTCATCATTCACGACCTCCAACCTCCTCATTTCCCGTCATCGCTCCATCGCGCAAGCGCGTCCGCCCTCCACGCGCGCCTCCCCCTATAAAACCGCCGCAGTGTCACCACCGACACCAATGAGTTAGCAACCGCGACCCTTTTTTCCGCCCTCGACGACTGGGCGCAGCTGCGACGTGTGGTGCCCCCAGTCAGGCCGAACGGGGTCAATTCTAAGCGCTGCTCCACCTCGCTCTCGCCGTACACCCAAAATTATCGATTACACCACCACACTCTTCTGTCACTACCTCGGACATCGTTTGCGCCTGCCAGAAAGCGCCCGTGACGGCCTTCAGCACCTCCAGGCCTCCTCGGAATCCACGCCAGCCACGGCACTACTGGGTCGCTCTTTCCACGCTCACCATGAGTTGGACAGCACAGGAGCCGAGCTCCCCACTGAGCTCTGTTCCTCCTTCCTCTTCACCTTCTATCGCCTCCGACCTGACCGAGCTCTCCGACTCTGAGCTCTCCGATCTGTCGCACGCGCTTGGCTCACGCCGCCCATATCCTTCGCCATCATCCTCCAACCGCTCCTCCGCCAAGGCGTCACCCGCGCCCGAGAACATCGCCTCCCCCATGTCCAGGTATGTAGCTCGCGGTACGCACACGAGCACGCCCTGGTTCTCTTGTTCAGACTGTAGAGAGCCACTCGTGATGGCCTTCAACGGGCAAAGACTAGGGACAAGGCGGGGCGTCGCTCCTTTCCATGCATCTGCTAACCTGCATCCCAGCAACGACGGCGATGACCGGCCCCGCAAGAAGCGGAAGCTTACAGGCCCGAAGGAGCGCACCACAGACCGCCTCGACCTAAGGAGAGACCTCACAGATGCCGATAAGCCTCAGCTGGACCGCCTTTTGAAGACGCTCCACAAGAAGCGGAAAATTGTCGTAATCGCGGGTGCAGGCATCTCCGTGTCTGCTGGCATTCCCGACTTCCGTTCGTCTACCGGCTTGTTCAGGTCGCTCCGCAAGGAGCACAAGCGCATATCTTCCGGGAAGGATCTGTTTGACGCATCCGTCTACCAGGATGACTCCTCGACATCATCCTTTCACGACATGGTTCGAACATTATCCCAGAAGACCAAGAATGCGCGACCTACTGCTTTTCATCATCTCCTTGCGACCTTGGCACACGAGGGACGACTGTTGCGTCTGTATACCCAGAATGTCGATGGTATTGACACCTCGCTTCCGCCCTTGAAGACAGAGGTTCCCCTTCCGAAGAAGAATCCCTGGCCCAAGACAGTACAGCTACACGGAGGTCTCGACCATATGGTTTGTTCTAAGTGTAACGCTCTCTCCGAGTTTGACGCAGATCAATTCAACGGCCCCGTCCCACCCGCATGTCCAAATTGCTTGGAGAACGACTCTGTCCGCCGTGTGGCCGAGAAGCGAAGTCATGGAATCGGACGGCTCCGACCTCGCATGGTTTTGTACAACGAACACAATCCTGATGATGAAGCTATTGGATCCTGTGTGAGTTCAGACCTGCGCACACGGCCTGACGCGATCATTGTTGCTGGCACAACGTTGAAGGTTCCGGGAGTGCGACGGATCACGCGGGAGATGTGTGCAACTGTACGAGATCGTCGGGACGGCGTGACCATCTGGATTAACAACGATTCGGAGCCCGTAAGCGGCGAACTGGCGAACATCTGGGATCTAGTCGTCCAAGGCCCTTGCGACGAAGTTGCCCGTCATGCCGCGATGCGAAGATGGGACGATCCTATCGTCTACAAAGAAGTCACCGATGACGAGCTAAGTAAGACCAAGGAGAAGCAAAAGGCAGAGGTTGTGGTTGGAACTCCTAAGAAGATCTCGCAACTCCAAGGCTCTCTACCAACACCTGTGCAGAGTCCACGGATGGGTCCGCGGCCCGTGATCAAGGAAGAGCCAAACGAGCAGCCGTCTACACCATCAAAGAAGGGGACAAAGAGGAAGCCTGAGGACGCACGGCCCAACGCCTTCGAGAAGTTGACTGTGAAGCCGTCTCCTAAAGTGCCTGCGAAACGTGCTCAAGTTCAGCCAAAGAAAACCACGGGTGCACAGAGCAGAGCGAAGAACCCGAAAAAGAACACGAAGCAGGATAACAATACCATCACTAACACGTACAAAGCCACCAAGAATTCTTCTTCACGTCCGCGGCCCAGCATGAAGGTCAACACCAAGCAGGACACCGAGTTCATCCATTACGATGGCCCCCAGACCGTCTCTGCACCTTCGGCTGAGAACATGGACACTATCCATGTGGGCCGAAAAGTCGCTCCGATTACTCCGAAGAAGAGGCCCGAGCGAATAACTGGTATCAAGGCGGAGTATAGAACCATGATACCGATATCCACCTCCGATCCCCGAAACAACCATTCTCCTCAGCGTCCGGAGGTTGAAAGCTTCACGCCAGTCAAGCCTCGTACTCCGAGTCAGCAGCTTCATGACGAACAGGCATTCTCCCGCTATACGCCCCCAACGAACGAATCTCGCCCCTCTTCCGCGAGCTCAGATATCAAAACTATGAAGGTGTCTGGTTTCCTTAACTAGCCTCGTCCGTTCCTGGTCACACTGCATTTCTGGGCATTAGAAGATGGCATTTTCTGTAGCATGCGCTGCAAACGGCGGCGATTGTATGTCGAATGCATAGACGGCGTTCATAGGTCAAGAGGACTTCGGTCCTATGTAGGATAGGGGCCTCGTTGCTCTATTCTCACTACTGATCTTCTTTCTACTGCATGATACCCGGGGAGCGCCCTGGTCACATATAGGCAGACTAGGCGCTTTGGGTTCTATGAACCTAGGTTCTATTGAGGCGACCGTGGGCTATGGGAATCCCAATATGTTGCCTATTAATGGAACTCGACTGGCTTACTCAAGAAGAATACTCGTTTTATGTGACTATGGAATGTGAAACGGGCTATGGCACGGGTGTCGTGAACATCCATGGATGCAGCCGAGGGTGCGCGCCATTCCTAAAACGGACTAGAACGCTTAGCTACTTCTTTCGCCACCCAACGCTTCACCCTTCCTACAGTCCCCAACCAGCCGAACTTGGAAAAGCAACAATCACGTATTGTCTCTCTTACAATCATCCCCTTCGGGTGCTGTTACTGGCTAGCCTTGCGCCTCGCGTAACGTGTTGCCGTCAACCCGGGTCGCGCTTTCGTCGTTCTGTCACGGCACCGACTAGACCACCCCGTTGGCTGTGTTTTATCAATTCTACGAAGGCTCTGCGCACTTAGTCGGAGCTGAGTAGCTCATGAATGGCATCGCCGCTTACCGTCCGGAATCTGACCCCAGCTCCGATTGTATTGAAACGGGTCGAACGGTTTGAAGACCCCAATACACGACAGTCGAAAGCTTCAGCATTTCCTTTTACCTCAAATGATACCAAGTCTCTAGCGCCGTCGGCGCCTAGGCTAAGCAAACATGCGCAGACGTTTAAGCATCAAGATCTAGAGATCACCTTATCGCCGTTCGAATCATATACGCTGCAAAGTAATAACGAAGAGCATGTCGGAACGGGTGTATCAACGCTCTCAACTACTGCGCTGCGCATTACCGTCGAGAGCTCCGGAGGCGAGCGTTATCGTATTGAGGCGAATCCGGCATACACCCAGAAAGCCTCCCAGGCGTTTATGGCTTTGACGCCTAACCCGTCTACCGGCTACACCGCTCTTTTCCATCCAGCGAAGCCAGGCGGACACATGACTATTTATGCAAATCATTTACATGAATTCTCGAAGTGGATGGCTGCATTGCCGCCCACACTCCCCTTGTCGGGGCTCAGCATACCGGGAACGCACAACTCGCATGCGTACTATCGCGCATTACCTTCAGTCCGATGCCAGGTTGTCTCAGTGAAATCGCAGTTGGAGAATGGAATACGGTTCCTCGATATTAGGGTCCAGCCCGCTCACGCCACAGATACCACCAAGAAAGACCTATATCTTGTGCATGGAGCGTTTCCAATTAGTCTCACCGGGACGAAGTACCTCGAGCCGGTTCTGAGAAGCTGCTACGAGTTTTTGGAGGAGAATCCGAGCGAGGCTGTCCTGATATCGCTCAAGCGGGAAGGTGTCGGCAGTTCGTCGGACGAGCACCTCGCTGAGATTCTGGAAAAACATTACATCTCTCCGAACAAGGACAAATGGCACATCGGCACCAGAGTCCCGTACCTTGGGGAGGTCCGTGGCAAGCTCGTTCTAGTTCGTCGATATGAAATCCGGGAACCATCCTCACAGAGCAAGGGCTGCGGTCTCGACGCGACGGATTGGCCGCATAATAGCACGCACGCCATCCACGGCCCGTTCTACGTCCAAGATTGGTGCGAGGTCATGCATCCTTCAGACATCTCAAACAAACTACAATACAGCAACGAACATCTCGTCCGATCAGCAGAATGTACGGCCTTCATCCCTGGCGTCAATACGGACGAAACGAATCCTATTCCTCCGGGACCGCTGTACCTCAACTTCTTATCTGGGAGTAACTTCTGGAGGATGGGCACCTGGCCAGAGAAGATTGCTAAGATCGTGAACAGAGGGATTGAAGAGTGGATCTGCATGGGACACCATCTGGAAGACCCGTTGACGTCGCCGAGAGAACCCGGACGGCCAAGCGTTGAGAGCGCTGAGTCGGAGAGCGGTCAAAGAGGAGGCCTGCTTCGAAGATCCAAGGAGGGCGATGGCGGTACTGGAGTCGTCATTATGGATATGGTTGGTGATGGTAGAGATTGGGATCTGGTCAAGTTGATTGTGGGGATGAACATGGGTGTGCAGCTAAAGATGCGAGAGCCTGGCAACACGGCTGCTGAAAGATGAGCGTGTATGGAGGATGTCATCGATTCGGGCCGTGCGCATGGCGACATGCGGGCCTCCTGGGCAAACAACCGTACTTTTTCTCAAAACCTCATATATATTTCTTCCTGCTTCGACACTACAACTACTCGTCAAGAAAAGAAACAAAGCGATTTTACCCGACCCACCTTGCATTGATAGCCACCTGCCTTGACCTACGCACGCTCAAATGGACGATAGGAAACGTTTCTTAATGCTGATACGAAAGGCTACTGCTGGAAGAGCTGCGGGGACAACGGGGAGTGGAGTAGTGCTAGACGGCGAAGAAGCAGAGGTCGCGGAGACTGGTATAGGTGCAACGGTTGTGGATTGCGGGATGGGTGGGCATGCTTGTGGCGTGGGTTGTGCGAGGTGTGGGTGCTAGTATTCGTGTTGGTGGAGGTATTGGATTGTTCACCACAGACTCGGATTGACATTGGCGGTAAACGACGCGAGGTATATTGTCCTACACCTATACAGGAACCATGTTCAGCATCAGTTAAATTTACACCGTTATATATTACAGCTGTTGCCCATTCACTTACCTAACAACCTTCTTGACCCCCTCTTTAACCTCTTTCATCTCCTCTTTCACAATAGCACCAACATCCAGAGTCTTCTCATCCACCTTGGCCCTCTCCTGCACACCTTCCGCCCCAGCCGTAGCCCTCCTCTGATGCCATCCCGTCGCCCTCAAATAACCCGCAACGCTCATCCCGACAAGCATACCTCCAAAATGACTCGCATGATCCATGTTTCCCCTCGCTCCCTTCCTCATCGCAGACATTATCTCCGCTACCACAAAGGCGGCGAAGAGGAATTTGGGGTAGAAACCAACTTCCTTATCCTTCAACAACGGAATCTTGATGTGGTCTTGTTCGGTGAGGAGGCAGTACAGTGCGGATATCCCCCAGATGGCTGCAGACGCGCCGACGGAGTGCGAGGTGATGCTTCCGCGACCTAAGTTCGCCCAATACAGTGAGAATAGCGTTCCGATAGCACCTGCAGAGACGTATGTGCCGCAGAATATGCCGCGGTCTACGAGGTCGTGGCATACGGGGCCGACGAGCGCTAACATCATCATGTTGCCGAGCAGATGCTCGTATTGTACGTGCGAGAATACGTTCGTAACAGCTTGTATGGCGCGAGGGTAGCCGGGCACGTGCATAAAGTAACGCGTCATGAAAGGCCAGAGGGGTGTCCATCGCCAGGCAATGCAGATGAAGGCATTAGCGGCGACGAGGGCGACGATGGTTGCCGTGGTTGGGGAGAGGTCAGGCCAGAGGCGATATTCAGGGGATGGGGGCACGTAGTAGTGAGCGAAGGCAAACGAGAGGAGGCAAACGACCAGGACGAAGGCGGACATGGGATAGAGGCGTTGGGTCTATCGCTGGTCAGCATTGCGGATGTCGCTCGAAGTGTAAATGTCTTACCAGTGTAGTCTCAGAGAGCATCTCCGCCTCGTCTTTGAAAGGCGTTTCCGCTTTCTTCTGATAGTACTCCATCTCCTCTTTCCTCCGAGTGACCTGCTCCCGTCCGAAAATATCGATATATGTAGTTTGCCCCGGCTTCATTAGCTGTGTCCCGGTCGGGGTGCGCACCCATTCCCCTGTCGCCAGCTTTGCCTCATCCTCCTTTTCTCTCTTCTCTTTCTCCTCGGCCTTCTTCGTTATCTCTTCTAACCTCTTCCTCCGTTTCTCCTCGATGTTGCGCTCAAACTGCGAAGGTCCAACGTGCAGCATACCAATCCTCTCTCCCTCCTGCTGCTGCTGCGCCAATTCCCTTTCCTCTTTCTCCTTCTTCTGCTGCTCTCGGAATGCCCTTGCGGGGTCCTTGTATTTCGACTCGTTCTCGGGGTCCGCTAGCCAGAGCTCGTATGCTATCCGGTTCGCTTCCTTCTCGGCCCATTCCTCCGCGGCGCGTGCTTCGTCTATGGGGAACTTTTCGCGCAGCCAGTCCAAGCCCTTTGTCGCGAGCTCGCGGTTGACATGGGAGTATTGCTTCCCTAAGTTGTCGACCCCATAGTCGGCGAGGGAGCCGGATGTCCGACGGTGGTGTAAGATGCGTAGGACATTGTTGCCATCGGCGGGGGCGACTCTAGGCCCAAATATTGCTCTTACGGTTGCATCGTCTACTGGACCTTTGGGCAGAGGCCCTATCCGTACTGTGCGTTTCCTCTGTGGGAGGGATTGCGGAGGGGGGGATGGCTCGGCCGGGGGCTTGTGGACTTTCGCGGCGTATTGAGTTGACGTGGAGAAGGGCCGGGGCAACGAAGGGCAGCCATGCGGTTGGAGTATGGAAAGTATCGGAGATGGAGAGCTTGAAGCCAAGCATGCGTGTTGAGAACAGTAGCGTCGCGCAAATGCAAGCGTCACCGTACTCCACTGGTGGGTGATGCGCGTCGCGGGACGCAGCGCCATTGGGAGGGCATTGCTCATGGTGATGATGCAAGCGAGATCAGGGGAGCGATTGAGCGCTGAAGAGCGCTGTTGTATTCACGAACAGGCCATGCACACAAAAGACGCCTGGCCTGACAAGAGGGAACCTTGGAAGTCATGAAGGGCCGTTCGCAAAAAGTTCGGCAGGTCGGAGGTGCACAGACCCGTCGGTTAGCCCTATGAGCATTCACCAGAAGCTTCCCCGCCAAAGGCGCCCGACCTATGCAACACCACCAAACGCTGCCTCACCAGCCCGATTCCTGTCTCTCAACCCTCGCACCCACCGCGCCGCCTTCCCCGCCGCTCTACTGACGCCCCACCTGCTTCCTCCAAAGCCGTATTCTGCGCCGCTGTTATCCACCATCCAGCTCAGCACGCCGCCCTCCTCCTTCCAGATCTGGTCGACCGTCATCTCTTCCCGTGACTCTGCCGCCCCAACAACCGAAGCCATGTCCGGCGACTCCCTTCCCATAACCGCAGAGCGCTTTGCAAAGGCGCTAGCTGACCTCTCGCTGTCCTCGCTGTATCTCAAAGTCGCGGAGCTGGAGAATAGCATTGCGCACTTGCAGAAGAGTAATGGGGAGCTGCAGGAGTTTGTGCGGCAGGAGGAGGACAAGGAGTGCTATGAGGCGATTTTGGAGAATAGAGATGTTATTCGCAGAATGGAGGAGAGGATTGAGTTGGTGAAGAGGGAAGTGACGGAGGTTCGCGGGCTCCCGTTTAAACCGCGGGGCGAGGAGAAGAGTGCGCCTGTTGATGCGGAGAGCAGGACGAATGGAGCGACGAATGGGACTGCCGAGATGGCAGGTGCTGCTGCGCGAAATGGTACGAACGCCAGCAATGGAACAACTCACGGACAGCAAGCCGGAAATGCAGCAGAAGAGGAAGAGGGCGTCTTCCTCTGAGGAAGCTGCACCTATATCAACCTCCCTTACCTCACCGCATCATGCCTCACATCACTCAACAAACACCCTCGAGGACCGATCCTCGAATAGGAAGCCTACCATGTACAGGGTACACTAAAGTATCTCAATCTATTTTGCAGCGACGCTGACTTGTCACAGCGCTCGTCCAATATGATTGTGCTACGGCGCAGCTACGCTGAGTATGTTTCGGAAACCGAGTCTAACATCAGCACCAGCCCGCTGGAACATCACCATTTACCCATAGCTGTTTGAGAACGTCAAGCGCCAAAATATTGGAACACCACCACTTAGCGAGAAGATATTGGAAGCATTGCTTATGCAGATCCCCGCAAAGTAGACCACGTTGATTTTCGGGCGGTCGTCGGCGTGTCTCAAGGCTGTCAGCAATGTGGAGGTGGCAACGAGGGGAAAGGCCCTTATTGGTAGCCATCATGCGAGAAAACAGTGTCGCCAAAAATGTACAATTTGGGTGCAGCTCTTTCCGCTTACTTGAAGTTTTAAAGAGCAATGCACAAGAATATCTTGATCCACCACCTGTCCAGTAGTACAGCCCAAGCCCAAACTTCAAGGCCCAACCTATTCCACCCCAACGCCTTTGCTGGAGAACCTACTATCTACCCTAGAGAGACCGCAAACAAAAATGAACCATCTCCTTTCGCCCGCTCCTCGGAAAGCCTATTCGAATGCGCTCAAATCCAAGGGCACACTGCTTCCTCTGCCAGCCCTGTACCTCTTGGGCCCGCCGGCAAAGTCCCTCGGCTTGGGGAACTGTGATTCATCCTGGAACCTCCATCGCAGATCGTGAATTGGGACGATTTTACCCTTGTGATGGCCTGCACCTGGACTCGTTGGCCCGCTTTTCAATCCCGAGCCACCGTTCGTCAACGTGTACGAACTTGGGTCTAGCATAGACCGCATCGGTGCTTGCGTAGCTGGGCGGCTTGGCGCAGACATTGGGGGTGGGGGTGGTGCCGACGCACTAGGTGCAAATGGAGGCGGAGATCCTGGAGGTGGCGGCGGAGGGGCAGCAGGAGATGCGCGACCGAAAGCGTTTCGTGCAGCCTGTTCGGCCAGCGAAGGTGTGGGGCCACTAATGGAAGTCTTAGGCGCTGGAGGAGCCGGTGCTGATGGCGGTTTCGGTGGGGTACTACTATAGCGATATGGGTCGTATTCATCGTCATCAACCTGAGCCTTTGGTGTAGGAGGTCCGGGAGGCGGTGGAGGTGGTGTTGAGCGAGCTGGAGGCGCTCGAGGAGCTGCCGCTGGTGGGGGAGGTGGCGCCGACGGAGCTGAAGGCGGCGGTGGAGGAGGAGCTGACGGCGTATGTGCTGGGGGAGGTGGTGGTGGTGGAGCCGGCGGAGCGGATCCCGGGACAGGAGGTGCTCGTGCGGGTGACGCTGGAGGCGGAGGCGCAAATCCCGACGGCTTGCGGAAGGCCGGAGGAGGTATGTGCGGCTTCTTTCCTGGCGGGGGAGGCTTTGGTTTTGATCCTATATCAGGCATCGAATGTGTCGAGACCATGGACGAAGGTCGGAGATTGTTTCTCAGGGCCGCAATAGACGGATTAGGCGGGGGGCGACCTCCAGGAATAGGCGGCGCTGCTCCTCGTGGCTTCGGCGCTGCTACTCTAGGTAGCTTGGGCGCTGAGCCTCGTGAAGTCTCCGGATCCGAGAGATATGGAGAGTTGCTGTCTGCGCCTGTATTTACGCCGCCCGCCTTCCTCAGCTTCGGTATTCCACCCGCGAACAACCCTCCCAGCTGCGGGGCTCCGCTTGACATTCCAGCATCTCTTGCTCCATCTCCCCCAGTATCACTGTTACTTCGCGCCCGGTTCCCGGGTACTGGCGGTGCGAGGCCTGGCGGTGCTGGTGCTTTTCCCATGCCAGGAATTGGCGGGGCGCCCCCGATCGGTGGTCCACTTGGGCCGTCTGATACCTTTCCAACCTGCGGCGCGGATCGATCGTTGATTTGCGTGACCTTCTTCAGCCTCGCGCCCTTGTTGATGTCTGATAGAAGTGCTCCCTGTGCCGTGTTAGCCCGCTCTGCAGCGTGCCGAGACGCATGCAATCGAGGTCTTCGGCACCCTCCCGCAAAGGTATGACGTACTCTCCCTGCTCCTCCGCTCACCCTACCTCCAGGTGCTTTTCCAGGCGCTTTCCCGGGCATCGGCGGGGGGGGTGGTGGCCCTCCAGCGCCTCGACCCATGGGGGGCATGGGCGGTGGAGGCGGAGGTGGAGCGGGCATGGTGCCGTGTGAGGTCCCTCAGTGAATTAAACGCTCCTTCTCTTCCCTTGATATACTCCGTTCTGTTGCCTGCGGCGCGCGTGTGGTTGTGCAGTGTCGGAGAGCGGGTCCCTCTTTGAGATTCGATCAGGTCTGAGCGCCAAGGCCAGCCCGACTGAGCCACCAGGGCTTCGTCACTCCGACTTCACCGCAACCATCGAACAGCTCACTGCGCCATGAAAGCCAGCACGCTTCCGTTCCGAGCGCGATCGCGGCCCGTCTGCCAATTGTGCGACTACATATTACGCGGGCCCGCATACCGCCGTTCGTTCATCGCCGCGTCGACTTTCAAGGCACCCACGATACGGCGGCAAGGCGCGAGACAGCATGGCGTACTCGAACGGATGCCTGCGCGGAGCATTACGACGACTCAAAGAGCGCAAGAGCTGGAGCCTGAGGTAGAGGATAGCCAGCTATGGTCCGACAAGATAGCTGCCTTGAAGACGAAGCTGGCAAAGGTGGAATGTCACATCAAGTGGATTTACTCCTCACCCCGGGTGGAGTCAGAGGCCGCTGTGCTCGAGGCGCTCGATGGCCTAGAGTCGATCGCGCGGCAAGCAATCGCCATTCGATCACGGCAGCCACCGCCGGTGAAGATGAATATCAGACAAAGCTCAGCGGGTGCAATACTGTCGCTAGGTCGAGAAGAAGAAGCCGGCATTGAAAACGGCAATGTGACTTCCAGTAAGCCGAGCTCGTGGCCATCCTCCATCGACGAGCTCCCGTCACCCTCGTACATCTCCAGTCTGGCCCGAGACCTCCTCAAGCACCCGAAAGTGTTCATTTCGCCCAACGTTCTGGCCGCATATATCCACCTCCAGCGCCGCCTCGCTCTCCCACGCGCGATCCCCGAAATCCTATATCTCTACGCCAATAAGCCGGTGCCCGAACTTGGCTCATCACCACCCAAGTTCTCGAAACCATCACCCAAGGCCGCAAAACAGGCTGTCCCCGCCGATCTGGCAGAGGAGGCATTGACAGCCGCTATCGAAGCGAAGGACCTGCCTTTGGCACTAGACGTTGTGCAGATGACGTACTGCACCCCGGCATGGCGGAAGCATAGGATATTGACCAAACTCGGCGTTCCCGGAACTGTGGCGGCCATTACTCCGTTGGCGTTGTACATGATCGCCCAGGAGATGTCCGTATACAGCGGCTTCATTGACCCTTGGACCTTCAAGATGTACGCATTTGCCGGACTTCTAACCTACGTTGGCTGCACTGGGACGCTTGGGTTCGTCGCGCTAACAACGCACAACGACCACTTCGACAGAGTGGTTTGGCGGCCGGGTATGCCGTTGCTGGATCGATACCTGAGGGAAGATGAGCGCGCAGCCTTGGATCGGATCGCGTGCGCTTGGGGCTTCAAAGAAACATGGAGACGAGGCGATGAGGAAGGTGAGGAGTGGGAGGGGCTAAGAGAATGGATATTGCTCCGAGGCATGGTCCTCGACAAGCCGGATTTGATGGAGGGCATGAACGCGTAGGTGCCGTGCCAGGGCAGTACTCGGTGACAAAAGAAACTGCGCCACAGAAGATGTACTGTACGCGTGAGGACCAATACCTGGATGGATTGGTAGTCGCCTGCTCTCGGTCGGGTTGTCACGATATAGCAATCTACTTTGTATCATATCCACAGCTATGTGCAGGTGCATTTTCCCCGACTAAGGCTCGTGGCCCGAACGAGGGCCGGCCGCGACTTCCTCCAGCTCGCAGCAAATCCGCTCTTTCGCCACCTGGACCTTCGTCTGAGCCCTCCCCAGCGCGTCGAGCAAGCCGCCAACGCTCTTACTCTCACCTTCGAAATGCCGCCGCATTCACGGTTCAAGCTGCCCCTCCGCGGCAAGAGCAGGAGCGGATCGGGCTCGGCCCCGAGCCACAGCAGCAGCCGGAAAAGCTCAGCGTTCGGTGGATTGTGCACTCATTCGTCACGCTCTTCTGGGACGGCGCGTCCTCGTATCCGAGTTTTTGCGCCAAATAGCAGCAATGGGAGCGCGTCCCGGACCCCAGGCCTCGCGCACGAAGTTCGTCCAGAAGCCGAGGGAGACGATGACACGCTCGACGAGGTCATCATGGCCGTGGACTTGCAACACCGCGATACCGTAGGCTGCTGCTACTACGTTGCGCAAGACGAGAAGCTCTACTTCATGGAGGACGTCAAATTCGGTGGCGTTGATGTGGTCGATGCGCGCACGTCCTCTGCTCCGCTCGCACCTGGCCTAGCTAACAAAGCCTAGTAAGAGTGTACATTGACCCGACTATCGTTCTCATCTCGACCAGGACGGACGACGCCGTCATCGACAGGCTCGATCCAGACTCCAGAAGCGGGGCCTCTGAAAGCGGTGACAGTACGTCAATCACACAAGTCGCCCCGTCCGAAACTGACGACACCAGACGACCAGTTCCGACTGCCGTTCCTTTTTGAGGTACGGCCCCCCAGCGAGTTCGCATACGAAGCGGCAAAGAGCAAGCTCGGCAATCTTAGGCTCGGAGATACTTGTGAGCGGCACGTCAACTTCGTAGTCCCGGGCGATTTGCCCGTGGACGGCCTTCTCCTCGATGGCGAGATTGCGCCCGGTCAGCAAGGGAGGTTGCTCGGCTTAGCCGGTCTGGTGGATATGGAAAGCCGCTTGACGGTTCGTTTTGGGCTTTAAGGCTTCTATTCCCCGTCACTGACATATATCAGATCGGCTGTGCGGGAGCCTTGCTCTCGTACCTGCAGCGTAGGCGCGCGGCTGCCTATCTTCCTGGTGGCCAGGCCACCCACACCATGTTTCGTGTCTCTGCGCTTGAGATGTTCAGCCTGCGTGACACTATGTAGGGCAACCTAGGATTTATCTAGCGCTGCTTTGGCTCACTGTGACCAGGTTCATCAACGCGGATACGCTCCATTCTCTGCAGATCTTGGGCCCGGAGTCGCATCCAAACTCTCACAACCAAGGGCCTACGAAGGCGGCTTCTGGATCTAAAGAAGGCCTCTCAGTATATGGCTTGTTCCACCATCTCGCCCGGACACCGCAGGGGAGGTACCTGCTGCGGCAGTATTTCCTTCGGCCTAGTCTGAATGTCGATGTTATCAATCAACGACTAGACACCATCCACACCTTTCTTCGGCCCGAGAATGCCTCCGCGCTGGATACTTTAGTCGACAGTCTCAAGGCCGTAGGTAACATGCGGGCAATCATGATAAACCTCAGGAAGGGTGTCGATGGCGGAACAGGCAAGCGCGGTAACTTCTCAAGCAGCGTTTGGGCTAGTATTCGACGAGTAAGTCTCCTAAGTGAGCCCCCTTCCCTATGCCTGTCCTAACCGAGTATCTGCAGTTTGCATTCCACGCGTTGAAGATCAAAGATGCGTTACTTGAAGTTATTGGCGCAGAGGACCTGCCTATCAGAACAAAGGTAAATGCACCCCTGCTTTTAGAAAGGATCGCCAGGGCGTTACCAACGCTTCCAGCGAAGCCTCGTCTAATACTTTCAGGTTTTCGAGCGATTCGAAGGCTACCACTTCGCCCAATTGGGTGGACGAATCAGCGAAACGGTACGGAGCTTCACCGTACATCTTAGACCATTCTATATTGACGTCGCTAGGTTGATCTCGAGAAGACAATTGAAGAGTCTCGCACCGTCATTCTTCCCGGGGTGGACGAAGAGCTAGATCAGATGAAGAGAACTTTTGCCGGCTTGGACGACCTTCTCGGTGAAGTCGCTCGGAAGCTGTCAGAGAAAATACCATCAGGTCTCCAAGGGTCACTAAATGTGATCTATTTCCCGCAGATCGGCTTTCTTACAACTGTCCCCATCGATCCCGCAACAGGTGGAGCCGTTTATGACGGAAGTATCGAGAACCCATGGGAGCGGATGTTCTCGACCGAGTAAGCTGCAGGCTTTAGCTCACTTATCATGGATTTTCTGATTCTGGGCAGGGAGCAAGTTTACTTCAAGAACAACGAGGTACGAGAAATGGATAGCCATTTCGGAGATCTCTATGGTATTATCTCAGACCGCGAGATCGAGATCAGTCACGAGCTCGCTCAGCATGTCCTGGAGTACGAAGCGTTGCTGACCAGTGCCTCTGACATTTGTGGTGAGCTCGACAGGTCAGTTATCCCGCAATGGCTTTTCTGAGTTGAGACTGACAGACGTAGTCTGGTCGCCCTAGCACAGGGCGCTAAGCTGTACAAACTGTGTCGGCCTCGCATGACACATGATAATGTGATTCGCATCAAGGCCGGTCGGTAGGTTGTACGCCGAGCTTCTACTTGTCTGCTTTGCTAATATCAAGCTCAGCCATATACTCCAGGAGCTAACCGCGTCCTCCTTCGTCCCTAATGATACGTTTATCACGGGTGGAACAGGAGGCCGTGAATCTTCCGAAGGTTTCGACACCCAAGCTGGGTCTTCAGGTCGCTATGCAAACGTGCCCACGTCCGGCCCAAGCGTAGTCGTATTGACGGGACCGAACTACTCTGGCAAGAGCGTGTACTTGAAACAGGTCGCCCTGATCGTGTATATGGCGCACCTCGGAAGTTATGTCCCGGCAGAGAGCGCGAAAATTGGTGTGACTGACAAGATACTCTCGAGGGTGGCGACCCGAGAGACCATGTCCCGCATACAAAGCGCCTTTATGATCGACCTCCAGCAGATCTCCCTGGCCTTGAGCTTAGCCACTCGGAGAAGCTTGCTGATTATCGACGAATTTGGCAAGGGCACTGACTCGAGTGACGGAGCGGGACTGGCTTGCGCGGTGTTCAAGTATCTGCTTAGCTTGGGAACTGACGGTCCGAAGGTCGTCGGAACCACTCATTTCCATGGTACCTATGCCGCACTTCCTGTCAAACAGAGGCTGACCCGACACAGAGATCTTTGAGGCTGGGTTGCTCTGCCCAAGTCCCGCTCTTGGCTTTGGGCATATGGAAATCCGCACCAATGATGCCGCTTTGGAAGTTGAGGACCAGATAACGTATCTGTACAAGTAAAGTTTCCTGGGGAGGCATGGCGCGCATCACTTGCTAATCGCTCTAGCTTTCGCCAAGGTCGAAGCAATTCCAGCTTTGGCACATGGTAAGGCGGCCTTTCCCGATGATGCTCCTCTCTAATGTCATGCAGCTGTGCCGCCATGAACGGGGTCCCATCGGAGATCATACAGCGTGCCGATGAGCTCATCCTGATGGCAATAAGAGGGGAGGATCTCGTTTCAGCATGCTCCGTGATGCCCGACTGCGAAGCGGCAGAGCTGGAAGAAGCTGTGAGTCTGAATGGCCCGATGCCAATATCCTTCTCATTCCACCCTTTAGGAGCAAATTGCGCGAGACTTCCTGCAGGCGGACCTGTTCCAAGATCCAAAGGCTGTACTTTCCGACATTCTGACGATATCAGCCACAACGGAGTCACGCTCGTAGGTCGCTTGCACCGCGGGCTCAGGTCATCATGTTTCGCATCCCTTCCTCTCCCGCGTCCACTATCCTCAATCCCCCTCGATCCCTCCATGCAAGCAATGGCCCCGGCTCCGGCTGATGCGATGGGGTAAGAGCCAAGGCAGATTAGAAGATAATTATTTACCGATGAAGGATAAGTCGACTTCGTTCGGCCTCCATCAATGAATAGTCTCGCACACTGTCTACATGAATATCAGAACTAAGCCACATGTTGGCGAGCTGATATCCGCTAATTATAAATGCGGTTTACCATGGAGCTACGCCCCATTACTAGTATCTTCTCTGCAAGAATTTCGTGTTGCACTCAAGCGAATACCTTTGTATATCTGACTACCCAAGATATGCTGGCCGGAAGCTATTCGTGGAAACAATAATGGCGAGACGAGAACGGCTCCGATCTATTTCAGAGGCTATCGAAACAGAAACATCACATGCGAGCCGAGGTATCGTCGCGATGCATAATTTGCTGCTTCGGCCTAGAGTGGCAAGCATCGTGAAGCAGAGGGAAAGAGGGGCTGATGTCAGCCGCTCATGTTCACTTTTGAGTGGTTCATCCACGCATAAGCTTCGCCTTGCGGACCCCGGGTCACTTTATATCCCTGAGGATCGACCTTCATCTTGATTCTTTTGTACCATGACTCCGTTCTGCCACGAGGACGTGAATGGTGGTACTCTAGTCGCCTGCATAAGGCTCAGCATGAACGCCGATTCCCGGACATCCGCTCGTCGGAGTGCGAAAACCAATATCCGGTAGCGTTCCAGAAAGGAAACAAAGATCAACGGTAGATATATTGGGCATGATCTTTATATGCTGAGCAAGACTCACAGTTCTGGCGCACGAAGAGAGCACCTGTTTCGATGAGTGATAGATCGAGATCGTAACGAAGGACGACGTGTCGTGAGACAGCCCACCGACCAACCCCGCAACATTATACGACTTACAGAAAATGCTGGTATGCTACCAAAGATATAGGTACGGCTGACTGCCCCGTTCTCAAGCGTGTTTCGACAGGCGCCCCTTCCCCAACTTGCAAACCACGAAGCTTATTTGAACCTTCAATTGCCTCGTTCTCCTCTCGCATCTCCAACTTCTCGCGCACTACCTCCACCAGGGTTATTGGCACACAACTACCAAGCGTATGTGGCACAGCTTGCCGTCCTCGAATCGCTTGCGGAGCGCCTCGACCGATCCGAAGCCCGCCTTAATACCCGGCCGGCTTTTTGGCCTTCACCACGGTCCGTACGCCGACGGAGCAGCCCGCGACATGGCAGCGACTCGAATCTCGACAGACCTAGTTATATCCGGCGATATTGGACGACCACTCGCTCAGTGTTGCTATAACTCTTGGACTTTGCCGCAGCCTTCACCAAGAACTTTCGAGACTCGAAGCGCGTACTCTTCATCAGCTTTAACCATCGGTCGCGTTCATGATACCCTTTTACCTACGGTGAGGTAATACTTTGTTGGGAACAGTCCATCTCGATGCATGGTCGAGATCGGTCTGGCTCTATCTAGCCTGCAGAGCGCTGTTTGAGCTCACATTGCCGGTGTCTGCTATCGGGAAACGAGAGTAGATGAAGAGGTGCCTTTGGGGAGGCGATCCGTTGATGGGAGGAGGCGAACTGTTCCTGAGACTGCTGACTTGCATCCAAGCACGCCCCATCATGGTCCGTCCCCTCGTATCTCCCCCTAGTGCCGCCTCACGGGTAAGGCTGGTATCGGCGATCTATCCCGGCTAGGGCTGCATCCACTCTACCAAACACCAAATGGAATTGTAAACGCAGCAACTCCTTCCTCTTTGGCCTTGGCGGAATTGTTTCTCATGGTCACTGGCCAAATGTCGAACCCTACGGCTTACATGCTGCGCGCCGGCCCTCCCCATCTAGTCACAACTATTCAGGAACCTGAAACATACGTTCACGGAGATTTTTTCTCAGCATAGCCACTCGGGAACTACACAGCACGGGTACTAGGTGAAACAAATCGCACGCTATACCGCTTAGGGGACGGTCTTACGAAGCCTTACGAAAAGAGAAGGGGTTCCCGTAGGAGCTCGGAATCATCCGCAGAGCGCTAGAAGGAATTGTTGACGAGATGACGGATGCAGAGATGTCTCGGTCCAAGAAGTGACAGCAGGAAGCGTGAGCATTCCTTATCGCAAGAAAGATGATGTTGAGGAAGGTCTCCGCAATCGCAACGCCGAACACGTCCAACATGAGACGCATATTGGCTAGAGTCTTGAAGGTGCCGCTTGCATCGAATGGCGATGCACGGAAGAGGGTGGAAGGAAGGTACGCAGTGCCCGTGATGGGACTTCTACCGGCTTAGCCGTCTGCAGACCCCTGGCCTCCACGCCCCCTCGGTTTCCGAAAACACGAGGGAAGGAATGGGCTCAGGATGCTCGCACAAGCCCGAGTTCTCGAGGCGGCGGCGTCCCAACTGCTGCAGTCATATGTTCCAAAGTGGATGCAATCTCGTTTTATCTCTGGGGTCGGAGCTGTGGTCGTCGGCCTTTGCTTGCACGTGTCTGGGTCGCCGTCGCTATCGGGCCGCTACTCGTGGATAAGAGCCCATCACCAACACGATAGCCTGTACCTTTTGCGGCAAACAAGACAATCACTACTCTTGACGGGCCTCGATCTGAGGCCATGTCGCCACGTATCGACGAGCATGCGCCAACCTGAGGACCTGACTGGACCCCGCAATCGCCCTCTGTGCCACGCATGTATCCGTACCCGCAAGCTGTGGAAATGGAAGGCATGGAGTGGGTTTGCAATCTGAAGACGGTCGAGGGATGGCACATGGGGTTGTTGAGAGGCAGAGGGGCTCGCTGGCCCTGTTGTATCTGCACGGCAACAGGCTACGGACTTCGCGATACAGGCTGCAACAAGCGTCGCGCTCCTTCCAAGTCGATTTTACCATGACGAACGCATGCGGGGTCTTTGAGGGATAGTGCCTCTGCCGGAGGCGCGGAGGTGTGTCCTCTCGCAATGTGACGGAATCACTGGCAGAGGAATTTGCAAATCACTGGAGAGTAGCACCTAGTGTTAATGATGGTTCGTTCGTGTGTCGCTCATCCGCATCGTTATCGCAAGAGAGGCGTAAATGGCGGACGTAGTCGTCGGCGAGTAGGACTATCGGTACTAGGCAGGTGGTGCGTCACTCAAACGATAGATGCAAGGCGAGCGGACGATGCGAAGAACAAACCGGCTCGCTCGACAAGGGCGCGAGTCCTGATTGGCTCCCTAGGCCCGCGGTTCAAGCTCAACTTCTTCTGTGCGTACCTGTGTCCAGACTATGGCCTGCAACCGCCGACGCCCGGGCGAATCCTTCGAAGGACGGGCACCCGGCCATTGTCTGATGTAGAAAGAATCGGCATGCATAACGACAACCATGATGGCTGGAGTGGATGGATGAACGAGTTGGATTCCTGAGTTTGAAGGAGGATTTCAAGGCAGGATAGGCGGGCTTGCTTGGTCCCTTGGGGAGAGGTGCGTCTACTTGCGCATCCAACTGGGAGGGCATAGAGTACCCCACGACGGATGGATGTGTGTAGCAAGAGGAAGCGAAGGCGAATGGCAGTCAGCCTGGCCCAGCCGTGCCGCAGCGCTGCGGCGAGGCGACTTGTTTCAAAATTAATTCTCCTACTAGGATATATTGAAACTGCGTAGGGAACCGTTGTCCTGTGTGGGCTGCGGGCGGCCTTGCGTGCGGCCATGGGTGCGGCCAGGTACACAAATGAACGACTTATGAACGGCTGCCCTGAGCGCATTCGCTCGCCGGACGGCAGTTGGGTGCGCGAAGGCACGGCATGCAGTGTCGAACAATAATGGGTGATGCCGACGATGGGCGGAGCGCATGGTCGAGGATGCGGTGCCCAGGTGTCGAACAATACTGTAGTGGGTGGTGGAGTGCTGCCAAGCTTTAGCAAAGGCGTGGGAGCCAAGCCGCCCGTCGGAGCAGGCAGAGGGAGAGGCGTCAGCTAATCTCTCGGGAATCGTTCCGCCCGCAGCACGTTCGAGCCTCGCGCCACCTCGACACACCCAATTCCCACCCCGTCTGCCCGTCGTGCCATTGTCGCTGCGCTGTAGTAGACGCTGGCGCGCTATTTACGGCGACACTGTGGACCCCGCCATGCAGTCAGTCAGTCAGTGGTGGGAGGGGCCGGCAGACTCCACAGCGAGGCTGAGCACGACTTTCCAAATATTGTGCCTGCGAGGCCGGCGGCTTTCCTGAACGGCGCACTCAGGCGGGCGACGCTGGTCCAAGATTTCCCAATGCGAGCAGCAGCAACAGCAGCAGCAGACACTCGCAGCGCTGTTGGTCAGACGCCCGCTGATACACACTGTACGACGCGCCGCGCTCCGCCAGAGACAAAGCCAATGGGCGCCGCTCAGCAGCATCTCACCGGGCCGCATCCTTTCCTCCATCAGCCGCCGGCGTGCGGACGGCGCGGCTCTGTGGGACGTCGCACTTCACGTACAGTATCACGGCGGCAGGCAGGCGGGCGGGCAGGCAGCCTCGCCGTGCCGCCCTTGCATGCCGCTGGCTCCCAGTGTCGGGCGGGCGCAGCACTGCTCGGGATGGAGTCGCACCGTCCAACTGGCAGTTCGACATGGGAATGTGTGCACGCCTTCACGCCGTTTATTTTTGATCGCGCCGGCCGCATTGGGTCGTCGAGTCAGCACTAACTGCCCAGGTGGTCCACGGGTGACGGTCTGCCCAGGTGGTGTACTGACGCTGACTAACCGCGTACCTGTCATCACCTTGAATGCGTCCGACGGCGCGCCAGCGAACCGTTGGGCGTGCACGCCCCGACCACATGGAATGCTGGACACTGCTATCCTTCCACCCCTCGTGGCCGCAATCTACCTCGCGCGCCCAGCTCGACACAATCCGCTCCCGTATGTACTCTGCTGCACGCACAGCACTCGTTCCGTCCGCCTGGCGCGCCGCCCTGAGTCTCGAGGCCGGCGAACAGCGGCCCCAACCCACTCACCCTCCTCTCCGCCCACGCGCGAGCCCGTCCCGCAGTATCGCGACACACTCCAGATAAGATCGCTGGGCACGGGCTGCGGCGGCTCGAGCTCCACACGGGGCCAGCGGCGCCCAGGCAGTGGTGGATGTGCTCAACTCACGATGCAGGCCGGCGAGGCACGCACTAGTCCGCATGGAGCATGTGAGGGCCTGTATCATCTCAGCCCCCGTCCAAGCAGCCAACATCGCAATTCGTGCAGCCTCCCCTGCCCTTGCAGGCCCCCAAGCGTCAGCTTTGACGCCCTCCGGCCATCATCCTGGTCAGTCCTGCATCCCTTCCAGATCCGCTGCCCGCCTCGGGGCTAGCGCCCTGAAGCTGCACCTTGCTGCAACTCTGCATCCTCCTCTTCGCCCATATATAATACTCCCTGCTATCCAGTCCACCCACAGATGCTCCATCCCAAGCTGCTGCTCAACCCACACTCACCATGTTCCAAGCTGTTCCGCAGACATACACTTCTCAGCCGTCTCCATCGCCCCCAATTGACGCCATGTCCCTCCCACCTCCTCCTCCTCCTCCTTCTCAGCAGAACAGCATCGTCACCACCAGTCCTGCCGCCGAGCAGAAGCCCCGCAAGCTGCGAGCTTCCTGCGATGCCTGCTCCCGCGCAAAGGTCAAGTGTGACAAAGTCAGGCCTACCTGCCACCGCTGTGGCAACATGGGCATTTGCTGCAACTACTCGCCGTCGATGAGGTATGCAATTGACCTTCACCAGCCGCACGCTCCCGGCTTACAAGCTCTAGGCTGGGCAAGCCGCGCAAGAACAGGAACCCAGACGGCACAATCATGCGCGACGTATCGCCCGCTAGCTCCTGTGGACCGCTGGGACCGCGGCCGGACATGATACCCCGCACAACTTCCTACACTGCAGAGAGCTCTCCCGAGCCAACAGATCCCTTCTTCTTCGGCCCAGCAACGCCCGAGTATCACTTCCAGGACGCCTACATGGCCCACGGCTACGAAGGCAGCCAGTCGCCCTATTCGGAAGCTGGCTCCTTCGTCAGCGGCTGGTCCAACGACGACCATATCATGTTCCAGAGCCCATCCGAGATGTTCACAAGCATGCCACAATTCCCCCCGCCCCCGTCACCGTATGCGGGACATGTTCGGTCCACCAGCGTCCAGAGCCAGCCCGAAGCGTATGCCCCCATGGAAGGCATTCACTCGCCGCCAATGGCGAGCCCGCACTATTACGGCGGTATGGAGCATCAGCAAAGCCTCCCCATATTTTCCCACGATAAGGTGACTGCCTCCCCTCCCCCAATGGTTGCCGCGCCTCTTCCTACGCCTCCCACTTCGGCTACTGCTCAAAGCCACGACTGCACTCAGTTCGCCTTCCAGACACTGAACAGCCTCTACTCGCCACCATCTTCTCAGCCTGCTGCTGGTGACTTCAACGGTGCCTCCAATGGCCTGCCAACGCTCGACACGGTCCTCGCGACAAACAAGGCGGCCGTCGACAAGCTCTTCGTCCTGCTCGGCTGCCAGTGCTCCTCGAACCCTCACTTCTCCACGACGATTGCTTTCACCATCGTCAAGATCCTGTCCTGGTATCAAGCCATTGCCGGAGTCAACCAGTCCGAGGGAGAAGTCAACACGCAGATGGAGGCTTTCACCCACACGCCCATCTCCCTCGGCGAGTTCAGGCTTGAGGGCGAGGACGAGCACACGTTCAGGACTCAACTCGTTCTTACCGAGCTGCGCAAGGTGGAGAAGCTCATCGACAAGTTCTCGGAGCGGTACTGCAGGTCGGCCAACCCAGCCGAGACGGGCATCGACGGCGGCGTCTACGGCGCGCTTGAGTCTCTACTGCGCACCCGCGTGCGCGACACCTTCAAGGTGACGATGCGCACCGCGCCCGAAGAGGTCAAGAGGCAAGTTGCCTCGCGGAGCCAGAACCGCAACCGCACTCATACGCTATGAGCTTCCCCTTTTGATGCGTTCTTAGCGACTGTATAATGTTGGCTTTCCATGTTTGTTCTTTTTCTCCATCTATCTCTCTCTTGCTTCTTTCGATATCACGACGCGCATCCTGGCGCCACGCACTATAGACTTGGGTTCATGGGTCCCCAACGGACCTGGGGTTATCATCATTACTTACTACAGCTATTGTCTATTGGCTAGTTCGCATTGGTATCTTTGTCGCTACCTAAGGGTACACTGCTCTCCAGCCTCGTTGGAATGAGATGATTATTCATTTGTACATATTTTTGGAAGGAGACAAGGGGCAGTGTAGCGTCACGCAGCAGCAATATAGGCTATGCAAGGGAAAGTCGGCAAGCACGTGTGTGTCTTGCCCTTGGATTGATGAGTAGGTGCGTGTGCGATATGAAATGAGATGAAATGAAATGACGTTCTCATCCTTCCGCCTCATCCCTCTTGAGCTTAGACCAAATTATTATTATTATTATTATTATTATTATTATTTTCCCTTTCTGATGCTACAAAATCCTGTCTGGGGCAAGATGAGTGGTTGTGGGCAGCTGCTGGGCCCTGTCATCATGTGGAGATTTCAGTACGACGTATGGCAAATCCTCTTCGCCATAACCAGCGCAAGGCGATTTGCATTCTTTCATTTATCGAGTCGAGGACTCGGCGCGAATGGGCAGGCCTGCCACGCGTGTTGGCCCCCAAACGCCTGGTCTCGCTGTCATCAAAGCAGCCAATCTATTTTCCCAGAGCCTTGGGTGCGCGACGACGGCGCCCTTGTCTAGTGTCAGGCAGAATCGGCGAGGGGGGAGGGTGAGAGCCTTGTGGTTATTATAGTGATTCGCTATGGCGAGGGTCTGGGGGATACCGAATAGTTCGATGATAGTGTGATGAGTAGCTGAGCATGTTTCATTTTCAGCGCGTACACCAAGCTCTAAGCGTGCGCGGTGTGCAATGTCGCGAGAGCTGCGAACTGCTCGGCAGCTGCACCGAGTTTCTTCGGCAGCACACGGAGTACGAGGCCATGGAGGAGGACAGCGGGGCGGTACTGTACAATGCCAGATAGCAAAATGTATGATGGCATGGCGTGCCTAGGAGAGAGCCGATTCCAGCCAAAGCGGGAGAGGCTAAAGCTGATTTCACACTTGGCCAATCGAGGAACGGAAGGAGCAGAGCAGATCGCGGCAGGCACGGACCCGTGGGGGCCTGTGCGCTGGCGTGGGCCGGGGTGGCAAGCGCGCGCTGGGCCTGATCGGGGATAGTGCTAAGTCAGCCGCCACGGTGCTCTTGATCGATTCGAGGTTGGATGACGATGCTGAGGGATGGCGACGGCTCCTTCTCGCTCCCGCTACTACTGCACAGTACACAATTCCAAGATCCCTACAGCGCCGAAGAAACGCCATCCTAGTCCTCCACCAGCAGCGCAGAGCGCCATCACGCGTCCCGCACTCCACCCCACTCCACCTTCATGCTCGACCGGGGAGTTCCACACCAAGCTTCACGTCAAGGCCGCCAAAACCGGAAGGCTGGTGATCCTGGGCCGTAAGCGGCAACCGGGCTGTGCACGCCTTCCCCTTTGCAGCGACCGCAGGCTTGCAGCGTGCTGCTTCGATTGGCTGGAGATATATTGTCCGCATCTGTTGCTGGCTGGCGCCGGCGGTTAATAAGTGCAGGTGCCATGGAGTACAGTACTACTGCACAGTATGCGAGGGATCCGCCAAGGTGTAGTTATTTCCATCTTTGATCCTCTGCAACGTAATTCGTAAAGGGTAATTTTCTTGCAGTCGCCGCCCCAGAGTTGGCGGAATTCTCTTCGCATGCATCTTGCACGACATCACTGCCTCCACGAACCACAGCCCTACTCTCCAAAGGACGCGTCCGTTTGCGCTTCCTTGTCTTCGACCGCCGAAAGGAACCGTGGACCTTTGTCCAGCTATCTAGGGCGAAGACGGGTCGCCGATGAAGGGGTACCCCGTTCGCAACCTGGCATCGACCGTCTGAACCCACCGCAATGGCCGACCTCTCCGTCGGGAGGTTGGTAACGTGGACTCTTCGCAGAACTAGCCATTTGGGGGGGGCATATGCCGGGCCCGATTATCTCCACACGTGCACATATCCCGGTCCCGTATTCGCAATCACCCTCAAACACCTCACACTAGTTACACGCGGTCGAAACCACATTGCAGAGCCGCGGAGACTGATCACTCGTTGATCATGGATGAACGTTTGGTGCCGCAGCCTTGTGGCAGCTGAACGACTTCGTATCCCGGCTTGCTCACGCTGGCGGTTCGTTGCGACGACGCGCTGAGTCCGTATAATATGCCTATCCTCGCCGATTACTTGTCTCCTCTGTTGCCTGTTCCTCGCAAGTCTGCTGTATTACTGAGAATCGACAGCACTGCATGCTGAGCAGAAAGCGAGGAACGCGATGATGGAGCATGGACGGCCTCGCATACATGCTCACCGTTCGCCCAACAGTGGGCACCTGAATTGCTGCGCTTGCTTCTAAATGAAGCGACCGCAGCTCGCGAACCCGGATCTGCATTCTCCAGCGCACTCCTGTGTGGAGTTGAGTGAGTTGCTCATGGCTACCAACCGGCAAAAGTCGCGTGCATGCTGACGTCTTAGTGCTACGCTCGAACTATGGAACCGGGTCCCAAATCAATTACTGAACGGTGAACCATGGCTGCTCCCGCCTACCACCAAAATAAAATGCCGTCACTCGGTGGCTGCGGCCGCACTCCTACACTGCAGTATCTCAGCCTGACATCTCACTTCGTCGCTAGAGCAAACGACGAGAGACAGCCGCTCACTCCCACATGCACACTCTAGAATCCCTCGTCCAGTGCCCCCAAGACACCCAAGGCAAGTCAATACACCATCTCGCCAATCACACCCCGATCCCATAATCCGGTCGGTGCCCGCGCAGATGGTTACATCCACACCGCTCACTGCATACCCTCGCTTCCCCCATCACCTCGTGCTCTTAATCTACTCCCCCTGTCACAAAACTGTAAGAGATATAGCACAGAGGACTCCACTCCGGATGGAACCTTCGATGCAAGCTCTAGCGACGTTCTAGAAGGTTTCACGAGCCCTTCTGCCGACGCACGTGGTAAATGACGATGATGCCCGTCTGACGGCGACGGTAGCCGGGGTGATTGTTCCGATACGACGAGCGATATGGAATGCGCTCACGTACATGGCTTGGCTACTGTATCTCACAATGTCGCTGACGTGCAGGGGTCTTGGCTGTCGTACCGCGCCGAAGGGTGCCATGTGCGCCTCGATCGGAGATAGAGCGTTCGGGGAACTATAAGTCCGTCTCCGTATCGAGTAGGGCCATGATAAAACGACTGTTTTACTTGGCACTGCGGTTGCGAGGGAATCTCTCGGTCGGGGGTGAGCAAATACGCTCAGTTACCAGTGTACTTAGTAATTGGGTTCACTTGTTTTTCTTGGAATTTCTTGTGGAGCATCCTTCTCGGGGACTGGGCGACGCATGTCTCTGACTCCTGCAACACTGGTTTTCCTCACCGCATTGCTTGCTAATACCATCTAGATCCCTTTTGGGGAGTACCACGGCGAAGAACTTGAGTAAGACGCCATCCGAGAAAAAGCGGCGGGCAGGGGGCCCACACGGCGTGGAAGCCACGTGGGCACGAGCGAGATCTAGACCAAACCCACTGAACCGGGCGATGTCCCGTATACGCACGAGTCCGTCTGAGTGCTAGCGAATCTGCAAAACGTTCTCAACCCGAACTCTGGGCCCCCTCGCGTATCTGGTGTGGAACCGGTTCCGTTGCGCGTGGCTTGCCGTCTCGGGCGTGGGAATCGGGTCAATAAGTGTAGTGCGGGTGGCTCACTCGCCCGCATGGGAGAGACGAAGGGGGTGTGCTGGTCGACGAAACTGGGGCTGCCACATGTGAGCTCCCTTCGGCATCGACCAGCCAATCACCCCCGCCTTTGCAAGCCTCTTCAATACCACCATGCAAGAGAAACGCGAAGATTGTTGACGACGGGCATGAGCGTATCGCGATATCGGAGATTGAATGCGAGCATATCACACCTCGGATGTTTAGCTCCCTAGTAGAGATGGCTCCCGCCAAGGACCATCCTGTCGATTTTTTTCAACCCTCGTCGGCTGCTCCCTTTGGGCACCGCATCCACACCTATTCCCTCTTGCTCGAACAGCGTTCCTGGGCTCGTTCCGCGAAATATCCAACACCTCCACCTCTTTTTTGAAGACGGCCGAACATTCCTTGATTGCTCACCCTCCTGCTCTAGTGGACGTCGCACTTGACTACTAGAATGAACTGGAAACCGCTTAGATCCAAAACATCTTCAACCCGACGTCTACCTTGGATCGGCGCTGCCTTATATAACTATCTAGGGCGGGTGCAACCTTATTGAGCACACTCCGTCATAAACCTCCGAAAAAGCCCAGTAAGACCGAGGGCTAGATGAAACTAATCGACGGCAAAAAAATTTCCTGTGCTTCTTAGGCGGATGCACAGGGTGGTGTTTTGGGGGCGGTTCTCACGCTGCGTGTCAAAGGGTGGTCATGATCGATGATAGTGTATTGAGCTAAGGAGGTCTCAGGCATCAGGCCAGGGCTATATACCAGGCAGTGCCAAGGCACTGTGACACTGCGTGACGCCAGTACTCCTGGAAGAAGCCCACAACGACCGTGTGTGTGCGTTTACTTCAGATGGGATACTGATTCATCTTATGCTACTATAACACGTACATTGAAGAACAGAAATACAGTCTCGAAGATACGGTCTACTCGCGATATTTTTCAGAGCCAACCCACACACATTCACCAAGAAACCCAGGCTCCATACTCCTCAAGCCAAACCTGCCAAGCCGTCAGCAACATTCAGCACACATAGCGCGATAATGATCTCACCTGTATACGTCCATGGTGTCATCCTGCTCATGCGCGTCATTAATCTACACGCCCTTCGCAAATGCAGTCCCACCACTAGCCTCGTCAATAACCATACTGTCCTTCAGCCCGCATACGTTGAAGATGGTTTTAGGCGTGACCGAGCTGCCAGTGGAGCCCGTCTCCTTCAGCCACTCAAACGTCGACTTGATAGCTACATACGCCGGGCTGATGCTAGCGAAGCTATAGATAATCACTCTGTATCCCATTTCTTGCGCCTCCCGGGCGGTGATGAGGGGAGAGTGGCCATTCTCGACCGAGTTGTAGCATAGCGGCCAGGGCGCGAGGAGCTTAGCGGCGAGAGCGGCTTGTTCCTTTGTCTTGACGCCTTCGAGGATTCCCATGTCGGCACCCTCAGCGCGGGCACGTTTCAAACGCTCAATGCAATCGTCAAAACCCTTGGACTGCAGAGCGTCCGTACGCGCGATGATGACGATGTCCGAACGGAGCTGCTTGCGAGCAACGATGCAAGCTTTGATACGCTGGACGTAGGTCTCGACGTCTACGACCTCCTTCCCAGCGAGATGCCCGCATCGCTTGTTCATGATCTGGTCCTCAATGTGGAACCCTGCAACGCCGGCAAGATGGTACTGCTGAAGCGACCGAGCGACGACAAGGGGCCCTCCATAGCCCGTGTCCATGTCAGCGATGAGAGGAGGACCATCGGGCCGTAGGTTGGCGATCATCTCAGCGTTGGCTCGCATATCGGCGAGCTGAGCAATACCGAGATCGGCGTGGCCGAGCTTTGAAGCGGTTGTGCCCGCACCGGTCATGTACATGCCTTCGAAGCCTACATCTATGGCGATGCGGGCTGACAGTCCATCGTATACGCCGGGACACTTGATTATGTGGTCGCTATTCTTTATCATGTATCGTAGTCTGGTCGCTGCGGGAGCGTAAGAATCGTATACAGACGGGGCGCGAATGTCGACGGCGAGCGGAGCGACGTCCTGGTCTTCGACTGAAATTTCCGGGACAATGGTTGCGGGCTTCCCTTCGAGGGCATCTGTGAATTCTTCTAGGTGCTCGCTTGGTGCCGTGGACACAGAATCGTCGGATGCATCGTCGCCGGAGACGGAACCTTCTGACGAGGATGCCTCTTCGGGAGTAGTCGAATCGCCAGACTTGAATACTTCTTGTCTCAGTAGGCTAGGCCTGGCCGGCTTTGCGTTGGGGAGGCCAAGAGGCAGAGGTCGCCAAGTAGATGGCAGATATGGGGTATCCATACTGGGGTGAGGGATGTCCACAGCCGATTGCATCATAACCATGGCGGGACTAAGAGATATATGGTGAAGACTTGGAAAAGAAAGAGGAAAAGAATACCAAGAAAGCGAGGAGAAGGAGAAATGCACCGCGGTGATGGGTCCTTGGTATTGCAAAGCAGGGTTAAGTATCTGGTGCAGAAGCTTCGCGGGCTTCTCTTGTTCTGTGCTCCTGAGCTTCGTCGAAGGGCACGATTTCGGCCAGCGATGGGATGCTGTCCTGTTTGCATCCTCCAGACGACATTGTGTACGAGAGGTTCGACTTGAAACACGAGACATTCCCCAACTACTCGCTAAGCGGAAAGCTGGGGCTGGGCTGGGACAAGGAACGGTCACTTGCTTCAGCCACACGACAGTGTTCCATTCTGGGCGACAATTCTAGGCATAACTCCTAGAAGCAGTAGAAAGAGACGAGAAAGACCAATTGGACAGAATACGAAAGCCATCCTTCCGGAAGTGGAGAGATCTTCGGGGTGCGAGCTGTCGCTCTTGGTTGAACGTCCCAGCGTTCGGGGTCCGATTTCTTGGAAGTTCCTGCGATTCTGCGGAAGAGCCTCAAAGGAGAAGTGATCAACTAGAAATCAACGTCACTATACTTGAAAGAATGCAGGAACAGTCGTAGAGTGCCCAAAGCCATCCACCCATGAGGGTAGAAGCAGCCTCGGGGAATCCGGGGTGCGTGAGTGAAGCCTCGCCCAGAAGGCACGGAAAGCTTAGCCATATCGTCAAACCGCGCCGAGAATGCAGAAGCCCAATCTGTGGAAGTTCCCGAGATGTTTTCAAGATGGCAAATGAGAGTGGGAGGGTGTTGGGTCATGAAGGGTGAAGTTCAGGTTTAGACCGCAGCCGGTATTAAGGCGGCTAGCGTGCCACGGATGGCGGCGAACGCTGATTGGCTGCTTGTAGAGTTTGGGCGTCCTGAACGTCGCGACGTAACAGCTTCAAGGAAGGCTTTTCGATATCTGGAAATGTATTGCCAATCTCCAATATATGCGACAATCGTGCTGTGCGCTGAGGCTTTTCGTGCCAAAACTACACCCCGTGGGTGATTGCGGACAAGGCGGACCGCGTTAGTCCGCCAATGGATGCCACTTCACGCCGAACCCACGCTCGTTCTTCCCCTATTTTACTAACTACAGGGCCTATGCACCACTACCTAGGTACATGCATTCTCTTATTATGTAACATGTCTATTCTAGGTGGCGGCAGACAGCAATTCTGCCCTGCGCTCCCGTTATCAGATGTTGTGTTGTCCAGTACCTAGGAAACCTCGACGTACAGTCCGGCGGGCTATGACGGCCAATCCAACTTCGCTGGCTGGGACAATGGCAAGGAAGATCAGATACCCCCGTGACTATAATTATTTCTCATGAGTAACAGCTATCAGCTCACTTTTGGGATCTCAACAAGACGAACCCAAAGAGGAGATGCTGACGGAGATTAGTAACCCATACGTGTTAGAACGATCCGTTTAATTCGGTTTCTAACGCATATATTTGTACATACAGAAACGATGCGCAACTCGATTGAATCACTAGGGCAGCGAGAAGGAAAATTCTGGGCCGTAAAACTATTGCAGCGCCTTGGCTTTCCTCGATGCCGACAAAAACGATAGCTTCCCTCGATAGGCGGAACTTACCCGAGAGGCAAGCGACCGACCGAAGCTCATGAACCGATCCGACGTGCGAGCAGGAGCAGTGAAGGCTCTGGACAGCGGCTCCATGTGACACACCTCGTTCTTCTCTTCGGCCTTCTTCTCGGCTCTCTCTTCGGCTGTTACGTGTTTCTGCTCCACAGTCTCCATCCCGGTGCCGTTCTTTTCGGTTGCCATCATGGCTGACGCTACATGACGACGCTGTACTTTTCCAGTAGCTGTCTTGGGCATGACGCTGGTGAAGAAGACCTGTTTTGGTTAGCCGGTAGCTCTGTCTACGCTTCTATTCTACTGACTTTCTTGGGAACTTTGAACTTTGCAGCGCGCTCACTGTACCACGCAAGCAGCTCCTCGGTCGTCAGCGACTTCCCTTCCTTGAGGCAGATTGCGACAGCAACGTTCTGCCCGTATAGTTCATCGTCGATTGCGAAGCTGACGGCTTCAGCGATGTGCGGATGCTGAGAGAACGTGTTGTCAATCTCGATGGGACTAATCTTCTCGCCACCTTTGTTGATCAGCTCCTTTATGCGCCCAGTGAGGAAGAGATAACCCTCCTCGTCGAGGTATCCCTGATCACCAGTACGGAAATGCCCGGAAGCGAAGAAGGGCGATGCAATGCCTTCCCCGATATATCCGGACGTTACATTTGGCCCCTTGATGCAAACTTCGCCAATCTTACCCTCCGACAGAGCCGTTCCATCTTCATCCATTATTACGAGCTCGACACCCTCGGGCTTTCCGACGGATCCGGGCTTTCTGCTTTGTGGTGGAAGGGGATTCGAAGTCATCTGATGTGCGGCTTCGGTCATGGCATAAGCCTCTACGACAGGCGCTCGCATCAGGCTTTCAAGCTGCTTGTGCACCGTCGGAGAAAGCGGAGAAGAGCAAGATCGTACGAAACGTATCTCCGGCATCGGATTCGGCATCTCGTTCTTCAGAAGGATCTGATGGATCGTTGGGACGGCTGTGTACCAGTTCGCCTTGTAGGCGACGAAGTCGCGCCAGAATTCGGAAGCTGAGAAACGCGGTGGGACAACGACAGATCCTCCGCTCATAAGTGGTGATAGGAAGCCCGCCAACAAGCCATGGACGTGAAAGAGTGGCATGACGAGCAGGGTGCGATCGGCGGATGAGAGACTGTATGTCGCTTGAATATTCTGCATGGTCTGGCAGAGATTGCGGTGGCTCAACGGAACCTACGTGAGTCAGTCATTGATTCTCCCCATTCTCGAATGCGACGGGTGTTACTCACGGCTTTGGGTCTACCCGTCGTGCCGCTAGTGTGTAGGATCAAGGCAACATCCTCCGGCTGGGCCTCGTGGTATCCAGCTCTCTTCTTCACCCTCAAGCCATCGCCCTCTCCCACGGACAGCGCGATCTCAGAGCCATTCCAATACACTTCACCGATCGCAACGTTGCACTTCCTCGCGGCTTTGATGACTTCGCCGTTCCCCTTGATTGCACCACTCGGCACCAGCACGAGCGGAGCTTTCAGGTCATCAAAGTAGAACTCGAACTCGTCCTGCTTGTACGCCGGGTTGAGAGGAGCACATATTGCTCGCTGAAGTCCAGTGGCGAGGAAGGACACGACGAACTCGAGGCTGTTAGGGAGGGCGATCCCGACGGCTTCTTTAGGTGAGATTCCGATCTGTGCGAGCTTCCTCTGGAATGCAATGACTTGGTCGAGCAATTGCTGGTGCGAAAGAATGATCGGCGCTCTCCCATTTGGAATGATGACAGCCGGTTCGGCTGTCTTCGCAGTCAAGCAGGAATAGAGTGTCGACATAATGTAACGAAAGAGAAGACAAAAAATCGTGTACTTGCTGGAAGGAAGTCGCACTAGAAGTGTTCGCAGTGAGTTGTGTGATCTGAGCGTACTGCTCTTATTCCTCTAAAATGTGCTCAGTTTACTAATAAGGTCCAGATTGGGACCCAGCCCGAAACGTTCGTTCGGAAAGCGTAATAGCGGATGCACTGCCACTGGTGAACTGCCAAGTCGGGTTCCGATACCAAGCATGTGTTTCGGAACCCAAGAAACACCAAAACGATGATTATACATGCATCAAAAAGTACCCAAGCATTTTCTGGTTACGATATTGCTCCTCCTTACGTTTCGATCGAAGCCCCCGTTTTTCGCTTCTTCGCTCTCTCCAGCTAAACCTCGCTCATCACCATATTCGCATACTCCTTCGCAATGATAGTAGAGTCTATCCCGCGCCCCACCGGCGCAAAAATCGTAGCCCAAACTCTCCACTCTCTCGGTGTCAAAGTAATCTTCGGTCTCGTCGGCATCCCGGTTGTCCAAGTCGCAGAAGAAGCCATCGCGCTCGGCATCCGCTTCATCGCTTTCAGAAACGAACAAGCATGCTCCTACGCAGCGACAGCATACGGTTACCTTACCGGCCGCCCAGGCGTCTGCTTGGTCGTTGGCGGTCCAGGTGTCCTCCATGCTATGGCTGGCATAGGAAACGCCGATGCTAACGCGTTCCCAATGCTGCTTCTTGCGGGTAGCTGCGAGACGCATTTGGTGGGGAGGGGAGGGTTTCAGGAAATGGATGCCGTGAACCTGTTGAGTCCGCACGTCAAGAAAGCAGTGAGAGCCACTTTGAACGACGTGTCGCAGAAGATCAGGGATACTTACCGAAGTGCGTGGTATGGACGACCAGGAACGGGATTCGTGGATTTGCCTGCAGATGTAATCCAAGGCAAACCATGCGAGGATATACCAGAGACGAGGGTTGTCCCAGCTCCCCCTCGCGTAGGCGTCGACCCGGAAAGGCTTGCCCAGCTAGCCGCGCTTCTTCGAACTGCGGATGCGCCTCTGGTAGTTGTCGGAAAGGGCGCAGCATACGCACAAACAGAGAACTGCATTCGCCAACTGATCGAAGAGAGTGGCATACCGTTCCTGCCTACGCCAATGGGCAAAGGCGTGCTCCCGGACTCACATCCGCTCAACACCTCATCCGCCCGCTCCACAGCCTTGAAAGGCGCAGACGTCGTATTGATCCTAGGTGCCCGCCTCAACTGGATTCTGCACTTTGGCGATGAACCTAAGTGGGATTCAAACGTCAAGCTCATTCAAGTCGACATCAGCGCTGAAGAAATCGGGAAGAACAACGGCAACGCCGAGCTCGGCATCGTAGGCGATATCAACGTAGTCGTTCCCCAACTCCTCACTCTGCTCACCGGCTACCGCTACAATCCTGCCTCGCCATACATACAAGCCCTACAAGTCAGCAAAGTGAAGAATGAAGCCAAAGCCGCGAAAACAGCTGCGATCGTCAAATCGCCCATGGGCTACCACCAAGTTTTCGACACCATCAAGCGAACACTAAGCAAGCTCTCACTGCCGGGTGATGGAAACATTGTCTACATCTCCGAGGGCGCAAACACTATGGACATCTCACGAAGTGCCTTCCCCATTGAGCATCCTCGCCTGCGGATGGATGCCGGGACACATGCCACCATGGGTGTCGGGTTAGGCTACGCAATCGCTGCACACTGCGCGTACAACCTCCCTAATCCAGAAGGGCACTCCGGCCCCTCAAAGGCTGACTACAAGAAAATAGTATGTCTTGAAGGCGACTCCGCCTTCGGCTTCTCCATGCCTGAAGTCGAAACTATGGCCCGCTACAACATGTCGCCGCTCATCTTCGTCGTCAACAACAGTGGCATCTATCATGGGGACTCCGAGGAGGAGTCTCAGTGGCTTGCGCTTCAGCGAAACACGAACAATAGCGAGTCTGGCGGGCTGCGAAGCACGAGTCTGGGCTGGGAGGTTAAATATGAGATGATGGCGGAGATGTGTGGTGGGAGGGGGTACTTTGTGAGAACGCCAGACGAGTTAGAGAAAGCGACGGAGGAAGGGTTTAAGGCGAGGGTCCCGGTCGTGGTTAATGTTGTGATTGAGAGCGGGAGTGGGAAGAAGTTAGAGTTTGCGTGGCAGAAGACCGGCGCGAAGAAGTGACGAGTTACTTGAGAAGATGCAATTGATGCCTGCCTTTCTCCGTAATGGATGCATTTCTTTGATACGAGTGTATAGTATGGGTTATGCTGAATGCTTTCGAGAGTCTTTTCTTCAAGGGCTTCTTACAGGAGCACAGTAAGCGTTTTACCGATGTAGCCTCCAAAGTCCTCGCCATCTCCTACTTCCGCGTCCATAATAGAAAATCATCACTTTTTCGATTGGTCATTCCCATTAGCGTTGGAACAAGCTCGCTTTAGCGTCAAAATAGGAAGAGTGTACCCGGTTGCACATCATCGCCCTCTACATGCTCTTCCTTGCGCGTGGCGTGGCGTTCTCCACAACAAACGCGTCCTCTACCACGTCTTCGGACTCCATACCATCGCTTTTGCGGATCCGAATATGTGGTTGCGACAGCATATGTTCCTGTTGATGATTCTCCCTTTTCGGTATCCGAAGGCGGGAGGCATGCAAGCTTAGCAAAGCTTAGCACTGCCACAAATGTAAACCATGCTAGACTCGCTGTACGATTGCTAGGATTGTGGGGTTGCGAGAGTTCGAGAACCGAATGCCGGTAATCGTGAGAAGTGAATGGGAAGGGTCGTATAATATGGGAGGCTTCGTACCTGACCATCCAACATCCTCCAACATCCACTCTCAGCTTCGTCTTCCCTTTTCGCCCATACCATTGACATCATCCCCAAGGGTTTCATCTCGGATTCTTCGTTCTTTCCATTTCAACGCATATCTATCAAAATGCCTCCACCATACTTTGTCGGCGAGGGAGAAGGCAAGAAGGGCGCCCATCACGAATCGATCTCCGCACTGTGGAACTTGAAATGGAAGAAGAGGGTAAACACTCCCAGCAATGACACTGCCAGCACGAAATCCACGAGCTCCTTGGGCTCTAAATCTACCATCACAACCACGATCTTCGCAGCTCCCAAACCCTCCCGCTCTACCTCCTTGAAGAAGTCCATCAAACGCACCCTCTCGCACAGAGATATAGTATCTGCTAACCCATATATTCTCTCCGGTAGGCCACCCTCGGAATCTACCCCTTCATGGAAGGCAAACTCGAAGACTTTGAGGCAGTCTTTGCTCATTTTGCTGAGGTTTGCTTTTCTTCATTGGCGCTCTTCTCACGCATCACTTGCTAACGTGGTATCAACGCAGCATAACATCTACCCTCCCTATGACTTCGAGGTGTACTCGGCGCCCTTCTTCCCCGTCGCTGAACGCCTCGTCGCACGCGCAGAAATCGCCGAGGAATCTGGCGACAGGGAGCTCGCCAGCGAACTATACCTGCGCGCCGCGTGCGTGTACCGGACAGCGCGTCAACCATGCCCCATTTCCCCTCGCCAAAAACTCGCTTTCAACCTCCAGAAGACCGCATTCTTCAAGGGCGCCGCACTCCTCGAAGCCCCCCTCGTCGAACACCTAATCCCACACACGCACGCCCTCCCCGGGACCGCAGAGCAATACCGCACCATCCCCGTCACCGTTCGCCTCCCTCCCGGTGCTCAGCCCGGTCAATTATTCCCTACCGTGCTCCAAATCTACGGCCTGGACGGCTACAGGACCGAGCACACGATGCCGTCATCCCACCACATTGCCCGCGGCTGGGCTTCTATCGCTGTCGAAATCCCTGGAACGGGTGACTGTCCTGCCGACGCTAACGATGCTACTTCTCCCGACCGTCTGTGGTCTTCCGTCCTCGACTGGATCGACCAGCAGCCGTGGATCGCCAAGGGCAAAGTTATCGCTTGGGGCGTATCCTGCGGCGGCTACTACACCATGCGCATCGCGCATACGCATGCGGATCGCTTGCTCGGCGTTGTTGCGCAGGGTGGAGGCTGCCACTCCATGTTCGACCCTGAGTGGCTGGAGATCGCGTCGCATATGGAGTACCCGTTCGATTTGACTCAAGTCCTCGCGCTCAAGTTCGGTTACGAGGACGTCGAGAAGATGAAGGTGGATTCACGTCCGCGGTTCTCGCTGCTTGAGAACGGGATTCTGGAGATGCCAAGCTGTAGGATGTTACTCGTCAATGGAATGCTTGACGAGCTCTTCCCGATTGAGGACTGCCTTTTGCCGTTAAGGTATGGAAGCGTTAAGGAAGTCCGCTTCTTCGAGGATAGCAAGCACATGGGCGAGCCACATGCAAGAAAGTATATCCTAGAGTGGGTCGAGAGCTTGTTCAAGACTGTCGATGGAGGTGTCAAGGGCGGCAAGCTGTGGGCAGTGGGCGTGAAAGCGCCAGCTGGACATGCTGTACCAAAGGCCATTACGAACGGTGCTGAGAAGCCGATAACGAACGAAGTGACCAAGCCGGTTGCGAACGGCACGAATGGGGTCAATGGAGTCAAGAAGCCGGTAGTTAGTGTGAAGGAGCTTGATGGTCGGCACGTCCTGAACGGGTGCTGATGATGGGCGCGGGCTTCGTTTATGCTAGTTGTTCTGTGTATTTCTATCCCGGATATAGTCAGTATTGCGTTTTATCTAGTTCAATCCAGCTTGTTATCAGTAAGAGTGATGGGTTGAAGACCCACCGACACTCTCCTATACGGACATGTCTGCAATCAGTAGGTGCAAATGCTAAAGCAATCCGAACTTGCGATAGAATTACAGGGATGCCGCGACGAAAGGGTTGAGAGACGATGATGACGGAAAAGAAACACATCGGGAGCGACACAGAGTAGGCGGAGAAGACACTGACCTATGTACAAATCTAAGAAGGTGATCTACTGTACAGGAAAACTCGGCCTATAATACAATCGTATCGTCGTCAGAACCATGAAGCACATACTATGAGAATTCTCGGGGTTTGATCAGCGTCTACCATTACATCCCAACCGAAGCGATACGCTGCATGTGTTGTTGCTGTCAAGATGGGTCGACTATGCACTAGATATGTTGAGACCGTTCTTGTCCTCCTTCATGGTGACCCTAGCCACGTCGCCGGTCTTGATCTCCCCCCGGATGATCTTGTCTGCGAGGCCATTGCCGATTTCCTTCGCAATCAGCCGGTTCAGTGGTCGAGCGCCGAATTTAGGGTCGTAGCCGCGGTCACACAGCCATTGCTTGGCCTCATCAGGAACCTCCAGCGTAATCCGGCGATCATCCAGACGCTCCTGCAGCTCTTTCAACCTAATGTCCACGATATCCCTCAGTGCCTCGCGGGAAAGCCGCCGGAAGATGATGAATTCGTCGATACGATTGAGGAATTCAGGAGGATAGGAGGCCTCGACGACATCCATGACGGCACTCCGGACAGCCGGGGATATCTCGCTCGTGTCTCTGTTGGCTTGGTGCAGGACGTCGTCTCCTACGATAATATCTGCCCCCAGGTTTGATGTCAAGACAATAATGGTGTTTCGGAAGTCGACCTTGTGCCCTTGAGCATCCGTCAAGAAGCCTTCATCAAGCACTTGAAGCAGAAGAGACGAAATGTCCTTGTGGGCCTTCTCCCATTCATCCAAGAGCAGCACGGCATACGGTTTCCGCCGTACTGCTTCCGTAAGCTGTCCAGCATCTTCGTATCCTACGTATCCAGCCGGTGAGCCTATTAGTCTCGAAACAGTGTGTTTCTCGGAGAACTCGCTCATATCAAAACGGATGACGGCCTGCTGGGTCGAGAACAAAAACTCGGCCAGCCTTTTGCAGACTTCGGTCTTACCCACTCCAGTGGGGCCGAGCATCATAAACGAGGCGATGGGACGGTCGTCGCCAGAAAGGCCTGCTCTTTGCATCCTGATGGCGTTGGCGACAGCTGTGAGAGCTTCGTCTTGTCCGCGAACGTGTTCCCGCAAAGCATCCTCCATGTGGATCAGCTTCTCGCTTTCTCCGCGCATGAGCTTCGAGACAGGAATGCCGGTGGTTCTTGAAACCACGGAGGCGATATCGTCGGCGGTGACGGAGTCGTGTAGCAGGGAGTCCGGACTCCTTCCAGCCATGGCGTCCCCGTCTTCGGGCAGCTTTTGCTCTAGCTGCGGTATTGTGGAGTAGCGCAGCTCTCCAGCTTTGGCGAAATTGCCCTCCCGTTGTGCTTGTTCCAGTTCGAGCCGCGCTTTCTCCAGGTTCTCCTTGACGTTCTTGAGCCCCTGGAGCTCTTCACGCTCCTTTTCCCATTTGTCCATGAGGACTTTGACTTCATCTTGTTTCTTCTTGAGTGTCTCCTCTAGGCGCTCTCGTCGTTCCTTGCTTGCTATGTCTGTCTCTTTCCGCAGAGACTCAAGCTCGATCTGGATAGTCATGATGTGCCGATCGAGCTCTTGGATGGCGTCAGGTTTGCTCTCCTGCTGCAGTCGCAAGGCGCTTGCAGCTTCGTCGACCAAGTCGATGGCTTTGTCGGGCAAATAGCGGTCCGTGATGTATCGGTTGCTGTACGCCGCGGCGGCAACGAGCGCGCCGTCAGTGATGCGGACGCCGTGATGCACCTCGTATCTCTCTTTAATGCCACGGAGGATGGATATAGTATCCTGCACACTCGGTTCGCCGACGATGATGGGTTGGAATCTCCGCGCGAGAGCGACGTCTTTCTCGATCTGCCGGTACTCGTTTAGCGTAGTTGCGCCACAGCACTGGAGTTCGCCGCGAGACAGGGCCGGCTTGAGGAGGTTGCTCGCATCGATGCTGCCTTCTGCCTTTCCGAGCCCAAGCAGCGTATGCAATTCGTCCACGAAAAGGATGACACCGCCCTTCGCCTCTTCAACCTCCTTCAAGACTTTCTTGAGGCGCTCTTCGAAATCTCCCCTGAATTTTGCGCCCGCGATGAGCTGACCGAGGTCGAGCGAGATGACGCGCTTCTCCTTGATCGACTCTGGCACGTCTCCTTTGACTATGCGCTGTGCCACTGAATGCTCGTTAGCAATGTGGATCCTGGAGCGCCGCAGGGCTCAATACTCACATCCTTCAAGGATGGCTGTCTTCCCCGTTCCAGCAGCCCCGATCAACACCGGATTGTTCTTCGTCCGTCTCGATAGAATCTGAATCGTTCTGTGTATCTCCGCGTCGCGCCCTATTACTGGGTCAAGTTTTCCATCTCGTGCGCGCGCAGTCAGATCGACGCCGTACTGCTCGAGCGCAGGCTTCTCGGGCTCGCCGCCCAGATTCATGCGATGGGTCCCGCCCGGTGGCTGCGGCCGTCCATTTGCGTAGCCGCGGACGGCAGTAATCGGGCGTATGAGGTGACTCGACTGGCTCGAGGGGCATGCGCAGCGGTGGAAGGGCGCGGGTCGGCCTGGCAGCGCTCGAGAGAGTGGCCTGGGTATGCGGCGTGCGGCGATGCGCGCTCTGCTGGTCAGCATCATGGCTCAAAAGCAGTCAATTGGAAGCAAGGCGTCTGGGCCAAGCGGGAGGCATGGCTATATGTGCAGTGAGTGGCGCACGCGAGGGCTTTGGCCCAGTGGAATGACCGCGGTGGTTCGAGCTCTTTCTATGGGGAACGCTCTCGGATCGCGGGCTTACAGGGGCTCGCAGTGCGCAATTGCTCGAACCTGAGCGCTCATCGCGGGCGTGCTGACACTCTTCGAAGGCGTAAGGCGTAATACTGTACGGAGCTGCGGTGGCCTTCTGGATGGTCGCAAGCAGGGGGCGTCGTGCCCGCGGTGGCACGTGACGGCTAGCGGCTTGGCGGCGATGAGTCGGAGTCGCGAAAATTGAGAACACTCAGCGTCCCCAGAGCGCCAAAACCCTCTCTCTCTCCCTTTGCAACACCACCCTCAAAGCGCTCCTCAGCCTGCGTATCCGCCGCAACCATGGGCTTCACCGACTTCGTCTCCGGCGCCGGCCTCACCCTCCTGAACAACTGGGTCAAGACTCGCAGCTACATCGTTGGGTAAGTTGCTGCCCCGCCCTCGCAAATTCCCCCCCTGTGTCCTTTCGCACCACCGCCGCTCGACGTTGTGATGAAACCCATTGGTCCGTGTTTAGGAGGCGGCTTAAGACCCCGCTGTCTGACTACAAAACCTCGCGCTTGTCGCACTTCTGACTATCGTGTTCGCCTCGCCACTGCCTGCAACCCGCGCCTGCGACGCCTGCGCTGACGTGCCACAGCTACTCCCCATCGCAGGCCGATGTCAAGGTCTTCCAGCAGCTGAAGACGCCGCCGGCGCCCGAGAACTACCCCTATGCCTGGCGCTGGTACAACCACATACTCACCTTCGAGCCCGAGTTCTCCACCCTTCCCGGTGACCCAACCAAGGAGTACACCGCCTACGGCCCCGAGTCGGCCGAGCTCACCGTCAACCCGGCCAAGGCTCCCGCCGCTGCGGAGGATGACGACGACGACGTCGACCTGTTCGGCAGCGACGACGAGGAGGAGGATGCCGAGGCCGAGAGGTTAAAGGCAGAGCGCCTGGCCGAGTACAACAAGAAGAAGGCCGGCAAGGTCAAGCCCGCGGCCAAGTCCCTCGTCACCATGGACGTCAAGCCTTGGGGTATGCAATGGTGGCCGATTGAGTCAAAAAATTTGACGTGCTAACATGGTGCGCAGATGACGAGACCGATCTGGAGCAGTTGAAGGCCAACGTCTTGGCCATCCAGCAGGATGGGCTTGTCTGGGGAGCTTCCAAGTTCGTTGCCGTCGGTTTCGGTATCAAGAAGCTGCAGATCAACTTGGTCGTCGAGGACGAGAAGGTGTCCACGGACGAGCTGCAGCAGAAGATCGAGGAGGACGAGGACCATGTGCAGTCGACCGACATTGTAAGCACAGCCAGATGCTCCAGCCCTTGCTCCGTTCCGCTAACAAGTCGCCCAGGTTGCCATGCAAAAGTTGTAGGCCCGTGTCTACTCTCTTTCCTTCCTTCGTCTTGGCACTGCTCGATGACAGCTCTCATGAATATCACGGATTGGGGCATGGTTTATGGGCGACACGTCGTATGCGCTGCTGCTAGATGAAAATGACGACGTGGTGGACATGATAGCGTCTTCCTTGGCTTGCTGCTTTGAATGCTTCTTCGATGGTGATGCAATGTGTGTTCTCGTGAGCGTATCTGGTTTCACAAGCTTGACCTAGGTGGTGCGGTCTAAATGCGGACGCGCTCGTGCTCGGGTTGGACGGGCGACGATCAAGGGACGTTCGCGCAAGTGTACCGGCGTCGTGTAAGCTGCTCTTCGTTGCTCTTCCGCACACATTCCCAGGCACGCCCGTTCGCTCGGCAAGACCGAAGCTTGCGGCTCGCAGGCGAAAGCTTAACAGAGCTTCGCGCTCGGCATTACGTCACAGCCGCGGCAGAATTCTGAAGGCGGCGTCGTCTCTCGGTAAAACTTCTCTCGGCCGACGTCCGTTTGCGCATCCATCTCGCGGCTTGCCGGCTCATTAAAGTGCGCGGCGACTGGCCCCGACTGCCTTGACCGACGGCACCATGAACGAGGCCGACAAGATCATGGAGAGGGCCGAGGAAGACGCCAGCCCCGAGCGCTTCCCATCGCGCGCCGAAAAGAAGACGGAAGAAACACACGAGCCAATTGAGCGAACAACGACCGCCTCGACCAGTTCCTCGTCCTCGTCCTCGTCCTCCTTCTCCGACGCCTCTGCTGCCGAGCGCGATGGCCGCATGTCACGCCTGCCCACCCAACGCGACGAGATCGGGGCCCTGGAGCGCCATCCGACGGCGCTGAGCCGCATCCAGACACAACGCAGTCAGCATAGCGCGACCGTGGGCGCGGGCTTGAAGAGCAGGCAGTCCAGGAAACCGTTGCCTGCGTTTGGCGCCGGGAAGCCGTATCCGCCGCCATTGCCCGAAAGAGAGGAATACGTCGTCGAGTTCGATGGTCCTGACGATCCCCTACACGCCCAGAATTGGAGTCTGAAGAAGAAGATTTTCACGGCAGCCATGCTTGGCTTTACCACCTTGACGTCGGCTTTCGGCAGTTCCATCTTCAGCGCCGCTACAAGGGTAGTGGCAACCACTTATGGCGTAGGCACCACCGTCGGCGTCTTGGGCACGTCTCTGTATGTACTGGGTTTCGCGACTGGCCCCATCTTCTGGGCGCCCTTCTCAGAGCTCAAGGGCCGACGGCTACCGCTTGTCATTGCATCTTTCGGCTTCTCCGTCTTCAATATTGCCGTGGCTACCGGGAAAGATCTGCAGACAATACTGATATGCCGTTTCTGGAGTGGATTCTTCGGCGCCTGTCCGTTGACCGTAAGTGTCACGTTGAAACCTGTCACATATCAGTGGTCGCTAACCACCGCGTAGTGCGTGGCAGCCGTCTTCTCCGACATGTTCAACAACCGTACACGAGGCATGGCAATAACTATATTTAGCATGACAGTATTTACTGGCCCCTTACTAGCCCCTTTCATTGGCGGCTTTATCGTCATCTCCGACTTGGGCTGGCGGTGGACCGAATACATCGTCGCCATAATGGGGTTCGTCGCCTTCGCCCTCAACCTCTTCTTCCTCTCCGAGTCATATCCTCCCGAGATCCTTGTCGCGAAAGCTGCCGAGCTGCGCCGCCGAACTAAGAACTGGGGCATCCATGCGAAGCAGGAGGAGATCGAGATTGACTTCAGGGAACTCATGGAGAAGAACTTCAGCCGCCCGCTCAGGATGCTGGTTAGCGAACCAATCGTGCTGCTTTTATCCGTCTATATGGCCTTCATCTATGGCCTACTCTACCTCTTCCTGACAGCGTTTCCCTTGGTTTTCCAGGGCGTCCATCATATGAACCCTGGAGTCGGCGGGCTTCCATTCTTCGGCATGATCACGGGACAGCTTCTTGCTGGAACAACCATTTTCCTACGCCAGCCGTCTTATCAAAAGAAGCTAGCCGCGAACAACGACATGCCGATCCCTGAATGGCGGTTGCCAGAAGTTATCGTGGGAGGAGCATGCTTTGCGGTTGGCATCTTCTGGTTTGGATGGTGAGGAACCCCAACTGCACGACTTTCGAATTGGGTACTGACTACTTCATAGGACGGGCTACAAGGAGTCAATTCACTGGATCGTTCCAACATTATCTGGCATCCTAATCGGATTTGGTCTTCTCAGTATCTTCTTACAAGCTCTAAACTACCTGGTAGATGCCTATCTTATGGTACGCTCCCTCCGTCCCCTCTCGCTTGCGATGGGCATGCTAATCCCATACAGTTTGCCGCATCAGCAATTGCTGCAAATACATTCCTCCGTAGTCTCTGCGGTGCTGCCTTCCCGCTATTCGCCCAGCAAATGTTCCAGGGCATGGGTATCCAGTGGGCAGCCACCCTCCTCGGATGCATAGCTGCCCTCCTAGTTCCCGTACCCGTGTGGTTTTACTTACAGGGCGCGAAAGTGAGGGAGAAGAGCAAGTTTGCGCCTACGCCAAAGCCGTTAGTCGCGCGGGAGTAGAAGACCTGCGAGGCCGGACCGCATGTAGTGAATTGCCGAGCGCGCAGATGAAGGGCTTGGTTGCGAGAAGCATGATACCACGCCTTTAGCATTTTATCATGTCATTATTATTAATTGAAGGAGCTCATGTGAGTTCGCAGTTGTGGCTACCAGATGGGATGTAGACGGCGCAAAGTTGACCCGACCCGTAACCATTCATCTCCACCGTGGATTGGATATCGTATTCTTCGCCCATGTTGCGAAAGAAAAAGCATGGTTGACACCAGACGGAGCAGGGAGAGGTCTTTGCTTGAATATGTTCTCGTATCGCTTAGCGCTTCACATCTCTGCCGTACCACGCATTTAAAGCATGTAAATGAAGAATCAAGCAGTTTCACTTCACAATAGCCGCAGGCGTCCGCGAACTCGAACGCTCTCTCGATGAACAACACATCTACCGTGAGGAACGCAGTTTCCGTGAAGCGATATAGCCGTCTCTCGGTATCTATATTCACGCCCTCCCTTTGGATTGGTAAACGTCACTTCTGACAGCTCATATCTAGCCTTCCCCCAAAGCAGAATTGTTCGACAGATCCACCACACCCCTGGCAGCATTATTTTTATCGAGCACCCACGCATTCTATCAACCACAATGTGCCTCAAGATATATGAAAGATGTACTAGATGCGGCAATACCACCTTCTACACCGTCAGAAACTGCGGCAAAGGCATAACGATATTGGGCCCGGGCGGAACAAACGTGGAGTGCCCAGACGGCGAAGCGAGTATAAGGTATGAAGATGGCGAGTGCGAAGAGTGCCGACGGCATAAGGAGGGGGGTAGAGAAGTTGAAGGCTGGCTTCAGTGGCGGAGGAAGTAGTTGGAAACAAAGTAAAGATACGAGCCGACAGTTTGGTTGCTGAGATCACTGCGGGCATGGATAGGCTAGTTCGAGGACGGAGCATAGGTTCAGTGGCAGGGGGGAGTTGAAGTGTGGGGACGTGGGAAATATCGAACCTATTCTGGGGCTTCCAAAGCAGTGGTGGTTTCCCCGCCCCTCCCCCCCCCCCCCTCTCATGGCGTTGGTTCAGGCGAGGATGATTCGTTCGCAATGCCGCGCTTTGGTTCTGTCAATGAATTTAGGCCGGATTTTCCAGTTCGAGTAGGATATGGTGAGGAGGGTCTCGTTTTTCAAACCCACTCTTGTAGGCCTTCAAAGATAAACGCGATCAAAGGTTCGGCAACACTTTCACCCAGTCAACAAACTTGCCGAGATGACCCCCAGTGTACATGGTGCATGCGATGAAGGTGCGGCACCCGATGCCCCAGCCAACTTGGGTGTCCCCGGTGCTTCTCGGGTTTCGTCGTCCCCATCACCCTAAAGAAGACTATGCCAATCCGCGTCGCGTAATGTCATCAATGAAGGACGTACTTCTGCTTTAACCTTCCCTCTTCAATGGCCTTTCCATGCATGTAAGTGTGGATGTAAACGTCGCCTACGAACCGATACTCGCCGTTACGACCTTCGGGGCGTAGAATAATGGGAGTGCTACAGCCGAGCGGCACAACCACGATATCGCCGGCTGTCATAAAACCCGTTCCCAGGCCCATGAGCCCATTTTCGGTGAGGCAAAAGCATCGGCCCATCATCCGCTTGAAGGGCTGATGAAGAAACGCTCGCCGGTCGCCTGTACTGATGTCTACATCTAATTTCACGTACCGTCGGAGTTCGTGATCGAGCGGAAGGTGTGGAAGCCGGTCCTCCGTCAAGGAAGCGAAGACGTGATAGCAAGCTGCCAGCCACTTGGAAGGCCCATCGTATAGCGAGGGGACCTGACCTAAACATAAGGTGCGGCAAAATGCGTCCTGTGCTTTCCATGCGAGTCGTCGGCGTTGAGGGTGTTCAGAAGCAGAGCCCTCCAGTGCAAGAAGGCCATGATGTAGTCAGCTGTGGTGCAGAGCGTGCCTACGGCTATTCCGTGGGCGCTAATAATAATATCGAGATGCATGGCGGATATTTCGAGCTGCTTTCGTCGCTCGTCGAGAAATCGATATTCCGCCGTAGTGTCGCCGGAGGCGGAGAATGTGACCAAATGACCAAGCGCAGTTGTTTCCGTGATGTGCGACCAGTCTGGCACCTACGTGGGCAAGTTGGCGGAGCTGGTATATACCGGGAAGTGAACGAACTCACAAATGACGTCCAGGCGGTCCGTGGTGGACAGAAGAAGATCAACGACGTTTACGTATACCTCCTTGATGGACAGGCTATAGTCGACAGGAAATTCGCTGCGAATCGTCTCCGGTAATACTCCAAGAATACCAAACACTTTGTCTCGGGCATCGGCGTTAAGCTTCCTTCTGCGAGCGCGCATAACCTCGAGGAGTGGGTTATCTCCGTGACTCGCGATGTAATCCACGTCGGGAATGCTACTCGGCCCCTGATACACCAGAACTTGCGAGAGGGCATATTGACTCTAAGACATACCTTGCCCTTCAGTTAGACTCATGCCTCTTGGGAAGTACGAATCGAGGTCGTGCTTATGGCGCCAGAATACCTTCGAGGCTGTCGTGTAGTCACGCCACGGAAGCTTCCGGGTGCCGCAGTAGACATCGATGTCTCAGGCGTTGACGACTTCCTGGACGACCCATAGTCTTCTCCAATAGTCCCTCTCGAAAAGCGACACCATCGCCGCAAATTCTTCGCGCCGGCGAGAGTCAGATATGACCTTTGTAATGCGTTGTGGGGATGCTGTCTTTGCCACTAAGTCCTCCAGCAACGCCAATGCGAGACTGCTTTGGTCTCCCTCAGGTCCTAGCCAGATAGCGACTGACGCTGCGGCTTTGTAGATGGACGTCATCAGTCGTACCTGTTGAGCTCTCTCCTCCTTGTTCTGCTGGTCGACGCAGAGGGCGTCCACCCAGACGTAGACATCTCTGTCCTTTCTTCGAAGAGCTCCAAGTGCGCCATGGAGGCTGACGGCAACAGGCACGGGGACCCCTTCGACCTGGATCTTCCGCGTATCGTCAGCATCGCCCCAGGCGTACGAGATGGCTACATAATCCGGTGCTGGGTCAAGTGAGGCATGAAAGATTTCGCACTTGATCGTAAACATCCTCGTGGGCAATATCCGAACTAGTCTGATCTCGCGGTCTCGGAGCGGGCTGTATTGATACGCTTTCGCACCGAGCGTCCCCGCGGATGACGGCTGCCGAGTGAGCTTGAAGGCGCTATAGAAGTCAGCCTACTCGACGGCGGCCGACTGTCTTCGAGAGGTTGAGACATAACAGAGCATGAGTCGTCTGGCTCGATAGAATCTGGGACATGGGGGAACCCTCCGGGAATGCGATAACGTGCCTCGGGACTCTGTGATCCCTTGTCATCTCGGGATTTGGTCCCCATCTGTTGCGCCAGCTTCTCCCGGTCAGACAAAGTCAGCTCATTGATCGGCATAGACAACCGACGTATGACTGGAGGAGGCGATGGCACTGCTTTAGCGTACCCAGAAGGCTATTGGTTTGACGGACGATGGGCCGCTGAGTGCGTGGAATTGACCGGAAGTGGCGGGGATTGTCCATGCTGTCGATGTTGAAAGCCAATGCTAGGTAGTTGGGGAGGTGGTGCCGTCTTCTCCATAGAAAGTCCCGACGGTCGCTCGCGGTCACTGTAGGCATCACGTTCACGGTACGAACGGGCTGATGGGTTAGAGAGACGACGGGTTGATGATCGCGGGACTTTGAGAAGGGGTGGCGGTGAGAGATGTGACTTTGATGGAGGTGTTGGCCTGCACTCAATTCTGGATGGTCTACTTGGTTCCTTTATCGGAGCTGGACTGGTAGCAAGGGGTGGTGATGAACGATGGGGCCGTGACTTATGTCTCTGACTCTCTGAACGAGAAGGTGAAGGACCTCGCTGTCCCTGGTCTTCAAATAGGTCTCCAGTAGACTAAAGGTGTTGGTACAATTAGCAGAGGCTCAAAAATCTTGGGTAGAAATACCATTGTTTGCAGATGTTGGACGTATTCTGGACAAGGATCTTACTTACTACACATAAGTTAGCACACGTCCAATCACTATCCGTACCGGGGCCTTGGTACCATAGGGTCTTGCAGTGGGTGGAGGTGACGCCCGGTACGGTCGTGAATTCCGGTGCGGGGGTGCATATGGCGGTGGAGGCTGCGATTGCTCGTCCGGCTGTCCATGTGGTCCTCTTGCATAAAATGAAGATAGCGGGGGAGACGAACGAGCGAGAGTTGAGGGAAATCTGGAACAACTCGGTGGGTATGAGAGGTCGGTAGCAGGAGGAGGAGGCGATGAGCGATAGGGAGTTGAACCGGATGGTCCATGGGAATCATATTCGCACCTGGTAACGGTGGGAGGAGGTGGTATTTGCCCCGTTGCAGCATAGTATGAATGAGGGCTGAAATGCGGGGCGAAGGGGTTTTGGCTTGTGGAAGTGCTAGCTGCTTGCGCAAATGCCCTGTTGTTGTCCGAGTGGTAGCCACTATGCAACAACGGACGTCTAACATGCACACGCCATGTTCTGAGGTCCGGAGCTGGATAGTCGTCGGGATGGCCGTAAGGCTGATGGACTTCGTCGCCCCAAGCAGACATGGCTCTCGGCGCACCCGGACAGGGTGGGCGTACTCGGTATTCTGCCTTGGGCGCACATAAAAGAAGCAGGCACGCTACTCAGACGTTGGAAGGTGGGAACACGAGTTGTCGCAACCTTCGTGTGTTGTGAGGTGTTGCCTAAACATGCAGGCGGCTTATCGGTAGGCTGCTTATTAGCGTGCAGCTAAGATTTACTTAAGTAAATAACTAACGTATTCTACTAGTAAGTAGGTTACACTAGTAAGTAGGTTAGAGATTTCTTAGCAGCGAATACTATAACTATAGATTATAAATTATTATTACTACTAAAAAGAAAACCTATATATACTATACTCTTATCTAACTTAGAGAGCTTCTCTATATTCTTCTTATAGATACGCGCGTTATATCTAGTTCTACTATAGTTTCTATAGCGCTATATATCTAGCTACGCGCTCTAGTAGCTATTACTAGCGCGAGTCTTCTTTAATTACTAAGATATAAAAGACGTCTTAGTAGCTATCTACGCTACTTTTTTACTATACTCTATTATACTACTCTACTAGATTTACTTTCTTTTACGTAATTTTTACTTAGTAAGCGTTTCTACTTACTTTTTAAGCTTAGTAATCTAGAAGCTTATAAGCGCGTTCTAGTATAGTATTACTTTAGCTTCTTTAATAAGCTATATAAAGCTAGCCTAGATTCTTATTAGTAATATATTAAAGAAGTTATATACTAGCTATAATAGTCTAGTTTAGAGATTTACCTTAGTTATATAACCTTAGGTTATATAACCTTATTACGTATAATAGTCTAGTTTAGAGATTTACCTTAGGTTACGTAATCTTATTACGTAACCTAGCCTAGCGTCTTAGCGCTTAGTACCTCTATATATAGAGTCTCTTAGAGTATTCTTCTACTTCTTACCTTTAGATAGCTAAATTTAATCTAACCTACTCTACTTATTACTCTTATTCTTATAGCTTATAGAAACTATATTACTTATAATTAACTTACCTAGCTAGATATTCTAGAGCGTACGTATAGTAGTAGAAACTATAGAGCTAGCTCTTATATTATCTAAAGGTTAATACCTCTTTAGCTAGAGATAGTAGTATAATATTAGGCTAAACTAAGTAGCCTTATAAGAAGTATTTACTAATAGCTATACTAAGAATTAAAGCTATAAGAGCCTAGTTACTTACTCTAAGAATCTATTAACGTTACTAATTAATTACTTACCTCTTAGCGCTATATAAGACCTACTAGTAAATCTAGTTAGTAGTAGAAAAGATACTACTAGTAGTAAGCTAAAGAGAGCTATAAGAGCTCTACGTATAAAAGAACTTCTATAGAACTTCTACGTATAGAAACCTCTCTCTATTTTAAAAATTAATAATTCTCTACTCTACTAGTAGAGCTAATAATTAGCTACTATACTAGTAGTATATACTCTTACTTCTTAAATAAGAAGCTATACCTAAGTTAAACTACTTAAATACTATAGGTAAACTCTTATAAAGTAATTCTAGTAGTAAGACTCTAGTTATATAGTACCTCTTTACTTTAATAATTCTTAAATTCTAGACTAAGAACCTACTAGCTAG